TCACCACCATACAAAGGCTGGTCTCGCCTACACCAATTAGCCGCCGACGCCCAACCAGGCTCTGTCTGGGAGCCCCGGCGACCCGGGCTTCGGGCTTGGCTAGGACTATCCCCCAAGTCCTCTCAAGCCACGGAAGATCCCACCCCCTGACTTAGAATCATTGTGGCGGTCGAACAAACCTCAATCCAGCCTGTGGGATGGCCCCTCAGCCAAACCCTTCCTCGCTCTCCTCGACAGAAAGTTCCTGGCTAGATGGGTCGCGGAGGCATCTGGACACGGAGACTTCCTAGAGTACCATGTCAAGTTCAACCACCCTCCGAGTGCCTATCAAAACCTGCCCTTGTGGTTCGATAACCTCTAGAGGCCATTTCCTGAGATGTCCCCTTGCGTCCTTCAATAACCCTATGGCAGGGCGTCTGGACCCCAAAGCCTTTTGGCACTCGCACCAACTTTTTGAGAACAGGAGAGTACGATTCAAACTTCACGGCTCCGCGCGAGATGAACAGAAGGGGCTAACAATGCCCACCCTGCGCCGCCCTGTCTCCTCTCCTCGCTTGATACAACGCCCCCAAAACCGTCACCCCCCAGCGACTCACAATCACATTCAGAAATATCTAACGTGGATATTCAAATCCCTAGGATTCTCTCCACTTAGCCTAATCCCTGTTCTCATTTATGATATCCACTCACAGCAACACACCGGTTTTTCCCCTTTGGGGTTTTCCGCGTGTATATAGTATAGTTTAGGCAACCTATAATTACATCTTGCCCGCCGCGATTGTGGGCACGACCAAGCATCCTCAAAGGTGAGACGGGTCGAAAATACATTCAATTCAATTCAAGTCGAAGGCCGCTAGGAAAGCCAGCCAGGTGGGAGCCCAAACGCACTGGCATCAGGGCATGGCTTGGCCTCTCTTCCTCTCCTCCCAAGGAACGTCGCGTCCCTCCCCCGGACATGCACAGATGGTGGGCAGGCCAACAGACCCCCCTCAGCTCGATGGAGCGGGTACTCGGCCAAACCCTTCCTCGAGAAGTTTTCCCGACAGTTCCCTTTCCGGTAGTTAGCAGAGTCCTCGAGTCACGGCGACTTCCTGGAGTACCACACGCGGTTCAACCACTCCCCAGAGGCTATTAAAGAGTGCCTCTTCGGCGGGGTGGTGTCAGAGGCCACTTCTTTTCCTGCCCTCTCACCTTTTTCAACAACCCACTTGCTGGCAGGCTAGACCCAAGGGCTTTTTGGTCTTCCTTTCAGATGTTCAAGTCCAGGGCCTTCCAGGTCAAATTCTGGGGGCAAGCCTGGGACGCTTCCACAGGGCACCCTGTCCCGTTACCGCCCCTCCCTCGCTCCCCTCTCACAAGTCCGCCCCAAGCCCAACGTGCTCACCATCTAGACTCCGGGCCTAACGACCCGGAGTAGGACCCAACGAGGTACATACCTGGGCCGGCCGGTTTCAACAGCCCTCCTTTGTACATAATATACTGCACTCCCTCTAACCGATGCCGGTTTTACCCTATGCAGCTTTTTCCCGGCGTTACTTTTATTTAGTTCAACTCAGGTAGCTTTTGCCCGCCGGCGTCGCGGGCACGACCCAGCACCCTTGGGGGTGAACCCGGTTGAAAAATAAAAGATAGCCACAGATGATGTTGGGTGCACGACAAAGTCAATTATTACGTGTAATAATCTTTTTAGTCCTCAGTGTCCTTGCGTTAGGGAGAGGAAAAAACAAGAGAAGTCCTTCATCGTGTCCGGGCAGCTTCCTTTATGGAATCCTCTTGTCCTCGCGAGTGCCTCGGCCTACCAGCCTTTTCAGGGGTCTCGTCCTCCTGTCTGGGTCATCTGGCTCATTCGATCGAGTGGATCCATATATCCCGGAATCAACCATCTATTTGTGTTGTTCACAATCGTTTTATCTCCGGTGTCCCTTGTGTCGGTAGTTGGGGATACGCCTTTCCTTGGGCTGCCGTGTCCTCATGACAAAGCAACAATAACAGTACAATGTATAGACGTGTTAACCTTTGCAACAACTTGGCAGGCAAGAATCAAAACTTGTCTTTGAAACATGTGTGATCAGGATTACTGAAATGCCATCTTCTACAAATCAAGCGTCCTAGTAAGGAATCCGATGTTGAATACTTATTTGGGTAGGTTTGTGTGGCTGGTTGCCTGGCTTCCCCCCCTGAATATTTGGATTAGGTATAGATCGTAGCACAAGTACCGCTTCCTCAATCATACCATACTTCATCGTCATTATCATCTTCCAGACGTTCCTAGAAATCATTGATCCGACTCCTCACGTGCCACGACACGATGGGCCGCAGATGGACTCGACCTTTCCGTACCGACGTGGTCTTGTGAAATGTCTATGTAAGGGCTTGTAGGTGACAAAGTGTTATCAGTGCGCTCCTGTCCTGGTGTTTGGGGGGAAAGCTGTAAAGAAAGTGGTGCAGCGGTCGCCCAGTAAGGTGCTCCAGGGATTGGGCTAATCGTTTCGGTTCTTGTTCCAGCGCTTCGAAAGCTAGTCCCAACGCTGCCGGATCTCTCACGAAAAGATTGTGGTCGTGACTGGGGATGGGATATCGGTTCAGAAGAAAACGGTGGTGGGGGACTCCCCTTGGTTATATGACCTGGTGATGGAGTGCGCTGGATGCTTGGTGTTTCGGTTCCTGTTGCAACATCAGGAGATCTGTGTTGATCCAACTGTGTACTGCTACTGCTACTAAGCCACTGAGGCACGGGGTCATAACGGATCGTGCCATGCGACGGTGTGAGGTAGCGGTCTTGGTGCCATTCATTTGCTGCCAGCTCTGCCGGTGACATCGGTTGAGCTGGGAGCATGATTGGAGACATAGAAGGTTGAATAATTGGCAGGTAGCTCACAGCGACAGTAGTACTCGTTGGCGAAGGTACTGTATGTACAGGAGAGCCCCAACCCAAAGGAGACTGCATCCCAGGACCACCAAGAACGACTCCGCCGCTACTTGCAGCCATGCTGCCAGACGGCAAGCGTGGTTGCTGATATCTCTGTTGGCGATGGCGGATGAAGAAGCAACAGCCAGCCAGGAGTGCGATAATAAAGACAGTTCCGCCAACCGAGATCCCGACGATCGCGGGTGTGCTCAATTTGATGTTTGACTTGTCATCCTTTGAGACACCTGTCACAGAGCAGGCTGCCGTGCGAGTTGGCTCACGGCCTGTTAGGATAGCTTTGCGACTTAAGACCTCCCCAAGCTCGGGAGCCGCAAATCCAGAGAGAGGAGCAGTTGCTGTGGCACCGCCGGTAGGCTCACCCCCGATAGCCGTGCGGATGAAGTTCGGCACCGTGTAAGTTGTCAGCTCTGGAAGGTACTCCGCCCATATGTTGCTCTCACGATTCTTCTCGGCCAGATTCATGTTATGTTGACCCCAGACGTTTTCAGCGTCACAGGAGAAGGTCGTGTCATTGGAGTAATAACCGCCAATTACCAGCATTTGCGCATGATTGACTACGTTGCAAGTATGCATGCTCTTGGGATAAGGGCCTGATACATTGCTGTTAGGAGGATACGGTCCACGAATCCACTGAAAGCTAGGGATCGACAAGACGTAGATGTCATCATAGCCGGTCGTGTCAGGGGGGAACCCGCCGCCGCCGTAGATATAACTGGAAGTTGTTAGCAAAACTCTCAACTTGTCAAGTCATGAGACCATCACTAACATATTGTAGCTTGACTGATCGTCTGTCCAAGTAGCTCCTCCACAAAAACGCTTGCGGTCCTCTGGAATGCGACCTGTGGCCTTCTGCGAGTACCACTTGGCATTGGCAAGATCATACAGGAAAATGGTGTCCAAGGGCTGAGGTATCATCGTCCCATTCCCGAGATCCCGACTCCCCCCAAAGTAGACCAAAAAGCCCGCATCTCCGGCGGGAATGAAGACCATCACGCCTTCGGCTCGACGAACAGTGTCTGGGCCAGTCAAATTTGCCCAACTGTTATCATCCATTGAATATCGAATCAGTCTGTTAGAAGCCTGTGGAGGTCCTGACAATTCATTAGTGCAGATCAAATAACAGACTAGTATCTGGTAAGAGTCTTACCTGTCCAGCCTGGTGCGGACATGTTGCTAAAAAAGCCCCCATAATAATACGCTTCTCCGCGTTCTGGGATAGACACTCCTGCTCCCCAGCTAGTCGGAATAATAGATGCTGCGCCAGTTGGGGGACCGAACGAGTCCCAATGATTACACATTATGTCGTAGGCGTAGAGATAAAATGGAGATGGCGGTGTTCCATATGAGTCTCCCCCATACATGTAGATCCGCTTGTTCAGCGTGTCCTTCCACAAAATTCCACCGACCATGTTCGGCACCGTCGCGTTCTTAGACAGATTCGCATACATCTGGGGCATTCCGACGGGGCTGGACTCAAGGTCGCTAAATAGGAAGAATGGATCTGAAATGATGCTTTGTGTTAACACACAGTCTCCTAGAGACGGTCATGAATGCTAATAGTGGGCTCACTAGTCATGTTTTGTGATGTTTCGTCAAAAGGCTTGTAAATCACAAGCCCTCCATCAATGTATAATTTGTTATCGACCACGGCTGTGCGATGGCCCCATCGGCGACAGAAATCACGGACTGGTTCATATTGAGCAGACGATAGAGTTGCCAACACGAATAGAAGGTAAAGGTTGGACACCATGTTAGGCACCATAGGTTCAGCCTGAGTGCAAGTCTCTTAGTCCCAACTTCACTCTAGAAGCATTCCGGATCGGAGATCTGATGCTGTTGCCGGACAGCCTGGGAGATGTCAAATCATGAAGAGAACATGACCGGAAAGAAAGGATCCAACTCTGTCCAATCGAGCAATCGTCAGGTTAAGCAAGACTTGTCTCAGACGGCATTTACTTTGACTGAGGAGGGAGGACCAACCTATGCGGTGATGGCTTGGTTCTGTCACGCAGATGCGAGCATTGCCTCAATGGGGCACCATGTCCAGCCGCTGTTTAAAATAAAAAATGTGGCCTCCCTTGTGTTGCACAAGGGAGTAGCCAATCCGGCGTGTCTGGGCTCACTGGGAAATGAAGTATATTGGCAGATTGGATTTAGCTACATCCACGTCTTCAGGTTTGGCGTTTCGCGGAACACCGCCAATGAGTAAGCTTGTCCATTATCCAGTTATTGCGCAGCAATATGGGTGGAGCAGCAGCATCTTATTGACAAACTTGGGAGAGCCTAATGGTACACGAGAGAGTAATGGAAGGGCTGAGGTCTCTGCTGAGTTAGCACATCCGAAAGTTCGCAGCCACAGCATGCACTAGTGCACGCTACCATTCGGCTGCTTATAGAGGTTACTCATAAGGCTGAAACAAAAACGCAATGGCATTTCTCAGCACAATGTTCAGCAAGTTATGCCACCACTGTGCAAAGTTTTGCCAGACAGTCTTAAAATATCTCATTAGCCGTCTTACTAGTACCTCTATATCTGTGGATAGTATTGTTTAGACCGTGCACCTGTCCCGCTCTGTCATGTGGCCTTTCCCTTATTCAGAGTACCCAATCGCAGATGCGCCTGTGCTTAAGCACCTACAGTCTTGCACGCTTAACAAAGCTCTCTCCAATATGAAACCCAAAGGCGGACAATTCCACGATCTCCTGAGATAGGTCGGAAGGTAGTAGCCAGGTTGTAGAACATGAGAGGACTGGAGTCCTCACACAGTAGAGTATGTGGTTAACTGCGGTCACCAGTTGGTTGACAACTGTTTCTATTGCTGATTGAGGAGTCCTCGTCATGGCTCTAGAGATGGGTGATTCTATATACATATTATATTCGAAGCCGTTGGCATGCCTGCCATGTTACCATTACCTATATGGGCCTTGATGACCTACTCGCAGTTAACCCAGTGTATCGCAGTTCTCGCGCTGCGATACCTCCGCTTTGGGGGGTGCTAAAGGAGTGCCCCTGCGGCAGAATAGTGTCTAGAGGCCACTTCTTCACCTGCCCCCTTGCTACCTTTAACAACCCGCTCGCCGGCAGGCTGGACCCGAGGGCGTTCTGGTCCTCTTTCCAACTATTCAGGTCCAGGGCCTCCCAGATCGAGCTCTGGGCCAGGCGTGGGATGCCGCCACGGGGCGCCTTATCCCAACGTTGAGACCCCTTCCACTTCCCCCTCCGTATGTGACCCAAATCCCACAGGGGCATCGACCCCGACACCGATTCGTCGGAGTTGGAGTCGGAGCTGGAAATCAACATCCCCGGGTTCGTACAAGTGTGAACCTCCCATTCAACCCAGGACACATAACCCCCACCCCAACAGCCCCCTTGGTTTACACCGGTTTTGCTCCAGTGCAGGTTTTTCCTCCGGCGTTACTTGTATATAGGTAGCTCAGTAGCGATTGTTCGCCATCGTGGGCACGACCTCGCACCCTCAGCGGTGGACCCTGTTGAAAAATAGAATACCTCCGCTTCTCCTTCTGATTGGTCCGCTTTCTTACCCCAATTGGGGCCTTCCTATCTCTTGTCTACTGCGCCGTCTGTGGGGCAGCCGCTGACCCATTGCCAGCTGTAACAACATAGCCTTTTCCTACTGTACCAACCTTTCCCTCTTTTCTTCCTCGGGTTCTTGGAACAGACCAATCAGAGGAAGAGTTGGAGGCATAAACCAATCGGGGGTGGTGATCCTGAGCAATCGCCTAAGCCAACACCGGTCATCCTCTCAGCCCTACGAAAGGCCAGGGGCATCAAAGTGAAAGAAACCAACGCCCTCGTCTCCATCGCCGAAAAAACTTTGTGCTGCGGTCGAAAACGTCGAGAAGAACCGCTCTGGACAGGTCGAGAAGACTGTCGCCAAACCCCTCATCTCGAAGCTTCACTCTTTCCTCAACCAGGAGGTCTGACTGGCAGACGGTCAGCACCTTTCCTCCCTCGAATAACCTGCTGCTCCAACGCTAAAAGCACCTTCTAGGACGGTTGTTCACAGTCCACGATCCACAGTCCTCTGCTAATCACCACGGATCACGTACTTACGCGCAAGCGCTCAAGGACCAACAGACCACGATTCCCAACCCACCAATTAGTCGGATCGACACTACGGGTCCCTCAAAGACAGCCGCCCCGGACCACTCAGAGACGCCAAGCTGAGGCTCCCAGCCAACGCTTCTTCCTCAGAGTTGACCCACCCCAACTGGAAATTGGCGACCTCCGCCGGCATTATGACCTCGTTGTGAAAAGAGATTGGCTTTCCACGCGCCGACATCTCCAGAATTCTCCCGTCCAGTCAGATTTTTGTATTGAACTTTCGAAGAGCGCTCTCGGAGGTCAACTTTCCCAGAAGATTGCGGCCCATTGCCTCCTCATTGAGCCCGAAACAGTCACTTATGCTTATTTCTTATCTAATTGTGCCCGAAAGAATCAGGGCATATGATGGCAGCAATCGCCCAACAGATCCCCTCGTCGCTGAGGAGGTTGAAGTGATCATCAAACAGAAAGCGCAGGTCCACCCCTTAACACGCCGGGTCCCTACTTCGTTATATTCAAACACAGGGTCCCTCCCTTCTCGGTGTTTGGTTCTGGCCCAGCCAAATACCTCACTTGGAGAGCCCGTCTATACTTGCACTAAGTGCTTCGGGTTTTATCAGGCCGACAAATGTCGGTACAACCCAGTCTGCGGAAACTGCAGCGGCCAACCCCGGGATCAATCAATTCAATTCAATTCTATTTTTTCGGCCGGTTCCACCGCTGGGGGTGCTGAGTCGTGCTCATGGTGACGGCGGGCAATAGCTACCTAACTACTCTATATACATGTGCCACCGGAGAAAAGCCCACACCGGGGCAGAACTGGCGTGGGCAAAGGGAAACATCGGGGGGTTGCGTGATGTGTGTCAAGAGTGGATCACCCTTGCACGACCTTGGGATGTGAATTTCAAGCTCACGGATGAACAACGAAAGGGAGTATGAAAGGCCGGCGGCGCGGCCTACCGAGTGGCTAAGAGGGCCGGCCTCGGGTCGGCCCCGAAGGTTATCCATGACCAAAGGACTATTCGCAGCAACCAATTCAACCGAGCCCTGCTCTAGACGAAGAGCAGACGCCCGATGGTCCGCTCCCCCAATTAGGGCCTCGGCTTCCCTTGAGTGCCTCCCCGCCTCTAACGGCCCTAAACCTTCCCCTCTTTTCTTCCTCGGTTTTCTGGTTTAGGCTAATCAGAAGAAGGCTTGACGGGATAAAACAATCAGGAGTGGTTATCCTGAGCATTCGCACACTCAATACCACGATCTCCCTCCGCTCCCCGCGAAATGGCCCCCTCTAGCGTTGGCGTTCTCGCGGCGCTCCGGAGGACCTGTGATCAAAAAGTCAAAGTTTAACGCCACGATGTTGGTTGTCGAGAAGCTACTCTCCGCGCGAAAAGACGTCGAGAGGAATCTTGATGGCAACTGCAAGAGGAAGGTTGGGAAGCAGCTTATCACGAGGCTTCACTCCTTCATCCAGGTTTCGATGGCCAAGGGCCCCCAGCCCTCCTCCCCTCCTCTTACCCTCCAGAGGAGTCTGCCACTCCATCAAACCGCGTAGAATCCTTTCCCGCACGAGTCCCCCCACTACAACAGGCAACTACAGCAGCCCGGCTGAACAAACGGCTTCAGGTTCCTATGCCCAGGCAACTCAGCAACCCCCTCAATCAGGGGCCACCTCAGGTCCCACCTTCCCCGCGGCTAATACCGTGGTCTATCGGAAGCACCAACCGCCGTGCTTTCCTGAGAGTGAACAGGAGCAGCCACGACTAGCGGAATGCGACACCCGCTGGCATGATGACTCTACTGATCGAAAAGGTCGGCTTCCTGAGAGCGGACATTACCAAAGTCTATCCGGTTAAGTCAGGTTTTTGCATTAACGTTTCGAAGAACTCGCTGCGTGAGACCCTCGCCCGCAAGGTCAAGAGGCTGGGTACACAATCGAACCCGGGATGATCACCCACGAATACCTTACATCCTGGCCGACGACGGTAGCCGCCGCGCAACAGACCTCGCTATCGCCGAGGAGGCCATCTCCGTCACCAAACAGAACGAGGCGAGCGCTCACTCAGTCAAAGAATCTCCTGGTATCTACCTGGTTGTTCTACGCTACAAGACCCCTCCCTTCAGGCCGTTCGACTTTGACGCAGCGATTTACTCAAGAGGAAAGTGCGCATCTACACATGCGAGCGATTCCTCGGCTTCCACCACAAGGACAATGCCGTTCCAGCGCCCGCTGAGGACCAACGCAAGGTGGTCAGGAAGGCAGTCAGCGCCGAATACAAGGAGGGCAAGAAGGCGGCTTTGACCGCCATAACCCAGGCCAGAAGCTGAGGACACGGTTATCCCAGACGCCCCACAAGTACACCTCGGGGCCCCGGGCTCTCTCCCCCCCCCCCCACGGGGAGGACGCTGCGCCCCCGGATCTTCGACCGACGGCCCCAGGCCGGGCCACGACAGCGCCTTCCACATATTTCGCCCCCCGGGAGGAGGTGAGCGACCCGTTCCGTAAGTCATTGGCTACTGCGACCGCCAGGACCCCCCCCAGAGTGGTCATACCAGAAGTGACCGATGTTAGCCGCAAGTGACCACGGTGTGGTCACCGTTGACCTACCTCGGTCAGCCCGGGCTCCACTGAGGTCAGGGGCACACTTGACCTTATATAAGAGCCATGCTCATTCACCTTCACGCGTGTGTAGTTTAGAAGGTAAAGCGTTGTTATTCTGCGGCACCCATTGTGCTTGACAGATTCCCTCAGGGCCGCGTGTTCTGCAGGGCAACGCCCAAGTAAATACTCCCATCCACATTAACCATTTTCTTTTACATCCAACAGTACTCCAGGAAATCTCCATGCCCCGAGGAGAAGCATTGCCGGGAGAACTTCTCGAGGAACGGTTTGGCCGCGTGCCTGCCACCACCCCCGCATATCTGAAGGGAGCCAAGCAACCTTCTTCTGCTTCCTGGTTTTGACCAATCATAGGAAGGCTTTGCGGAATAAACCAATCAGGAGATGTTAACCTGAGCGTCCGCACCCTCAACACCTCGCCCTCTCTCTGCTCCCCGTGCGATGGCCCCCTCGAGTGCCGACATTCTCGCCGCCCTCGGGAGGGCGCGCGAAGGGAGGGTCAAAGAACTCAATGCGATGACTTCCGTGATCGAGAAGCTGCTTTCCGCGATCGAGGATGTCGAGGGAACCTCAATGGCAACATCGAGAAGGTTGGGAGACCCATCACCGAGCTTCACTCCTTCCTCATTTAGTCTTCTCTCACCCAAGCATCGGGGCCTTTCCCCCCCTCTCTCTCAGAGTGCCCGGGACCTGCGCCGAACCGCAACTCATTCCACTAAGATCTCTCTCGGCGGCTACGACCCCCATCCAAGCTAATCAGACCTCGACACGCTCATACACCCAGGCAGCTAGGCGCGGGACCCGCACTCTGCAACCCAGTAATGGGGCTTCTCCAACTAGCCCTTCCCTCACGACGGTTAAACACCAAAAAACCCGGGAGGGGCCCAGCCGTCGTGTCTGAGTTGGAGATACAGGTTTCCCAAGCCGCACGGGGATAATTCCGACCTTGGCACAATCCTTACCCCTCCTTCCCTTTCGCCAGCACGAGTTTTCCCCCTCGACGCAGGGTTTTTTCCCCAGTGCAACATGTAAGTAGTCGAGATATTGGCGCAGTTGGAGTGCATTGCGCCTGGATAAACCTGTTGTGGCCCGGAGGTCGTCGGTTCGAATCCGGCTCCCTCCACCTCGTACTCACCTGGTCTTTGACCGCGATCAACCCCAACTTCCCCGCTTGGGCTAGCGGGACAAGCTACTCAACTGGGCTTCGACCAGCTCAACCTCCCATCTCCCCGCTTGGACCAGCTGGACCAGCGGGCACAGGCTACGGGCGGGTTTTTCCCCAATAAAGGGTTTTTCCCGCACAATGTACTTAGCAACCTCTTGCCCGCCGTCGCCGTGGGCACGACCTGAGTACCTAGATATGGTAGATAGTGGTCGAAATAATACATACATACATACATACCTTCATGTACATAGTCCAGTAATGTAGCTTTTGCTCGCTGTCTCCTTGAGCACCACCTAGGGCCGGTCGAAAAATAGAATTCAAAATCTGGAGAGGGCACTCGGCGTTTCTTTGGGGGGTTTGGGGGGAGGCCGGAGCCACGCCCTATTACCAAGGCACTTGAACTCCCGTTGAGGTTGGGCCCAAACCGTCAGCCGCCTGGTGCAGGCAGGAGGTCAGGCAACAATCAGGCAGCGATAATGTGGTATTAGACCTCCTCGCTGAAAAAGGTTTTAGCTGCTGACGAAAATCGTTCTTGCATGCAACTGCTCTTCAATTGCCCCACTTTTCACAGTACTTATTCTCAGCAGTTCAGCTCTTCGTGCAGCAAGAGCAAGGAAAATCTTGTCCATTTAATGCATGGATATGGATGCAACTTTTAGAATTCTACGCACCTCGTTCCTTGTGTCCATCTTGATTGTCAACCTCAATTTTAGTAAAATCTGATACCGAAATGGAACATATGCACCAATATCCAGGAGTTGATCTTCCATTAAGATATATTCCCTACTGTGATCCTTTGCGCTCGGGTGACTTCATACGTGGAGTTCCCTTCTATGTTTCCGGATCAGCACAATCCTTCGATGAGACCAAGACCCCTATCCTGCCTGTTAAAGAAGTCGCAATGATGATGCTCATGGACGCACTGACCGACAAACCCGACTGGCACAACAAGGTTCAAGACGAAACTGTTGTAGACAAATGGCGCCAGGAAGCATTAAGCCAGGATGAGCAGGAGCTGTGGACTTACATTGTCCCACGGTCAGTGCTGCAGAATGGCTACTTTCGTATACCAAAGAGAACGCGATTGATTTCAGAAAAGGCGTTTAATTATGTCAGTAAGCAAGCCAGTTCTAACTTGAACGAAGCCGCTGACATTGGGTGCGGAGGACAGTGTATCCAAGAGTTGAAAATAAAGGCCGAGTTCTTTCGTCAAACTGGGCTCATCTATACCTTGAATGCGGATGCCAACGCAGTGATCAAGTCAGATAGCCTGGTGGGTGCCGACCTTCGAGAACAATTTCAGTTCGCCTTCGAGAAACTACAGGCAGAACAGCAGGCCGATCCTTTGTGGCATCCCGATATGTGCGGTCGGCCCATGTCCAAGACCTGGTTCATCCATCTTGGTACCCGTTTATTTATGGTGAGTGAGTCGGCATCTTCCATCGTTTTTGCCCGTAAGAATCTAGCTTCTGACAACCTTAGGCAAAACTAGGTTTCTCCGGGAAGAGGTAGTTGGAGTCGAGGATTCTATCGATGAATGGGTAGGGAAAGGAGAGCCAATCGATCCATTCGAACCAAGCAGTCTCCAAATCCGCCAGCGTTGGGTACCTGACTACAGGGAAGCAGATGATAGCATTTTGTGGTCCGAAAAGTATCAATGGCTGCCGGCTAACGTCTCGTTTCAAGAGAATGGTACTGTCAAGTTCACAAGCTATATCAACAATCTTCACCCAACCAAGCATGTTGAGATATACCGGCTGATCGAGCGGCTCATCGACATTGCTATTCCAGCTTGGGATCAAATCCTCACTCCCCTGACGCCTGAAGGCGGCCGCCGGTGCTGCATCACACCTCGCCGGATTGACTTGGGACCTGAAGTCGAGTAAGATCAGAGGTTTTGTGTTGATTCGAGCCTCAAGGCTAACTCTGAGATGTAGGGATGAGAATGGAGACCAAGTTGAAGACCTGTGGGAAGATCTTAATCTCGAAATAATTGCCGCATATGAAGCTGAACATGGAGAGATCAAACCGTGGGGCAGTGATAATCCAGAAGAAAACCTGTCCCGCCGTGACAAAGAGGAGCTGCAAGACAAGGAAGCGCGATGGGCTCGAGGGATTGCACGGATAAAATGGAAAAAACTTCGAGAGCCCAAGCTTCCCGAGCCTGAGGAGTTCCGGCCACCCAATTTCAGTGCCGGCTCAGACCTTCGCAAGCAATACAAGAATTCAGGGCTGCAAATAACTGTAAAAATGGTTTCTATTGAACTGACGCCTGAGATCTCGGAGTTCGAAGAAGGTGGCTGGCACGTAAGTTGTCTGAAATATTCTGACTTGGGCGATATTTTTTCTTGGTCTACATGTATGCATTCGAGGACACTTTTTGCGGATGATCACCGATGAGTAAAAAGAAGATGTGCAAGAGCGCACTGCCCAAGAACAGCACGAGTTTTACGAATATGTTTGCGGAACGGCCTTAAGAGGTGGCCCAACTACCCAAGCGTACGGACGTGTCGAGACGCGTTAAGGTCGTTTCCTCGCCTTCCCTAATGTTATGTACGTCATCGAGCTCACCCAAACATATGTGAGTGCTCGAGTTTTCCTTCTGACCTAATCCATTTCTGGTACCCAGGCAGCATTGTGTGTCTAGTTTTAGCCTCAAGGACAAAAACCAAGCCAGGTCACAGGCGCTTCATTGCCCTTTGGCTGGTCGACCCGTCGCAGCGTATCATTTCCACGGCGAACCTACCTCCACAGCGCTTTGACTGGTGGGCCGAGGCTGTATGTGAGAAGTTTCTCTCAACGACTAAGACCATGTCAATTTCTTCACCCCTTCAGCAGTACAACTACGAAGAGAAACCCCTGGCGACCAATGATAGAGTGTTGCGCAGTGTTTTTGGATCGTCATACACTCGCCTGCCGGTGGAGATCAAGGACATGATCTTGACGGAATGTGAGGAGATGGAGACGCTAATGACTAGGGAGGAAGCTGAGAAGCATGTTGAACAGTTGATGGATGAACGTACCATTTTCGACGCAGACGAGGTAGATCCTCTTGGTACATGGGACTACAACTTCTGCGAGCACTAGCTGTATATTATTCTTATTCTATTTTTTCGACCGGATCCACCCCTGAGGGTGATAGGTCGTGCCCACAATGACGGCGGGCAATAGCTACTAAACTAACCTATATACAAGCAACACCGGAGGAAAAGCCTGCACTGAGGCAAAACCGGTGTAAGCCAAAGGGGGGGTGGGGGGGTTGTGTGTCCTGGATTGAATGGGAGGTTCACACTTGTACGAACCCGGGGATATGGATCTCCAGCTCTGACTCCGACTCCGACGAGTCGGTGTCGTAGCTGTATATTGATCAGTAGCAAACCGTGTCTTACTTTTCTAGCGTAACGGGGAACTTGGTCTGGTGCAGGCAGGGATCGACAATGGGTCAAATGGGTTAGATGATAGCCACTGACGATGTGGGATGCACGACGAACTCAATTAATACGTGCAATAATCTTTCTCGGCCCTCAGTGTCCTTGTGTTAGGAGAGGAAAAACCAAAAGAAGTCCTTCATGTCCGGGCAGCTTCCTTTTGTGGAATCCTCTTGCCCTCGCGAGTGCCTCGGCCTACCAGCCTTTTCAGGGGCCTCGACCTCCTGCCTGGGTCATCTGGCTCATTCGGCCATGTGGCTCCATATATCTTCCGCGATCAACCAAGTATTTGTGTCGTTCACGCTATATCTTTAGTGTCCCTTTTGTTGACAGTCGGGGATACGCCTTTACTTGTTTCAATGACTCGGCATGAAGATGCAGTTGTAAGTTCTTATCTCTTCAATTATCCATGAGCTTTGTATATACATTTTAAACTGAACACAGCCTTTTTTATATACCATACACAATTTCACAACAATGTTCCGAAATGCCCAACCATTAAACGCCTGAAACTCCTAGATAACTGAAAGGTTAGTAACAAACACGAAATGACCTTTTCCGTTTCACGGGATTGGCTCTAGCTGGCTGGGATCGACACGCTGAGAATACCGCCTTACTATCGGCGGCTTGCCCGTCTCAGCGGCTGCCGTTACCACCGGGAGCTCGGTTTCGTTGAAAGACGGCCTCGAGAACCGATTATATGCGATGAAGGTGTCGGCTGTGAGGCCAGGTGAGGCATTGACAGGCGGAGGAACATTGAGTGATAGCCGGCGAACCTCAACTCCGTCATTGCGCACAGGCTCGATACCAATGAAGTGGTAGATGATGCTGAGGATTGGGATAGACAAGCCATGAGCCACGATGCAGAAAAATACCATGAAGTAGACAATGGGAGGAAGGATTCGGACAAGGCGGTCGAGTTCTGGGTCGCCCTCGCCAGGCTTCGGAAATAAGTGCCTCGAGTGCTCGGCATAGAAGACTGCACCGATACCGATCGGGCCAAAATAGCCCATGAACAACGCTTCCTTCCAGTTGTAACAGACGCGAGGCATGAGTTTGTATGACGCGAGAATGATGGGGATACGACGGAAGACCAAAACCAAGAACCCGAGTCCGAACAAACGGCCCCAGGTGAGACCAAGCTCGGGCTGGTTGAACTCTGACCAGGGAATAATGGCACCAATGTACATGAAGCCGGCGAAGTTAAGGAGCATGTCAATCGAGGGATTGACTTGATCGTGACGCTCGTCGGTCTCACGGAGGATTTCACCATCCCAGTTCATGGCGTTGCCCGCTGCAAAACAGGCCAACAGGTCATTTGTACCAAGCAAGCCGCAAACGCCCATAAGGAAAAGCTGGTGCCGTAAGCCCGTGGAAAAAGCGGACTGTGTCAGCAAACGTTTTCATATGTCTAACATGAGAAGGCAACGTGGAACAATAAACAAGAGTAAATCTCAAAGCAAGCTGTGGGGGTATCGGGATGCTCACGCCAATGCCAGTCGGGAAAAGCAGGTAGCTCTCCATGTCAACCCATTTCCTGCAGACTCATTAGCTGTTTGTTGATTCGTTGGAGTGGCCTCATAAATTGTACCTGCGAAGCGCAAACTTGAGGACGCGGCCGCCAATAAATCCTATCAGCGCACCGATGACGACGGACATGGCAATCACGTAGAGCCAGGTCTCGACGACCCAGTTCTTGATGGCGACGCCGGCGCCACCGCCGAGACGCCCAACCTCTTCCGCAGAACGAGCGACAAGCAGCAACGGCTCGACGCTGCGCTCATGGTGCGCAGGAATCTCAAAATGCTCTGCGCCCTTGAGATGCCGGAGCAAATACGTCGCAAGCATCAGGAACGGAAAGCCAAAGCCGTCATTGGCGCCAGCCTCTGCTGAGATGATCTCGCGCAGGTGCCGAGCAACGTATTTGTCGGAGAAGGGGCCCTTAGCGATAGCCTGAGACAACACAGGATCGGTGGGGGTAAAGCACGACGCGATCACAAGAGCAGATAGAAACGGCAGATTTGGGATGGCAGCGAGTAAGCAGCCTGCTGTGCAGAGCCACATGGCGGTCATGATGGGACCCAGGCACAGGAGGAGGTCAAGCCAGTGCTGCCGGGCGTAGCGCTCCGGAAGCTGGAAACCCGCTATGATGAGCTGCACGCAGATGACGACGCGCGCCAGGCCCAGTGTGATGGTCGATGTCTGGCCCTCAACTGCTGGCCCCCATCGCTCGCTATCCAGGAATTTCGCTGCGATGGGGCCGAGGGCAATGCCGACGACCATAGCGGGAACTATGAAGAGTCAATAATCATTGGCTTTTTCACTACAGTTTTACCTATTCCGAGGGAAATGAGGAAATGTGAAAAGGGTGAAGGGTGTGGCGCACGAGCTTCGCCGAGAAAGAGGCGGTTCTTGATCAGAACCGATATGAGGCCATAGAGAAAATAAAGCCTCCTGGAAGACGACAACGTCAGTCTCACTGTCAAAACTGTGACTGATAAATGCATAGCATCGAACATGATTGTATCATGCACAAGAGATCTAACGATCAGTGTGGCAATAGGTCTGGGCAACGGCTCTACGCACCAAAGATGGCCACAACGATATTAAGCTCGCTGACATTCAGGCTTGGCATAGTGAAGCCAAGAAACGGTCAGGTTATTTTGGGCGCTGTGAGTTGTGAACCACTGCAGGACTCGATGGCAGGCGCGGGATGTGACGGTCGATGTTAGTTGGCAGGATCGACCAACAACAGCGACAGAAGTGGGTACGGGATCGACGAGAAGGAAAACGAATAAATGGAGCAAAAGAGGAGGAGTTAAGGGGCTTGGGAGTTGAGCGGCGGTGCAGGCTGATGACAGGCAGTGATATTTATACTAAAAAAAAGGAGAAAATGGAGACAAACATGGCAAAGAAAAGCCCGCACGCAAGATCAACGGCAGATAGGGCGTCGCGTGTTTCCGAAGCCCCCCACGATCCTTCGATCGGCAGCAGATGCGGAGAATGAGGCTGGTAACGCGGAAATGGGATGTCAGATCGCAATTCGTGGGGGAATAACAGGGCAATTCCATTCTCATTGCCCATTCCGTTCTCCATCAAACCCATGCCATACGGGGCCGCGGGCGCTTTGGGCTGCTGCTCGGTACAATATAGAGTACCAGAAACATACATACCGCGCTCCCAGTAAAGGTACACCTGGACAAGGGCTGGTCTCAGCAGTGCCTTGGCAGACTGGTTACTCTGTAGCGGCATTCTCGTGTCCAAGCTACCTCACTTGGCGGTTCCTGTTAGGCGCGTGGAGGTGTCCGGTACATACCCGAAGTATAAGCCTGTTCTGGGGAAGCGGGTAACGACAGGTACAGGCATGTCCACCAACGCCCCAAGCCTGGGGTCAATATCAGCGATCTCCGGACAATTCTGTTTCATCCGGATACCCGTTGGAAGACCGGTATGTTTTGGTACTGGCGCGAGATAAGAATCAGATTATTAGTGGATGGAGAACTCAGAGCTGGCTGAGGTTTAAGTCATGAGGAGTCGCTTAGCTTGCGAGCGTTCAGGACTCCACGAAGTCTCCTCCCTGGAACTGACCTCTTGCCAGAGCAACGTGGTACCACAAGACACGCACCTGCACGGAAGCCACAGCCACGCGATACACTGCGATACACTCTTGTTGTTATCTATTGTCTGCTACAAGCTTAGACACTTGTCACAGCGGCGGTCATGCCCATTTATGAGGGCAACTCTTCGCGGAAATCTCTGGGTCAAGGGCAAGGTTCCAGAAGGTAAACCCCAGAGTACGGCTCCTTCGTGTCGCGGGATGGCAACCGCAAGGACGGCGCTGAAAATGGGAGCAAACTAATGATCAAAGTCAAGAATTTGGCAGTCGGACCGCCACCGATTGGTCAGTTCTTCATGAGACCACAAATGGAACAATTTCGCGGCCAAGACCATGGTGCCGCCAAGAGCAGCCAAGAACACGCGGTCACTTACTTAGCCGCGCCTTAATGTCTCATGATCGGGAATGACACCGAGGCGTGACGCAACCATGCAACAAGGTCAACCCATGAACCCCTTTTGTAGATGTAGGTACTTTTTAAGAATGCAAAAGGGGTTGGTACCCCCGTGTCTAGCCTGCACTACCGACTCCATACTACGTTGTTCTCGCTGACAACGTGATGCCGAAGCGAGTGGTTCGACGATCCCCTCAAACAAACTAGATGCCAGCAGCTCTCTCACCATCTGGAAATCGGCAGTGGCCTAACTGGATGGCCAAGCTGGCCTTTTCGGGCGTAATACTCGGCCGCGTGAAAGTCCATTTAAGCCCGGCGATCCGTCTGGTATTTCTCCCTTTATCCGACAACAGACGAAGCTGAGATGTCCGAGCCGCGCATCTGGAGGCAGCTGGACGGCGGAAGGTATGGGCCATGTTTGCCTAAGCAAACGAAAGCTCGAGCCTGATATTGCATGTCCAAGCACCGTCTCCATCCTGTCTTGGGCTGGCAGTCACAGCAACAGAAGTCGGAGTCCACCATTTTCCTCAAGCTTTCTCGCCGATTCAATCTCGTTCTTAACCCAGCTCTGATTGCTCATGGCATCGGAGGATAGATGTCCTTAGACATCAACTCTGATTCATCATCTATAACTCATCAATTTCTGCAAGACTCGACCTGGGAAAAGCAAATGTCGGCAGTTTAACGTACCACCAACTTGAAGATGTTGTTCGTCCTGTACAATTCCGTAGTAAGCCCTGCACCTGTAGGTGAAGAGGATAGGCTCAGTTGAGGTGATAGCTAGGAATACATTCTCCATGTCGGAGTTAGTGTGATCCAACAACCTCAGACTCGACGACAAATGCCAAAAACCCTCCCTATCTAATTCGCTTTTCCTTCATGGGGGCGATGAGACATGGACATCACAATAGGGTATGAGCAAACTTGGTACAAGCCGGGTCTTTGGCTCAACTTTGCAAAGCGAGTTTACTGAACCCTTCAGCCAACAAACCACATCTGCCACATCTGTCAAGTCCGCAACCACAGAGTTAGTGCCTGCCTCATACCATTCTGCATCGTTCAGCACCCATGTATGGGGCTGTAATCGTGAAGGCTTCCGCCCGAAACTCTCAATTTGCGGCTTATTCTTTCTTGGATCCACAATGGCTTTGCATATCCAAGTTTGAATGGTTTCGTGGGAGCAAGCAGATATTATGAATCCAACTGGCGTTGCGGACTTGATGTGACTTTATCTTTGGAACAGTTCTACCAGTGAGAAACATCATCGTAGGGATCTCAACATGCCCCAAGTTATTCAGCACGATCCGAATGAAGTGTACAATATCTATCTCTCTATCGAATCATAACCAGTTGCCCCCAACTCGATACACATACCTAGACCACCACAAGATGCATCCAAGGTCAGAGAATGGTAACAGTTGTGTCAACCAACGATAATAATTGAAAGGTGGGAGTTACCCTGCAAGATTGTAGCAAATATCTGCGCGAGGTTCATGGCAAGACTCTGCAAAGGTAACGAGAAGTATTACAAATTGGACTTTCTCTAGGAGTTTGCTATAGGAAGCTTACTCCGCAGCCTCTACCCGACTCCAATGGACTGGGAAAGCAGGTAATGTGGGGACTGGAGTTTCTTTCAATTACAAACCAGCCGCTTGCAAACCGTCATGTCTCAGAGTAAGGTAAGGTTAGCATGCATGAGATACCTAGAGGCAATGAACAGCTCCTCAGGTACGTTTTAAGCCTGGGGATTAAGATTGGTTGCTGATATCAAAACTCATATGCATCCATCTAGTTACATGGCAGATGTTTTACGGCACTGTCAGAATATTGCGCTTTATCAATGATTAGAGGAAAATATTCTATATTTTGAATTGCCTTACATAACCTGCCTCTTTGCGACGGGTCGAAAATGCAATTCAATTCAATCCTGCCTCTTTGTATCTTCTTTGCCATTTACTCTGCAAACATGAAGATTCCATCAGTTAGAAGACAAGAGTTTTGAATGGGTCCCCGAGGAGGATGGCATACCAAAGACAAATGAGCCGTTATTATTCCCAATGCGCTCGGCAAGGTTGATATCCCGATCGACAAGCTCTCCGTCAATAGTCTTCAAGGAAGCGCGGAGGACCGGGACAGAGTCGCCTCCTTCGATGGCGAAGCTAATGTTTTCGGCGCTCTGAGAGAAGTTCACACCACCCCACTCGAAGTTGCCTAGCTGATAGTTAGTGCAAGTTGTCTCGTTTTCCCGGAGAGGTAATAGAGAAGACTTGCCATCATTGTTGCCAATCACGTTATCGAGATCAAACTCTGCCTCTACCGGGTTTCCATCGGCATCGAACAGCGTGGCCTTCAGAATGTGGCCATCCTCGACACGGATGTTGCTAGCAGAGATGTGAAAGGACATGTTGAAAAGTGGTTTGGAATGGGTGAGATCCGCGTCCCGAAACTTTATTCCCAGAACTACTAGCTCTGTGGTTTTACCACATGCTCTGCTCCTGAGGGAGAGGTTCTTGGGTATTTATGCTTTTGGAGGATACCTGATCCATATGCATGCTGTGGACCTTTTATGAAACGTACTTAGCATACCGCGTACCCGACCAAACATGCAATGGAGGCCTCCATCCTCTTACCCCTCCGTGATAAACAGGGACATAACAAAGCGGCTTGGCGAGGAGGGGAAGATGTGGAGAAGAATTACACATGTGCAGGGTCCGCAGATGAGATTGCCTATAAGGTGACGTTGGACTGAGCGCGCTTGCTACCTTTCCCAGTATTCAACTCATCGCCTAGCTCGGATTGCAGGCCAGTACGTGTTACACACGTGCTGATATAACTGACATGGTGTCATGATCCATGCATTCAGTCTGGGGTGATCAGAGCACTCGGAAAGGATCGAATTGCTGCTTTCCAAGTGAGTCGTGGCCGTGAGGGGTTGTTTTGGCGCTGCTAGAGACTATACATCAAGACGACAAGCCAAGACGGCAGAAGCAAGGCTGGTATAGAGAGCGATCGAGACCAATTGCAAGAGATTGAACATTTGGTAGTCAGTACGTGAGGATGTCGACACGGCACCCTTTTGATGAGTTCTGCTTCGCATCTCGCGATCGAGAGTCCATCCTCTGGCGTCCCTGCTGCTCCCAGACATGTAGCGTCAGTGAAGGGATTCATAACCCCACCTGTCCCGAGTCCTGTCTCGAGCCCCTCCAAACAGAAGCCCGGTCCATGAGGGTGCCGGGGCCCGGGGCCGCAACTATGCTCGACGATCCCTCGATACCGCGGATGGCTCCGACATACTATGCCCTGAACCACTTGGTAGTAGATTGGGACTGGCTAGCATCAAGGAGACTACAAGCACTTGGAAGATATCTTTCCAATCAAAGCCATCTTGCGGCCTGTGTTGGCAGTGCATTGGGACTTGTGATGACTGACAAGTGGAGAGCAATGGCGCCGCCATGCTGACGGGATCCAGTTGGCTGCAGATGTGGGGGGTAGGGATAGTGAAAGCATCTGAGTTGGGAACGCTGAGACGACACGTATGTCGACTCTAAATGGTTGCGATGGACAAAATGGCTGAAAAAAGGCCTTTGTCCCCTCGTCAGCGACGCAGATGCAGGACTTATGTTGATGAATGTTGTCCTAGATTGGGACTGCTGACGTCACATGCTAAGCTTAAATCGTAGCAGTTTGGTAAGGGCGGACCGTACAGGCAACCCCCCTGCCCTGCAACAAGCAACAGTTAGCACGGCTACGTTGACGCGTCGCAGCCACGACAAAGCGCCAACACCGCGGACACCGACTACCAAACGTCAATGCCAGCAAGCTCCAAACACGACAGTCAACAATTAGCATAACGTGAGCACTAATTGCCGAACCCCCCGAGCAACGACTGGAGCCGACATCCCTCATCTGATTCCCTAAATTGGCCTTACCTCGCCCCGCTTCATCATGTCCTCAGGACTTGACCTGGAAAAGCTGAAATGGGTGTTCCGGTCGAGACCGGACATCCTCACAGCCATCCAGCAGGCTGCAGGTATGTTGCGCTTGACGATTTCTAATGCCTTGTGCAGGAGTCGCTTATCATGCTTGGAAAAGGGTGATGAGGGCGTGGTTACAAGACGCCAGACTCTGGACACGTGGGAAACAAGCGGCTAACACATCGCGTCGGTGACGCCTCCATCGTCAGACACTCCCGCACGCACTGCTCTCTTCAACGAGATCGCAGACTTCGTGCACCAAAGGCTGGCGTTGGCCGATGTTCAAAACGAACCTGCGGCAAAGAGAAGGCGGGTGGACGCCGACCAGCCTCCGTCCCAACCGCACGCCAACGGTCATCCTGTAACCGGGAGCTGGAGTGCCGTCTCGCGAGGTGCCAGCTCGGCCGGTTCAAGTGCGGACGTCACTGTTTCGGAGCCAGTGTTGCTTGAGATCAAAGACATCTCCGTTGTGGTACCACAGCGTAAAAAGTATGACATCTGTTTTACTCAGAGCTGCCTCTTTGCAAAAGCTCAAGGGGCGACGGGTCCGGCGCCTGGGCTGGTGTATCCGTGGATCGAGATCGGTATGTTGATGTCGATAGATGAGAGTTACACGCTTGCCATTGCATGTGCAGAGCTAACTGATTGCGGCAACACAGAACATGCCTTCTTCCTGCCAGTCCCTGATAAGTCGCAGACGCAGTACAATTACATTCTTTTGCCACGCGACAGCTATCTCCCTACATCAAAGGCTTCAGGTGTTAGCAGTGATAGGCAGGCATCCCTAGAACCGCTTGTGTTCACGGTACCTGCCGCTGCACCGAAAGCAGGAAGCATTAAAGGGACGGCGGCCAAAACAGCGGAAGCTTTCGCCGAGTCATACAGCTGCCTTTTCCATTGGGCACTCACTACGTCGCTGCGTGCGGCCGGCAACGAGTCCTTCCAGCTCATATCATCCGATCCCCGAGTTTTCCACAGTCTCGTGAAGCAGCCCCATCGTCCTAACGAAAAGGCGGTCCATGTCAAGGCCTTCCGCGGGAGCAAAGAAGGATTTCTCTTTTTCCTGCCTACTGGCATTCTGTGGGGCTTCAAAAAGCCCTTGGTCTTCCTTCCACTCGATAAGATCGCCGCCGTTAGTTATACCAATGTCCTCCGGACAACCTTTAACCTTGTCATCGAGCTAGATAGCGACGTCACCGCTGGCGGCAACGCGACAGACAAAGAAATCGAGTTCGGAATGATCGACCAGGAAGATTATCAGGTCATCAACGAAAATTATGTCCAGCGACATGGTCTTGCGGACCGCAGCATGGCAGAGCAGAGGAGGGCAAAGCGTCAGCTTGCTGAGAATTTACGCAAGTCTACCAAAGCTGAATCATCTGGCGAGCCGTCTCAGAACGATGGCCTGACGGAGCTTGAGCGAGCGGCACGCGAGGCAGAGCAGAGATTGCAGGACGAGGAGGATGAGTTGGAAGAGGATTATGATCCAGGGAGTGACGGCGACAGTGATGGTGAAGGGTCAAGTGAGGACGATGAAGGTACTTATGACGAGGAAGGGTGCAATGAAGAGGAACTTGGTGAATAAGTACCCTATCCTACGGAGATAGTGTTATTCTGGTTCAATTATTCTTTAATGGGATGGCTGACTTGACTTGCTTTCGTATGTTTCAATTTTTATTTCATTATTCCGAGTTGACAGCAGTCGATCCTATGCCATTATTGCTTCGATGCAGTCTGAACGTCTGCTATGGGGTAGGGCTTGTCCCTTTTGGCTTTCTTATCCACAGCTACTATACATCAGAGCGAGATTATCTCGTTACTTCTCATTTTGCTTGAGACTGGGCCCTAAGCGCAGACCTTTGATATGGCCCGATGTTCCTTTCTGGTGGCCTTCAAGTTTGTTTGAGAGCCTGAATGCTGGAAATCGCTTTTTTATCATTGTAATTGTCATTCTAAGTCATTGAACCCTGCCGCATTCTAGAATCAGGTTTAACCACAGGAATATCCATTCTATTTCTGGGAATGACCTTTATTTGGTGGTCTGGCACAACATGCCATTATTCAGAGCCGGATGGTTTGCTCCTACTGTGTACACATTGCGTGCCGCCAGATACGGACGGCTTCCACGATGCAGCACTGCATGCGCAGCGTATGCAAGACTTCCACTCCTTACGCCCTAGCCGCAGCGTTTTCTCCGACCAAACGCCTGCCGGCGAACGAACTGGACGAGGCAATCTGCACAGAGAATGTAACACGCTTGCATGGCCAGGGGATAGAGACAAGTAAACGGTGCGTTCCAATGATTTGACCCTCTTACGGACTGTGCTTGTGTTTGGCACGGTTTTGTGGTCAAGGACAGTTTTGGAAGGGCGGTCACATATACTAGATCCCGGTTATAATTGTACCTACCAAGAGAGATGCGATGGGGCTGCGAAGGGATTTGCCCCGCAGCCCAGTTATGGCACACTTCGTCGACCCGCCGACGGTATTCTGCGGGGTTGGAACTAGGCTGCCCTCCTGCAGCTTTGCCAAGAACCACTGCCAATCAATTCTCCTTAGGGGGGATAGCGGCTGGTAGGGCTGAGTGTTAAAGGATCAAATCTCTGCATAAAGCCCCCGCGTAGCAAAACCCAAAGCAGCCTTGGGGAACTGATTGCCAACTCCATGCGGAGTGCCGACGTATCCGATTGTCCGACTCGAGAGTCCAGAGATCTTGCCGTTTACATGACCAAGACTTGGAACGCGACGTCGTGTGTGTGAAGCTGAGCTGACGTCGTCTGACATCCACGACATGGATTCTTCGAGAATTTGACATACTTCTACAGGTGTAGAGAGGGATTTGACGGTGAGGTGAGCGTGGATCTTTTACCGGTCAGCGAGGGCCAGGAGCTGGCCTGGAAGATTAGCTCCGGGGTCGAGTCCATAGCTTTGAGTGTTTGTACTGGCTGGTTCAGCACAAAGACCTGGGAAACTGGGGCCTTTCTTGGCTTCCAGCTAGCACATATCAAGTACAGCATGTATCCCATGCAGCTAGTTTGCCGTCTTTGGTAATCCGATCCTGGTCCCGACCCTGAGCGATACCTGGCTATATACATAATGTGTTTATGATGCAATGCTTGCTTGGCTCAGGAAGATGGATTGAGCATTAGCTTGTTTGCACTCCGCCGAGGAAACCAGACTTGCTGTTCTCTGGGGGCCTTTGGTGCGGTTCGCACTTCGCAGAGAACTACATAAGTCACGTTGTGGGTTTTGAGGGCGATCCGCAGCACCGCGCAGCCTAGGTGGCTCATGCTGTAGCCTGCCAGATGACGGGAACCACCCGACTGCCACCTGCTGAACCATTGGCCCACATCCCGACGGCAACGGATCATGGATCATTAGATGCGCAAGGACCGCAGGCAGCATTGTAGGCACAGGAAGGCGAGCTTGTGCACTACTACGTGCAATTCCCAGCTTACCATACCAGCACAGCAAGTCCTTTATGAGCGGTCAGAGCTGGATGGAACAGTTTTCTGTTTCTCTCTTGTTGAGTATATTTGACCACGTCGTGTCCTGCATCTGATTTGGTCCTATCTGACAGCTTACGGCCGCTACATCCAGGCTCATCATCCCTACGAGTACTCCGTGTCGAGTGGGTGCGCTGCCAAATGTCTTCGCGTGCATCTGCAGGACGGACCTGTGGGTCACGGATGAGCAAACCCTGGCGGATTGATTATTGCGAGCTTGTTTGTGGGTGGGAGATCATTGATGTGGTTGTGAACTTGTGGTGGGCCAGCGGGAGAACTGTCGTCCGTGGGCGTAGGGCTGGGCGGCTCCGAATGCTTCCCTGGTTGTGTGGATGCCGCTGTCTTTTCCGTGGTGTCCGAACAACCCGTCGCAGAACGGCAGCGCTGCAGCAGTTTGTGATGGTGGACCTAAGGGCTAGCAGCTGGCCTGGCCGTTGACGACGGCATCATGGTGTACAAACTGGAGTCCTCGATGTGCGAGGTTGGGCGAATGCTGAGGTGACACATGCTCCAGTACACTATTTCTCTACGCTAACTGAAAGCACCCTCCAGTTGCCAATCTCATGCCCTAGGCCGTGCAGTACGTAAGGAGCATAAGGCGTTCGGTCCTTGCTGGGCGGTCCAACTTGTACACACGTACGTGACTGGGGTTGCAATGCGACACTGCCTACGGATTAGCTAGCGCATTGGAGCGCTATCCTTGGGTCTTGTTGGGGAGGGGCTGGGGCGGGTTAACACTGCTTGCGTGTGATCTCCCTCCTGATTTTCAGGTCTGGGAGATGTATGGAAAAACACGCAGCGCTGTCCTACAAGCCCGTAGTGGCGATATAAGAGATTGCCCATTGTAGATGAAGCATGCCAAGTTACCATCTTTGTGTTTCGTTCCTCTTCGGTGTGCAGTGTGTGGGTGCTTTTATATTAGATGCAAGGCAAGGCGTTGTGGTTAGCAGAGGTGAAAGGTGAGATGCATCGTGCACACTGGCCGTTTTGCTCCGTGTTCGCCGTTTTTTCCCACACCCACGTCCATCGGGGATCAACCTGAAAGTGGAAGGCCCACACCCGCGCAGTTGCGGTTGCCCGTTCACACCACTCTCCTGCCCACTAAACCCCCAGCCCTACGAGCACAAAATCCACAAAACTCTCTCTGACCCCCTCACACACCGCAGAACCGCGCCCTTCATCAGCGCGGATTGGGCTAGTGTTTAAAACGCCGACTCCATCGCCGTTTCCTATCCGAGCTAGTGCTGCAGTAGGGCGGTTCATGGGGCCCACATCATCAAATCCGACGGAGCCTTGACTGCTGGACACCCTGCTGGACCCACACCTTCACCAACCAGAAGCTATCGAACGCATAGGGACCCAGAAGCCCTTCCCCGACACTGGTGACCCAACACTCATCTTCGTCCATAGGCGTGTGCGTGCCGAACCGCGGCTGGGCTGGCTACGGCCTCCGCTACGCTAGCATGGTCGCATGACAGCCCTTGGCAGTGGGCTGCTAGCCAGCGAGAAGGCAAGAAGTCCTAGCTTGCAAGTGAATTTCACTTTTTTGGCACCTGGAATCTCATCAGCAAGCCCAAGTCCTGGGCTCTCTCGCAGGTCGCTCGGATAGAGATCCGCCAATCACAGCGATCAGCCCTCGTAGTCCGCTTGGGCACTGGGCCAGCAGATACAGCTGTACAAGGCAGCGCCCGTTTTTTCTCGTCGAACACCATACTTCAGCACTTGGCCTGCTCAAAAATCGCTGTTATTCCGCCCTCTCGCCTCTGTTCCGCCTTTCCCGATTTTCAGTCTCCTGCCCGGGGTGCCTGCTTGCACACTGGACTGAGGTATCTCGTTGCTAGTTGCTCTCTCGCAACCCTCCCCAAATCAAGTGTGCCTGCAAGCCCCTTTTCGCTGGCCCGACCTGCTCCCTCCCCCTATCTCCCAAGGCTACGAATTACCTGGCCTGGGTAGGCTTCCACCTCCAGCTCAAGCTCACAAGTGGCAGTCGCCGAGTCATCGAACTTGTCTGTTCACATACACAAACGATATAGCGACAGCCGATAGCTGCCATCACTGTGCACGTCTGCAATCGAGCTGCACTGTCCCTGTTCTCAGCCAAGTAAACCAGGAGAGGCGAGCTTTCCGTTGGTCTCGGCGTGAGTGGCAACCTGAGCCTCCTAAGGCGGCGACCGCCTTGCTTTCAGCTGAGATCTGAGCATTCCCCACAGCCAGAGCCGCCAGCCGGAGCGGTACCTACAAGTTACCATCTCTCGACTTCTGTCTCGCCTTGGTCCTTGGCCCTGGTCAGCAGCGAGGATACTGCATCGTGCTAGCGCAGCCTGGCCTTGAGGTTTACACACTGTTGGCAACTTAGCTGTTATGGCGGCAATCCCATCCTCCGAGTCCCGCTATGGAGGCCGGGCGGGTAGCCCCGGACCTCCTCTCCCACCCATATCAGTTATGTCCGACGAGCATCCCGGCACAAGACCTTTTCCTTCTCTAACCGGCCGAGTTGTTCCGAAGCCTGTCCCCATCTGCCTCGTCTATTCCCATGGCGATCCGCGGCGCAGTTCAACACGAAGTTCCTCCGCCGTTGCCCCCGCCGCGGTATGTCCCTCCTGACTGCCCTGTCTGTCCGTCCCTGCAGGGCAAGGAAAGGATGCGACGGGAGGAGTACGGTGCGTCCGATACCGACTCGTTCGGTCTCAGCTTTCGGCGACCAGACTTCTCGCTCCGAAATGAACCTCCAGATGATGGATATCACAGCTTGGACAGCACCCGGTTGGTTCTGCTCAGACCCGAAGGGTGCTGACTGCAACGTTGTTGCTAACATGTTTCGCATACCCAGGTCTTCTAGTGCTTTCCTCCCGCGGTTCGGACATCATGCTATGAAGAGCTTGCGTCCAGGCATGGACACCCGTGACTCGATCGACAGCTCAATGCTCGAAAAACTGAACCGCTCCGTCGGACGATCGGGTTTGAGCACGTCTCTAAGCGACCTTTCGCATACCCGCCATATACAGCCTCCTCCGATAACGCTTTCGCTGCCACATCGAACAAAGCAGCCCTACCTCGAGTCAATTTTCACGAATTCCTCCGGCGGTTTGTCTGCGACATCCCCCCTAGGAGCGCCGTTCGGGCGGAGCTCGTCGTTTGCTGAGGGAACCGACTATGATCGTGCCCCATACAGGAATTTTTCCCGGATACATGGCGGGTCTGTCTCGGAGGACCGCAATGGCTGTGCATACACTGGCACTGATGTTCGAGATGATGACGTACACTTTCCCATGGATGACTCAGAAACGACTCGTATGCGTAGTTTGCACATTGATGACCTATGGGCTAGTCGTGGCGGCGAGCGCGAAAGGGACTGGGATCGGGATAAGGATTGGGAAAGAGATCATAGGGATCGGGAATACTATCAACCGGGTCAGAAACGCCGAGCATCATCTCCGCCTGGCGATGAAGCAGGGCTGGGTAGTGATCCTCTGCGGAGGAGGGACGGGGCGCTCGCTCGGAGCTCGCCAACTCCTCGACTGCTGATGCCGCATAGCTCGGCCCCGAGCATATGCTCAGTTAGCCGTAGTGGCAGCCACACCAACTATCTCCCAACTACCAGCAACCTGACGGGTATGGGGTCTTTTGGGCGCCGTTCGCCGAGTGTTATCTCTCCCGGTGGCCTATCTCCCACTGATCAATTGAACTGCTCCAACAACTATCCTACTCCTACAACACTATCCGCTGCGCCGCATGCCCTGACCGGGAGGACCTCAACAGCCTCTTCACCTCATCAACGCACTCATAGTGAGCAACCTTTGCTGGCCGGCCGCACTCCTGTTTCGCCTCGGAAACTTCCTGAAATCCCCAAGAGTTCTAGCACACTGTCTGCCAAGTTGAAAGGACCGTATATGTGCGAGTGCTGTCCCAAAAAACCGAAGAAATTCGACACTGAGGAAGAACTCAGGTACGCATTCCCCTTGCACTGTCTTCTGTTAGCTTACGGGCGCGCCATACTAACCACTTTCTCTGTGTAAACTCTCCAGAGCACATGAGGCTGAGAAGCAATACGAATGTTCATTCTGCGGTAACCGATTCAAGAATAAAAATGAGGCGGAACGGCATCAAAACTCCCTCCACGTGCGGCGGCATAGCTGGTCATGCGCAGCTTTGACCAGCTATGAGCGAGCGTTTCATGAAAGCACCACAAGACCTGGAGAGGTGGACATTTGTGGTTATTGTGGCAAAGAGTTTAACAGGACTGGTGGCAGCCAAGGTGCCCAGGGCGGTCTGCGTGCAAGCGAACAGGATTGGGAAGAACGCGTTCGCCACCTGCAAGAGATACACAAATTTCGCGAGTGCAACGCGAGCAAGAAGTTCTACCGAGCAGATCATTTCCGGCAGCACCTCAAGCACAGCCATGCAGGCACAAGCGGGAAGTGGACGAACATGCTGGAGAATGCCTGTATGATGGAGGAGGAGCCTTCGGTCCAAACAAGATGAGACTCGGTCACGACCCTTTTAGGGTTTCCCTGGCCCTCGTTCACTCACGGACGCGAGGTTTTGTCCTCAGGTTGGCTCGTAGCACGACATTAATCCAGCTCGTAGACTGGGCTAGCCTGCCTCTTGACGGCGGGTGGAAAAGAAACGTAAGACTTCCGGTACTCAGCAATTATATGAGCCCGCGTCCCTGTCAGTCACAGTTAGCCGACCAAATAAGCCGATACGACATGCAAACAACCAGCCGTGCCTCCAGTATCGATCTCCGAAACTTAAGGTCTCCGGCCGATATCTCGACCGCAAGTAGCGACGGATCAGACAGTCCCTGAACCGCCAACTGCATGGACAAAGGACATCCCCCAATGACTTGCAATAACAGCTTTCGTTAAAAGTTAACGAGGGATCAAGTTGAACGGCAAACATCTCGGGGGTGGAGTTTATGCAGAGTCGCGGCCTGGAACCTGCCATCTCAGAATGATGTGCCCTTTACGACCGTTCCAGGAAGACAAGAGAGTGCACTTCCAAGAGCATTTCTCTACTGTCCGGTTTTTTTTCCAAACGAGTTAAAAACGGGGAGCAATCCCACCATCTCATTCTTGCTTCAGCCTTTGGCGGCTCAGTGGCATCCGGGGCTTGCGCGCGCACTGGACAGGGTCTTGCTTTGTATTGCGTAGCCTCAGGATTCGTTGCTCACTCACGAGTTAATCGGTAGTTTGCCCGCCAACTTGGCTTAAATAAGGGCACTCCATGTCTCCAGTAGGAGATAAGACAGCTGGATTGGTTTCATGCTCGTTGCCGGTTCCTGTTCTATTGCTCCTCTCCCGTGCCGACCAACAGGTAGCAATCGTATTGCCCTTGAGAGAGCGGCATCCAAATCACGAGAAAGTAGCTTTGTAAGAGTCTACATTCAAGTTCTAAAGCATCCATCATTCTCTGGGCATTGGGGTGCATGCTGGGAAGATAGTGGATCATCTGGAACTTCGAAGTTAGCAAGACGAGCAAATATTTAGTGAAGCCATGGCGCCAGCCCCAACGATAGAAAGCCTTCGACTCTGGACTCTGTTACGGATCACCTAGGGTCAAGCACCTACGGCAGTGAATTCTTTTGCTTTCAACACTATCGATTCAATCACTTTTGCCTTTGGTTTCTCGCTGGAACAGAACGGTTTTGCGAAGACCAGATCACCGTTCCAGGTACCTGCCACACTCGAGGCGCACCTGTGGTAGGTAAAGTAAGGCACTTGAGATGTTAAGTGCAGCTTCTGTGATTGGCAGAGTACATACTCCGCTGGCAAAATCACTGCGGGGCACGTGTTTGGCCCCACTCAAGCCTGGAGGGGTGGGTCGACAAAGTCATCTCGGGACTTCTGAACCTCGGTGCGTCTGCAGCTGTCTCTGCTCGCGCGTCGCCGCTCGCGCTTGCCAACTGTCAAAAAAAGGATCAATTTTTTTCTTTCGTGGTGAAACTATGGGGTCAATCGATCAATCTACAAACGCCCATGTGGACAGCATCGTAATGCGATCTGGCCCTGAGGACGATGAGGTCTCTCCAAGTGCAGATCCTCGGCTTGGCGTTGGTGTTTTAGCTGTCAACCACTTGGCCGGTTCCTCGGGGGTTCCTGTAAGCCCCATATTAAAATGGACCCGTCGCAAAGCACAGAAGTTGGGCCGACTGACCAAGCAAGGTTGATGAAAACATTCCCAAGGGACCCTCGCGACAGCAGATCCTCAAGGCTATTGGATTCCTACGCTCTAGTATGGCGCTCAACCGAATCAAAGGTGATGATGAACTTTTCGTTGGAGGGTCCGTCCTGCTTGAAGCATCTTGGCCAAATAACGCGACTCAACTAACAAACACTCTAGGGTTTTTGGTGCCAACCGCGCCCGTCTCATCAAGGAACACAGAATCACGCATATTCTTTCTGTCATAGACCATACAGTGGATCGCGAAAATGAGGCATTTCGTCATGTGAAGCACCTGAGCATCGACATCGACGACATGGAAGACCAGGACATACTCATCCACTTGCCGAAGATTGTTCGCTTCATCGATTCCGGGCTCCGTGGCATCGACCCTTCCGATTCCTCAGCTGTTGCATCCCCTGGTGTGGTTCTCGTGCACTGCGCTATGGGCAAGTCACGCTCCGTGACCGCAATCATTGCCTACCTCCTTTGGAAGTATCCATACCGCTTCGGAAAGTCAGATCCGAACATATCAGCGAAGGAGGCTGTGTCGAGAGCCCTGGAGTGGGTAAGGGAAACGCGGCCCATAGCCGGGCCCAATGATGGTTTTATGCGACAGCTCGAAATGTGGTGGGACATGGGATGTCCAGCTGACAGTGATGATGCTGTGGAGAGGGAACCCGCGTACCAACGTTGGCTCTACCAGAGAGAAGTTGAGGACGCTGCACGGATAGGACGTGCCCCCGATCGTCTGCGGTTCGAGGATGAGGCGGCCACGGCCGAAGGAGACAAAAATGGCAAGATAAATGACACAAATGGAGGAGCTGAGCTGAGGTGCAAGAAGTGTCGTCGGGTCCTTGCCACCACTCCTTTCATTGTCCCACACAAGGACCGGGGTAATGCTGATCGATCTGATTGTCCCCATTATTTTATAGAAGCTCTTTCCTGGATGCGCCCAATCCTCGAGGAAGGCAAGCTTGATGGCCGGTTGGCGTGTCCCAACACTAAATGTGGGGCAACCATCGGGCGGTACGCCTGGCAGGGCTTCCGGTGCACTTGTGGTGACTGGGTTGGGCCAGCCTTCTCGCTACAGAAGAGTAAGGTTGACAAAGTTGTGACCGGGTCAAGACAGAACAGTGGTAGGATGGCTGGCATTTCGATCCGGATTCCTCCAAGACCAGTCCCCAGTCAATCAGTTGTTCCTGAAAATGGTGGGGATAAATGTAAGCAAAACCTCTAATGATAAAGATGAACATCAAAGATGTTTTCTTGATCTCGATATCTGTCAATATCCCTCAATTTCTCTTCCCTGAAGGGGCAGTTTTCCCACATAGATGTGCCTCTCGATGTCTGCTCCCATTTTGAGACGCCCTTTCTCAAAGGATCTCCAACAAGCCGGAGTTCCTGGGTTTTTATGTGGGCGGTAAGCCACTCTCCAATGAGAACCGCAGCTAAGAATGAAGACCTGGTATGAGTCGGGACTTGGACATGATGCATTGAACGTATGGAAACCGGCATGTCACTCATCTTGAGCCAAGCTAGATTTTTGCTGGTATAATAAATTCAAGCTTTCTCAAAGCCTCAGGTTAGATGTCTCCACGAGATTGGCTCGTGGGGATCCCGCAAATCCCGTCGGGGGATGGCAAGGTGGTACTCATGATGATTAGAAGAAACCGCAAGAGATGAATCCTGTTCTATCCAGGAGGCTCGCGGCTTTATGATAACTGAGAGAATTCTAACCACGACTACGGGGTCCTCCACTTTGCCCATAGAGGCCAGGCAACTCTTGTTCACTAGCCTAGAGATTCTGATCGCCGTAGTCCACGATACGATCTCTTTAACATCGCAACTCGTTCAAAAAAAATACACTTGAAATATCTATCATTTAGGATATACTAAAGCCACTGAACAAGGAAGAATCCCTCCTCGGTCACAGCCTCAAAATTTGAGCCTGAACCAAGTAAGCTATTTGATTGCCTCTTAGACTCGTCATAAACCGATATGAATGGCATTGGCTTACATTAATGTAGGGTTGAAGATGAATTGAAGATGTGACGTTAGAATCGTCTGCCCGTTTGAGTTGTAGCTTAAGATGGGAGATTCTTTGGTACCGATGGGAAGTAGTTTGGGGTTTTCATTCGTTCCAGATTATGCTTCGCTATCTCAGCTTGCCTTCTTTTGAGCAGTCTTTGTCGGTAGAAAGACCTGCAGTTGCAGATAAGTTAGCACACCAGGAGTTTCCAGGAGGTCAGCCGGTAGACAACTCTTTGAGTTCAAAAATGCGAGGTTCTTCTGCCTCTGGTGACTTCGGACTCTTATCATTGAGACTCTACAAACCTTCGGGTCAGTATTATTAAAGCCGAAAGAATGAAAGATTGAAGGATTGTGTGTAATCAGCCCACCTCGGAATTATCCTTTGAAATATCTGCTGGCTTCTTGCTGTTGTTGTCATCATTACCAGTCTTCTCGTCCGCTGAGTCAGACTTTCCCTCTTTTCCCTCATCCTTTTGCTTCTTTTTCTTTTGCTGCTTCTCTTCGTATTCCTTCTTCAACCGCTCAATCTCCTCCTGGAGTTCTCTTTGCTTCCGCTCTTCAATGGCAGCCTGGTTAATTTTAGGGGTGCAGAACCCCCGATCCTTGAGATGAGAAGGACAAACATGGAACCAGTCCTGGATGTCAGATCAATTTGATTAGGTCTGCAACGTAGGATGGATGATGCGGGGAGAGAGTGAGTTGTTGTGGGATTGGTAACAAACCTTTATTCCCTCCGAGTCCGTGACCAACACACTTGAACTGAGTTTGTAGCAGATGTCGCATGGCTTTGCATTGGACTCTGCCACCTTACGGTGGACATAGAGGTTCGGAAAGGACATGGCTTCTTTTTGCCTCTGAATCTCTGGTACTTGATACACACCTACAACAGGGATAAGGAGAGTTCTTGCCAGAGTTACGGCTGATGGTCCCGCTGAACGACCTGGGACAGAGGACGAGGTGGGGTTGGAGGGGCCGCGCGGGGGGGCGTAACGAAAATGATTTTCATCATATTACAGGGGCTTTAGGCACGTTTATTATTGTATTGAACTACGTAATGCCCGTTGTTAGTCGGGCCGTTGGTGCCAAGACAGGACAGGGCAGCGTAAAACCCGGACAAATCATCTCATAAAATCTGCAACATGATTCCTGTCGGCAATCATGGTCAAGTTCTCCATATCCATTGCCTCTTGATTTGCTGAGAGTGAGGTTAGCAAACAAGAAGCTCAAATTTCAACGGTCGTTAAGCGATCTCTCTAAGCAGATGCCATCATCCATCACCCTAATTGCAAACCGAAGTGGGGGGTTATGACGGGAGCATTTCCCCTAGCATGGAGCTTTGACCAGCGCAACGCCTTTTCCTGCTCCCAAGATGCCACTCGTTCGACCAGGATCGAAGCACGACTCCCATCTAAAGTGCTAAAAGCTCTTCGCAATGACAGCCTTGCGAAACACATCGATCCGACGCCCATCCACCATTATCATTATCACCCTGGCCACTGCGGCTGCGCTGATGGTCAAGTAGTTGACTAGCCGATCACAGCATCATCCGCATCATCCACGCCCGCCCCATTTCACCAACCTACGTGCGTTTTACTTGCATACATAAACTCCGTTGCTGAACGCTGTCACCTTCGGCCCCTCCCAACTCCACGTACCTGTGTGCTCCTTGAATACAACTCCGATCGGTGACCGACCCACTTGCTCCGAGCCGTGACAAGGTGTCTATCTGTCTGCGCCGCTCTTCTCGGAGATAGCTTAGGTACCCCTCCTCGGGCTGACGCTAGGGACAGTCCCCTCCCTGCGGTTCATTTTAAGCACTGACGGTAATAGTTGACCTACAACAGGCAGTCTGCCCAGATACGTTGCTGAAGGTTATCGAAGCTGTTGTATGTTGCGAAGCCAATGTCGCCCGAAGTCATACATCTGCCCAATGGGCAGAATATCACTGTGACACCTGTCTTTGCCGGACTCTTCTTCAAGTCGAACGAGCCAACTACACATCCAGGTGTCTTCCCCATTGGATGGACGATTGTGATTCACACGGAGGGAGGGATAGTCGAGACAGAAGACGGCGTCTCTGCGTTCGACAGTCCTCACCAAGGGCCGGACCAAGGCCCCAGGCCAGACTCGAAGACCCAGCTACATACCTTCACCAGGCCAACCCTGCAAAACGACAGCCTCTTCATTTCGTCCATATCCAATCCCTCCAACCAAGACTACAAGCCAGCTGCGAGCCCGACGCGCCAGATCGCCATGATGCTTTGGGTCACGCTGTACTGGTACTTCCATCAACCTCCACCACCAGCGACTGTGACGACAGAGGCGTCCAGGCTCACACCCCAGGCCGGTAGACCGCGGGGAGAGTGGCGTGTTCGAATAAAACGGGACGGCGTTTTGAGAGGACATGATTTAATGGCCAAGTTAGAGCGCATGGGGCTCATTGCCAGTTGCGACTCTTCCGTAGGAACATCGCTCCAGGACACTGAAGAGACGTGGGCCAACATGTTCGTAACGCAAAAGATGTTTTGGCAGATCCCGGGTCGCCTATTTCTCTTCTCCCGCCAGCCGGTTATGAAAAGCAATATTTCGTATCCCAACTCACCCACACAAAGTAGGCCAGAGTCGCCAACGCAAGGGGAGTTCTTATCACAGAATACAGCTGTTGATGCGGAAGGGCTTCAGGCCCTAGGGGCGCCACCAACTTCAAACTCCAGCATTCCCCCGTTTCTCCTGGGGCCCTTTTACAGCGGCTCCTACCTCCCAACCTATTACCCTCCCCCGCCGCTCCAGTACACGATCACCAACCATGTGCGACACCCTCTCAGGCCCAAGCCTCCGCGGATGGGCGAAGTGTTCTACACCCGCTTCATTCCTTCCATTGGACAGTACTTGTCGTTCCGTGTAGCTTCCTTATCACCAAACCCGGTGCCATACATGGGCCCCATCGGATCTAAGCCGCCTCCACAGCAACATCTCTGTACAATGTCGGATACAACGCTGCTGAAGGCATGGTTTTCCAGCCCCAGGGTCACTGCTTTTTGGGGAGACTATTCACCCACCTTCCTGACCAACGCTCTGCAGAGCAGACACAGCTTCCCTGTAATCGGGCTCTGGGACGGCGTGCCATTTGGATACTTCGAGATATACTGGGTGAAAGAGGACTTGCTTGGCCGCTATGCCGGATCGTCCATTGATGACTGGGACCGTGGGTTGCACGTTCTGATCGGCGAAGAATGGGCACGTGGTCGTGTGCAGCCTTGGTTGACGAGCCTTGTGCATTGGATGCTTTGTGCCGATTACCGAACCATGAGCATTTGCGTGGAACCAAGAGTAGATAATGCCAGGTCAGTGCACACACCAAAGAGAAAACGCCCTGAAGAGCATTGATCTGACTCCAAGGCTATTGCAGGTTCATTCAACATCTCGAGTATGCTGGTTTCACAAAGGAGAAAGAAATAACTTTTCCCCACAAGCAAGCCTGGTTTGGGCGCCTAAGAAGAGAGTGTTGGTGTGGCCCAGCATTGTGATTGATTGGATAGGCAACAGGAACCAATGAAGAGAAACTGCCACTCACTGGGGTCATTCAGGGGCTTTTGTGTAAACAGATTGGATGCCTGGCCTTGTGACATATCTCACTAGCACAACTTTCAGTCGACTCTATCATGACACTTTGTGTTGTGGGCAATGCTTCGTTCTTATTCGATTTAGCTGTTCATTCTACGAGACTGGGACGATGACCATGTTGTCACCGGTCGGGCTCAACCAGAAAGAGCCAATATGCAAGCACTGGCAAAGAGACAAACCCTCATGAGCTCCACGCTCTGCTGGCTGAGAACGGAGATCCTCTGTGGGTTGAGTCGAAACTTGCCTGCTCAATCTTCATAGCCATATCCTTCTTCGTCCTCATTGTCAAAATACCCATCCTGTCCATGACTATCGTGGTCTAATGTCTCATTCCCGTCCTCATCATCCTGGAAATCCGCGTATGTATATGCGTCGTAATCGTCGCCGCTCACGCCCTCCTTATCAGAGCTATCATTATCTCCACTATCGCCGTCATCATCATCACCAGGAGGAATGGGCACTTTCTCACAGTGTAACTGGAGCTTCTCAGTAAAGGACAAGGGTTTTTCAACCGCCGCTCCCCAATCTTGATCGGAATCGTCACCATCCAAGCTTGCGTCGGGCCGATCACTGGCTGCCGAGCTTTGAGAGATGTTATCATCATGGTCCTCATCACGTTGTTCATCATCTTCCTCTCCCTCGTCTTCGGACATCACAGTACGTTTACGGAGAGCACGGGTTAGTGTATCGTGACTGCTCTCCGCTTCTCCGTCATCAGAGTCCACAATCACCCTCCGATTACGACCGCTGAAACGGGCACATTTTCGGGGACCATCGCTTTCAGACTCTTCAGATTCAGAGTCCACGACCCTGCTTCGTGGCCGCTTTAAACGTGATCTGTACTGTTGGGGAACCGGATGGTCAGACTCAGCCTCAGAGGGAGATCCTCGATTAGTGGCAGAAGAGGATTCTGTGTTCGAAAACTCTGCGAAGTTCGCACCATCATCGGAGGGCAAGTCGGTCGCAGAGGTAACACCATCCTCGGAAGTTTCATCGTCTGTACTGGTACTGATTCTACTGTTCTCTTCATCAAAGTCGTCTAATTCCTCGCTGGAAGACAGACCGTCTAAGAGGTCGCTAAGTTCCGAGTCGTCGATCCCGGAGCTTTCGTACTCATCCAGAACAGAGTCGTATAAGAAGGCATCAGAATCAGATGGCCACTCAATCTTCCCCTTACCATCCCAAGTAGCCAGCTGGTCAAACCAGTCCAAGTTGGAGTCGCGTTGAAACTGGACAAGTGGCCACAGGTTGAGCGTGCGGGAGGACGCCCACGTGATATCGATGTCAGCCTTCTGTACCATGTCCTCCATCAGTTTCTTTTTGTTTATCTCCTTCTTTGCAAAGTCTCGATGGTTTTTGATATCAGGCCAGCAGTAAAGCATATCCGGTTCTTCGAGCCAGGGGTCTTGGTCAGGGTTAATCTCAACCAAGTACTGGTTCGATGACTTGGAGGTGCACCAGCGAAGGTACTCTGGGCTGTGGTTCACCGGTTCAGTTGCGAAATACATTGCCTCGAGATTTGGGAAAGTTGCCCAAAGGAGGATTGTATGCAGGTTCCCGAGCTCAGCGAGCACTCGCACCTCGACAGCGAGATGACGGATCTGATCAGTGAAACCGGGAATTCTTGGGATCTCTTCGTAGGCGAAGAAGTCCTCGGCATTGCTAAGATAGATTATGTCCCGCCGGGCGTTAAACCTCAGCCATGCCTTCCCTTTTGGTTGGAAACGTAAGACATCCGGAAGGGCCTTTAATGCCAGTTGACGACTTTCACGATGTACAGCCATCATAGTCCGAGCTGGCCTGGTCTGGGCGTCCAGCAGCGGACCATCATAAACTGGGTGGCTTTTGGGTGGTCGGATGGGGGGCTGGTATGGAGAAGGTGTCGAATACTGCAACCAGTAAACCCGTGCTTTTGCAGTGAGATCAGGACAGAAGAATTCCCAAACACGGTAGCGGAGCTCAAGGGGCAGGCGTATGAACTGGGGAAACGAGGACGTTGTCTTGGCCGAAGAGATGCCAGAACTTCCATGATAGTCAGAATGGCTTTCATTTAAATCACTGTCTCCCGACTCAAAAGCTTCGAGGTCGAGCAACTGTTGAGCATCGGATGAACTGGACTCTTCTTCCGTTTCTTGGTCAAGTTCACTCTCGGAAATTGATTCCTCATCCTCCGAGCCACTCAAGTCCTGAGCAAGGTAGCCGATGTTGTCTGATTCTTCTGATTCTTCGGACATTTTGCACAATTCTGTCGATAATGGTGAACTTTGCAACGTGAGAGCTGGACAATGAGCTAGAGGAGACCTGAGTGAAAGGAGTCGTTTGAATGAGAAAGACGCGTTGCCGCGTTGGAGCCACGACGAAAGTGGGGCTGAGCGTGGCAAGGGTTCTTGGAAGATGAGAGTTGGGGGCCTCTGATAAATTCCCAGAAAAAAAGGAGAGGAGGCTGAGACACGCCACCTAAATGCGTAAATCTAAGTCTCGCTGTCTCGGTCTTGGAGGAATTAAAATTGCGATTTGAGGTGAAGCGAAATTTCGACCAAAACCGTGCACGTTCTTGCCTGGTCAACCGCGCCCTTCATCCTTATCACGGTTATAATCACGTGATGATAATATATGCAAACATTCAGCCAATCATCACCACCACAGTTCCCCAAAGTCCATCTCCAGTTGGTCCGAGATGAGGTGACGGCGACTCCCAGCCAAGTTGACCAAATCCACCTGGTTTCGACACCGTTTGTTTGCCACGGTTCATAGATGCACCACGTGGATGTTCTCCTCTCCGTCTAAACTAATGCATGTACTTGATTACATTTACTTGATGCTGTATTGAGCATCAGCAATGAGCATTCGACCTATTACCCAAGATCCGGCCCTCGCGGCTTTTCCAAATGCCGGAGCTTGGCAGCGTTAGCTACAGATAGCTCCTGTTGGCTCCATTATGTACGGTCAGACATCGGACAACATTTCCCATGGGCCTTCACCACCGATAGAACTTGGATTTGTGAAAGATCACAGAAGTATGCGGGGTAGAAATGCTAGACTACACTTCCTGATCCCGACAGCTTATCATGTGACGAATCATGCTATGCCAGGGTGGTTAGTATTGATTCTCCTGGAATTCGGCATCAAAATGTGTGTTCCATGGTTGGTTTCTGGAACGCGCATCCGACTCTATGACCCGTTGATGCACAGTGTATAAAAAGTCCGTTGAACTCACAATGAAGGTACAGATCCGCAGGCGCGTCCTGTCTGGCCACAACCGCATTGACTTACTGTCAACTTGTCGATTCCTCAGTTACTGATTCTGATCATGACCTCTCACCCCGAGTTTGGCGAACGAACTCCTGGCTCAGTAGTTGCCAGAGTTTTTGAAGACTCGATCCGGGGACGTACCAGTCAGTACATGGCTCAAGGTTCCCCTTTTCCATTGGAGCTTGCTGATTGACAGCAATAAATACAGTCTTGATCACGGGAGTGAGTCCGAAGAGCATTGGGGCTGCTACAGCTCTCAATCTTGCCTCGCAGCATCCTGCTCTTCTTATCCTTGCTTCTCGAACAAGACATCGCGTTCAGGAGATTGCCGACAAGATCCAGCAAGATCATCCAGGCACCAGAGTTGAGATTGTGCAGTTGAATCTGAGCTCCCAGAAGTCTGTCCGCCAGGCCGCTGCCGACGTAGCTGCCCTCACGGACAAACTGGATATCCTGATCAACAATGCAGGGCTTTTCGTCACCTCTCGCCAAGCAACAGCTGAGGGTATCGAGATGCAATTCGGTACAAACCACATTGGGCCTTTCTTGTTCACCAACCTTCTGCTTCCCCTTCTCCGCAAGGCAGCTTATAACACCTCTCCCGGAGCGACTCGCATTGTGACATTAAGTAGCGCCGGCCACAGATTATCCCCGATCCGCTTCTCGGACTATAACTTTACGGGGAAGCCAGTTCCTCCCGAGGAGGAGCATGTGAAGCCTCTCCAGGGAGCATTTGGCAGGTGCACCTCCGATGGGTACAACGGGATCGTCGCCTATGCCCAGTCCAAAACGGCCAATATCCTCTTCACGCGTTACCTCCAGCAACATTTGCCAAAGTACGGGATCGCAGCCTACGCTCTGCACCCGGGAAGTACGTTTCGCAGCTGCAAATCATCGTGTTGTACTCATAGGATGCTAACAACGTACCCAAGCCATCCAAACTGATCTCAGCCGTGATCAAGATCCAGAATTAGAGACGGCCTTTTATAAAGTGGCTCCCTATTGGAAGACTCCTGACGAAGGATCATCGACGACACTCGTGGCAGCCTTGGATCCTGCCCTGAATGGTGAGCGCTTACATAGATCTTCCCGCTTCCAAGAGCTAAATACTGACTTATTGGCCCACTATCAAGAAATCAAAGGTCTGTATCTGTATGACTGCCAATTCCGAGAGCCCTTCAGTCATGCTAGCGATCCCGTCGCTGCGGAGAGACTCTGGAAACTGAGTGAGGAGCTGGTTGGAGAGACATTTGCCCTGGACTTTTGAGGAAACTGTCGAGAACTTCACACATGGCTGTCTAATTCCCGCCAACACAACTTGGGTTCATATCCCAAGACACTCGACTTCTTAACGGCATGGGATGATCTGCGTAGCTGGCGAACTACGAGTGGAAAGTCCCCAGCTTCTGTGCTTAGCAAATAATTGCGGGGCTGTAGTGGTCCGTTGGCCACCTCATGTAATCGTCATCTCTGCTCGAACCCCTGTACTTGGGGCCACATTGATGGAGCCTTCCTTGATTGAGGCCCCTGCAGAGTAACGATGATGCAAAAACAACCAGGCAAGACTCGAATAGTAGTTTAAGCGGCGAGCTGAGCTCGTGTCCTCGCCTGTGATGTCCCTTTTTGTGATGTCCCCTTAAGCATCGAGAAATTAGTTCAAGCAACCCCAGAAGTTCAAGACACGCATATAGAGAGCTTTATTGCTTTGCATACCAGTTACATCACGCAGCCTACATCTGCCTTCTCATCCACATAGTCCACTTTCCTGAGATCATACATCATAACCATGGAACAACGAAACGGACCGATTTCCATTCCTGAACAACTCTTCCATACCACTTTGACTGTCGTTGATTACCACGAGGAGACCTTGGGTCCAAAATGCGACTTTTGTGTGTTAGGGACGCACACAACTGCCTCATCAGCAAAGAACTTCGCTCTCAAAGCGCTAGAAAAACTGGGTTACCAACGAGAGGATTTTGCAGAGTATGCCACACAAGTCGACACACCTCCTGAGCTGTGGAAGCACGGTAATGATATCCTGGTCTACGCAAGAGCGCCATCAGGGAAGGAGTTCATGATTGGCCTGCAAGTGGCACCTAACACTGAGTCTCTCCCTGCCGGACCGCAAAATACCCCACAATTGCCGGAAGGACAGAAGCAACTTCATTATGTGCTTCACTGTAGGACGGACTACAGCGAGTGCAACAACGACACGTACCACTGTGGACAGATCCAAGGTTGCTATCTGAACCATAAAGATGCGCTATTTAATGCAAAATCTGTACTTCGGGTACCACAGGCGGAGTATTTCCAGTACGACGAACGAGAAAGCGAGGATGTTAATGAAGGGTGGCCATTTGGGGAGGATGTCATTGTCCATGCTGTGGGGCTAAGGGGCGAGCATTATAATGTTGCAGTCAAAACGGTTGACAAGGCGCATACCAAGCACCACAAGCGGTAAAAGGCTTCAATCGCTTATCACGTACTAAAAGTTGATACATTTAGGGACCAGCATCTCTTCCTCGACAAGGCACAAACATCTTTTGTCCACACATTCAAGGGGTTTTATCACAAGCTTCGGGGTGATCGACATTCATGCAATGCTTAACATCAGTGTCGCGCTATGTGAAAAAGGGCTACCATCGCTGCTATCACCAAACCTCAACAGCCAGGCTAGGAGTGAGAAAAGTGATGTAGAACTAGGATTCCTGCTCTGACAACAATATGATAGATGGATAAGCAAAACATATACCCTAATCTCCTCCGAAAAGGCAATAAGGCGATAGAAAGCATGCTGCCACATAAGGTTGGTTTTCTTGGAGACTTCCGATAGTGCACCAACCGTACCATGACCCATCAAACAGTAGGGGCCTGCTCTTCATGAGTCAGATGACCACTCCAACTAATTAACCCTCTTTCGGAAGAGCCTCATTGTTCTCCTGCTTAATGATCAAGGTGCGATCGTTCTTGGTCTTCCAGGCAGGAACACCGATGTACTTGATGGCTGCATCAACAATGTTAGCAATTTCAAGTTTTGCAAGTGCATACCCCGAATAGACGATACGACTTACCGCCGGCCTGAGTATCGTCAAAGATCTTTTCGACCTCCTCAAGCGGCTTGTTGGCTGTCTCCGGAAACATGAAGAAAACGTGGAGGAACATGGCAGCGCAGAATGTGGCGAAGAGGACATAGGTCTTCCAGGTTATCTGGGCGAAAGCGGGCGGCACAAAATAAGCAAGGGCAAAGTTGAATGCCCAATTGGCCGACGTGCAGAGCGCGACCGCCTTTCCGCGAAGGCGAAGCGGATATAGCTCGGGCGGGTAAGTCCAGGAGACCGGACCCCATGTGGGAGCGAACGAAGCGACAAACAGATAGGTTGAGGCGATGATGGCCTTCGCAGGGGCACCGGAAACAGCCATGGACTCAGCAGTCGAAGTGAATTCACCCGGAAGAGGGGGACGGGAGTAAATAGCAAAGATGCCAGCGTTGACACAAAGCCAGAGACACATCAGGAATGCACCAACCAACAGAGTCGGGCGGCGGCCCCAGCGATCCATCCAGAGGAGAGCAGGAACGGTCATGATAACGTTAATGACGAAGTTGATGCCACTAGGGAGGAGAACAGCAGTGTCACTGTCACCTGCGAGGCCAGCCATCGTAAAAACGTAGGTAATGTAGTACATCTGACAAATGAAACTGGTAAGCAAGCGTTCCAGAGGCAATAAATCATGCTTGAGGCTTACCATGACATTCATGCCGGTAAGTTGGGACCAGATTTGGGTGAAGACTCCGATGATGGTTCGGTTGATCATCTTAGGAGCAAACAGCTCCCGGAACGAGACGTCCGCATTTGCGCGCTCGAACTCGACGACTTCGCGGATTTCCAAGAGCTCATGGTGGACGAAAGGCGAGTTGGGGTCTCCCTTGCCGTGGATCATAGTCAAGACTTCAGTGGTCTCGTCCCAGCGATCATGCTTTGCGAGCCAACGAGGAGACTCAGGCAGGATGCAAAGACCCAAAAACAACAGGATAGCTGGGATCATCTGTATGCCCCAGGGCACACGGAAGGCTGCGCTGGTTTTCATATAGGCACTGCCGTAGCAGATGAAGTACATGATCAGGATTCCCCAAGTTATGGCCCATTGCTGGAACCCAACAAGCCGACCGCGCTTGGAAGGGGGCGAGATCTCGGAGATGTAGACAGGAACTTGAGCAGAGCAGATGCCGACCGAGAAGCCGTTGATGATACGCCCGAGAACTAGCATTGGGATGTTGACAGAGGTGCAGACAAGAATCGAACCAATGACCCAGATGACCGAGCCGATTTGGATCGACCGCTTGCGACCATAGCTATCAGACAAAAAACCAGAAACCAGCGCACCAAGCCAGGAGCCGCCAGGCATGGCTGCAGTGATGCCACCTTGGACGGCGTCAGTAGGACCAAGACACCGACCGTTCTCATCGAAGCCACGCTGGTTGAACTGGCAAAGGTAGGGCTGAGTCGAAATAATAGCAGACATTGAGGAGATGTCGAAACCGAAAAGGGCGCCGCCAATCACCGCAATGACGGCGATAAAGTATATGTTTCCTGCAAGGTTCTGCATTTTGGCGACTAGTGATATTCGCGGCTAGATCTTGTCAGATGGATGTGGTGGGCAGGGAAGTTGTGCTCCCAATAATACATAGGTAGATAATCCGTAGGTAGTGGACTGTAGGCGAATGCAATAGGTCAAAGGACAAGGTCAATGACCTGGAGGATGATTGTAGGGTGAACAAAGCGATGGACTAAGATAAGCTTGGTAGAGGTAGCGGACAGGAGCGAGCTCGCAAGGCTATGAAGGGGAACTCTTATTCTCAGCGAGGGATAATCGGGAGAGGCAGGAGACGCAGACAAGGCTGATGGGAAAGAAAAGTTGGAAGGAGCAGAAATTATCGCAACTTGCTAATCTGGTGAGGAATGGCAGGTGCGTCTGCTAGTTAGGATGAAAGAACCATAACTTCAGGATGGAGAACTCGCATGAGCCAACATCACAGTCATTTGACTATCTCCAGCCTCAACTCCTACCACCTTCTTATAAGGCATTAGCTATTCGGCTGCAATTGACCGAGATTTCGAGTTTGGCACAGCACTGTCAAAATGAGCCTCTCTGACACACGTTATTGCCCAGTGTGCCGCTCTAAACGTGACTCCTTTGATAATACAATGTTTCCTTGATAGTTGTGATGGATCATGGTTGAAAGGAGCCATTTGATCAACCGACTTCATCGTGAGTGCGAAACATCCTCTCTTTGATTGAATCGCTCAATGACAATGCCATTGGAATGCTCTTCAACATACAGGTCACAAGCAGGCAGCTTGGAAACATGCCAACCAGCTTTGGGAGAGGGACCGTATGAGAGCATTCTTTTGCTGGGATGAGGCCTAAGTCGGTCCACTCCTGAAACTCCATCTTGAGACTGTTGATCCCTTCAACAAGGGAGTTGAGCAGCCGCGCCATTTGAGGTACAACGCGATGTCATGAGCGATGGAGGTGGAAAATGGAGAATTTTGTCTCGCTACGGCACATGCTATGGGCCGTTCCGCAGCTCATTCAGTAGTTGACCAACGATCAAGGCAACAGTGGGGAGAGGGTACGTAATTTACATTTGGAAAACGATAAGTTACACAACAATTATACACAGCAGAGTTGTATTATGGAGATCAAGAACGCTTGAATGTTATGGAGGGAAATTATAGAATTTTCTAGAAGCATTAAGATGTCATAAAGAAAGTTGCAGATCAGGCGTTTTGTTGGAGGGTGACAATGTGATATAAGTAATTTCTGCCTGTAAGAGTGTGGGGCAAAGAAAAAGAACTGTTATCGATAAAGAACAACCATTCTGGAACACTGCCAATCACCTGACTTCGTGTTTCTCTGTGCCCCACCACCGTGTGCAGAAACCTACCGTCTTCATGAACGCGTCATTCGGCAAGGCCTTTCTCGGACCTTCTCATCTCTACACGCTTAACCCGCAAAGTACAGAGATATAACGGCGTAGCTGTTACGATGTGGCACAATTCAGAATCAGTTTTGCCTGTTACAGAGCGAAAACGCCCTGCTTCTGAAGAAGATCGCGCCATTTCTCCGCCGCCATTGAAGCGCAGAGCCCAGGCTGCTATCTCAAGTAAGGATGTTTGTTCCTGGATATGAATGATCGATCTATGCTGATAGCCTACCAAACAGAAAGCGCTGTTGTAAACTTCTTTACTCCGATGTCTAAGAGGCCTAAAGAGCGCATATTATGGAACGAACGCGCCCCAGGCAACGGCTTTCCTGCTACACTCCTGGTTGCAAAGTACACAACCGAGTCCGATTCTGACCCCCCTAGCAAGCAAACTATTAGTGAAGAAAAAAAGAGGACCAAGATCGCTGCCTTTGATCTGGTATAGGTTGGTTGATGTACTTTTGATGCCGACAAAGGTTAACATCCGACAGGACTCGACCTTGATCACCAGCGCATCCGGCAAACGCTATCCTGATGACCCAGCTGACTGGAAGTGGTGGCATTCAAGTGTTCCAGCGCGCTTGCGACATTTGTGTCATAAAGAAGGGTATGGTAATGTCGACTTACTCAATGTCATACTCCTGCTCATCCAATCAATCGAATAGGTACCTTGTGGTCATCTTTACCAATCAGGGAGGTCTGACCCTGCACCCTGAACCAAACTTAAAAAGCCCAAAGAGCCAAAAGAACCGAGTCCCCGTCTTTAAGCAAAAGTGCGGCGCGATCTTGTCCCAGCTAGACATCCCGACAACATTATATGCTGCCACAGCGAAGGACATCTATCGCAAGCCGCGACCTGGCATGTGGAACGAAATGAAGGAGGACTATGATTTATCAGACTCCGATATTGACTTTGAGAATAGTATTTTCGTTGGAGATGCCGGTGGCCGAATTGTTGATGCCAAGGGTCCCGGTTCTTCTCAGAGAGATTTCAGTTGCTCGGATCGAAACTTTGCCCACAACGTCGGCATCAAATTTCAAACCCCAGAGGAATTCTTCTTGGGAGCACAACCTCGCCAATTTTCTCGTGAACTTGACTTAGCGGACTTTCCTTTCACCAGGACGGGCCGACATGATGTTGTGGTGGAGAAGAAGAATGACAAGGATATCATCTTGCTAGTCGGCCCTCCTGGAGCTGGCAAGAGCACATTTTACTGGAAACACCTTAAACCTCTAGGTTACGAAAGAATCAACCAGGATCTCCTTAAGAGGTGAGTTGTTACCCGTTCCAATTTGATCCTCGAGTCAAACTGACGCTATGCTAGCAAAGACAAGTGCTTGAAAGCAGCCGCAGAATCCCTACAAGGAGGAGACTCTGTTGTTGTTGGTATGTTGCTACTAAAGACTTCCTTGCCATGTACTTGTCTAACCTTACCTCACAGACAACACAAACCCCGATTCGGAAACTCGGGCACAGTGGGTTGCTTTAGCGCGCAAGCATGGAGTGCCCATCCGATGTGTCTGGTTGAAGACCCCGCTCCCTCTGTGCGAACATAATGATGCCGTTCGTGCGTTCAACAAACAAGTTCGTCATCTTCCTGATGTCCTTTTCCCGCGTTAATTCCCGATTGGAATGTGCTAATTCTTCGCCCACAGTTAAACCCCGAAAACCGTCAAAGTCTTCCCAAGCTTGCTTTTAACAGTTTTGTATCGCGGTTTAAAGAGCCAACTATTGCTGAAGGCTTTCAAGAAGTCATCCCGATCGAGTTCCGGTTTCAAGGCACAGAAGAAGAGTACAAAGTTTGGAGTCGGTACTGGGTGTGATGAAGGCATGACCTATGGAAAATTGGTAGATATTTTTCGTTCCGACCCTGCTTCTTGCGCAACTTGGTCTCTTGGGATGCTATGCTAAGCACAAGCTCAAGGGTATGGCCCTATATTTGGCTACAGCGCGCATGAGAGTCGCTTTTCCACTTCCGTGCAGAAAAGGATTGTCAGGTCAATTCATCACTTGCAGGACGCACCTCCTTCCCAGAAGAGTCTCAGACTGTCTCTTCGGGGTCTCTTTATCTCGCTCAGCAAGGTTATGCATAAATCACCAGCCTGTACCTACCACCCCTTATCGGTGCGGCTAGACTGCTGGTAAAGCATATTTGAGTATTCCTGTCCGCTGGGCAATGCAAGGCTGGTAGGTAGTGATGCAGATCACTCTCACGACTTGGGAACAAGCATAGCTTTTCACGGCAACGCCACATGCAACACTCGCTCTTCGACCCAGTTCCAAGGCATCGGAACGAGAACCAAGTTGTTTTAATTGCACCGGCGATATGGGAAGAATGGCGAGTTCCTTGATTCCAAGAACAGAACATCCGACATCTTCAAGCAGGGTGCCAAGTCAATCAATAATGCTTATTCTTTCGCTTGCAGATATCATTCTTAACGTTGCATTGTACACAGTCGCCCCCAGATCAACTAACATGTCATTGTAATACCTTTTGTTGTTACAACCTTCACCTATCGGCTTGCAACGGCTTCGCATTTTTGAAGGACGATTTACGTAGGTTGTCGCTCGTGCCGACCTGTAGTTGACGATATGTGTTGCCGGATTATGCGCAGAATTTCGGAGGATTCCGACACATACATCCTCATGATATTGCTGCTCAAACGATTTTTTGAGAATGGGAAAACGGCAGGAGGGTTATGCAGGTCGCACCACTTCTCACGACCGGTCGTTTCACAGAAGGAGTAGATCCTGCGGCTTTGCCGGCCTGCACTGGTAGCGCACAGTACAATGATTTCGCCTCTGTATGCGTAACGTGTGGTGGCTAAATCATTAGATTACAGATCAGTATGTAGGTATGTAATTTATAACACCCACTTTAGTGGGACTTGCTGTTGCGGGGTGCAGTGTTTCCGGTAATTGACCCACCTGCCGAGCTTCTGGACTGGGCAGGTGGGGTTTGGATGCGATGGCAAAGTTGCCGATCCCTGTTTCTCAAGTTCTTCCCAAGCTCCACGTATGTCTGAAGCCCGAGCCGAGTTCCTGTTCCTCTGCTAGTATCCCAACCAAAGGATTCAAGGTTGTAGTAGGATATATCGCTGCTTTCCAGGTATTCTTGCCAAATTCCTGCAGATGCATCTACAAGTTCTAACGGAGCCAACCTTTTCTTGTATCCAAACCTCCAAATCCTAATGGCACCAGCTTCTCGTTCGTCATCGACTAGTTGCGAGTTGCGAGTTGCGACTCCCGGCATTACCACGCATCACCGTGCTTTTCCATAGCTGATAAGATAACTTCGTTGGCTCCGGCAGACGGCAAAACAAGAAGGTGCTTTGCTGATGCAACGTCGATGCAGCAACGGCGATCCGGCCCTCCTCCACTAAGATTTACGGTCATACAACGTCGTCGTCTATTGGCCAATCTGTTGCAAAAATTTCAATTCGGTCGACGCCTGCGGCCGGAGAATGTGGAAAGCTCACGAGATCCGGCGATGGCGATGCAACTGAGTGGCACATACGTGTTAAAGAAACATCCCACTGCTAGAGACGCGTTGTCAGCGACTAGCCGACTTACGTGCAGCACAAGGTCGAGACGGAGACGGAGGAGAGGTACAGAGTAACACCGAAGAGGCTCCTCTTATCAGTTGTCAACCCGACCATATTGGCGAGCTGCATCGAGAGCTGGATCTAATCTTCAGGCGTTGCGTTTGTCACATGCAGTCCATAGCAACTTGTGCAGGGCTCCCACGCAGCCCTCGCGGCTCCCCGGCGACATAACTGCAACCTCATTATCTGTGTCTTCTTCGAACCTTATTTACGCCATCCCACGGCGACGTGTGTTCGGAGCTTAAAAGGTGGCGGTCCCGTCCGAAGTCTTGTGTTTCGTTCCACCGATCCAAACCTACGGTTTACTATCAAGTGACCTCGTGGGCTTTTGACATAAATAAGCTGGGGTGTGACTTCCTTCTCGCCTAAGGTCGCCATTCCAGGTTTCGGTCACTTCTACCATCTTCAATCTTACTTGACTTTTTCCTCTAAACGTTTGCCTCCCTCTCCTTGCTTTCGTGTTGTTTGAGTTGCAACTCATGACTTCTCAGTCCCAGCGTGCCCCTGTTGCTGGCCAGGACGAAATCGACTTTTAACACCACGGAGAGACCCTTTACCCCACCGCTTCTTCAGAAGCTGCAAAGTACCAGCAGCAACGACATGAGTGCTGCCGTGGACGAGAAGAAAGTCCCGGAGGCTGAGCCCTATGTGGCTGATCCCGAGAGGCAGAGCGACAAGGTCGGCTCACTCAACGGGAAGGGCGCTTCCGACAAGCAAGGAGGGTCGCTTTTCAGCTCGGTCAGTGGGATTTTGGGTCGGTATTGGAAAAAGGTGGCTCAGCTAGTCACTTTCATGGTCTTCACAGCGTTAGTCTGCTCATTCGTGCTCTACATAACCGCTTATCCGAGCATCTTATACTAATGGCGTCACCTGCTATAGATGGTGGATTTATGGTCTTGTGAAGTACCGCCACACCGCCGGCAAAGGCTGGCTGATCCCGACCCTGGTGTACATTGGTGTTCTTGTCCGCCTCATCACCTTGTACATTCCAGCAACTCTCTTCTTGCGGCCTGTTCGCTGGGTTTGGATCCGTACTGCCGTCAAGGTTCATGACATGATCCCCGCACCGTTCCGCAAGCCTGCTGCTGCTCTCGTTACTGTGGCTGCGTTCTTGATCGGCACCTTCGTACCCGAAGAGACAGGTGACAACACGCGTGCGAACCGTGCTGTTTCCGTCTTTGGCCTGATCGTCATGATGGTGATCCTGACGGCCACCTCGAGGAATTGGCGACTGATCCCCTGGCACACGGTTATCGGCGGCATGCTGACGCAGTTCATTGTTGCCGTCTTTGTGCTGCGTACCAAGGCTGGCTACGACATGTTCAAGTTCATCTCGGACATGGCGCGCCAGCTGCTGGGCTTCTCTGGAGAAGGTCTTGCCTTCCTGACGAGCGACAGTGTTCCTGCTGTGGGCTGGTTCTTGACCGCTGTCATCCCGGCCATCATCTTCTTCATCGCGCTCGTCCAGATGCTTTACTACGTCGGCTTCTTGCAGTGGTTCATCCGCAAACTGGCTACCTTCTTCTTCTGGTCTCTGCGCGTCTCTGGCGCCGAGGCCGTTGTCGCAGCGGCCACCCCCTTCATTGGCCAGGGAGAGTCTGCCATGCTGATCCGCCCCTTCATGAACGACCTCACCATGTCTGAGATCCACCAGATCATGACTTGCGGTTTCGCAACCATTGCCGGCTCCGTGCTCGTTGCTTACATCGGCATGGGTTTGAACGCGCAGGCGCTCGTGTCGAGCTGCATCATGTCCATCCCTGCAACTCTCGCAGTGTCCAAGATGCGTTACCCCGAGATGGAGGAACCTCTCACTGCTGGCAAGGTCGAAGTCCCCAAGAACGAGGAAGACGAGCACACTGTCAACGCCCTCCATGCTTTCACTAACGGCTCCTGGTTTGGCCTCAAGATTGGCGCCACCATCGTCGCCTGCCTGCTGACTGTCATTGCCTTTGTCGGCTTGGTTAATGGTCTCCTAGGCTGGTGGGGTGGTTACTGGGGCCTTAGCGGCGAAAACACGCTGTCTTTGGAGTTGCTTCTTGGATACATCCTGTACCCTTTCACCTGGCTTCTTGGCGTCCCCAAGCAGGACGTCCGGGCAGTCGGCGTTCTAATCGGCCGCAAGATTATCATCAACGAGTATGCTGCCTTCAGCTGGCTTGTTAACGAGGAGCCTTACAAGTCGATGCTGCCCCGTTCGAAGCTGATCGCTACTTACGCTTGCTGTGTAAGTTTCATCATCATGACGATTGGGTAGCCGAGAACTAACGTTAGGCGCGCAGGGATTTGGCAACATTGGTTCCCTCGGGATTCAGATTGGCGTGCTCTCACAGATTGCCCCGAGGCGGTCCGGCGATGTCGTCAAGGTCGCCGTCTCAGCTTTGTTCTGCGGTATCCTGTCAACACTGACTTCTGCCAGCATTGCTGGCATGCTCTTTACTGATGACATGCTCCAGTAAACGACAAGGAGTAATGGTAAACTGTGTAAACTGTATTTCATTGTCTCAAGGTTGACAAATGCGTCTTATTTCGTTTTGATACCCAGGTTTGGAGCTTCGTTGAGGTTTCGTGGAGTGAAGGAACTAAGTACAGTAGTGTTTAATACAACGTTGATCTGGGTTTGATAGGGTTGCATTCTTAGAGTGATAACTGCATCTGTTGGGATTTACAATCTGTCTCCTCGCTGACTACTAGTCCTCCGTGATCCATACCTGAGTGCCAATACCGATTGTGACACATCCAACCAGTGTAGTGTTCGAGGATGTTGCACTAATATGCTAGAGGCGCTATCAGGTAACATCACCAGCACGGGTATATAACGGAAGGACACTTTCCAGAAGAAAATTAGAAGTCTTCTTCGAACCCCGCATTGGGCCAAGCCGCATGTAAGGGACTGAATGAAGATAAACAATGGCCAAGCACACTTGGCATGGTGGTAGTTGATGGACCCATTCCTCAACCCTTCAAAGCTTTTAGATTTAGAATGCCGTAAACTTCCGCTCCAATAATGTTCGACGCCAACATTTATATAACATTATAAATTACCCGGAGATTCAAGCTTACATTGCTTTGTAACCAAGCGTCATGGGCGCCGGCATTTACCCGGCAACGTCCGAACGGAACGAATGGAACGGTAACGACAAAGCGCACCGAGTACAAGTATATAGGTTCTGTAGACAGATTCGGACGCGACTTTACGCTTGCAAAGTGTGGCAAAGTTTATTCTCCTCACAATCCAAGCTACTGAGATGTATCTACTGTCTGCCCTGGCTGCTGCCATCCTGGCCCCCATCACCGGGCTTGCTGCCCCGGCTGGTGATGTGATGACAGCTCCCCCCCTCCACAATCTGTATGCTCGTGAGAACCTATGCCATCTGCCGTCTCCCCCGCAGCTTTGCACTCCGAATGCTTCTGTCACGATTGAAGAGACTGCGTTGAGAGCCTACAAGTTTTATCGGGCTTTCGTCGTGGATGGCGATCCCCGGACTATGTTTTCTTACATTGACAACGTCTATCTGGTGAGTCCCGATGCTCGGCCAGGAACATCACATGCACTAACGTCAAGCAGCAACACAATCCATGGTATCAGAGCGGACCGCAGGTCATCTGGCCGTTGTTCTGCAACGGCCGCAAAATCGGCACGGAGGAGAGCACGAGCTGGTGCTTTGATGCCAGCACCAACATGTCTTATGCTCAGTACTCTGTTGTCGATAGGTGGAGATGGGTTGATGGTTGTGTTCATGAGCACGTAAGTCACACCTCGTCCATGTTTTCTGCCCCAGTTCGCATGTACGTCTTGGACATGACTAATTCCTTTACAGTGGGACCAAGGCGAGAGGATGCCTCCCAAAGAGCAGTGTTACCAGCTTCCTCCTGAGCTTCTGAACTCGTGAGCAGATACATGAAGTCAGGGAGAGGGGTGTGAGAGGAGTCTAGGCAGTGAGAGGAGGTTGTGAAGTTGGTTAGCTGGCACCCTATGCCATCAACGGGAAATGAAGTCAATCAATGTTGCTTGTATATGATGTCAGTAAAGCAATTTTTGTCTTCTACCTGAAACTATCTTGGAGGGTCTGTTCGTCTTATGATTCTGACTTGACGTTTTGACTTGCCACAACGCCGGAGAAAGAACACGTTAGTAACACGGAGAGTTACGTCCGCAGGAAAAATGCGAGACAGCCATACTCAATTCTCAAATGTTGGAGATTCCTGATAGAATTAACAAAGGAGATATCGAACCGGTGGAGAAGCTAGGGCATCCGTTGGTTGTGATCCTTCATGATAAAAACAACAGATGCCAGATCTTACCTCAACGAAAATCTTGTTTAATTTCATTCGCGAAATTCCCTCCCAGCACAATCCCACTTCCCGCAGTAAGACAGATACCATATCAACTACACTCGTCCTCTTTGTAAGTTGCTCAGGATGCTGTTCTTCCTCCAGCCAACGCTCAGAGAGAAAGAGATCGGTATCAGGGCAAGATAGTTTCCTTGAATCCGTGATATCCAGCAATGGAGCCCCTATCATGGTGCCTTCAGGCACGAGATACCCCGGGATCGTGTCACCCCAGGTCCTACTTCCCTGTACAGAGGGGCTGAAACAGGAAGTAGAATTCCCAGCCCTCCTCCAATGACTGCCTGCAAGTAGCACAGCTGACGGGCTTCTGAGTCCTTTCCTGGAGAAGAGATCTTACTACCGGCAATTCTATCGTCGATCTCATGTCATAGTTTCACATAGAACAGCAGGTCGTTAATGAGATGGACCATGATAGTTTCCATGGCCGTTCCTGTTGCATCGGAGCCCGCAATAGTCATGTTCAGCGCTTCTCGGAGCAGTTGCTCTTCAGTCACCCCGTACTGAATGAAGGATGCTAGGATGCCAGGAACTCAGGTAGGGTTAGAGGCAATTTTTTCGATGATTTCTATCGATATCCTGGTTAACACTAGTCGTCAGCCTCCAGAATATAGTGCTGATGCGTGTCTGTGAATGACTCACTTGATCAAAGGTTCGAAGCCAGATGACTGAGACTTTTGGGCAAAAGGGATCGAAACAAATGGGAATGCAGGATATCGATGATTGTCAGATGTTCAGAGGTAGTCCCAGCAAACTTTCACCATCTGTACTGACAGTGTGAGGTAGTCGTAAAGGTCTTTGTTACGTTCCAAGTACCCGATCTGCTTCCCAAAAACAATGGCATTGATTGTGTCCCAGATGAAGAAGTCAACCTTTTGTTCGACGTCAACCGAATGGAACTCCGTACTTGTTGACAAGTAATGTGTCTCCAGGAGGTTGATGAAGCTAGCAATCTGCTTGTCAATTGTTCCTTCTATGCCAATTAGAATGTCCTTCTCAGGTAACTCTTGGTTAGACGGGCAAAAAGTCAATAACCTGGTTAAGGAGACCATCTTCTTACCCCTGGGGAAGCATCTGCTGACGAAGCTTGTAATGTTTCTCTTCATCCTGGATTGAACCTCTGCTGTCTTCACCAGGTTCGAAACGGAAGGACTTATGCGGTAGAGACATGTTACAGTTAGTTCATATTGTAGACAACGTCCCATGAATACTCACAAATTAACCTCTTACGAATTGACCTAACAGCAACCATCCGGCGCAAAACATCAGGGTCATTGGTAATCAACTGGTTGGGGCAATTCTGACTAGGAGTCCTGGAGACATTCGGTTTCAGGAAAAGGCACTCTCTAACCAGTTCCTCCAGATTCAAAAGGAGTTAAGTAGTACCGTGATTTTTGCCATAAATCCTTCATATCCCAAGCCTTCAGGCCAGTGAGGTTGTGGCAGTGCGCTCAATGTTTAACCAGGCCCGCTCTTGGTGGTCCTCTGATATGCCAAAACTGGCGCCATTGAACTAAGGCACCTATCACAACCATCACCGAAAGGGTAACAAAGAAGAGAATGAAATGCCCTGTCATTTTCTCTAACCCTGTCACTGAGGGCTTGATGAACTGACAACTCCTATTGACGAGATATTGCAAGGGAACGGCCTGTGCTAAAGTTTGTACTATGAATGAATCAAGAGTTCCTACCAGCCATCGGGCTCACCGTGCTCGATGGTAAGTCACATCATGACTGATTCCAGTGGGGGATGCGTGGCGTGAAGGTTAAACCAGCAGAGGGTTCTCAGAACTGCATCTACTGCGATCATTCTACGGTTTAGCGCCGTTTCTTTTTGCAGCATTCGTTCAGCCAGAGAGATCAGATGGCGCCAACGTGAGACCCGCATGTGCTCTACAAGTATATACAGTGTCGATGGCGATGCTACCGTCGTTGTGGCCCATGGCGCTTGTGATTTCGCAAATAACAAAGTCTCTTAGACGAGTTCAAGAACAATATGCTTTAGTATTGTTCAGAAACCATGCTGGGGGTTGCGCCCCAGGAGATAGAGGTACTCGCTTGTTACCCCAGGAGCCAGGTAAAGATAGAAGCCTCATCTTGAAGCAGGCGAAACGCTTAACAATAGCACTCAGACCAACGCTCAACATGTCCACGGAAACACACACCCCAAAGCAATGTAGCGATAGAAGCCGATCCACGCCATCTCTAGATCAAGACAACGGGAGCACGCAAGCATTGCTCACACTTTTTCTCCTCTCCTTCTCACACCTCACTCTCAAGCCTGCCCTTCAAGACAGTAGTACCCAAGCCAAACCTCCTTTTAAGGGCCTTCCAGACCTCCACAATAGCCATATACACCGCCACACACGCAGACACAATCCCCCATTCCCACGTAATAGCGTCGTGCTTGAACACAGCCCTGTTCACCACGGGCAAATAAATCACCGGAAACACTATGACGACTCCGGCCGTGACAGCGCCGAAAAGGAATTTATTTTGCCAAACGGTCCTGCACAATGACAGAACACCTCCCGAGTACCGTTCTGGGTGCATGTTAAACAGCGACCGGGTGAAATGCTTCGCCTCCCAGGCCGTGACAAGCAAGAGGAACGTGAGCGTAGCGAATGTGGTCGCCCGCGCACGAAATGCGACCAAACATCCCAGGGCAAAGTCCTCGTTGCAGCCCAAGCCTAGACCCTCGTTACGAGAGACACCGTAGGCGACACTGGTGAAGGCGGCGAGGCACAGACCGCCCATGGCGGTGCCGTAGACAAACTTGTCGACGATGAGTTCGCGGTTGAAGACGCCGATGGATAGGTCATGGGGAGGGCGCTGCATGATATCTGGCTGGGCCTCTTCAAGACCGAGGCCAAGGGCCAGGAAAGATGATGTGACGAGGTTGGCCCAGAGGATTTCGAGAGGAGATAGAGGGAAGACGGAGATACCATGGGGGTCTTTGAAAGCGAGGCCGATGAGGAGCAGGAAGACTTGGGCGATGTTGGAGACTAGGAGGTGAAGTAGGAACTGGACTGTCATTAGCATGCCGTCTAGTGTTTGAGACCTGTTGTAGAGAAAGCTTACCTTCTGGATATTGTCAAACAGACGCCTGCCCTCCTCAATAGCCCTAACGATAGACGCAAAGTTATCGTCCGTCAACACCATATCTGCCGCCTCTTTGGCGACATCACTACCATTCAGACCCATAGCAATACCGACATCAGATTTCTTCAGCGCCGGCGAATCGTTCACGCCGTCTCCGGTCATGACACAAAACGCCTTGCGCCGATGAAGAGCTTCAACCATGCGGACCTTGGTCGTCGGACTGCACCGAGCAAGTACCAAGGGCAGATGGTCCATTGCGTCGATCTCGGCATCAGTAAGATTGTCGAAGGCGGTGGCTAACATGACGTCGTTGGGTCCAATTAGAGCGCCTTTTTTGAGGATGCCGATTTCGTAGGCTATGGCGGTAGCGGTCTTGACGTGGTCGCCGGTGAGCATGTGTACCTGGATGCCAGCGTCCTTGCACTTTCTAATGGCTCCAGCTGTCTCGGGCCTTGGAGGATCGTAAAGACCAGCCAAGCCGAGGAACGTAAGGCCTCTTTCGACCGCTGAACGTTCAGGGGTAGCCGTCTTGATGATTGGTGAAACCTTTTCTGTGTCCGCATTATCAGATACAAGACCAAAGTCTCGAGGATCGACCATCTTCTGGGCGACACAGAGAACACGGAGGCCCTCGGCAGCCAACGCCTCGGCTCTGGTTACGGCTTGTGCCTTCAGCTCATCAGAGGCATCCAAGAGAGGAAGGATGGCCTCGAGAGCACCTTTGGTGTATGCGTAAGCCCCTTGTTCATCCGTGTAGACGACTGTCATCATCTTGCAGGACGAATCGAAGGGGTATTCGGCAAGGAGCTGGCGATTGCCAGGCTCCAATAGCGTTGGCTTCCCCATGCCCAAACGCATGGCCAGAACCTGCAAGGCAATCTCGGTGGGTTCGCCAACAGCGGTGTAGGCTGATTCAGTCTTAGTGACTAGAGAGTTGTTACAAAGAGCAACTGTCTTAAGAAATGCCGTCAACAAGGAGGCCTTCGTCTTGTCAAAGATGCCCCAATTGTAAATCTCATCACCCACATGAACGCTTCCGCTCGTGGGGTCGAAGGGATGAGTGGTGTTCCGGATGGACATCTCTGTGCCGTCGGCAAGCCAGAGTTGCTTGGCAACCATCTTACCTTGGGTCAGCGTGCCCGTCTTATCGGAGCAAATGTTGGTCACGCCGCCAACAGCCTCGAGGGAAGCCAGCTTGCGAATTATGACGTTGCCCTTAGCCATAGCACGAGTGCCGAGTGCGGTAGCAATGGTAAGGACAGCGATTAGAGACTCTGGGATCACGGCAACAGCCACGCAGATGCCGTAGATGAGCACCTCACTCGTCACCTTCCAGCGACTGACGGAGAAGACGATGATGGCCAATGTGATAGCCAGGGCAAAAAGGAGTAGAGCAAATTTGCTCAAGGAGACCTGCATCGGGGTGCCGTCCAGGCCCAGCAGAACGCGCAGTCCGTTGCGGAACCGGATCCAAGCCTCCTGGACACGGCCGGAGTCCACGTCGGCCGTCTTACCGGAGCTTCTCTTCAGCATAGCCGCAATTTTGCCGACCTCAGTCATCATGCCAGTAGCGACCACAATGCCAGTGGCACGGCCTCGCGTGACGGTACTAGCCGAGTAAACCATGTTGGCGCGATCGCCCAGCGGGACGTCGCGGTCCTTAAGGATAATCTCGGCATGCTTGCTGACGGGTACGGACTCGCCCGTGAGCAGAGCATCATCCGTGGACAGGTTAATACTATGTACGAGACGAAGATCGGCTGGAACGATGTCTCCAACATTCAAGCGAACCAGGTCGCCTGGAACTAAGGTCTCTGCCTTGATCGTCTCGGCCTTACCATCCCGGATAACCTTGCACGTAGGGGCAGACAACGCATAGAGCGCCTGGATTGTCTGCTCCGCACGGTAGTCTTGGAAAAATCTAGGGAAAACGATGAGAAAGCTGGACTGGCGGCATGTCTGGCCGGGGTAGCACTCACCCGACCACGATGTTCAGCAGGATGACTGCTGCAATGACGCCGCCCTCAATGTGGTCACTGATGGCGAACGAAAGAATCATGGTCATTACAAGGACCTAAACTTGTTAATCAGCCATGACGTTGAACTAAATTGACAAAGCGATCTGAAAAACGGTCGCACGGCAGCAGTATCGCGACAGTGATGCCAGTCACGTAGCACTCAGCAGTGTGAGACTTACAAGAGTTAAGCTGTTGCTCACTTGTCTTATGAGTATCGTGAGCGGGGATAGCCCTTTAGCTCCCTCAACCTTGTTGAGGCCATGCCACTGAAGGCGACGGCCAGCCTCGGCAGGGTTGAGTCCATTTCTGTACTGGTCAGCAATGCATTGGTGGTGATGTTGAGCGTCGGTAATTCGTAGTGAGGTCACCGATGCGAGATCGAGATCGGATAGTGGATCCAGCAAGTCGTAGGGTGGGGGAGCCTCAATTACACCCAGACCAGCACTAGACATCATTCACACAGGGACCTCAGAACGCTGTGATTGGCCTGGGACAGCACTTACTCGGCATCAGTATCGAGAAGAGCGCACACATCGGGCACAGATAGCGTATGAGCGATTTCTGGGAAGAAAGAGGGAGCTGTGGCGGCGACAGTGTCAACGGTGCTCGCGAGCGAAGCACGGCCCGTGCCTACAGTGATAGGAGTGGCATCGGCATCGGTATCGGTAGCGGCAGCAGCACCAGGTTCAGCATCGGCATCGGGCCCGACCGTGGCATTCACGAAGGTGCCGGCAGGGGTCGGCGATGGAGAGATTGTAAAGGCTATAGAACTCTTCGACTTTGGGCCACATATAGGAGGCTCCGTCTGCGCCTCGACGTCAAGGTCGTTCTCTGTCCCCATTCAATAGAGTGTGTCGCCGATGATAGCCCAGCGAGTCTACGCAGGGGAAAAAGAGGAAGGGAAGGAAAGGGAAGAGAAGGGGGTAGATTCGAGAATCCCAACGGGCGGCCAGGGTTTAAAAGAAGCATGACCTGCTTGGTACCAAACCCGAACAGTCAAAGACGGCCCTTGGACTCATGGTCTCACCCGCAACGGTGTCTGGGCGCGCTGCTCACGACAATCCGCCACGGCAAACAACGGACAGAACCTGGAAGGCCAGAAGCTGTTCCTGTCGGTTGTCTGAACGCCTGCGGACGTTGTGACCTTGTTCCCAGCCTGCCAGCTTCTGACAGATGGTGCCGTACTCTCATTTGCTAATCGCATCGCTTGTCAGCCACGGTACCCCACCCAGCTGGCAGACCACGGCAGTGCAAGACCTTGGCAGCGCTTCTGATTGGCCGGGTGTCTTATCCGGTGCTTCTTCGCCCGCATGCCTGGAACGCATGCGCCTTGGCAAGCTGCAGCACACAGCCAAACAAGTCACCTGCTCCCTTGATTGCCTGATAGCCTCACAATAAGCCCAAGATCTTCAGCTTGCTGTCAAGTCGTTGAGATACCGCTTATTTGTTGGCCTGTCTCGAAAACGCAGTGTTCTTTCCAATGAATGATTCTTTGATGTTGACCGGTCTTAATCCTCAACGTCCCACTGTGGGACAGTCTGACCGCTCTGGCGTCATCGCTCTCACACTTGTGTACCCCTCCTCCTCAACGCTTCTGGAAGGGTTCACTTCTGTTCTGTGACAACGCCCGGTCACCGACGTTTCAGTCCTCGAGATATGCGCGTCGCCGTGATTATCGTATCCGATTCGCGCCAACACCGCACCCGGGATCCTTTCCAGCATTCTGATATGGGTGAGACCGCGAGACCGTTGGTCCGCTGCCCCGCTCCGGTCGTGACAACCGCCGGGCTTCCGGTTCAGGAACCTTGATTGATCCAGGATCCTACAAGATGCTACCCGTCCTGCGTCATCACCCGGAATCGCCAAGCTGTTTCCCCGCATCTGGTAATCCAGAAGCGTGTTCTGGACTTCTAACCTCTATCCAATTCCAAGCCCTCAATTTCTGCAATCACGCAGCTCGCCCCTGTCGGGTGGAAGTTGTTATTTCTCATTTGTAGTCTTCGCTGTAAGATCCCGAATCACATTTGCGCAAGGTTTGCTAGAACCTTCTTTGCTGCTGGTGCTCGTGTACGACAATCCAGGTATGTCAATAACCAAGACAAGCAAAACATCTTGGCAGTTCTCAGTTTATCACTTCGATTGTTGAGAATGGAAGGTGATAACAGAGTTGAAAACGAGAACGTAAGTGCTCCGGTCAAGGTTACATGAAGTTACACACCTCTCCCCTCCTTTCAGATCGTTGAAGAGAGATATTTTGCTCACAGACTCTCTGTTCTTAACGGTTGATGCTTCGAACATGCACAGCCACAGCCCTCAGAATCAAGGGCCGACAACTTCTCAATTGACAGCCAAGAACACAAGTGACTTCAACCACACCGTCATTGCCTGGTTATTCCATCGGCAGCTCACACTTTCTCTAGATCTATTGCCTATAGGAACATGCCTTTACCCGGGCTTATATGTTTGCGGATGTATCGTCGGGATGAGTACATATTCTGGAGTTTTGAGTTTGACGCTCCTATTAAGCTAACATTGGCCTGCAGAAAATGCAGCCTGTTAGTTATTAGAGCCTTTCTGACTCAATGTCCTTTCCCCAAAGAACACCCTTGATCCCCACAGCCTCCATAAACACCAGACTCTTGCTCAGCCATGACTACCAGCAGCACCTCGCCTTGGGGCTTTTTCTGACTTGATTGTAAATCGGCAAGTAATCTCGAAAGTTGACGTATGGCGAATTTTTTTGCTCCCCAAAGTCCGAGACTCGATATCACGACTGAGACTTGGTAGCTGTCCAGCCTGTTCTCACCTGCCATCTAAGGCCCTAAAATTATCTTCACCAAACACTGACATCTAACTCAGAATCATTCCTCCCGATAAGTAAAGCCCAACCATCCTACAATTTCCCCCAAGTAGATGCAGCTTCGCCACGGAAATGGTCACCGTCGAGCCAGTGTTACCCATCAGCCCTACGTCTGAGCTTCCGAAGCATTCAAGAGCGTGTAGCTCAGTTGGTAGAGCGTTCGCTTAGCATGCCTTTACCACCTGCGAAAGGTCTTGGGTTCGATTCCCAACTCGTCCATGCCCTTTTGTTATTGGGATGTCCACTGCTTTCCACACGCTGATTGGCTTTATTTATCGTTCTTTGTTGGCGAGTAGAAGTGGCTCGTGACAGTTGCGTTTGATAGTAGCGCCTTCTGTTTATATTCAGAGGCTCATGGTTTTGTTTTGGTTCACGATAGTAACTATTGTGACTATGAATCGCTGATTGGTGTCAATAGAGCCCCCAGCTCCAAAAAGGCGTGACAGAGTGGTAAGGCTTCTTGTGCTACCGATACAACACGTGCCACATGGTTGAACCAAAGGATTTCTTAAGTATACTTCTTATGAAGAATGCACAATGCAGATCAGGCGCGAGTTTTCAGCTAGAGTTTGGTCAGAGCCTTTGACTCATCTTGTTGCCCTGTTCAATTTTTCAATTTCAAAACAAACAGTTTGTGCAACAGATCCCATAATATCCAGCAATATCTCAAAATCATATCGGAGCCAACTAAATACCTAGCTAAATGTCTAAGGGACAATCAGTTATCTCAGCCGTAATATCCGAGAACACATCAACAAGACCATCAAGATGGGATCATTAGTCTTCGTAACATATGAAAAAAGTCCAAAAATGAGAACGACGCTTCTTAACGGGGATTGAGCCCGACGCGGGGGTCGAACCCACAACCTTGAAATGACGGAGAACCTTGTTGAGGTCAGGGAGATCCTTCTTAAGAGTCTCACGCTCTACCGATTGAGCTAGCCGGGCGGATCACTCTCGCTCAGAGTAGGTGGTAGGACTGGATGACTGTATTGAACAAGGCCGGAAGTGAGCCAGTTAAAGGAAGTCTGGTCTTATGCGTGTGGTCGGAAGGGGGAAGATTTCTTTAGCTCCAAAGGTCCGAAGTTTCACCTCAAAACAAGTCCTGACTATATCTTCAGGGTTGCGCCCTCGGTTCAAGGTGCGTTTGTCTTCAAAGAATTTGAAGGGAAGACAACAAACTCAGAATCAAAAGGCAAATCGAAAAGCCTAAAGAGCAGTTATTACAAAAATGTAGGCATAAACAATTGAGGTCCAACTTAGCAGGATGAGGTGAAGCCCAACCGCTCAAAAGGCAAAATTGAAGAACAATGCCCAGTAACAGGATTGAACTGTTGACCTTCGCATTACTTAGTATAACACTGAGATGTTATATTAGTACGACGCTCTAACCAGCTGAGCTAACCGGGCAGAGAACTTTTGCAGGAGAGGTTAGTTGGGTCAATCATGAAGGCACTCGACCTCCGAGCACTTCGGAGAATCTGCTGTTTCCCAGGCCTATGCCAACTTTGGCTCACACCCAAGTGGAGATGTAAGATGTGGCGCTGGCAAGCTGTTCGTTGAGATGTAAGACTTGCTTCTTTGCTCGAAACTATGGAGAGCTGGTTACGCCCTTGAGAAACGAGTATCACAGCTTTCTAGACTTGAGAGTTAGATCACAAGATTCAACCTCGTCGCAGCCATGACTTATCACCACTGTCAAAGTTAAATTATTGTTGACCATGGGCTTGTGACGCTGCTGGCATCGTCGTTTGACCCCTAGCCACTAAGTATCCGACATTTACTCGATTACTTGGGGTAAGAACCAAGTTGTCTGCATCAGGTCTGGCCCCACCACATCCAACAGAAGCTCTCAGGGCATAGTTTTGAGTAGGGGCATATCTTGGGATTTCAGTTCATAAAACGAAACAGTTATGGTAAATCGTCGAATATGTCTTTCATCGAGGACGAAAGACAAAGATTCCGTAATATCGCGGGAGCACCGCAAAAGCGCAGCGAGTTGCACGACATCGACTGCAATCACATGCAAAGACGCAAAATGAGCCCTTTTCAATTCCCAGGCCAAGACGCTGGGGAAATGGCAGGGTTGGAGTAGCGCGGTTGCAATCCGGTTGCTTGAAGACGTCACCGCTCTCGCTAGCATCAAGCCACAGCGTGGAGGGATACGGAGTTAAGACTGTTTGGGCCGAGTGGGTGGGCATCTCACACTTCTCCGCAACGTCTACCTAATTCTACGCATCCATTGCGTAATGGAGCAAAACAGTATTCTAATAATTCCGGCGGTGCACTCCGATGCAAGAGTGAATTTCGTCACTAGATATGGAAACGATCAAATTGCGACGAATGCCGTTGGGCTAGGGCGAAATGGCTGTTTGACCATTTGTCATTGATGTGGCATTGGAGGTCCAGAAAGGCACTGAAGCAATGAAACTAAACTACAGTGCCATTGGGGGACATGGCGCCATCCCGGCCGTAACTTGAGACGAACAGCCCATCTCAGGGAAGAGAGCCGGATATTAACCAAACAATTTCCGTGTGTCAAGACTCATTTGTCTAAGAAGTCGTGGTGCTGGGAAGTTGAAGTCAAGGCCAGCCGAGGTTGAGACTTGTCCGAGTTGACCGTTAGCGAAGTTGCCGTTCCCTCCGTGTTAGTGTAGGATTCCTTCGCTGGTTTAGCAGCGGCTCTGAGGAAGCTAAGTGTGGAGACTCTGGTGCGCTTTCAGAGCTGGATCGTCATTCTGCCTGAACGTCAAGCGTAACAACTCTCCAGGATCACCTCATCACAAGCTTGGGGACTGCACTAGTCTCGGAGCCAAGGGCGAGTCATGTTTGCTTGCGCGGGGGAGGCAAACATGGCTCCGAGAAGATGTCGGGGCTCAGGCAGCGGCGTTCCTCAGATTGATAAGGGTGGGTCCAGGAACAAAGCGGAGACAAATCAGAATGACAGAACAAGCAACGGAGCGTTGGCGCAGCGTGCAGAAAAGAGGGGCAGCATGCCGCTGCCATGTGGGAAAGGGAAGCACAAGACACGAGACGACGCGCCGCGCTTCGGGATGCCAGAGACTCGGAAGGCCAGCGAGAAATGGATATCCCCAGTCATTGATTGGGCTCTCACGTGGACGACGAGCCTTCAGGCGCCCATTCCTGCTGTTGCCGATGGAAGCTCTCTAAGCAACGGGAAGAAACGGGTGTTGGAGTGGGGTGTCGCCAGCTGCAGAGGACGGGCCAGCGGGTGTAGGGCAGCGTGGGGAAAGCGGGCTGCAGTGGCGCAATGGTGTGGTTTTGACTCCAGACTTGCCTTGTGGGTCCTCCGGGCTTCGGGGGCCAAGACGTCCAAGAGGGGCCAAAGACAGAGCCAACCCGCCAAAAAGACTGCTGGCAATAGCGATTCCCTTCTTTGATTGGCTGAGAGAGGCCGATGGCGCGTGGAGAGTTTTGGTCGTGTCAGCAAAATCGGTGCCGGTGAAAACCCCCCGGATGCCCTCCGCCGACGACACTCCGTCCTGCCTGCCCTTGTTTGACTTCAACCCTCTCGCTCCCAGTCGTCGTGCTCTTCAATTGACCATTTTCCTCATTTCCAGCTCAAAGAACCATTTCGACTCCTGAAACACATTCTTTTCCCGTTGCGTCCCCAGTGTCCAATCCATCAGCCAGTCTCACGAGGGAATAAAAAGCTTGAGAACCGGCATTGCCGAAGCGAGTCATCACAACCTCAACTCTTCAACCGTTCCTTAAGGAACTTTCACCTCCAAACACTTTTAATCTCCCACACAATGTTCGGCACCAAGGCCCTCCGCGCTGCTCAGCATGCTGTGCGCACCCCTTCGATTAAGTTCATCGGCAAGCGGACAATTCCTGGTATGTACCGTTCCCGAAGAACAGCAGAGCTAACTAAAGACTGACCGCGATGACTCGACAGCTGTTGTTGACCACACTCCTCAACCGCATCCCGCTTCGCCGACTAAGACTCTTCCTGCCTCTTTCCTGAGCTCTCACGCTACCTTTAGTGTTTACCGCGACCATGCTCAACAGTTTGGTCCCCTCCGCAAGACAATCACCCCTAATGCTGGCATTGGCGGCTCTCCCGCCGTTGCCCTCGGCCCCGTCGAGCCCCCGCAGGGTGTCTACTTCGACCGCAATGACCTGCCTGAGCGGTTCCGTCGCCAGCCCCTAACTCCGGACGAGATTGAGGCCATTGAGACTGGCGGTGCGACTTTCTTTGCATGAACGCCCATCATGCACTGTTTAGTGTTTTTATCATTTTCTGAGTGTTCAGAGCTAATTGGATACCTCTCTTTCAGGAGGCCACCTGCTATACAGGGGCTCGTATCTTTAAGGCGCCAGCCGTTACTTTATGACACTGGCACGGAGAACTGGACGGAGGCGGGAGTTCTCGCGAGATTCATTAAGCCCCCAAGTTATTGGGCGCAAAGCTCAGAATGGCAGATATTGAACGGGGGCCCGAGCACTCCGTGTAAGACTTTTTAACAATTATCATGGACGCTTCTCTTGTGGTATACACACGGATTAGCTGTTTGGGCTATGGGGCAGAGACAGGTGGAGATTTGACTTCTGCATGCAGACAGGGTGATGGGGAGCATTTTCTGGCGTATACCCGGGATTTTGGCGCCGAAACGGATCGGCTGGGAAAACATGGGCTAGCATAGATAGCACATTTCAATTCATTTTGCATTAGAACTTCCAGGTCGTTGGTCGAGATCTCGTGACTTTTGGTGATTTCTTTTTTTGCAGAAGGGTCCCCTCTATAGTTGAAGGTCGGGTCATGTGTGGGGAACCCGACGCGGATCTTCGAGAGCCCCACCATGGCCAGGGCTGTCTTGGCGAAACTCTCAGTGAAATTTCCTTGAACCTTTCAACATCCGACAGTTCGAGCGCGCCACGACTGCGAAGTTGCTGGTCCCCGTTTTTACCAGCAGTAGAATCGATTTCTTCGACATCTAGAGCTCCAACACTCACTGGACTGTCTGCATAACGATCTGCTCGACACTGCATTCATCAGCAATAACCAGCAAGCGAAAACCTAACACAAGGACACGGCAACTTCAGCAGTCGCAAGCGGAACAATGAGGGGATTTGGATCCGACTCATCGCAAGCCAGCGGCGAAGAAGCAAAATGCCCCGTCAACCACAAGACCCGTGAGCTCTGGCTGCACCAAGCACGCGCAGCCCAATCCGCATCCACATCCGCTGCCCCCGCATTACCACAGAGTGTTCAAGTCGCGCCAGCTTCTCAACCCAGCCAACCCTCGTCCTACTCCAGCTCCTCTTGGTCGTCCTGGCTCCGAATCCCCTTCTTCTCCCAACAATCGCAATCTGCCAATTCAACGCAACAGGCCCAACCGCCCAAACTGTCAGCCCCCCTCCTCGACGAAACCCGCGTCATCTCCAGCATCCCCCGTACTCCTGACGCCACGCCCTCCGCCTGCCCTGTCAACCATGAAGTCGAGACCGGCGCCTCGCCCACAGGGCACTGGGTCTATCCCTCCGAAAAACAATTCTTCGAAGCTATGCGCCGGAAAGGGTACGACCCACACGCGGCGGACATGAAGACCGTCGTGCCGATTCATAACGCGGTGAACGAGAGGGCTTGGGCAGAGATTCTGCAGTGGGAGGCGCCGTATGTCGAGCCCGTGAGTAAAGGCGGTTGTGGCGGGCCGAGGTTACATAGTTTTTCCGGGCTGGGAACGCAGCATATGAGTCCGAGAGCGAGAATTAATACGTTATTGGGGTACCAGGCTCCGTTTGATAGGCACGATTGGGTTATTGATCGGTGTGGGAAGAAAATTGAGTATGTGATTGACTTCTACGCTGGAAGGAGTGATGGGGGGAATGCGGGGAAGCTGAATTTTTATTTGGATGTGAGGCCGAAGTTGAACAGTTGGGAGGGTTTTAAGATGAGGGCGTTAAGGGCTGTTGGGTTGTCGTGAGAAAGTGCGGGTTGTGTCCTTGATTTCGGGTGTGTATTTGTAAAATATGTACCATACCACTCCATTTTTGCAGGGCAGTGTTTTGGGATGGATAGCTGGCAGTATGAGATGACTGAGCTCAGGGGCTCTGGAAAAGCCCACGATTAGCTTACCCGACAGCATCGCCACAGTTACACTTATGTTCAGGTCCTGACTGTTTTGAACAGTAAGCTCAATTTCGAGACAAGGAAATATGGGTTATCGTCACTTGCAGAGCAGTTCGAAGGCTAGGATGAATGGTATCCCTTCAAATATCTTTCTTCAAACAGACTCTAAACAGACGACGGTGTTCTCCCTTCAAAACAAAAAATGGTCGACGATACTGGGAAGCATTTCTGGATTGTTGAACATCTCTCAACCTCCTTCTCTCTTGGTAATAAAACATCAAAGTTGTCAATTAACTGAGACATCTTTTGATGCTTATTGTCAGTCCTCATTCCACGGTCGTTGAGATCCCTAGGGAACTACTTACACCGCTTGTCACTATGGGGGGATGCAGCGGATCGGCCACGCTGAAGTCAAACCATTCAGGAGCTAACATTAACATAACAGAGGAAAGAGACCAGACAGGGCTAGACACCTTACCTCCACAAAGCTCTTGTTCAGTTTGATCAGGGCATCCCCCTGCTTGCACACTTCCATTTTCCACTGTGGAAGACTAAATCAACCGTTTTGTTCATATTAGACAGCTGTTCACCCTCATCCTCAAACCAACGCTTTGCCAAAAGATGTGCACATCACGTCCGAAAATCTTGGGTGAGCATGTCACTCTCATCATCGGTGCTGCCAGTCAGGTTGCTGCTGAAATGTAATTGTTTTGGATTATATCTCCGCCAGCAAGCACTCTCTGAACTCGGAATGGGAGAAGGAGAAAGAATGCAAACCTTTTTGATCACAGCTTGGAGGTATGGCAGTTTGCGGACCTCGGAGTCCTTGATGGTTGATAAGATCTCCCCGGTTGCAAGGGCCTGGTCGATCTCATTCTGGAGTTTTTTGTATGCAAATGGTGTATTGATCAGCATTAACAAAGTGTATCGGATAGCAGCTGCGGTTGTGATCTTGTGAGCCAGGATAGTCCGGAGGTTCTCTGTTGGGGCAGCCCCTTTCGCTTGAACGACCCCAAAATGTCTGGCATATGGTGTACATCTGGTTTGGATCTTTCGGCGACGACTTTCTAGGACATCTACATGTGTTAGTGGGTTGTGTAAGGGTTGGGAAAAAAAAAACTTACTGCATGAGGTGACCCCAGCCCAATTGGTCAATTTGGTACAAACCGAAAGGCTGGATGAATGATATTGACAAGCCATGGGTACTCTGCAACTACTTGCGCGAAGCACATCGCTTTTCCTGACAGACTAATATGTCCTTATCTTGTTCCAGATATCGAAACGGGTATTCAAACGCAAATGGCTGATGTCATCCTTGTCACATGTGACTAACTAAGGCTAATAACTGTTGACACAGGCAGTTACATTGTGAAATACTGGATTTACTTGATGGTATATACGGGGTCGGATATCATTCCCTTTTAAGATATTTCATTTCCAACAGTTTGATAAAATTGGCAATCCCAAGCGCAATTGTGGCTACGATGTTATAGACGATGTCTTTGCCTGTGTACCTGGAAAGAAATAGCTTCCTCATTTCGGTGGGTGTAGTATCGTCGCGGCAAGTGTTCAAGGCAGGCTTCGCGGGTTCAAACTGGAACATCTTCCACCCTGATGTGATGAGAGCTCAACTAAGCTCTTGTAACTCTGGTTCAACATACAATATGCTCGTGTGTAGCCTGAACTTGTATAAAAAGATGCTGAATCACATCCGGATCCTCTGCAATCACCTGACGAGGGCCAATTCGCACTGGGGAACCTGAGACTCGGTGGGCTAATGAAGCGCAGTTTCTATGAAGGCCGTATTAGAACGACGCCATACTTCTCAGTTAACTTCTCCAGGACTTAGCCCATGTTTGCCACTGAGAATCTCAAGTTGGTCAGCAATTGATGAATCTTGCGAGTAGCGGCTGTAGAATGTATTGGAGTTTTCACCATTGCCAGAAGACACTCAAAATGAGGATGAAAACGATCCCAGGAAGAAGATACTTTGCCAGCATCATCCTGGATATCTGTTTAGCTGAAGTCTGATGGGGCTTTGTGAGCTGAAGTTTGAGTGAAAGACTCTGTGAGTAGACTGTTGCTGTTATCTCTCAACTACCCACGTGATCATCATTGTGCCGAGGCTCTCAGTCCATGTCACAATCATACCTTCCCTGATCAGAATGACAGAAAGATATATGCACTCCAAGGCTACAAAACTAATAAAAAATGCTAACATAAGAATTATGAATATACTAGAGTTCACTCAGCCATGTTTTCCGTGCGATGGTGATGCTGCATGAACGTGGGGTTGCACAATATGCAATGGAATAAACCTGATTGGAGAACTTTCAAGAGTGGCTCTATAATAGATGTTGAGCCTCTCCTTTGTGCCCCTCGTATTTCAGCTCTCTCAAAGTCATGCCGACGCATGTCATGCAACATTTCTACACTTGACCAAATAGCCATCCGCACGAGTTGTAGGCAGGCTGAGTTTGTAACTCCCGCGCTCTGTGTGCAACCTATACCTCTATCTCATCAAGTATGTAAATACTAGTAAGATTGCATTATGGCGTATCTCATGTTGGACGTGGAACATTGGGGACTTAAGAGTCTTGAATGTAAAGAAACGTGAACATACAAAAAGTCGTCATGAAGTCATTACGTCGGCCAACCCTTGCCCAATAATGTTCCAACATTACCACATCCATGGACAGCATTCAAAACAACATAGGCAGGTGCTCTATACAGTGTATCATAATGGAGCGCAGTCGATATTTTCTCAATCACTCTTTGCCTCGAGTTGACTGTGGTGAAATAGTCTTGGATCTTTCTCTATGGGATGTACGACTAGGATTAGTTAGCATCTTTCCACTTTTGACTAAGAAATTCGAGAGGAACATACTTCTTCTCCCATCACCTACCCTTACGCGGACAGGTAACCTCGTTTCGAGAGCATTTGTTTCCAAATCCCAGTCAACCGCCGCCAAAGCAGCAAACAACTGCTCCTTCTGCTCGTCTGACACATAGCCCAGCGGCATCTCGTTCTCAAAATGACTCTGCAAGCCGTCCTTGAGTGCAGAGTCGAAGTGGTAGGCATGATTGACAGCATCGAACCAAGCAGCCAGGGGCGTCTTAACGCCTTCTTTCAAGGCAATCTTCATGTAAAACGTCCCACCGCGATGCCATATCGCCATAAAGTACGTGCTCGTTTCAAAGTCGTACCGATGATACCCTCTCGGGTTCCAGCTGACCAGTTCGCCGTATGTCCCAAAGTCGCAGAAGCCATGGTAGTCGCCGCTTTTGCTAGCCAAATTGCCGCGCGATTTGCATAGGATGCTTTCGCGCTTGGCAACCTGGTCAGGAGTCAACACCGTGCCATGATCAAGCCATTCCCGGAAGACGATGGTCGCCCGCTGGCGGTTGAGCGAACGCATTTTGACGCTGCGCACAGCGCGATAGTTCATCGTCAGATGCACCCCCGCTAGCAATATCATGAGGAACCACACCACCTGTTTATCCTCAACCAAGCGAACAACCAGCGACCCGGCCAGCATCCCTAATAAACTAACGACTGTCTCCTGCGACGCTTCTTTCGCATTCAACTCGGCCAAATTCCCCGTCAGCGCAAAATGCGCCGACAAACTAGCCTTGCTAGCATTCGCAGCGACACCACACAATGAACGCAGCACCCCAGCAGAGACGATAACACTCAGTTTCGGGAAGTACGGCAGCGCGGGGGTCAGCAGGTCCAGGAACTGCGCCGAGTCATTGAAGATGTCGGCAAGGAAGCGGTAGAATTTGCACTCGGGCTCGATGGCGCGGCCCATGCGGTGGGCAAAGAGGATGGTCGCGATGCGCGAGATGGTGTCACCCGTTATCTTGAGGATGAGGGCGCCAGTTGGGGAAGAAGATGAGTCGCCTACGCCAAGACCCTCGAGCACAGCGCGGTTGGCGAGCAGCGATGTGATGGAGGAAGCAAAGGCTTGTAGGGAGTCATAGAGCTGGTAGGAGAGGTAGTCCTCGGTCACGGTGTGGGGGAAGCCGGCTGGGAGGAAGGCATAGAGGATAGCTTTGCCTAAGGGGACTTTGGTTTTCTCCTGTTGAGGGCGTCAATCCATGTCGGTAAGCAGAAATCAGAAGGATCGGAGAGTAGCATTTAGACTTCTACGAACCGTCTGAAGCTGCTCGCGGGCGCCATGCTCAGTGTAAGTGCAGAGCACCTCACCCGCCGCGTCGATGTCGTAGAAACGGCGGCTCATGGCGCCGCGTAAATCGCATGCTCACCGCGACTAAACAAAACAAGAGCCGAATCAGGAGGATGAAACCCAGATATCAAGACGGAAAGGTCTGGACCCGGGAGCCCGCGATCTCTGCTTTTGGATTGCGGCACGGCATCTTGGCGCGTGCGTACGTTCCGTCGCGTCCCGCTGTGCCCCTTGGGGCCAAGTGCTGCCCACGAGCGGCTCTGACGTACTGTAACACAGACTAAGGCTTATCGCTGCTTATCATCTAATCGATAATTGTGATAAGAAGAGGGCCCACAACCCGACATGTGCCTGATGGCTTGGGAACCAGAGATGACATGCACACAGATCAGACTCTTTGCTGCCATTAAGACTTCTAGAAGCCGAGGGAAGTATAAGACGCGAAACTATTCGCAACATTAGTTGTTAGATAGGGTAACTTTGCCGCGTGTACACATTGGCCAACCAAGCAGCAAGTAACCGCTTGCGTCTAAATCATTCCTTCATCACTGGGATCACCTCTTGACAGGCGTGCCGTCCTCAGCAACTAGATACTCATCTGTCTTCTGCGGACCTTCGCCCACACCAGTCATAATTACACGGCTGACACCGCCCTTCAGCAGCCCGGCCACAGCCTCATCCAGTGTCACAGCCGGCTGCTTCAGGCTCTCAACAATCGACTGCTTCCATCCGTCAATTCCAGCACCCAGAACGCTGTACAGAGTGCCGACAACAATGTCCGTATCCTGCTCCAGGTAGTAGATGACGGCATTCGGGCCAGCATCGAAAGTATACGCGGCCACGGTCCTACCAGCAGCGTCGTTAATCTGCTCGACGGCGCGAATGGCAGCCCTTGAGACATCGTTCATATAAAAGATAGGCGGGTAGGTATCGGCGCAGGTAGCATGGAATGAGTTCGAATCGCGCATGGTGATCTCTGCAAAGGTAGCAAAGTCCCTCTCCTTGATAGCCTTCTCCATAGCCTCCATATGCTTCGGCACAACGGTAGCAATGCGCTCCTTAAACAACCCCGATGTCGCCACAGTCTGCTGCATGCCCGACGTCGAGCTGACGCCCTTCTTGGCTGCTGACACGACCAGAATCAGCGCCCGCATTTCGGGCCAGTGCGATGCCTCAGCCACCTGCACGGCCAACGAGTCGCTGCCGTCCGCCTTTTCACCCATCCGCCACGCGACATACCCGCCAAATAGGCTGCGGCATGCCGACCCGGAGCCCTGCCGGGCAATCAGGCTGAGCTCGGACGGCGAAGCAGGCAGCTCGTACAGGTTGGCGATAGCGCGCACAAGGGCCGCGAAGCCCGCCGCGGACGACGCCAAACCTGCAGCCGTGGGGAAGTTATTCTCGGACACGATGCGGAGCGGCATGGTCGAGAGCTTGGGGAGCGACGGATCAGCGGCCTCGAGGGCGGCGCGGCGGGCGCGCAGCTCGCGAAAGCAGGCTTGGGTACGGGCGCCTGAGACGTCGGAGGGTTCGCCATTGAGGATGAGTGTGTCGCCTTCCGGGTAGGTGGCCGAGCACGACGCGGTCGTCAGCGTGCGCAGATCAGACTGGGCGAGGGTCACCGACAGCGAGCTGTTTGTCGGGAGGTTAAGCTTGGCATCGCGCTTCCCCCAGTACCTGTGGTTCGGGGGATAGTTAGCTGGGGGCGATATGGTAGGTGGCACTGAATGTGTAGGTGCAGTACTTGACGACGGCAATGTTGACAGGCGCCGTGGTGCTGGCGCGATACACCGTATTGTCGGCCATGGTTGGGGTTGGAATTTGACTGAAGTTGTCCTGGAACAGAGGGAGATTGGAGGACAAGCAGGCCGCAGGAGGGGATCTGGACTCGAGCTGACGTTTGCGGATGAGAGGTTTAACTGAGACGCTCGAGACGTTTTCAGGGACTGAAGCATTTCACCGCTTGTGTCAACCATGGCGTCCAGCTTCGTTGTCCCTGCAGACCAGTCCCCTGAAGAGGGAAAGGAGACTGGCGCCAAGACCCCGCCATGGCCATCCAAAGGGGTTTAGTGCGGGGCAGTTGCAGGGACCAGGACTCATCCCACCGCCTGCAGCTCTGACCCCGCTCATCATCAGTTGTATGGGGCTGCATGAACGCCCAACTTTGAGCCCAGGAACTATGGCACACCTTGGGACTTGGGTTTACAGAAGAGAGTAGTTTTGGATTCTTGAGGGAAAGAGCGGCTAACGAGTTTGTCAAATTACAATTAATCACACAACTTCTTGACATATGTATCCTGCTGATGGTTTCCCATCCACCCGCCGCCTTTTCCTGAAAGATCAACATCAATGAGACCAAACTCTGATCCAGGCCGCCATTGCTTCCCCAGCCATTGAGGATGACCACGAGATCTTAAGTTCAACAAGTGCTTTCTAACGGTGTTCTGATCTTGCCGGGACGATGACTTTACTTTATGACCCGCTTGAAAGTGTCATTGTTCACTGTTCCCCAAATGCAATATTGTGCGCACTGGAACACTGGGTTACCAGAAACAGGCATTTGGCTGGACTTCTAGCTTCATCAATGGAGAAAGAGAGGACTGTTCTCAACAATATTGTCACCGACCAAGCCAGAGTTACGTTATCCATCCTGCCATGCATTCCTGATTGCCCTGGACTTCGGTGTTTCTGTTCAATGTGTATGACAGGGCACCTTACTAGGGTGAGTCTGTCCCCTTTTCATATCCTAGATCTGGACCTTGTTAATTCCTTGTACCTGGCTTTCCTCACTAGCCCCCATTTTCGTCCCCTGAAGCGTCCACTCAAATGATTGGCTCAAATGACTGATACCAACCATTACTTCTACTTCAGCCATATTTTTTTTCCGTTCAGCAGTTGATGGATGCTGTCCAGTTCCCCTCTCTTAGTGGGTATCATCATCTTAATATCCATCAAGCCTATCGGGACAAATTCGTTCTTGTCTTTGCTAGTTGGCTCCAGCTCCATTGGAAAACCGCGGCTATTCCCTTTCTTTTGCCAATTAAAAGGTAGAATTCACCATTTAGAAACATCTGCTGACCCTTTATCAAGAATCCAGGAAGTACCTTAGCTTGGCCTTAGTAGGAACTGTCGTATGCATAACTTTAACTATGACGGCTGCCTCGACCTTAATCGCATAATCTTCCTGCCGGGTGCCGAGCAGCTTAATTGCCGGGAAGTTCAGACAGACATATCATGTCAACACTATCATTTACACTTACCCAGCTCCAGGTCGGTGCCGGAAGAGGGGAGCGCTGCTCTGATTTGACTTGAACACCCGCCATCGCAGCTGATGTGGCAGGATGTTCTCCCACAAGCACCAAATGCATCAATATCAATATAATCACTCCATACGTCGATTGGAGCTTGTATCGCGCGAAGCCGGTCTGTTTGCATGGTCAGGCCGCGCTGTTGGTACTTGGAAATGAGGATATCCCATGACATGTTCTGCCAGTGTTCCCTTCTTGGCAACACATGGGCGGCCCAACTCATGTGGTCTTCGAATTCACATCGGTAACGAGAGGGATGCAGGACTGATAAGTCATTTGGTTTTCCTGTTGAGTTCTCCCAGCAGAGCCTCAGGACATAATCGTTAAGGAAGAACAAGGTCTGTGGGAGTGCATCTCCTGCACGCTGGTTTAGGACGGCATCTTTGAGATCTCGACACATCTCGCCGAAGCTGTTTGTATACAGCTGCACCTCTCCGCCTTCTGCGAAGGGAAATATGTAGTGAAGATTGTTTGGCAGAATGTTCTGGATGTAGTTTGGCGGCTCAAGAGAGTCCACTGTGCTTGCCTGACTTTCCTGAAGCAGTAGTGACCAATGCTTCACTGTAGATGCTGTTCATCAATGAATCTCTTTATCCTTATTGGCATCACTGTCTTGAATAATACAGAGTGCATCGATTCATAAAAACCGTAGTCTTAGTTTACTGGTGACAAACACTGCATCCTAGACTGTGCGGCTGAAACGTTGAAGAGATACACCTTTGATGAACTCAATCAGTGTTGCCTGAGTGAGAATAAATGGCTGAAAACTCCCCTAGTAACTCAGGCAGGCAGACTGGCCTTTTTCGGAGGAAGACGAAAGATAAATCTTCACGATATCTCAACATCCACTAGGTGACTTGGAAGCTGAGATATCTTGGATTTTTGCATTTTGTGTGCTCTTCGAGACATCAATTTAACTGAGAAGCTGCCGACTCGAAAGACGCATGGGATATGGGGAATTGAGGAGAAGAAGGGGCGAAGAACTGAACTCCTTTGCTCTCTGTCAAATTGTACAATGAGAAGAAGCTAAAGATTCTTCAATTGCTAGACGTACCTGCAGATACCACGAGAATATAATAGTTGAAGTGTTCCTACGACTTGAAGTTGAAACCCGAATCACCATTCCAAAGGTGTAACGTAAAGTTGATGTCCCATATGGGTTTCCGTCGGATAATCTCATCGAGTGCATGATCAGGGACCCTGCTGAGCACGGCAGACTTCAAGTTTGATATTCTAATCCTGGATATGCCCGTTTGCATATGCTCGAGCATAGAGCCGACCCTTCCAAAAGCTATGGTCTGCTACGTATTCGATAGGTTTGTCTAGGCTCCAGCACAGAATATAGTCATTGCTATGATCCAACCTCTCATTAAGAGAGACTCCTAAGTGGTAGAAGCTAGGGGGTTGGTAGGCTTGTCTAATGCCTTCGATGGAGAAGAGTTTCCGGCAGCGGATACAAAACGATGACTCTCATGGGTTTTTGCCTAATGATGATAACATTACTCCAGTGCTAAATCCTTACTTCAATGAAGCATTTGGCCAAAATGAGATTGGCTTGGTCCCTCTAGATGAAAGTGAGATTTGTGCTGATGCTGCCTGCTGTTAGGTACCATTGTCAGATTAGCATGTATTCTAGCTTGTCCTCTCAGCATGCCTTAGGCAGAAATGCAGGATAAGCTGCAAAGCTACAACACCATGGTTGAGATATTGTTATTATTGTGGGAGTAAGAATGTGTCACTTTGGGGCAAGCAAATATTACATGTGAGACAACTCCTGGCCAGTCACTGTAGCTTTCAATCATGTCCTTCTCATGCTCCCGATACTATCGAAAGTGATTAACCAGTTAGCTATGATTTAGGTATGCGAATGGCATTTTTGAAGCTTCCAAATGATACATGGCAGAGTTAAAGAGATTGGTAATATTGACCTGAAAGACTGGGACTCATAATTACCTCAGCTTAACACAGACCAGCTCATCACTCACATCGCTAATACCTTCCTGAAGCAATCCCAAATATGCCTTCAGGAGTTCACTCTTCAGCGTATGTACTACGTCCTATGACACAGAATTAAGCCTTCGAGCTTGAGGACAACCGCTAACCCTTGCGCATGCCCTCCCTCCTTGCTACACTTAAGCGCTCCTCTGCAAGCACCCGCCACGGGTAATTTATCCCTGTCAAACTCCCAATGAGCAACTCAACTCCTCCCATAGAACAGCGATCAGCCCCCACAATTCGCATCTTTCTCCCCAGTCCCTCCCCGCGGACTCCGGCATCCCCAGTAAGAGCCCTGCCTCAGCCCTGAGCCTTGGTCCGGGATATCAATTCCGAGATCTACACCTGCTCCCCCTGAAGCCCCTTGCATGTTCATGTCAGTGACCAATCTTATCGTGGGCTCCTCACAAACGTGAAACGTGGCTTCTGTTTGTAGCCGAAATATGCACTCCCAGACAATGACTTTCCCATGGACAGACTTGACAGGCACTGAAGAGAGGAATGAGATGCCTTTCTGCCCCATATGCGCATAGACAGGCAGGAGGCCACGTGTTTCCCATGCTTGGTATGCATCCGTGGGGGAGATATGCCCGCCAATGCAGCTGTCAGTCATGGTAGGTAGTAGGGGATGTAGTGCGAGACTCACAATAACCATGACTCAGGAACACATAAGACAGTCTAGATGGCGAAGAGCAGAAGTAGCCGAACAAAATGCGAGACATCGGACATAACCTGAGATAAACCCGATCTTTGTCCTCTAAGATTGAGACTGAGACTCGCTGTCATAGCTGTCTGTCTGTTTCACATGCACACAAGCACGCACTTATGCGCAACATCTTCATGGGGCAAGACTGTGTGTCTTCAGGCTGAGTATCGCAGCACCGGGGACGACTGGACAGATGACGGATGAGATTGTGAGATGGAAGGGGGATACCTACCTGTCCTCCATGACAGGATTGAGAACTTGACATGGAATTATGCCTTTCTGAGTTGACAAAAGTTTTCCTCCCTCAGCGCTTATCGAGAGAGATCAACCCATCTCTGATAGATGATCCATCCCCTTGGTGTTCCATTTCGGGGGAGCCTCTCCTCCCCAAGTCCTAGCTCTGCACTCTGCCCAAGCAATAAAATGACAACATCCCCCTCCCCTTTGCTGCCTGCTTGCCCTGTAGTGTTCTGATACACAATCCTGAACACCCGTGAGGCACAGCCTAAAGGCACACTCCTGCTGTCCATTGTGCCAGCCCCGTAGCGCATGACGCTCGTGCATTTCTGTCACAGAGTTCCCTCCACGACACACACCCCTACAGAAGGGAGAACTCCTCACCTGACACAGGTAGGCACACACTCAGTAGGCGCAGCAAGACACCAGTAGATTGTTTGAAGCCGTCCCTCTATTCATTGCACAACTGAGCGCTCATAACGGCCCTATATCTATCTCCTTTACATCACAACTATGAAAGTGTAATAGTTGAATGCTCTCACTCCAGACCAGCCCGTCTTCCATTCACTTCAACATAGGTGTACACCATCCATCGATCTATGTACAAATATGGCAAGACCTTCAGGTCCGCCAGGCCCATGTATTACACATATCGGGCCAAGTTGTAGTAGCAGTTAACACTATGGTATAAGTTTTGAAGATGATGACATCAATGACAGGCTGTTGAATCAATAACCCAGCCATAAGAGAGCATCCAATCTGGACCAATCCAATCCATAGACGGGAATCAATACATGTAAGGCCATAATAAGCATTCGTGCCATTGTAATCCAAATGCTTTTTTGCATCATCACAAAAAGGAACGACCATTACTGATGGGGTATCTTAACGAAAGCCAATGACAAAAGAAACAGCAAAAATATTCAACAAAGGAAAGAGAGAAATGCACAAAATATTGGTGAAGCCGTCCGTTTTGCCCATCACAAGACGTTCATCCCTCTATGATTATTGTTTCGTTTATGTAAAAAAATATGAGCTGGCCGCAGTCAAAGGATTGCGTCGTGATCAGAAAGGCACGGTGTCGGTGCAATCGTCAGGAAGTATCCAGAAATGCCAGGAACTGAAAGAGAAAGGCCACGGGAAAAGGGAAGGGGAGGGGGGGGAGTGGCAGCTCATTTGCGCAGCCCCACCTTCCCAGCCAAGCTCTTCAACAGCGCTGAAACGCTGTTCTTTCGCTCATGCTGGCTGTTCCCAGCCATAACTGCATCGCGCTGCATTGGCCCGACAATCTCAACATCCCCGAGCTCGGGGAACTTGCCATCGTCACTAAGCATGCGCGGGACTGAAGGAGACAGGCGTTCTTCCGAGGTACGGCGCAGCTGTGAAAGCGCCACCGGATCATTCTTCCCGAGACGCTCGACTAGCTGGTCTTCATTGCGCTGCCACTCCTGGTCGATCTCGGCCCACTTAGCCTCCGTCAATGCGTAGATGTTGGAAGTGCTCCCATAGTGCTCGCTGATACGCACAAGATGCTTGGCGTAGTTCGTTCGGGCCTGGTTCCAATCCGCGCGGAAGGCTTGCAGCGTGGCGAGGTCAGCTGTCTCGGGCATGTAAGGTTTTGGCTCGATGGTAAAGTTTGCATGACCCAGACGATCCGACCATGCGTCCTGAAGATCGAAAAGATATGGCACTGGTGACGGCGCATCGCTGAAAGTGCTGGAGACAGTTCCCCTCCAGAGCGAGGTCAAAGAGGGCTTGTTGCTGAGTGGTGGGCTTGGGAAGGTCTTCGTTCCTGACAAGTCGGGTACAGGCGAGGGTAGAGTAGGTGATTGCAGTGGAGACATTTGGAGGGATGGAGGCCTGGTCTGCGACGAAGCGGGCACTGGCGCTTCGGTCATCAACGGCGGCAGCAGAGGAGTTGTTGCAATTGTCCGGTCGCGCTCCAGTTTCTTGCCGACGGTCGCCGGAGACACTTCCAAGGGGGAAGGAAGGACGACGCTCTCGCAGCTCTCATAGAACGACAGCGCTGGGGTTTCGGGAATGTCGGAGTCTTGAGCAGGATAGTCCGAGGCCGTACGTGCTGGCCCTGACAACGAAGAGGACCTGGATATTGCGCGAACCAGGCTCGGTCGCCGACTTGCGAGAGAAGGATCGGAGGAGGCCGAGTACGCAAAACTGGCCGCCTTGGAGCTGGTGCTTGCTGACCGCCATCGCGAAAGACTTGGAAGTCGTGAGCTGAAGCGTGCGCTCCAGTTGCCGAACCGCGTGTCAGAACCCTGACGTCTCTTCTTGGACCGCAGATCCTGACCAAAGTCACCGTCGCTTAGGAACCCGAGATCATAATCGACATCGGAAGCCATATAAGAGGCAGGAATGGTCGGACTCTGCACCAGATCACCATGGTGCGAGCATGGGGCATCACCTAAATTACTGTCAGCAGGGCCGTTGACCCTCGAAGCAGGAAGTCCACCTACATAAACAGTCATAGAGACCAAAGTCACCATAGTCGCACTCAAGGCCGGCTGCAATAAAGTCCTCTTCCCTCTCGTACGGCTCTTCCTGGACATCAGGTAGCGGCGGCTTCGTCTTGCTCGAATAGATAGGCAGGGTTGGAGATGCTGGGCTCTCGGTCCATGGCGATGTCAGGTCGAGGGACGAAGTTGAGCTCGACGACGGTGCATAGCCGGTGCGCGAGAAGACCGAAGTACTCGGCGAGGGTAGGACGCTGGCAACGTCGGATGAGGATGCGCTATGGACTGAGTAGCTCGGCGGCAACTCGACGTCGCTCTCGACCAGCCCGCGCTGCTTCTTTACTTCCACGAGCTGTGGAAGCAGCAATGGCCTTAACCCCGACATGGAAGGCTGGCGAGCATGTGGACGCGGCGAACGGGTACTGCTATGTGTGCTTGAGTTTGTAGCGATGATGTGCTGAGAGTGTTGGGAGTTGGTGTTTGCTTTCGGAGTGTATAGTGTCGCAAGTCGAGAGGAGGGCGAAATGGGTGAGCGGTCGGGAAGTTTGTGTTGTTTAGGATGAAAGCAGCAAAAGCATGCAGCAACGCAGCAATTGAAAGTCGCGGCGAAGCTTCCACTTCTTGCGTTGCGCGACTGCTGGATCCCTGATTCCACTTGCTGACCGTGGTGGGTACGTGGGTACTTCTTGCTGACAAGGGTGGGGAACTGCTGGGGTCCCGGCAGGCGTTAGCTGGTCGGTGCAGGTGGTGGTGGGCTTTTTTTGCTGCGGGGCGCCTGCCAGCCCAGACGGGTGCAGATGATGGCAAATGGCAGCAAGCGACGCGAACACCAGCGGCAGTTGATGAGTCAGGCAAAAGAGCAGGTGAAAAACACTGCTGTTTGCCCCGAATTGGCCCCGCAACGTCTGGTCAGCACTTCGGTAACCGCCGACGACAGCCGCGCAGCGAAAACGTATCATCTAAAAACTGAACTTGGGATGTAGTTGACGTCAAGATGCACCCCGCGCTCTCGACTGAGCAGTTTTGTGCTTTGTGTTCTGTGCAGACAGCTTCTGTCTCTCTAGAGTCGAATTGAATGGGGACTCGGGCAGATTGGATGTGCTGGACGAAGAAGACCTGCCCAACTGCGAAGCTTCCAGATTGAGCCCAGGCCGTGGTCGACCTAGATAACAGGTACTTCCGTGTCGTCAATGCGCAGACAACTGCGATGCGTAGATTGATGCTCTTTGGAGCGGGATTGATGCCAGCAAGAGAGGGGAAGCTGGTGTATCAGAGGGGCACGACGCGGCGCTGCAGCACGCTCTCGAGGACCGGCGTACCAGGACTCTTCATCAATATTGCTGTCACTGGCACCACGTGTAATCGGGCACTGTACGAGGTGATGCGATCGATGGCGTGGGGTTCCAAGGTTGGCGGCAGGAAGATGGCTGGTCCGCGATTGGGTCACTGCCCAGAGTGTGGCACTCACACTCTCGTCTTCAAAGGCGCTAGAGACAGACCTGCTCGCTTGCTGCTTGGAAGCTCTCAGGCGCCGGAGCCGGAGCTCTCAAAGCCCAATCGATTGTTCCCGAGTAGCTGCCGACCAAACGGTTTTCTCTCAGCGGCCAGCACTGCAACCTCACTTTTCTCCGGCACCTCTGTTAGTGTCAAAGCACATAACACAACACCAGCACACAGCACGCAGCACCCAACTGCTGGCGATTCGCCGGTGCGTGACGGGAAGGGTGCGCCGCGAATCCGGTTGGGCAACTCGTAACGCGGCGGCTTCGCTTCTGCGGCCGGCAGTGGGCCCAATTGTCTGGCAGCCCGATCAGTGAACAGCGATCAGCGTGTCGCGGACGCGGTCAGTAGTTGTCCACAACCACGTGAAGGAAAAGGCGGCGGTTGGCGTTGGCGGTGTTCGTGGCGGGCAGCGGGTGTTCTGCGGGGGAGCACGTTGCGGGTTGACTTCAACTTGGCGGTGGGAAGCCAAGAGGGTGAGCTCGCAGGCTGCCAGCACCAAAGAAGCGAAACTCGTGGGTGTGGTTAAAGTGCTCTTGAATAAATCATGACTTTCACAGCCCTCTCGACCTCTGAATCTCTCGGTGCCATTATTGGCAACAGTTTACTAAGGGTCGCCCATCGTCTGCTCTCATCATCCGAGCATGTGCGGTGGGGCGAGGCATTCCAGAAGATTGGTTGACACTCGTCTCAACCTTTCAGCATCTGAGCATCTGTGGTTCGAGACGGAACTTGCCAGACCCATGCTGCCCGATGAGCCGGGCTATGGCCTGTGCGCTGGCCCTGGAAAGACCCTAAGTTGGCTCGTGCGCCTTCCATCGCAAATGACCACAGCTGCCGTCAGCTGTTGGTGGCTTGACCAATCGAGAACTTGGCCCCGCCGTATCTCCGCCGCACCGTTTTGCCGGGCAGCCAGTGCCGACTGGGAAGGTTGTACAAAGCAAACGGCGCCGAAGTTTGATGAGCCTCATGTGAGGCAGGCCAGAATATCGCAAGAAATCCTGAGCATCGGCTGAGCACGATCGTGAGGATGGTGGAATGATAAATGAAAAACTCCGTTTCATTACGTTTTCTAGCGAAAGGACTCAACACTTTTGCCAAACACCGAGGCTCGACTTTAACAAACTGCTATCTCTGGCTCTTCACTCTTCCATCACTATCCAGTTCACTGTCGCTGCCGCCCTCCATCCTCGCTTGTCCGCGGGTTCAATTGCGCACTTTGTGGAACCGCGTCGACAGTCGCGGCGGCGAGTGTTTTATGAAAAAAAATTGCAGTGGAACTTGCGTGGATGACGCACAGGATATCAAGAATATTCAACGACACAGCCAGCGTCAGCCATCGCAGGGCTGTCACTGGAGCTTCAGCAATGGTGGGGCAGTCCGCTGGTTGCCAGGCGAAAAGGCTGGAACAGTGGAGACGGCCAGCTGTCAGCCCGCCACTTCCGGGTCCATGACATCGGGCCTGCTAGCTGCAAAAAAAGGCTCGGAATAATATGGCGGTTGGGCAGGCTCCAGCGCGCTTGGCCGGGAATGGGATGGATCGACGGCAACTGCGAACAGATGGCATTCTGCTGGGCAAGACCGCCTTTCCGATGGACTTTGGTCTGGCCGCCAGTGCTTCACTATCTGCTGCGAGCTGCTGACCAGCCAAAATTTTGGACTTCACCGCTCTCTTGGACAACAACCTCTTCGATTGATCACAATCGCTGTGCCGCCAACTCCCCTCTCTCCTCCCACAAGGTTGACGACAATCCTTCCGTCCATCCAAGCTGCTTCCCCAGCTTCCTGATTGACTCGCAGTGTGGCGTCACGCAGGCACAAGTGTGCGCTGCTCGTCTTATCCGCGTCCAACTTCCCAGCAGTCGAATTCATTTCATCCAAAGTTGTGGACATGCATCTAAAACTTGCACCTCCCATCCTCCAAACCGTGAACTCGGTCAAGACCCCTCCACCAACACGGCGGCCTCACGGATGAGGAGTCATGACTGCGGTTGTTTTACCTCAGCAGCGCTCCTTCATTCCGTCCAGCGACCTCGGAGTCGAACCTGAATCTATGGAAGCGTGGCACGATGCCGGAAAGATGGACGCACGGCTCATCAGATACGCCTGCGCCGCAGAAGCGTACCTGAACGAAGACAACCGAGGATCCTGCCCTCGGCCGTGTGCCGCCAACGGCTCAACGCTCCACCAAAGCAGTCAGCGTGTCATGGACTCACACTCCGTATATGTCCGTACCAACTCCAACGTCCTCGTTCCCATCGGAGCCAAGAGATACAGACACACAGACTTTTCCGGCTGCCCCTCGGTGCACCTGCTGAGCCATCTTCCTCGGTCTATCGAGCCATGACAGCCCGACCGATGCCGTGCCGGTCGGTGACGCCACGCTTCTCTCTGCCCCGCGTTAATTGACGTAGCCATGTTCTGGGGTTACGCAGCATCAACTTGCTGTCAAAGAGATGCTCCGTCGCCGATATTGACTGCTTTCACCGCCTCATCAGTCACCAGGAACTGAGTTTGCAGCAGTTGACAGCACGTATGCCCAACCATCCGATGCCTCAGCCCTAGGCTCGCCTATGTAAGACCAGGGGAATCAGCACGCGGCCCGGCAAATCGTCTTTTTGCAAAGATGCAATGTATTCGCTGGCATACGGATTATCCCGCTCTGCTTCTCTTTCTCCTGTCTAGTCCTACAAGTTCTAGCAGGTACTATCGACGCCTGCAGTCCCTGTTCTCGTGGCCCATTGGCTTGCCAGAAGATATTCCTGCCCCGCCCCCGCGCTGTTGTTGCCCCCTGTCCACTTTGTGGTTCTGTTCATCATCATACCCTTTATCTGAGCCTCCTCTTGTGGCTTGAATACCTCTCAGAGCTCGGTTACGTGTCAGTTGGCTTACGGTTCCCACCACGCCTCTCAGGGCGAAAATCGTTTCCTGTCCCTTGCATTAGTGCTGCGAGATGGAGGGCTGCTCTTCGAGGGGATTCGCTGATGTCGTTGCGGGCCCCACGGAACGGGCCCTCTGCGGCGCTCGGCATCTGGAGCAGAGGACGTTTTCCTTGCGTGCAGCCGAAGCCCGGAGCCCCTTCTGGCCAAAGAGATGTCTTCTCTGCCTGTACCTGACGCGAGGCTTTTTTTGGACAGTCCTGTCATGAAGAAGGCTTCCATTCCGAGCGGGGCCGTGGAATTCTTTGTCATTGTTCTCTCGGAGCTAGACGCTTTGGAGGCATCGTTGCATTGCGGTCCAGCTACTCGGTAATGAGAAAAAAATTTTGATGCGTAGACCTAATGCCAGCTCCCCTTATTGTTTGATCTCTGAAAGAAACCAGGAACCCGAAGTTGTTCCGCGCTGAATCTAGAGTACGTCGCCTGCTATCCCGTGGTTGTCCTTTCTGTGGTTGTCTCCATCTCCATTGCTATTCTGGGAGACGTGGACGAAACCCGACTTTTGCTTGCTCGCTCTTTCTTGCTCTCACAATCGCCCGTCATCCCTGCTTCGTCCGGTCCCATGGTTGTTGCAAATTGGAGTTCAGCTGCTCTTAACGGGACGGCCTGAATCAGGACCGGGTAAAGCCTTGGCTGCGGCCTGGTGTCAACCGCAATTGTGCCAGCTACCAGCCGTTGCCGTGCCTTGTTGCAATTTTCCGGTTGTAACCATGCCGCGATTCCGGCAGTGTTGTCCATCACAGTTCACTCAGCTAAGCCTAAGCCCAACGGGACGGATTACTACGCCCCAGCCGATCTTATCACCTTGTGACGGATAGGATTCGTGCAATTTCTCCATCTCATCTCAGTCTCGGCCTGTCAATAACAGAGCCGTTGTTCTCCGAGAGGCTCACCCATTTACTGCATCTCACCCGTCTCGTCATCTCATCTGGAGCCGACCAACCATCCCTGGCCTTGCCTTACCTGAAACTTGCTTGGCCTGCAGTGCATCGCCCTTTCAAGTCCAACGGGGATTTAAGTTGTACTGTATGAGTTTTGTGGATGGATCAGCCACGAGCCGTGTAATGTCGTGCTCTAGTAAGCGGATGAGCCCTCAGCAGACGGAGTGATTGTTAACACGGGACGGCAGAGCGTTGACAGACCGGACCTGCTTTCTTGGGATGCTGGGATAGATTGCTCACGCTTGGATGATGGATGATGACGGCTTGGCTATCTCAGGAATCGGGGATGCTTACATCTTCTAGGGCTGAATCGGACTATCAAGGCGTAGTATCAGTCCAATCTGTATGTTGATCATGTGGACTTGCTAGACTTCGTGTTGTGACGTAAGATGGGGAGGATGAAGAAAGACGAGAGAGTGGCAAGATGTAAACAAAAGGAGTGTCAGTTTTCTTCAACATTCTGTGCTGAAGAAAGTGCACTGTTGATGACATATTCTCTGTATTCTCATCCATAGGCTTTGTGCTCTGTTAAAGACTCTCACATTAAGTCTGTCATAGGGAAGGCGGTTTGTTATGGGCACAATATATCCAAGACATCATCCACGTGGAGTATTTGCGTACACTGTGAAATATGGAAACCACAAAGTTAAAGAAATAGCAATTTCCCTTTTAGGCCATATGAGTCCTAGACTAGAAAATCTTAGACCTCAAGACAAACCCATGAATGTTTTGATTGTATCTCCTGTAAAATGGAAAGAAAAAAACAAGAAAACAAACTCTAAAACCTTCGAATCATCATCCCCTCGGCCCCGTCGCCGTCAAAAAGCGAAAATCAACTCCTTCCTCCGGCCCATTCACCTCCCTCGCATACAACCCAGCATACCCCCTAATGGTCTCCCTCTCCTTCCAAGCCGACTTTTCTTCTCCGCTCGCAATCCTCCTCCTCTTCGCCTCAATCCTCGCCCTTATCGTCTCCTCATCCAACTCCACACTCAACAGCCTCTGCTCGACATCACACACAATCATATCCCCATCTTGTACGATCCCGAGCACCGAGTCAGGGTCTGCCCCTTCGGGCGAGACATGCAAGACAATGGTACCTCCCGCGGTACCGCTCATCCTCCCGTCCGATATACGCAGCATGTCTTTGACTCCTTGAGAGGCCAGTTTCCTAGGTATGGGGATAAGTCCAGCCTCGGGCATACCCGGGTTCCCGACGGGACCGATACCCCGTAGTACCAGGACACTGTCGGGGGTGACGGGGAGGTTCGGGTCGTCGATGCGAGAAGCGAGGTCTGCTGAGCTGGAGAAAACTACTGCGGGCCCACGGTGACGCAAAAGGTGTTTGTAGAGCGAAGCGCTCGCTTTCAAGACGGCACTGCCAGAGGGGGAGAGGTTGCCTTGGGTGAAGACAACCAGAGAGGAGGATGGGTAGAGTGGTTGCGTGAAGGGACGTATGATTCCCGACAAAGGGGAACTTGACTGGAGACGGGGGACAGGATGGAGGGCGAGTTCTTCACCGAGGGTACGGCTGGTCACAGTCATGACGTTGAGGTGAAGCAGGGGCTTGAGTTCGTGCAGCAGGGCAGGCATACCACCCGCAGCGTGGAAATCTGTCATGTAGTTCTCCCCGCTAGGCTTTAGATCTAAGAGAAGGGGAGTCTTCCGACCGATTTCGTCGATAGTTGCAGGGGTGATTGTCCCAGCCAGGGTAGGATGCCGGTTCAGGATGGCCATGAGATGGACGATGGCATTGGTTGAGCCGCCTAGGGCTTGAAGGACTGTGATGGCGTTGAGGAAGGACTCTTTGGTGAGGAGCGTTTGTGGAGGCAAGGGGTTCTTTGCCAGCTGGACGGCGTAGGCACCGGTTTGTTCGGCGATCCGCAATCGAGCCGAAGAAACAGCTGGGGCGGTGGCAGAGTTCAAGGGCATCATACCCAGAGCGACGAGAAGGCAGGCCATGGTTGATGCCGTGCCCATTACGCCGCAGGTTCCCGAGGTTGGGGCAAGTTCTTCGTTGAGGGCAGCGATGTCCTCTATGTCAAGAGTGCCAGCCCGGAACTTGGCCCAGTTGCTTCGACAGTCTGTACATGCGCCTACACGGACGCCTTGAAAGTTTCCCGGCATCATGGGACCAGTGACGAGATGGATAATCGGCTTGTTGGCTGAGATACCGCCCATTAGCTGGGCGGGGGTCGTCTTATCACATCCTGGACAAGTCAGAAAACGCCTTTGAGAAGTAAGTGACGGCGTATGCGAGTGTCTCACCTCCAATCAAGACAACAGAGTCCACGGGCTGAGCCCGAATCATCTCCTCTGTGTCCATACTCATCAAATTTCTCAAAAACATACTCGTCGGCGATGAGAACGACTCATGAAGACTGATCGTCGGGAAGTCAATCGCCAGCCCCCCGTTCAGCTGTACTCCCCTTTTCACAGCGTCAATGAGCTGCGGGACGTTGGCATGGCAGGGGTTGAAGCTCGAGTAGGTGTTGATGATGCCAACAATGGGACGGGAGAGGGCGTCTTCGCTGTAGCCCATTGCTTTAATGAAGAGCTTGCGCATGAAGAGCGAGAAGTGAGCATCACCGTACGATGGTAGTTTTTGGTATAGGCCTAGGCCATTGGAAGGGAGAGGTTTGGAAAGGTCATAATCTGGGTTTTGTTCATACTGAGGTTGAGATCGAGAGGGCTGATTGAGGCCCATGATCGATGCTTTGGTTGTGATGGTCAAAGGTGAGTGTGTGTCTTGAAACTATGGGCGATAGCAGCAAACTGTGTCTCAATGAGTTGAAGATGCCTTCCCACATATTCCCCTGGATGCTGTTGTGATCTGTCACAGCGGTTATAGTTTGCGGGGTGATAGTGCTGGGAGCTAGGGTGTGATTTTGGCTTGCGATTGCGTCAGGACCGCGATAGCGAATGGAAAATGTTGAAGAGACAGTGGGGCGTTACATACGTCTGCAAGCTCTTTTCACAAAGTTTAGCTATTAGAATTAGATCAAAAGTCTGCGATGTTGAGAGAATCACTGGTTGTAGGAGTTCAACAGTGATCACAGGAAGCATGGGCTCATGGGAGGGTGCTGCTTTGCATGAGAACGTTGGAAGAGAGCCACCTAGTAGGGTCATGTGAGCTGTCAAACCGCTGGACCCCTTTGTTCATCTTTCCTTTTACAACTTTCTGGTTTGCTTCCTTTCCCATTTTCTTCCAGCAATGTTCTGTTTGTTTCCAGCCTCTTCCTTTCCTTCATAACTCTGTTTTGCCCTTAACTTCTTCTTCTGTCTTTCCTTGTTTCTCCTGTATCTCATCAATGCCAATATTGATAGGTTTTTGTGGCCTTCACTACAGCAATAAATACTCTCATCAATGAACTGAGCTTCGGTAGAGCTTCTGCAACGTCGCTGATGATCGTGAGACATGTGCGATTTTAATGGGACCTGACTCTCTCCGTTAAGTTTCCTGATCGGCCATGCCTGTAACAGGGCTCACTTGATGTACAAACAGTGAAGTAACTGTTGAAGTACTGGGACTCCAGTGGAACCAGTATTGTAAGGTTCTCATCCACTCACTCTTCACTCCCACCTTACGCCAAGCTTGACCATCAAATCCTGCAGTGACATGTCCAAAATGGCAGATAATGTTCGCTCATCCGGTACACCGTCTGGCCCATAGGGCTTTTGTAGCAGTTCCTTGACATTCTCGTACTTTTTGCCCAAAGTCTCAGACTCAGAAGGGGAGAGCGCCTCTTCAAGAGCAGCCAGTTCACTCTCTTCCCGGAAGTGTGGTTCAAGGTCAACCCATATCGCCTTGAGCGCCGACTCGAAGCTAGGATCTTGCGGGTCGTAGTTTTGCATGTGTCGGAGCTTGGCCGTGATCTAAAAGCTCGATGTTAGTAACCACTTTCTGTTGCCCTCCGGTAAAGCACAGTCGTTAAGAAGCTAGAAAAGGAAGGCAAACGCTATCGTAGTCGTCCGACAGCCGTCGGAATGATGGCCCACCGTGAGACTCGCCATATTCCAAGGCTGGAACAACAATGAGCTCGTCAACAATTAGGTAGCGGTCGAGAGCCCAGATGAACTGGTCTGGCTTTGCTCTCTCGGCGGCGAGGCGTCGGTACGCTCTTCTTACCACAGCGTGGTCGTTCTTGACAGCTTCGGAGAGCCTCGGCATGTTGTCGCTTGCCGGATTATGTCTTTTTTGAGATTATCAGACAACTATCGATCAAAATCACGCATATGACTCTCAATCGTTGGAAGCGGACGACGCAAATGCTGAGCTTCGGAACAAAGGTCTGACAACCGTGGTCGTTTGCACAGGCTGGCTCTGTGACGTCACATTGGTCCAAGCTTCTAGGCGGTGTGGACAAAGCTTCAAGGCTAAGAAGTTAAGAGAACAAATAAACACACCAAAACATCACTGCTTGGGCGGCCCCCTTACGCGTTCGAGCTCGATCCCACAGGGGCAGCGACCCCAACACCAGCTCGTCAGAGTTGGTGTCGGAGCTAGAGATCCACATCCCCCGGGTCGTGCAACTGATCCATACCCGACACACGTTACGCAACCCGCCCGATGTTTCCCCTTGCTCACGCCGGTTTGTCCCAGTACGGGCTTTTTCTTCGGCGGCACATGTGTATAAAGTAGTTAGGTAGCTATTGCCCGCCGTCGCCGTGGGCACGACCCAGCGGTGGGACCGGTCGAAGAATAGAATCCAATTCATCCTACTTGCAAATTTTGGGACCACTGGTTTCGCCCAAAAACGGTCCGCCATGGATCAATTGACTTAAGGCGGCATAATTTCACTTAAATTAAGTCTTGTCATTGCATGCAGTTTTGAAACCCAGCAATACCTCAAACCTCAAATCTTGGCACCGTCCCGAGACGCAAAGCCAGCAATCTGCTCCAGTGGCAGAATCTCAAGGGGCGCAGCTAAATTCTGCTCCTTCTTTTCAACTTCAAGCAGCCACTTGAGCTTGGGTCCCACCGCATGAGCATTCAGGGCATCCTTGTCAGCGTACCTGCCTCACTTGTCAGCAAACAATTGGAACGTAGGCAGTTTGGGGAAGGGGTAGACCGACGTCTCCCACACGACAATCTTGGGCTGCTCCTTAGTTCCAGTCTTGAACCACTGGTACTTTAGTGTTCCGGGCTCATTGTCCTTGACGTGAGCAGCGCACTCGCGGGCCAGCTCCTCGAGCTTTCCTATTTGTTAGTCTTGGGTTCATGGACCGGGAGGATAGGGTTAACACATACCCGGGCAACACGGTCAGGCTTTGGGGTGAAGATAGCAAGGATGTTGACAGTCATTTTGGTGATTTGGGTATCAATTGGGTAACGACAAGAAAGCTGGCGGTTGCTCCGTGAGATGCGCCTGAAGATATGATGAACCGGAGGATTAAGGCGCTTACAAATGGCCGGAGGAGCCGGCTCGGTTCCGGTCCACACCCATGCCGAGGTTCGGAGGGGGCTGGGTGTTCAAATCAGAGCTGGCTCTGAGTGACCTTCCTGGATTAACGCTAACCCTTGGACAAAAAGTCCAGCGAACCCTAACCCTGAATCCCTGAAATTTCCTGCCGACATGTTTATCAACCATCGCTCTGCAATACAGAGAAGTTTAAGCATATAAGATATGGATGGAATTATGTTATATGCACCTGGTTAGGTGGAACTGTCATTTGAACTCTCTGTTGATACTAGGACCCTTGATTTCTCTCGAGTGAAACGACGTTGGTCATCATCTTTTTTCAATTCATACGGAGGACACTCACAACTTCCGAAGTGTCAATGCGAGCCGCTACTTCAAACACTTTCCATGCAGAATTGCTCCGTCTATAACCTAATTCCCAAATAATACTGGCCTAAGGTTTTGCCATCATTCATCTCTCTTTCTCCCTTAACATTCTCCGTCCCTTCAAATTCTGTTTCCGCTTCCTAATCTACATACATGTCGCGATGCAAGGAGCGCTCAGGGCTGTTGTCAATTGATTTAGCTACAAGCTCTCCCAACACCGGTTCAAATAGCATTTCCTTTTCAGATTCACCATTTGAATGCGTCTGTTAATGTTCAGCGGTCAACGCCACGATCGGGTCGAGTTGTGGCTTGCTGCAGTGACACTGCTCGGCTTGAACGCTGGCTGGTTGCGTCATTGTGGCTGGCCTTGTCCCAAAGCAGTCACCAGAACGACATCCAACGAGAAACATGAACGTGGCTTGCTCCGGGCTGAGCTATTGGCTCTTGATCGTTATTTGAGGCGCAGCATTGGAGGAACACCAACACATCAACATCATGGAAAAGTTGAGCAAATCGAGAAGACCGCACTGATTTCTTTTCTTGGGAAAAGAATACGCGTCTTGAGAAATGTTGAAGTGCCAACATGTGCTCCGCGGAGACACGATCGATCTCATTTTCACCAATCTCATCAACAGCAACAGTTCTGCAACTTCAATATTTTAGCAAAAGACTTAAGGCCATTGTCACATCTCAGTTGACGCTTGCCACTCAACTCCGATCTCATATATCCAATAAGTTCATCTCATCCATACCTATTTCAATGTCCCAAACTTACGCCAACCACCCCTTCCCCCTCCTCTCGACCCCAGCATACCAGGCCAAGCAGAATGGTGAGCTCCCTGAGAACCAAAAACTCGACATGTTCACCGAGGTCGCCTCGGAGATGGTCCTGGTCCACAACATGATCATCGGTGGCCTCAACTGCATCTACCTGCAAGCGTCACATATCAAGCCCACGGTTCCCCGGAACTACTCTCCCTCTCCTCAACCATGCGATATAACAGCCCTTCAATATTTCACGTCGGGTTTTCTCCCACGCAGGTTTTCCTCCAGCGTCACCTGTAATTAATACATCTTAGATAGCTCTTGCTCGCCGGCGCTGTGGGCACCCCCAATGGTGAAATGGTCGGAAAATAGAAGTAAAATAAATGAATTATTCTTACAATGATGTCTTTAGGCACGTGGTCAGCCACCCCACATCCTGCAAAGCGTCTGGAAACTTGTAATAAGACAGGGAGGGGTATGGATACATTGGAAAGGACTGCTAAATGTATCAAACATGGCCTCGCGATGGCCGAATATCCATAGTTACTCGACTTGCTGCAGTCGAGTTTCCTGCGAGTCATTTCCTTTCGAGGAGAAAGGCGATGTACCGGGTTAGGGTCCTTTTCTAAAGCGTTGATGCTTTCTTTAGCACTTCCAATCCAACTTGGAAAAACGCTGACTCTAGCTTGAGCGGTACCAGCCAGGTGTCCCTGACCTTTCAGACCTGCTTAGGTCGTAGAAGTGCCAAGGCTTTACCATCGACATAACACCCACAGAGGCACCCCAGGCTCTGTTTGCCGGCACCTATACAACGGCTAGTGCTGTCAAGACCACTCTCTTATGGCTCATCAACACATCGTAAGTGAAAATGCGCCTCATGAACGAGATAGACGCCGCTATCGCGTCAGACAAGATTTCTTCTCCATTCGAGTAAACAGAGACCCGGCAGCTGCCCTACCTACAGGTAGTCATCAACGAAAGCCTCAGGATCCAGTTGCTCGTCATCGGTATCCAATACAAGCAGGTGTCTCCGGAAGGTGACGTAATTCACGTCAAACGGCTGCCAGTAGGCACATGGCTTGGTGTGCCGAAGCTTGAGGTTGGGCGCTCGAAGAAGATCTTTGGACTAGATGTCGATATATTTATACCGGAGCTTTGGCTTGAAGCCCGGGGCGAAAGGCTCACGAGGATAAACAATGTTGTTGAATTCGTGTTCCACTATGGCAGGTGGCAATTTGCGGGAAGCACGATCGCCTTGATGGAGTTGAACATGATTTTTGTTGGGATAAGATCAGCGTTTGGTTGTATCGATTTGAATTGAACCAAACTGAACCGAATAGAATTGAATTGAATATCAGTTTTCGACCCGTATCACCCATGAGGGTGCTCGATCTTGCTCACGACGCCGGCGGGCAAAGGTACATATGCCGTGACTAGTTTAGCCTATGTACACGCGAGGAAAGCCCAAGAGGGAAAACCGGGTTGTATCCGTGAGATGAAGGGGTGATGTTTGAGAAGGGAAAGGATGTAGGGGAAAAAAGAAGAAAAAAACGATGGGTTAGGGGGGGAGAGCGTGAGGTATGTAGATGTCCAAACTAGAGGTTTCTGATTCTGGACCTTCATCAGGGGTGCGCATCGTTCGAGTTTGTACAGTCGTGCGTGAGAAAGAGCGGGGAGGACGTAGAATGGGGATGGCTTGTCCTGTTTGATGGTCCCTAGCTGAGCCGTAAAGTTCGAGTCGGAATTTTCTATTCTCAGACAGCTGGTATAGAGTGCAAGAACGCTCTAGGGTCTAGGCGGCCAGCAAGTGGGTTGTTAAAGGAGGAGAGGGGGCATCGGAAGAAGTGGCCTCTGGAAACTGTTGCGCCGCATGAGCCCGTAAGTTTTTTTTTTTTTTTTTTTTTTTGCTGAGTAAGTTGATCATTATCTCCGTGTAGAGCGACCAGGCTAACTGTTATCAATCGCAGCACATTTGGTACATCAATGACTAATATGGGCACTACAAGAAGGGAAACAAAAGCGAAAACAACAGAGGTTTCGTATTGAATGAACGGGAAAAGGTGAGACCAATAGCTTGCTTGTGAGACTATCGTTACCTTCTAGATAACCGACTAGCAGGGAAGATTATGTGTGATATGTTAGAAACGGCCTGTCTTGCCAAATTCAACAAGGTCAGCTACCTTGTACGGTAGTTATATGGCTACAAGCAGAGCTATCTAGCCTTCATCTCAAATGATTTATTGAGTTCAACGCAACAGCTCGCTTGGTTCATAGCTGATGTCAGCAGCTCGTACCGCGGAGATACGGTCGAACCAATGACTTTTAGATTTCACTGTGACAGATACTGTAATATATCCCGCATCTCGGTATCCAAAAAGCAAACTGGAGGATGAGATGCGGTTCTAGTGTGTTTTGGCATGCGGGCAGAAACTCTCGCAAGCATGATTCTGGGAAAGATATTGTTTCTCGGCTGGGTTTGCTAGTCAGTCCTTTGATGCGGGCATATTACCACCTACCCTCGAGCTGTCACCATGGTAACACAAAGATGCAATAGTTGATTGATTGATATATATCTGCCTGTCTTAATCAAAGTTTCTTTAGTCACTGAGCGAACTGTTCGGATCGCTGTTGGTAAATGAAAAGTAACCAGAGCCAGCTAAGACTTTGACGAAGCCTGGAAATTGATCTCTAAAGACCGCTCCGCCACTTTCGACTTCAAAATGGCAGCGAGTGCCCTCTTGCTGGTAGTGGCCCTGATATCCTCGCTCCTTGTGCGATCATTACTCCAATGGTTCAGGCTATGGCACATTCCAGGACCCAGGTTCGCGGGTCTAATCAAATACTGGATGCCGTATCACCATTACACCGGCCGCCAGTATGAAGCTGTTAAGAAATTAAAGACAAATATGGTACGTATGCAGCTCTAGCATAAAGCTTACCGTCTGGTCTAACACTTAGAAGGATCGTTGGTTCGCGTTGGACCAAACCAGCTCGTGACAAGCGACCCTGATGTCTTGCGGCGCATGACTGCTGTCCGATCTCCTTATAAGAGGTCCCAGTGTAAGTTCATGCAGATACACTATGATGGATTATATTCTGATATGAATGGGCTCTCTAGGGTATGGAGCCTTCAGATTTGAACCCGGAGGGGAGAATATCTTCTCCCAGCGAGATGACGATAAGCATAATGATACTCGACAGATGTTAATGCCAGGGGTAGGCTCAACTACTCTTCAAACCTGTCCTGATCTAACGCATCTTGTTGAACAGTATTCTGGGCGAGACTTTCCTGGAATGGAAGACAGTGTCGACACTGAAGTCCTCAATCTGATAAAGTTGCTTGAATGCAAGTACATTTCCACAAGCAATGACTTCCGCCCTGTCGATATGTCACACAAGTTCCAGTTGTTCACTCTGTAAGTAGTCTCACGATACGATGTTAAAGTTTGGGAGTTCTGTAACCCATTCCGGGGTTGAGTTGTCAGTAATTGACACAGTCTCACAGCGATGTCACCACACACCTTGCCTGGGGCGAACCTATCGGATTCCTGAAACGCGATGGAGATATGTTCGACTACCTAAAGAGAAAACAAGAGGAGCTGAAGCAGTCCGCCGTGTACTCGGAATTCTTCACCATCGTGGCTTTCATCCAGTCACCTCTTTTCCAATGGTTAATGCCAATGTCTGACAAAGTGGGCTGGGGCCGTCTCCTAAGGTATGCAACTGCCTATTTGTCGATGAGATCTCTCGAGGCTAACTGACCACAATAGATGGACCAAAGAGAAGATGCCCGAGCGGTATGCTTCTGGAGCTCCCGACTATCCTGACATGCTTGGTTCTTGGAACCGGCATGGCTTGGATCAAGAACAAGCACCTCACGAAACGTTTGTCCAAATCACTGCAGGAAGTGACTCAACCGCTGTTGGAGCATCAACCATCCTCCTCCATCTCATCAACAATTCACTCGTGTACCAGAAGCTGCTATACGAGATTGATGAGGCAGTCAGAAGGGGCAAAATATCATATCCCGTGATTGAGGACTCTGAATCCCATCAACTTCCTTACTTGCAGGCTGTCATCAAGGAAAGCCTTCGTATTATGCCGCCAGTTGTTACCGCTCTCTACAAGGAGGTGCCACCTGAGGGAGATACTATCCATGGCCGTTTCATAACAGGCGGTACACTTATCGGTGCCCCGATATACGGCATTACTCGGTCAAAGAAGGTGCTCGGCCCTGATGCAGACCTCTTCCGACCTGAGAGATGGCTGGAGGCTCAAGGAGAACAGCTCACCAACATGCTCCCAACTGCCGAGCTGGTGTTCTACCATGGCAAATGGCAGTGTGCAGGCAAGGTAGTGGCGGGGCTTGAGTTGAACAAGGTGATTTTTGAGGTATGCAGGAACTCAGAGCAGACTCTCTAGAGCGGAGGTACCTAACTCTATTGGTAGCTCTTGCGAAGGTTTGACTTCTCACTTGCGGATTCTACACACCCTCCACAGTTTTACAGTTGGGTAAGCATAACCTTAGACTTGATAGAGAGCACAGACCTGACAAGAAGTGGAAACAGGGCTTCATGGAGATCCAGAACTTTAAGGTCAGGATTACAAGACGAGAAGGTTTGTAAGCACATAAATCGGGAGAGGTTCAGATAGAGACAGCTTTGAGTCCCTTAGAGAATGCTATATCCAATCATGGCAACTCTTCCGAAGGATGTTACCATGGCAGTGGGCCAGAAGTTGTAACGGAGTCAACGCCACGCCATCTCGGCATGAGTGAAACATGAAACATGACCCCCTTCCATTCTCGGCGGTCATGAAATATGTTCATTGGTGGGCATTTTCTTTGACGGGAAATAGATGGAGTGGAGTGATCGGGAAATGTGCCCTGATGGAGGACCGAGAAGAAATGATCCATCAATAAGCTATTGTGGCTCAATGATCTTGCACAATTAGGATGGACCGTGGAGATTGGTCCCGAAACCTTGTCGCAGTGGGTTACACTTCTTTTATTTTCCTTCAGTCATCACACACAGTCAAAAGCCCAGCAGGGAATGAGATTATCTGCCAATGTTCTTAATCCATTACAGCTTCACTCGGTGATCCCCTGAGGTGGTCAAAACCCCCCAAGATGCTACGAACTCTCGACCTTCTAGGAGCCTTGGCTCTCCTTTGCAGTCTTGCCTACGGCTATGCACTGCCCGGAGCATGCAGTGGCATCTGCAACAATGCGCACGACCCATCTATCATCCGCCGCCCAGATGGAACATACTTCCGCTTCTCAACCGGCGGCAAAATCGCCGTTCACACAGCCCCAAGCATCTCTGGACCATGGACATACCGGGGAGCTATGCTCCCCAGCGGTTCGAAGATCAATCTGGCGGGAAATCAGGATCTATGGGTGAGTATCTCTCGTGGCATCATCATCAGCAGAATGTTAACCTTCCCAGGCCCCCGACGTCACCAAAGTAGGCAACGACTACTACATCTACTACTCTGTCTCAACCTTCGGCTCCCAAAACTCCGCCATCGGCCTAGCCCGCTCCTCGACCATGGACCCTAACTCCTTCACCGATCTCGGCACGACAGGCGTCCAGTCCAACCCTTCCAAACCTTACAACGCAATCGATGGTAATCTCGTTGAAGCTAATGGCAACTTCTACCTGACCTTCGGCTCCTTCTGGGGCGGGATCTACCAGGTTCAATTGACGTCAGGGACACCGACCCGTGCGCAGGGGAGTTCCTGGCGGTTGGCATACGACCCGTCAGATCCAGCTATGGAGGGACCGACGTTGTTCAAGTACATGAATTACTATTATCTTTTCTTTTCCAAGGGAACGTGTTGTGGGTATGATAAGAATCGGCCGGCAACGGGGAAGGAGTATAGGATTATGGTTTGTCGGTCGACAAGTCCGATGGGGGGTTTCGTGGATAAGAACGGGAAATCGTGTCTTTTGGGAGGAGGGACAGTCGTGCTGCAGTCACACAACTGGGTTTATGGGCCCGGTGGGCAGGGTGTTTATGATGATCCTAAAGAGGGGCCGGTAAGTGAACCCGGAAAGGTCATTCCAGATGCTCGATACTGACCGTTCGTTCCAGATCCTCTACTACCACTATGTTGACACGAGGGTTGGCTTTGGTGATGGCGACAAGAAGTTTGGTTGGAATAAGATTGACTTCTCTAGTGGCTGGCCGGTTGTTTGAGTCCAGCCCCAACAGGTGTTGCCTTTCTCGGTGAAGGTCAGAGGCGGTAAATGTCAAACGTAAATGTCATCAGTTGTCCATATGTTTTCTGTATATATCTTCGAATGTAAACTCTTGCGGAATGGATGCGTCTTCACCTTTTGATGCCATTCCCTCCTTCTCCCGGCATATTGGCACTCCAACACTCCGTTTCACTTCCACATTGAACCGAGCATTCGAAGGTAAATTGAGTAACGAGTGTCTATTTTATCGTCATATCCCACCCAATCATTACACGATTAATAACTACTGATCTAATCAGATAATTCATCATGATGATAGTCATCAAATATCATGCGGTCATAAAAAGATCGTGAACGGATGCTATCCCATACCACACGGGGTCAGAAGACATCCAATCTGCGGACCCGCCGTATTTTCTCTCTTCTTTTCTCTCCTGGAGCAGTGAACAGTCTAGTTCACTTGTGGCTTCAATACTTAGATGTCGATCCAGCGCGCCATCCACTTGTTGACAGCGGCCTTAGCCTCGTCGACCAGACCGAGGTCCAGAAGCAGCTGCACAGAGCCACGGATACCGGACTCAAGAGCGGCGGCAATCCAGGCATGGGTGTAGGATGTGTGCTCGCCGACGAAGATGAGCTGTTATGGGTTAGCATGCTAAAAGCCCAGGAAGAGGGTGCTCGAGAACACAGAGGATAAGAGATGCGGGGTTGTGGGGCCAAGCTCCGCAGCGGAGGGAGAGTGTGGGTCCTCATGGGGTGCCCCGCTGCGGGGTGTTCCCCCAAGGAAAACAGCGTAATAAGCAGAACAGAGCAGAAGCACTCACCCCACCGTAAGTCTTGAAGTACTCTGGAATGTACATCTGGTGCTGGCCAATGGTAGGGTTGGCCCAGGCACCAGCCTGAAGAGGATCGTGGTTCCAGCAGCGGCGGTCGTAGCGTCCGGTGAAGAGCTTGCGGGTCTCCTCGCCGTGGATCTCGGTGATAGCGTCGAGTATGTACTTGACGTGCTCCTCCTCACTCAGCGACTCAACCCAGCCGACCTGCGTGTAGGAGGCCAGAAGGGTGGCGGGGCCGGTGCCGTTGAAGTTGTAGCTTGGGTAGCAGATGCTGCCCACTCCGGGAATGTCGGTGCTGGTGCTGCAGCCACCGAAGCTGTTTTATATGTCAGTATCAGTTCAACTCAGCATGTGTTATGAAACACTCACATGCCATACGGAGCCTTCTCCCAGAAGCGCTCGCTGTACTCAAGGGCAACCTTGCAGGCACCCTGGTACGGCAGGCGGTTAATAGCGTTGGTGATAGGAGTCGGAAGAGAAGGCAAACGCCAGCTGCGAACAACCGAGAAGGGAGCGCCGACGATGGCATAGTCGAAGGTAGCATTCTTCAGATCACGACTGGTATCTAGACCAACGCTCTTAACGGGCCTCGAGCTGACATCGCGCCAGACAAGCTGCACCTTGGAGTCGTTGGTGTACTGGATGCGCTCAATCTTACGGCCCATGTACGTGTCCTTCGCCACGTGAGGAGCGAAGGCAAGAGGAAGACGGTTGAGACCACCATCGATGGTAACCCAGTCGACAGCGCTGAAGTAGAGACCCTCGTAGAGCTCAGCCCAGATGGAGCCGTGGCTGTTCAGAGCGCCGAGGGCATCGACGTCCTTGAGAGTTGCGTTGAGGTGGTACATGAGGTAAGCAAACTCGGACCAAGTGTCGCCGCCGAGGCCCTTGAGACCGTTCTCAGTCCACTCCTTGTGAGCCTTGAACATGTTCTTGGCGATCAGAGTGTAAAAGCTCTCATCAGGCATGGCCGCCTCCAGCTCCTCGGACAGAGCCTTCACCGATTCTTCCTGGGCCTTAGCGGGCGTGCTCAGTGAGGGGTCGGCACGGATCTGCTCGACAGTCGGGGGCAAACCACTGGGCAGCTTAAAGCCATTCTTGTAGACGAGGCCCTTGGGGTTGCTCTGTACCCACTTGATAAACTCAACGGTGAGGTTCTTGTCGTAGCCGTTCAGCTTGTTGAGCTCATCAGCCAGCTGAAAGACGAGCTGGTGGTCGGTGATGTTGATCTTCTCTTTGGTCTCGGGGTCCTGGTAGGTGACAGGGAAGCGCATGGGGCCCATCTCCTGGTAAGAGTAGTCAAAAGGACCGCCACTGAGGTACTCGGTGTGGACACGGCCACCCAAGCGCTGGCTGGCCTCGAGAATGGTCACGTTCTTCATGCCGGCCTGGGTCAGAACCAGGTAGCTCATCAGACCGGACATGCCGGCGCCGATGATGGCGACCTGCTTGCTCTTGGCCTCCTCGACGTCGACAGGGCCCGGCTGCTTGTTCTGCAGCGCAGCAACGCCGTCGAACCAGGGGCCGAGGGTCTCAACACCCGTTGTGCTGTCCATAGGGATGCTCTCTGGGCATTGTTAGACGTACTGAAACTTATCACACTGATATCATGGTAGACACGTACCAGCACGCTTCTGAGCACGACGCAGATGGCGGTTCTCCAGCTGCTGAGGCACACTCCTGCCGACTAGAGTGCCAGCAGAGTTCCAGGCCGACAAACAGCCGCCAGACTCGGTGATCTCAGGGAGAACCCAGACCAGACGCTTGGCACAGCCCTTGGAGATCTCAGTCTCACCCACGACGTGGTGAGCCTCCAGAGGAGAAGAGGACGAGCAAGAGCCATAAGTGATGGTCACGGGGCCGTCGATGGACCGCTCAGCAGTGTAGTGGACGTTAGCAAGACGAGAAGTGACCGCAGAGCGGGTCTCGAGCTTGACGGGAAGACCGATAGAGGCGGCAGCGGCGTAGCCACCGAAGAGGAGGAGCGGCTTCAAGCCGGTCAGGACAGTCATGGTGAAGGCTTTGAGAGGGGTTGAGAGAATTGTCGAAGCCTAGCGTGAGAGAGACTGCTTCCAAGCTGAGCTGGGAAGAAGCTGTCCTTATAAGCAACTTGAAGATGATCAACATGCGTATCACCAACCTCACAACCGATAACACATCATCTTCACCCCTGTGCCTGCACCAACCCGGTAGGCTGGCGCCCCCGTGGGGTTCATGCTGATAGCATTAGCTGTCCCGCCATATCGGAGTCCTTGCAGAGTAACCTTGATGATCACCGTGAGACATTGACAAATGGCATTGCAGTGTCGTCGACATCCACGTGTCAAGGTCAAAGATACGCAGCTGAGGGATGACTCGGATGAGAGGTGCAATTGGGCTCGGCGGCCTAGAATGTCTGTACATTGGCTGGCGCGGGTGGTCATCGTGGTGGTCGTCGTGATGGTCGGGTGGATCTATGGATCTATCCACAATTCTACAGAGTACAGTCCCACGGATGCAGACTTCGACCATCGATTATTGAGGTCGGCGTGCGGAGTGTTGCAGAGCCGTATCAGCTCCGATAAAGACTAGTCGGCCGGATGTGCACTCTGCCGGGCGGTGTGGGAGAGGGATGGTCCTCTCCATCGTTACTGTGGAGTTGATTCTATCCCCTTGCAGAAGGTCGCCATGTTATCGTGGGTGGGCCTACTTGACCCAATCGTCTTAGCGGCCGCTATCCCTCAGATAGCGACGGGAATGGCCCTGAGTTAGCGCTTAATGTATCCCAGGCCATCCCCGTTAGTACTCTACGAAATTGCTCTCAGAACTCTTAGAATGCGAAACCGGAGGAAAAGACCGAGAATTCTGTGGTCGAGTTGCTATCTTTTCGATAGTCTTATCAATGTCAACGCAACATCGCCAACTTGCAGAACGATCGACGGAAAGTTCAAGTTGCATCTCTATCGATGCAACATACAAAACCAGGAAGCGGGGTTACGGGTCTCGATGCGCCCAAAATTTGACATGCCGAACATGCCGAACACCCAGCCCTCTTGAAGATACCTGAGTGCAATGATTGGGTTCGATCGGAATTGGCGTATCGCTGATTGGTAATCGAAACTCAACTTCTGAATCCGTGTTTGCATCACTGCGATTGTAGGTCTTGGATTCCAGCAAATACCAAACCTTACTGCCTTTGCAGCAATGCTGTCCCCAGAATGCCCAATTGGCCTCAATCTCAACTCCAGAAAAAGTTCAGCTGACAGCAAGAAACTTCACCGAAGTTTACAGATCTTAGGGTTAGCGAACTGATCTCCGAGTTCCATCATGATGGGCCAATGGCTCCAAACTTCCACCACTCATCGATCCCACGCATACGCACCGTTTTTTCCCTCTCGGGTTTTTCCCCGCGTGTACGTAATTTAGATGAGCGAGTGCATATGTACCTTTTGCCCGCCGGCATCGTGGGCACGACTGAGTATCCTCGTGAATGATACGCGTCGGACATGCAATTCAAATTCAAATTCAAATTCCACTTGCTGGATCGAGTTTGCTCTCCAAAGTGTGCATTGAGCGGGCATTAGATCATACCCAGTGCCTAAAGAGTTAGGAGCACTGAGGTCTCCCTGCAGCCCAATCACAAAGGCGCTGTCTCGTCTAGACAAGTTTTTGCCACAGAGAAAAGGGGGATCGGGGTCAGCAGACTCACGCTTTTTTTTCGGGGCTGGGAATTCGAGCTCTTGTGACTACTGTCACAGTTTGCATTTGCTCTGTGTAGGAACTGGCCTCTATTTGACGTCAGTTGACCAACCATCCGGCATCACGTCAGAACTGTCATTGTTGAAAATGAGATGTTTCTGAATTGGGTTCTATGAGCCCTTGAAGATACCGGTGTTTCGCTGTCTTCATGTTCTTGTTAAAGCTCCGAGTCTACTCACACACATCTGACTGTCATCTCCGTTCCTCGGTTGATAAAGTCCCCATGGCTTGCGAAGTCCAGATCAAGCAGGCTAACTCGTCGATAGAAATGGCTGTCCTCCCATCCAACCACTCTTTGGCAGCAAAGGTTCCATCTCGCAGCATCCTATGAAACACCAAGCAATTCAAAGTTAGGATGGCCAGTGGATCTTCCCGACGTCCCAAAACGAGGCAGTATACTGTAGCTTCGTGTCAGTTGTGGGTATCAGGTTCTCACAACCATCGTCAACCCAGAGTATGTCAAAATCTGTTAAGATATGCCGTAAATCGGCAATTTTGCTGGGTCGTCGGCATTGTAATCGAGATTTCAGTCTCGCTTCGTCATCGTAGCCGGTGCCAAAATCCCCTTCAACACAACCTAACTCCCTCCAGAAAGGAGTTCTCCATTGGATCCGAGCGAGCAGGTTTGCACTGCACGTCTAGCACTTCGCATAAAGCTCGAACTCGCACTGCCATAATTGGAGCGCAACTCGTTTAACAAGAAAAGCCTGGTCCGTAGGCTACCATGTGACTGGTGGCTTTAGAGGCCCATGACCATGAGGGTGCGCGCCAGACATCTGGGCGTTTGGCCCATATCCAGTTCCCAGGAACAAAAGGAAGCGGCTCGTAGGCCAAGTCGGACTTTGTTTTGACGTGCCACTGGAGGTCACTAGAAACTCTAGGCCAGTCCAAGAACTTGCGACATATCTATGCCCCGAGTGGTCGCGAGCATGGATGGCCCGATGCGCTATACCAGCGATTCAGGAAAGATGTTATTGTCGAATGTGAGGCTGATGGTAGTGTAGTCTCAACTATGCACTGTCAGAGAGAAACAAGGCTCACAAGACTTGGAATAGATGTGCCATCATCGAATTCTCTATACAAGGATTTGGGCCTAGGACCAGAACCCAGCCTGAACTGCCAGGTGCCACTTTGTCGATAGGTGACCCGTACCCATTTGTACTATGCTGGAGGGGATTAATTGAGGTAGATGTTCTTAATATTTGGATCGTTGAAGGAGCAGATGTGGAGCACTGGCAGACCGTAGTCGTGGGATAATCCAGCATCAACGCCTGAGAATTGAAATGTAAGATGCGTGAACCGATGAGCTGCTCTTGAAAGATTCAGCCACGGGAGGAGATGGGTAGGAATGACAGATTTTGGCTGCGAAGCTGTCGAGTTGGATGGATGAATTTCTGGCCAACGAAAAGCGTTCCCTCTTCGACAATGCTACCATCAGTGAGTTTGCTGGGGGTATGTGTATCTGGCCATGAAGGGCTTGAAATGGCCATGCAACTTTACGAATAAAAAAGAAGTGGTGTACATCTTTCAACTTCGATGCCACAATCACGATGTCTGAATTTCCTTGATAAAGGTGCATTTTAGCACCTGTTGATATCGTCCTGTATGATACAATGGCTATCGATCCACACATTGGAAACCTAACCTTCGGGCTACCCGGATGGTATCCTGAAAATATCTTGCGAGCTTGGTAAGGGCAACACCGTTCTCCATATGAGATGCGACATTGGCTTTCATTGTGCATAAGAATGGTCTTGCCCCACGGCAGTGGCTCAAGGTAGCGTAAGCCGCCTTGTCGCCGTTTATTTCGTACAGATAGACCCTGTCACCTTGTCCTCCAATTGCCAGCACCCTCGTAGAAAGAGGTGGATTACTGGATCATCTTTTACAGACATTATGATGCTGTATGCATACTTCAATCTGGTCCTTTGCCTGTGCAAGGTTTTTTTTTTTTTTTGAACCGGTGAGTGAGGGCACTTCATAGGCAACTGGAACTGTAGGTATATAATGGTAGATTCAAGAGGTGCCTGCTTGATCAATTAGCGATTGACGTTATGAAGCACAGAACATTGGATACAAGCATTGAACTCAGACCTCATGTTCTAAACAGAAGAACGAAAGCATTATTGAAGGCCAATTGGAGGGGAAATTTTTGATATTGAGTCCTAGTTTCTCTCGGTGTTATAAGTATATCTCGACTGTTTTATGTTTGTCGATCTCAACGTGATTCTGTAAGCAAACCTCTTTAGTTTCCTTGTGCAAGATAGCACAGACGATACATCCCTCAAAGTCAGCATTGCTGTTGAGGTTGTTCAAAACTAGTTCATAAATATTGTAGTCTTCCTATTCATAGACTTCATCTGGACAGAAACAACGGGGGGAGAAATTCCGTCTTTTAAAAGCTCGCAGTTTCGGATAAGGAGCGGTCATCATGATTCAAGTCCAATCGCGGTCTTGCTCGGAATCAAGTGGTTGCATTGTGCGATCAGCCAAGTGTGGGTAAGATAATTAGACTTCGCGTAATTATATATATCTAACAATACAGGCAAGGCTGCATGCGAGCTTTAAATGTCTTTCTTCGACTCTACGTTACCACTGTCACTCAGCCCTGCAACCCACGCTGCTGCCAGGGTATCGGCGACGACCTCGGTAGTAGGCCTGGTCAAACGCCTATCCACCACGAGCCCTCGGGGTTTCCCCCATCGGCAGGCCCCAACATTTTCAACGAAGTCGTCACCCCCTCTCTCCTGTAAGGCATGGTGCAACTCGAGACAGGGCCGAGGTTAACGGTCGCCTAGTCCCATTCAGACTCACAACGGTTTGGTCGTCTCTCACCAATGTCGTGAATGCGGCACTGAGAGCAGTACTTCCGGTGTGGAGAACGATACCGACCCCGTGGCTCTGGTGGCTGGCTGGTCTGTACCCCGAGTACCTGCTTGACAGGGAGCGGGCACGGGGGAAGAGCCGGGTTGAGATATTACCGGCTAACCACCCTCTGCATGTAAGGCTTGCCCGACCCCCTTACTGCGGCTAATCCCGTTTGCACCAGGCAGCTTCTGGTCTTGGAGCTCGGCCCCAGTGGGAGCCCAAACGCCTAGGCGTCAGGGCGTGGCTCGCCCTCCCCCCGACGCCGACGCTCCCAAGAGACGCCGAGTGCCTCCCCCAGACATGCGTGGATGGTGGCGGACTAACAAGCCTGCCTCGGCCCTTTGGGAAGGACACACAGCCAAGCCTTTCCTCGAAAGGTTCTCCCGACAGTGTCTCTCCCGCTGGCTAGCGGAGGTTTCGGGCCATGGCGACTTCTCGGAGTACCATGTGCGATTCAACCACCCCCCGGGGGCGCTAAAGGAGTGCCCCTGCGGCAGAATAGTGTCTAGAGGCCACTTCTTCACCTGCCCCCTCGCTACCTACAACAACCCGCTCGCCGGCAGACTGGACCCGAGGGCGTTCTGGTCCTCTTTCTAACTATTCAGATCCAGAACCTCCCAGATCGAGCTCTGGGGCCAGGCCTAAGATGCCGCCACGGGGTGCCTTATCCCAACGTTGAGACCCTTTCACTTCCCCCTACGCACGCGACCCCAGCCCTACAGGGGCATCGACACCGACACCGATTCGTCGGAGTTGGAGTCGGAGCTGGAAATCCACACTCCCGGGTTCGCACAAGTGTGAACCTCCCGTTCAATCCAGGGCACGCAACCCCCCAGCCCTCATACCGGTTTTGCCCCAGTGCAGTTTTCCTCCGGTGTTACATGTATATAGGTAGTCCAGTAGCTATTGCTCGCCGTCGTCGTGGGCACGACCTAGCACCCTCAGCAGTGGACCTTGTCGAAAAAATAGAATAATAATAGCAATAGTTGCCACTATCATATCTGTCTCACTGTTAGGCAATGACAGCGCTAAAACTGAATATGGCAAAAGGCTTGGCTCTTTTGCTAAGAAGCAGTAGCTCGATGGAAGCTACATGTGCTTTTCTGAACAAAAACAGGCAGGGAAAAAAATAATTTAGGCCACTTATCAAACTACATCCAGCTGGTAACTGAGAGTATTTTGCCCCTAATACTCGACGACAATTCATAAACTGCCAGTACCTGGTGATCACCAACCCTCATAATACCCGGCCAAAAACTCGGAGAATCCCCCACCACCATCGGGCTCGTCCAATGAAACCGGCCATTGATCGGCGGCCCAGAGAAAACAACCTTAATCTGTGCCCCATGCGGCCAATGACTCCTCCCATCCCCATCCTCATCCGTCATGAACACCACTGCCACGGAACCATCCACAAACGATGCAATCTGAGGCGCACCAGCATGCTTGCCGTGTCTGGGTTCATAGACGACTTGTCTATGTCCGAAGGTATGTCCCCCATCATAGGATAATACTGCTTCGATGGAAAATGGGCCATGCCGAGTAGTCTCCATTACCAAAGCCAACGCCTCGCGCCGGGTTTTCTCCCCTTCTTCACCCTCCTCGTCGCCATTACCAATATAGAAACAATCCCACGTCTTAGCCAACCCAACCATCCCATCACGAAGTCTTTCCCCTTCACCAGTGACGATGACTGGCGTCGACCAGGTCCTTCCTCCATCAAAGCTCCGTGTGAGCATGGTGTTCTGGTCGTCAGGGGCAAACTCCTGTGAGAAATAGAGCTGAATCTCCCCCGGCTCAGATCCAAGACGAAGGAATGGCTCCCAAAATCCAAACGGGGCTTCTTTCTCTGCTGCTTGGGACAAGAAGTGCCATGTTTGACCTGCATCAGTGGACTCGCAAACAGTGATGCGGAAAAAAGTATGCATCTTGCCGTCCTCAGGGGAAAGGTCATGGTTTCTGAAGGCTGCAAGGACAGTTTCACTGTTTGGGAGGGGTAACAGGAAGAGATTGTCCAGGTCGCCTGCGGAACGGGCGACTTCGCCCCAGGGAGAGAATGAATGTCCGTTGTCGGTGCTGCGGGCGATGGTTAGAATGTGTTCGTTGACTGTGTGGTTGGTATCATCTGTTGCAAGGGTCGAGAAAGTAGTGTATCCTGCTAGGAGGGAGCCATCGGGGAGACGACACAGGCGTGGATATGTGCCGTGGACGGAGTGAATGAAGTGCTCGGAGGGAGCGACATGGAACTGGCGGTTGGGCAGGGAGTGCGGGACGTCCATGTTTGTAGATGTATGATTTTTGCTGAAGCCTAAAGCAGAAAGAACTCTATCCGCAAAGGAGTCAGCCATGGTAAAGCGAGTGAGCACAGCCACGAGAGGGAGAAAGACCAGGATTAAAAACATGCAGGACACAGAGCTTGATGAAGGGAAGTAACTTATGTTCGCGCCACGGTATGCGAAAGAAAAGGAAGGTAAAAAGGCGGGTTCTGGAAAAGAGATGTTGAAGATGGGATAACGATACACAAGGTCACAGAGAGAGGGTGTTGTGATCCTCGAAATATTCATCTAGCCTGGTTATGTTTGGCCAAAGAAGTACACTCCGTTTTGGGGGCTCTATGGATTAGTGACCCAACCGTGTGTAACGTACCCCAAAAAACCTCCTGAAAGTTACACAATCGTGATACTGTATCATACAGTAAGCTTACGTGCATTATCTTAGGAAGTACCAGAAGTCTATGGGACAAACACAGCAACCACTGTAAGATTGAAATGAACATAGCCAAGATCCGATTTAGCAACTAACGCTGCAGATAAAGTAGATTTCGCAACTCGAATCTTAGTATCTTCAAAACTGAGACCTCCCTCATCCCCAGAGTCCAAATATTGCAGTAATGCGGGGAAACTGTGGGGCATAGACCTACCCCTCGATCTACCCCGCACACCTTCCTTTCCCTCTTCTCCCCAATTTCTTTTCACTGCTGAGAGAGCTCCGAACGAGTTCCGATAACTGTGGATGAAAGTGGGATGTTAACTGGCTGAATGTTTTCATGGGTCAATTGGGGTTTCCGGTTTAGATTTCATTCCTGCTGTTGAAACTTGTGTATGACCTTTTCCCGTCGATGTCCTGGGTCCAGTCGCAATCCAAGCCAGGTGTTAATCAAGCTGCCAAAGATCAAATGAAACGTAAAGTCAACCGCGATGAACAATCAGGGGACGAGCGACACACCCAACCCACTACCGAACAGGTGTACACCTATATCCTGCACAGGGCCAATTTCAGGGTGGGTACGAGCTCAACAAGATCCGCCATCAAGCCCCCTGGTTGCTGACAAGTTGACAGTAAACCTGGATTATCAAGAGCAATAACATCGACACAGTAGGTAACATGGGACACTTTGATCAGCACAACACCCGGCTTGCCAAACCAACATGATGGATACGGAAACATAAGGTAGTCTGAAGCTCTAAGCAATCAGAAGTAGCCGCCCTTCTCATACCATGATGGATGTGTGTGCTGTTGACCAGGGCATCTTCAATGAAGATTTCAGAGAGCATGGCAGACAATTGAGCTCACAATAGCTTTCAATTATCGACTGACTTTTTGCCCATGGCCCAGTTACCAGCATTTTCCATAGCTTATCTTTCATGTGGGCACAGTTGCCTAGCCTGGAGCTTCCATGAGATGTCCTTCAGTCAGCCCCTCTTTCCTTGTTAAGCCTATCTCATCACAGTTTCAATGATTGTGCTTTGTCCATCATGGACTGTTCAACTTTTGTCTGCTCGTCTAGAATTGGCAAAAATATCCTGCTGTTAGTGGCAGTCTTTCTTACTAACATCACATTGTTTATTCAATCATGGCGGTGAGAATTAATGCAGTTGATGCTGCCACCGCCAGCTGGGTGGATCAACTTCGCGAGAAATATGGTAAATTTCACTAAGTCCTTGACGGCATGTCCACAATCAATATCAGGGACTATGTGCTGAGTGAACCTTAGTTAACACTGATGTCGATAATGCCGAGAATCCGAGCAAATTTGGATACCACCATGGTGAGTTCGAGCTGTAACGTTCAATTCCCCCATATGGTGGACATGCTGATCAATCCTAGGGCCGATCAAGAACCCAAATCATGGCTGGGTCCCGCCTTCACATCAAGAAGATGCCAAGATTGTGGGAAGGAAAAGAAGTATTGGTCAACGCTCAATTCTATCGTGATATTTCCCAAATTCTGCCCCTACTGACTGTTTTCCTTCATAGAAACCCTTTCAGTCGCGGAAAATGCCCGTATGTTGTCCCAAAACTGCACACGCTGCTTTGTGACCATCTACCTGAGAGTCACTGACATGTCTAACAGTTGCTGAGAAGGAGGGAGTCCAACTATCCAGTGTCAATGGTTTGATGTAAATGGACGAGACTATAGACAACGATGCCAGTGAAGCTGCTAACCGCTTGCTGGTTACTGTTAGCTGCGATATAGTTGTGGACCCGTCTACTGGAGAAATGTGTGGTGCTGGATGGTTCGGTGATTGCCCAGCTGTGCGTTCCCTGACTCTCCCCCCTCCCCCCTTGGGGTTATGCCCAATCATTAAGAAATGTCACGGTGAAGTCTTGGGCAAAGAATGGCTCACTAGAAAGCACAGCTCCGTCGCCATATTCGGACTGCTCATCCAGGGGCTGTTGCCAACTTTGTTTCTCATGGAAGTCTATCTGACGAGCGTGTCGCCGCCGAAATGTATGCTGCTCCATACCCTTGGGTCAGTTATAATGACACTGACTTGAACTTACTCAGCGCTCTTCGCAAGTGGGTGAGAGATGGCCATTGGCGAAAGGCGAAGTACTCTAAAGAGCCGGGGTAAGTACCAAAATTGCAACGCTCCTATCCGTGTAGGCATCACTAATCTCACTAACCGGCGGCTTGCCAGCATACCACCCTTTGTCAGCATTATCCGGATGATTGCTGATGAGCTTGAACTTCTGGCGTTAGTTTACAGTCTGCAAGGATGTTATCACATTTGTGAGCAGTGGCTCTGACATTCTTTCACTTCTCCAGGCGCTACGACGCTTCGGTTGCCCAGAAGTACGGGATTTGGTTCCATCGTTATGTACGTTTCCATAACAGGTGAAGGTTTTCACTTTTACGGACACCAACCGAGACATCATAGGTTCCAGGTCGGGAACAGGGCTCTCCTGGACGTTTGCTGTTTATCCAAAAGGCCTTACCTCCTGCTCAGATGCCAAAGAAAACTCCACAGAGTGGAGAAAAGCGAAAGGTAATTATTATTACGGCTTCAGAACGCAGCCAATCCTCAGAGCACGTGCTTACAGCATCACAGGCCGACGACGCCGATGTGGGTGGTGAGAACGAACGGCGAAGATCCTTTGTCAAGAGTGTTAAGAGCCGTTGCGAGTGTGAGTTCTCCCACAAAAGTCAAAGCAGGCTGGCCAGGATATAGGGAAGCTGATTGCCAATCTATTAAGCTTCATCACACACGTCAGTAGTCATGCCGGCGGCGACTGCAACGGCCACTCCAGCAGTCACCCCGGCGGTCACCCCAGGCTCGAACGTCTCTCCCAGCACTACGGTTCAACGCTGGAGCAAGACATCTCTGGTACAATTTTTTGAGAATTCGGGGCTGTCGCAGGAGGCATATGTTGACCTTCTCGCTTTGAAGGTAGCCAGTAATCTGCGGGCAGAGTTTGCGTTGTTAAGTTACGAAGTGGGGAAGCTAAAGCAGGAAGTCAAGGAGTTGAAGGATAAGCTTAGCAAATAGCATTGGAAAGGGTTAGGGCTGTAGTTAGGTATGTGATATACTTATGCTCAGCTCCAGTCCGTGGCTAAGTACGTCCTCAGCGTGGCGGCTGGAGCTACTCCGTCGATTGGCGGAATTAGAAGCCGTAGGAAATTACCCGCGTGTATGTACTTAGAGGAACATCCGTTGTCTCTGAACCCAGGCTGATATTTACCCGGATGAGGACTAAGTGGCTGTATATCGTGATTAAGTCGACAGTGAACGGAAGAAGTTGCTCCTTGAGTGAAAGAGACGGCCGTTCAAGCAATGATGCCATTACACGGAAGTAGAAATTATCCAAGATATTAGTTTTCGATGGAGCGATGAAGGGTTGGTGTTGGAAGCCCGCTCTATGATATGAGATGGCCAAACGTTCTCTGCAAGAGAACTGTTCAAGCGCAAGCTCTCTTCACACCACAAGATACCTACCGCTCAGAAACTTGATCCCTTGTTGTGGACGTCCAAGATGCGTAGCGGCACTCTCGCAGTACTCTTCGCCAGCACGGCCCTCTTTTCGCCCATCGCACAAGCCGATGGCCCAACTTCAACGCCCTCCCCAACCATCCTCCAGCCAGGTGCCCTCTGGATTCGCGCCGTAACGCCCCCCAACTACCACAAATACCTTCAGACCAAGCCACCCAACGTTCCCGGCAAAGCCATCCTCGACTCACACACCACTGCCGGCCAATTCAAGCTCGAAGATGGCCAGCTCATCAACGCCGTTTCGACCGTCCCGCTCTACCTGTGGGTGGAGGAGCCGGTGGACAAGGCGAACCCGCCGCGCAAGCTGGCAACGTGGTTTAACATGACGCGAAATCCTTTCGGAACGTTTGGCTGGCAGGGAGACACGCTTGTCTGGTCACATCCAAGTGTCAATAGGCAGAATCTGGCAGCTTGGCTAGTTTGTGAGAATCAAGAATTGTTTGTGAATACAGGCGCGTATGGATGGCAGACGCCAAGTGGGTGTGCGGATCAGACGGTAAGTTTGAGGGAAACTTGAATGAGGTGAGAAAAAAGCTAACAGTTACGATATAGATACATTACTATAACGATAAGACGGCGAATAACTAAGGTGATTGACGATAGCAACGGGAAAAGAAGGTTGGGTTCTGAATCAGGACATCGTCACTGGAGAGATATTGACCAATGGAGGGAATGAGGCCTGCTTCACGTGGTAGTTGGAGGATTCAGGTAAAGAAGATGAAAATGATAGAACATGAGAGAACAGCAAAGAATGAATGAGCCAGCACTCATGAAGAGAACCCAACGGCATCATAGGTACTGGCTGTTGATGATATTATTAACGTGAAAATGGAATCTCATGAATACAGTAAAGTCCTTGCGATTTTAGATGAAGCCTAGAAGGGTCCAGGGTCCAGATCCATCCAGGAACAGTGGGACCCGGGCCCACCCAGCCGTGGCATTTGGCCCGTGCACTCTCTATTGTTCATTTTTTCCAGTTGCTTCACAATGCTTCCGTGATCGACCAAGTGTTTGAAGTCATTAATGGATGACTTTCGGTCAAGCCTATTCAGACACAATGTGATGACATGGATAAATTCTTGCCCGTTTCCTTGCAGAATACGGCTTGGTCACAAACCCTGCTGAATTGGCGACGCCAAATCGATTCTTAGCATCTAGATTGCACCAGTGCAAGGGTCATTTGCCCGTGTTCTGGCCTGCCAAGCCGGCTTGCTCAAATGATTGCTGCTGATTGGCCAGCCACTCGCAATGGTCCAGCGATGCACTGCCATCTGGCCCAAGCGCCATCCAAGAGGGAATCAGAACAAGAAGCAGGCGCAGTCTGCAGGGCCCTACAGGGCCAGGGGCCAAGAGCCTAGGAATGGACGACAGCCCCCTTTCACGTCATGGGCGGCTACCCACCGCTCCACCCTCCCTCACATCCCAAAACCACGTTCCCTCCTCTCTTTCCAGCGTCTTTGTTGCTGTGCAAGGGATCCGTCCAGTCCTGTTCTCGATCGATGGTACTGGCGATCATCACGTTCGTTTGACCCGGCCGCTCGTTATCACAGTTTAACAGTTTTCAAACGCTCACTTTTATCGTCGCTCGATTGTTTTTGTGGATTCGATTTCGCTTTCTCCAGTGCATTTACAGCCCAGGCCTGAGTTTCACAAGTTTGCCTATTTGTGTTTCGAGTTTAGAGTCCCGCTTGTCGCAAGTCTTGAAGGCCGTCCATCGACAGTTATTCCAGAATAGAACTCGACAAGATGACGACATGGTCGTCATCAAAGAGACCGCTGCGATGGCTCGTGGCGGCTCTCGCCACTACTTCAATGCTGTCGACAACACAGGCGCAGCAGCAGTATTACAAGATCGACACAAAAGGTAGGAATGGGTTCTGTCGGTTGTACGAGGGCTCTGACTAACCCATAGCAGAGGAAATCCTTGAGTCGGCGCGAACACTAGCCTACGACATGATGCTTTTCTACAAAGGCAACCAATCTGGCGAAATCCCAGGTATTCTCCCAGGTCCTCCAACGGAACACAAGGGCGACTACTACTGGTGGGAAGGCGGCGCGATGATGGGTACATACGTCGACTACTGGCATTTGACGGGCGACCCGAGCTACAATCACGTCATTATGGAAGGCATGCTTCACCAGGTTGGGCCGAACGCCGATTATCAGCCACCGAATCACACGGCTTCACTCGGTAATGACGACCAGGGATTCTGGGGCATGTCCGCGATGCTTGCTGCCGAGAATAAGTTCCCCAATCCACCCGACGACAAGCCGCAGTGGCTCGCGCTGGCGCAGGCTGTGTGGACGACCCAGGCATCTCCCGAACGTCACGACGGTACATGCAACGGCGGTTTGCGCTGGCAGATTCCACCAACCAATGCTGGCTACAACTACAAGAACACGATCGCAAACGCTTGCTTTTTCGATCTAGGTGCTCGACTAGCGCGGTATACCAAAAACAACACGTATGCTGAATGGGCTGAGAAGATCTTCGATTGGCTGTACGCAGTTGGTTATATCGACCACGAGACCTGGGCGGTGTACGACGGCGGGCACGTGGAGCACAACTGCACGGATATCAACCGAGCGCAGTTCAGCTACAATGCAGCGCTGCTGCTGCACGGTGCGGCGTTCATGTGGAATTACACCGAGGACCAGAAATGGAAGGACCGCGTGGATAATTTGCTTACCGGCATCCTGCGCGACTTCTTTAAAGACGGTGTCGTCTTCGAGATCCCCTGCGAGGGTCGTCAGGGTGCCTGCACGGCTGATATGCTCACTTTCAAGGGCTACGTGCACCGGTGGATGGCTGTTGTTACGCAGATTGCGCCGCACACCAAGGATAGGATTTTGCCAGTCTTGCGGACTAGCGCCGAGGCTGCGGTCAAGCAGTGCGTCGGTCCCCCGACGGGCCGGCGCTGTGGGTTTTATTGGAAGTCAGGAAAGTTTGTCGATCCGTCGGTTGACCATACCAGCGGCGCGGGCGAGGCGATGAGCGTGCTGGCTGCGGTGTCGAGTTTGCTGATTGAGTATGCGGAACCGCCTGCTACGAATGAGACGGGTATCAGTCGAGGTGATCCGAATGCTGGCATGCGTAGTCGAGGCGCGGCGCAACACTTTCGGGAGATTAATGCCGGTGACCGGGTTGGCGCGGCCATCTTGACAATGTTGATCTTAGGTGGCGCGATTGCGACTTGGAGCTGGATGAGCATTGGTGATTAATTGGTTAGGGAAACTACAGGGTAACTGCACTGTTTGAGAAATTTTGTGATTTTCGATTAAATGATGTATATATTGGAACAGGTGCCTGAGATTTGCAATCTGCTTATTTCCTCGTTGCACACCTTTGGCGTAGACGGCTCTGGTCAGGTCTGATTGGGAACGACTGATGGAGATTGTTGACAGGTTTTGTTACATTACGTGTTTCAAATGCCGTGGTCATATGCTTTTCTTTTTTTTTTTTTTTTGTTTGACAGTTCGCACGGTTGCTACATCTTTGTTTTGACCCCTTTAGTCTTCAAGGCGATACCTAAACGCCAGCATCGATATCAGACAACTCTAAGTTGATTTAGGTCAGTCAGGAATGAAAAGAGAGCCCAAGAAGAGTTGTGTGCTTGGTCTGTGAGCCCAGCGCTAAGAAGTGAGTACCTCGAAGATTGGAATTGAAGAAGGGCATTTGACCTTCGACTCCAACGCATCTTCGAGAAATTCATAGATGAGCCTTGCGCACGGCAACAATACGCAACCTTTTAGAATGATGAACAAAAATCAAAATTGATGTCGAACAAGCTACCGCAAAGCCCACAGTCCACAGTCCATCAAGGTGCGCACCCCGAGACCCGCCAAGAGCCTATGACAACGCCCCGCAACGCCCAGGGCGCGCTCCAGTGCTGCGTCGCAACTGAATTTTTTCCCACCTCTGATCTTTGCGACAAAACATCCATCGCGGCAGTAGCAACCACACCCATTGTGCCGCCCCCTCACTCAAGATGACTTCTTGCATTAAACCAAATGCCTGGGTGGCGCTTAAGCTTCCTTCAGGTACAACCAAAGTTTTGCAGGTTACACCTAATACGTGAGTTTTTTTTTCATTTTCTCCCTTCCCATGTTTTGATCGCCGTTGACAATGAAACACATTTGTTGACTCTTCACTCGCAGCACAATCTCCCTCGGTAAATATGGCTGCTTCCCAAGCAACCTTATCATCGGTCGTCCATACCACGTCACATTCGAGCTTCAGGACCGGCTACCTGGCGAGAACTTCTCCCGCCTCCGGGTTGTGCCCGCATCGGAGCTCTACGAAGAGGTCTTTGCCGAGGAAGAGGCCACTGAATCATCCTCTGCACCCGCCGTCACGGGAGGCAGCAACACTACCTCTGCATGCGACACCGTCATCACGTCCACCGACGGCGAAGAATTTAGCCTAGTCGACGAAAAAGGCAACGTGGTCGTACGCTCAACCCGCGAGGTCCTCGACGACCGCGCGCGGCAGACCCTCACCCAAGCCGAGATCGAGGAGCTCAAGAAAAAGGGCAGCAATGCGGGCAAGGATGTCATTGCGAAGCTATTGCTCTCGCATACCGCGCTGAATGAGAAGACCAGTTTCAGTCTAGCCAAGTATAAGTTGCTGAAGACGAAGAAGTATATTCGACGGTTCCAGGTGCTGCCGTTAGATGTGGCGAATTTTGCTACGTGGCAGTTGGAGGAGAGGGATGCGAGTAAGATAATGGATTTGAGGGCTGAGATGTTAGGATTGGTGGGATGCTGGGCAAATGTGCATTATGGTGGGGAGGATGTGTACCTCGAGGACCCAAAGGCGAGGACAGATCAGGGGGAAGAGGCTCTTGTGCCGCTGGAGAAGGACCGGCTAAGAGGGAGATGGCTTGTTGTGGATGATACGGGTGGTTTGCTGGTTGCTGCTATGGCCGAGAGGATGGGTATCCTCTACCCGTTGGAAGAAGAGGAGGGAGAGTCCAAGCCGGAGGCGACAACCTCTATTCCGACCGAGCAGACTCCCACAGCAACATCGCAACAACCCCCTAAGGACACCGACACAGAAATGACCGACGCCCAAATCCTTTCCTCCAAGCCCGAAAAGAAGCCCAAACAACCCAAACCCCGCCCCTCCGACTTCGCAATCCCCTACTCCCAATCCAACACCCTCACCGTCATCCACTCCGCCAGCCAACCCAACCTCTCCTTCCTCACCTACTGGGGCTTCGACGCCACCTCCCCGAACCATCCCCCTCACCCGCTCCTCAATCACCTCCTCACCCTTACTTGGCTTCAGCTTCTCAAGCCGGAGCTTGACACCTCTTACTCTACCCCGCCCCTCACCGCGACCCAGGAAACATTGAACTCATGGAAGCCCAGCCGCCGGGGTAACTTCCATCGCAAGAGGAGACGATTTGCCCGGATCAGGCATATTGTTGATGCCACTCGCGCAGGAGGGTTCAACGGCCTTGTGTGTGCCAGCACAATGGACCCGATTAGTATACTGAAGCATACCCTCCCCTTATTGGCAGGTGGCGCGCCGGTGGCGATTTATTCGCCTACAATTGAGCCGTTGGCTGCGCTGGCGGATTGCTTTAGTGTCCCCCGCCGCACAGCATGGACGAGTGGGAGTGTACCGGAGGTACAGGGCTTGTCGGCAGCCGAGTTGGAACGGTGGGAGGGGAATGAACGGTTCCCGCTGAATCCGACGCTGTTGCAAGGTGTGTCTATTCAGACGAGTCGGGCGAGGAGGTGGCAGGTTTTGCCTAGTCGGACTCATCCGCTCATGACTGAACGGGGAGGGGCTGATGGGTATGTATTTACGGCTTGGAGGGCTAAGCCGGCTGAGGGAAGAGTCGAGGCGAAGGGGAGGTTTAAAAAGAGAAAGGTTGAGTGTGCCGAGGGGTCTAAGGCTGAGGTTGCGGGTACGCCTGCTTCGTCGGCGTAGAGCAAAGATGGGTTCTGGATGGGACGGAGTTTACAGGATACCATTGTACAATCTGAGTCTAAGCAAATACCTTCGGTGAATGCTGGCGCCATCCGGCTTTATTATGTGTCCCTCATCTATATGTGCCCAACCAGTCTCGAATGTTCTAACCGCGTCCCTTAAAGCCCCTTGCCCATAAACTTCCTCTTGGTAAAGCTCAGCCACCACTTGCTCGGCTTCGTCTCGTCGTCAGCGTATACCCGCGCCAATAACCTCGTCGCCAGCTCCTGCCTAACCTGCGACATGTACTGCCGGAGGGTCTCTGCGTCCTGTCTGTCGCGGGGCGGCTCGTACATCTGCACGCGACTACGTTAGTCCAACTGTTCTCAACCAAGATATGTGTCATATATGGGAGCTACCTACTTGATTCAACGGCCAGCCTGGGTCACCGGGAATAGCAAAGTTGAGATCCAGCGCCAGGTTCATCACATCCTTGGTCGCCTCGCGCAGGCTCGCTGTCGGCCGGATCTTGCTCAGACAGTCCGAGATAAACCAGATCCCGTACACCAGCAGCCTGTCGGCCGGACCCTGGATCTCAAAGTTACGGAAGAAAGTGTTGGCACGGAACAGAGCGAGCGTCTCGTCGAGGATGTCGTAGCTCTCCGAGTCGGGGTCTGGGGACTCATTTGCCGGAAGGGGAGGGTCCGGGAAGGGCAGAGGATAGACGGGACCCCGGAGCTTTGTGCGCAGTGGAAGTAGGGGGAAGTTGCCGATTAAGCGCGGCGGGTTGGGATCATTGTTGAACATGGAGTTGAAGGCCTGATGAAGGGAGGAATGGCGGTGTTAGCGATGCTTGGGTTGGTGTTGAAAAGGGATAGGGGGACGGGAAGTTTGGAGCAAAAGGACAAACTTACCGGCATTGTGTATACCTGATACACCCGCTCGGCGCAAATATTGGTTCTGTGTATGAAAACGTAAAAGATGTGGTGGATGTTTTGGTCCTTCGGCCACGCGCTGTCGCTGTCGATTCAGGAGCTCGATCGCCGCCAGCAACCACACGGCAGCCACAAGCATCCTGGAGGGGTCTCTCCACTGGCTTGGCGTGGGCTCGCCTGCCTGTCTCTGCGTTGGCCTGGTCGGCGTCGAAGGGGCGGCTTGCCGCTGCCCCGTGGCGTACGAATGCAAGAGATGTGGCTTGTCTGTTGGCCCATGCTCTGGACACAGGCCAAATGATACCTCAGGCCACAACCTGTGCACGGGGCTGCGTCATCACAGGCAGCCGCGGCCCGCAGCCTGTCAGACGGTGGGATTCAACGGCCGAGACATGATTGGCTGGTAGGGGGTCCGGCGGCTAAACTCTCAAGATATCAAGTTCCTTGACTTTGGCGGGGATTCTTTGGCGAAGGTTAGGAGATGACCTCATGGCATCTCGATTCTTGAGTTCTATCTAGTCTACAAAGATAGCTTTGATTGGAAAGCAATGTGGATTGCACAAATCTTTCATATCGTCAGGCCACAGCCGGCCGTGACACGTGGTCGACGGGTTTCGTGCAGAGCAAGCAGGGCTGCATTGGTGCCATCGTTACCATCGCTGGGCACCAATGTGGGCGTGTGTCGCGGTTGGGTGCAGGTACCTGTACATGTACAAAAGGATGGCGGTTATCCGTTACCCGTGGGACCAGGGTTGCGAGGGTTCGGTCGGTGCCTGGCCATGCTCAAATCACAAGTCACGGGATTTCGTGTGTTAGCGCGTTGCCGCGTCGGGCACAGCCCACATTGTTGCACCTTTTCCGCTCGCCACACACCCGCAGGCCGCCGCAGGCAAGAGACCTTGGATTAGAGGAGTTCGCGCAGGCCGCCTTCTGTCTTGTCCGCGTTTTTAAGCCAGCACCAACGCATTCCTGGCCAGCCGACCTGCTACCAGCATCTTTCCTGGAAACGGTTTTCGCCGGAGCATCAAGACTCGACGGTATTGACGTTTCGATTTCAAAAGCAGATCATCGCGAAAAAGCTTCCCGTTTCAGAAGTCGGTTTTTTCCTTCTGTTGGACTGTGTGGCTCACATTCCAGATTCCGCTACGCGTGATTTGCGATTTGTGTTTGCCTCAAGCACACTTCAGTTTGTTGGGGGCGTGCGATCGCGGCATTCCAGGCCCCAGCCAGGGTGTCTCCACGGGTCCATCCAGCTGAGAGGAACCCTTGCGGCTCCCCTCCTCCCCGAGAGAGAAGAGCGACCACCGATCGCCAAACCGCCATCTGATGGGCAGATTTGAGTAGGCACAGTCCCGTTACTTCCAGGCAACCGCTCAAGTCGCAGCAACAAAGCGCTCGCGCGTCTAGCGACTTTTTTTTTCTGAAATTTTAAATTTCACCAGCTAATGCGCGCGTCTCCTGCACCACCACAACAGGTCCCTTTTTAGCAGCAGCTTTCTCGATCAGCTGCGCGCCATGGTCAACATGCCGACTGCCACCGCTCGCGACAATCCGGGCACGGTGCCCGACCAGCAACAGCACGATTTTTGTGACGCAGCCCAAACCATGACATTGTCCCAATCCGACCAATCCCAGATTAACCCGATGCCTGTGCGAAAGCGACCCTGCATCCGCCGCGTCACCCGGCCCGAGCTAGGCTCGCTGTATGACATCATGCACGAGCATGCCGGCGTCGCGCTCTACGTCCTTCCCATCTGCTGGACCGACCTGCATGCCAAGTTGCTCGACGTACGCTTCGAGGAGATGCCCGTCATCAACCGACCTATCCCCGATTTGCCGCCTGGCATGTGGGTTGAACCGTCGCGCCTGGCGCAGAACCTCACCAACGAGTTGCACACGCTTGTTCGTGAAGAGGGTACGCCTCAGCGCATCTTCTGTAAGAACCGCGCCATTAAGCACATCATGTCGACCTTCTTCCCCGAGACGATGTCGCGCCCCAAGAGCGACGCCCAGTTGAATCTTTACTTCGGCAAGCGCGTCTTCCGTAAGGTTGTTCGTGTTCCCTGCGTCTGGAAGAGCGTCAAGAGCAGCGATGCATCCTTTGACTCATGCCTGACCGTGCCGGCGACGTCTTTCAGCCAGGGACTGAAGGGGTCGCGCGACACGGCGACCGACTACTCACCTAATGCGCCCATCATGGCCTACTTCAACAAGTCCCAGCTTGCCAGCATACGCAGGAATCTCTACACCGTCATTCGCGGGCCCAATAACACCCCGAACGAACCAGTCACCCGCCTTCAGCAGCTGCGCTCCAAGATGCTTACTCCTTCAAATCCCGACTACGACCCTTACCTAGTCGCCGTCTTCCTCGCCATGGCACAAGCCCATTTCTACCGCGAACCGCCGTCGCGGGCCTCATCCCCTCCCGAGTCCCAGAGCCAGAGCCAGCGCAAATCCATCCGCCTCACAACCCCCAAATTCCGCGACATCAAGCTCCGCATCATTACCCACGACGAAGGTAACGACAGTACTCCCAACTTTGTGATCTACACTGCCGTAGTGACCACCTCCTTCATGGAACGCTTTCTCCACCCACACAAAGCACCCCCTGCTCATGAATCTGGCCCCGGCATGACCATCACCTGCACGCCCGTCACCGTCTGGCCCATCCTCGGCCTCAAAGAACGTCTGGCCAAGGCTCTCGGCACCGAAATCGCTGGGGAGCCGATGTTCGCTGACCCAGAATATATTGCCCTCTGGGACGCGTTGCTCGACCAGCCGCGCACGCCAAAGCAAGAGTATAGTACCCCCTCGCCGCCGCCGACGGCGCCGGGGTACAGGGTCAAGAGAAGAAAGAGGTCGGCCACGCCCGAGGTGAGCCAGCAGAGCCAGGAGTTGGATCGGAGTGGGAGTAGCTTTGATGAGGAGGCGAGTACGAGGGCGAATTCTCCTGTGGAGAGTCGCGAAGAGAAGAAGAATAGTGGCAACAGTATCTCGTCGTTGGGATCCCCTTCCGGGTCTGCATCCGCGACGGGTTCAGCGTCGGATGATCGCCCTGTGCTGAGTCCTGCTGCTAAGAGGAGGAGGACGACGCGTAGGGTTAGTACGCTGGAGGTGTGTTAGCTCGAGAGGGGTTATGGCTTAAGTTCGGATTTAGGAATGGGTTATGATGAGGATACGCTTTTATGATGGATGGTCTGGCTTCAGCTTAACAACTTACTTTGCTTTTTTAGCCACAAGTTTTATTTTCGTTCTTTCGTCATCGACGGATGGGGATAATAAAGGAAATTCTCTAGCATTTAAGGTACAGCGGCGGCGACGGGACTGACTGGATGGCTGGATGGGGCTTCTTTGGGCTTGGGCAGGCAAGGCAGGGAAGGGCGCATGAGACTACTACTGCTTCTACTGATACCCAAATATCAGAGAATCCGGATGCATATTGGGCCAAGTCAGAGGTGGTTTAGGTCGGCGGCGGCGAGCCTCGGGCTTGGATCAAGCTTGAGACGCGTGTATCATCAACTGGTGCTGTCGGTTTTGGTCGTAGTCTTGCCTTGAGTGTAATTGGGCTGGGCTGTTTGGGGATGACGTGACCTCGTATCTGGGTTTCGCGGTGATTTGGTCGTGGGCTCATAGCAAAAGAGCTCTATCCCCAAGGAGAGAACTCATCAATGTCATTGTAGCAGCAGCCGTCCATCTTAGGCCCATGATGCTCAGCGAATGCCCTGTGTGAATGATCCCGAGGACGTCCATCGAGTTTCTACAGTGTCCGGGGATCTTCCCGCTATCTCGGGAATCTCCCGGCCTTTTGCTCTAATCTTATCATCAGTCTTTGTAAGCAACGACAGCCCTCCAGTGGTCAAAGTTCTTTTTTTCTCGGCGATGTTTGGTTGCCTTGGCCTGACGGCAGCCACCACGTACTCGCCCTTGTCAAGCATGGACGAGGCTCCACTAAGGCCCCTGGCGTTGTGGGCCTTGACCCTGTCCACCAGAGCCCCAGGCAGCCTCGATTTGTCTTTTTCGACTCTCAGCTTCAACGACACTGTCGATCATGGCTTTGAATCAAGTCAATCATCTGAACTCCACAATCACTCTATCACACCCTTAATAGTATTCCTAAGACTTGTGATGCTGTTGTGAGCAAAACTGAACCGTAAAGTTCCTGTGCCCCAACCAATCATTATCGTCAAAACCCTCCACAGTGCGCCGACCAATAGTTCAAAGTGCATGCTAGTGCCGTGCGCAGCATCAATGAACCGGGGTCCGTCCCGAACTTCCTGAACTTCTGGTTTGCCAGCCCCACAGCCAAGTACCCACTCCCTGCGGGAACACGAACCGACCGGGTCAAAACCGCATAATTCGGGTGAGGCGCACCACATGACCCGGAATAGGGGTGGGAGCGAAACTCCGAGCGTTTTCGTCTGGGTCTGCATCGGGGCGTGGTTGGTCGAGAGGATGTTTTGTGGCCGGTTTCAGCGTCTTTATACTTCATATTTGGGGAGTTGAGCTCTTGAGTTTTCGTTGGCGCGCTTCTGGACGTTGAAATGCTTGCTAACTTCACCGTTGCAACGACTACCACCTGTACTACACCAAGCACTTTGACCAGACAGGACAAGCAGATCTGGACAGATCAGTATGCCTGCTCGCTCTCACCGGCTGTTGCTTACCCCTCGGGTCCTTGTGTGGGACGCTACGCACCGGTATTTGCTGTGCAAGCTGGAATGCTTGTTTTGTGGCCCCCAAACGGGTGAACCGTGGATGGACGGACCACTGAAGCAGTGAAACCCTCATCAGGGTTCGTTGTGCCGGTGCTGTTGGACGACATTCTCTGTGCTCTCGCACAAGACCACAGGTGATTCGCAATCGAGTCAATATTCATTTCCCGGTCTTGGTCATCCACGGCTCTCGCCCCTCAGCTCGGCACAGCAGCTGAACATGATCTCTGCCGGCAGAGCAGCAGTCTTTCCAAACTCAAAAGATCAGACGAGTGGAAGTGATCTTCAAGACCGCAACATGGAGCCCCAGATGCAGATCGCATCAGTTAATATCCCTCTGCACTCATCCCAAAGCGTTGGTATATCTGAGACCTCGCTTCTTGTCCGTCTCAATGCTTGGCGAGTGCAAGCCCCTAGTGAGGTAGTACCTTGCATCGGAGAACCCGCTTTCCGCTACCACCAGGTCGCCACAAACGTTAACGTGCATACGAAGAGACTCAACGGTCGGGCGCTAAGATATTCCTCGTTCTTAGTGCCAAAAAAAAGTTCCTTGCCCTTAGTGCAGCCACAGAACTTTTGAAATACAGGAGGCCGGCGCTATGACTCTCAGCCCCGGGTTCTACAAGACCGAAGTTTTACGACAACGGTTTATACCACAAGCACGCTAGAAAGTTAGCCTATTCTGGGCCAGCCCACCAGCTCACACCATCCACACACTCCTCCTCCACTTAGATGCGCTCGGTTAGATGCCATGGCACGCTGTGTACAGGCCTTCCCCTCGCCGTTTCCATGGATCGTCCCCCCTTCACCTCAGCATTCCCACCGCTAAAAGTTTGTACTCAGCTGCCCCGCATGCCTAAGTTGCAACTCATCCCAGATCCCCGGATTGCCCCTTCACTCCACTTCCTGCCTGTTTCTGCTTTTTAAGCAGCTGTGTGATTCCTGGTTCGGTCGTGCCGTCGCATTATGGGCCTCGCCTCCGGTCTTTAAACTCTGCTTCTCTGCGCTCTTGGTCTGTCAGCTGGTGTGATGCTTGTTTCTTACATTCCGAGATAAATTCTATTCTTGTTAATTCCCTCGCCATCGTCCCGCCCGACCTCCATCACAACTTCATCATTCCCGCTTGCTTTCCGCTCCCGCGACCAAGGTTTAACTCTGTACTTTACCATCGAGGTTGAAGGATTAGGCTGGCTCCATTCAAGTCGACTGTTCTTCCAACTTACGACAAGACTGCGAAGTGACAGACTGTGCCTCAATCTCACATTATTCTTCCAGCACGCGGAGCAACATGTTGATGCTGCCCTGATGACAAACATGACGCTGTGCCTTTGAACGACCCGCCTAGCCTGAGCTGAGCCTCCAGCCATGAGCAGCGACAACTTGAATCCCACGACTATCCTGAGCAGCAGCATCACCCGAAGATTGGTTAACACCGACAATGGCGACGAGAGCATATTCTCACAGACCAACGTCGCCGTTTGGGTCTTGATGTCCGCGTCGGCCATGTTCCTATTTATGCGTCTGTGGTGCAGGCATCATTTCTCTAAGTGGTGGTATGACGATGGGGTATTAACTATTACTTGGGTATGTTCTCTCCAGCTCGAATGCTGAGAAATGAGGGCTAACCAGAGGATAGATGATCCTCCTCACAGCAGCAGCCCTCATCAGCGCCGCTATTAGCGTGGGCTACCACACCGACGACGCCAAGCGCACCTTCTTCCTCTACCAGAACATCTCGACGTCCCTCACGACCATCGGCACGGCATGGACAAAAGTTGCCTTTGCGTTGACGCTGATGCGGATCATGCGTAACATTTACCTGCGCTATGTCCTGTACTTTGTCATCGTGACTGTCAATCTGGTGTTGGTCCTCGGAATGCTGTCCATCTGGATCCCTGCATGTACCGACCCGAGGAAACATCTTCGTCCGCAGCATGATTTGTGTTTCGATCATATGAATTTGATGTACCTTGGGGGGACGACCATGGGTATGTGAAGTGTTTGAGTCCGTGGGTTGAGGGATGGAAGCTGACTGAGTCATGGCAACAGTGTACGGCGGGTTGATTGATGTTTTGCTCGCTCTCTTCCCCTGGTTCATCATCCACAGGCTCCTGCTCGAAACCCGCGAGAAGCTCGGTCTCAGTTTTGCTATGAGTTTAGGCTTCATCAGCGGGATGATAGTCATTCTTCGGACATTTTTCCAGTTCAAAAGGATTGATAACAACTACCGTACGTTCCCTCCCATTGGCCCTCTCCCGTATAACAGTCGATACTAACACTTGTTGTAAAGACTACCTCGCCTTCCTCGCGATATTCAACTTCCTCGAGCCCTGCGTAAACATCATCGCCCAAACCACCCCCCAACTCCGCGTTTTGTTCGTAAACGCAAAGCACCACAACAGTAGCGACATCATGCTTCGCTTGACCTCGCCCACAGCTGCCATCGATACAAACAAGCTTAATCTAACTCAACTCGAGGATGGAAGTGGAAGGGGGCCGAGCGATAGCCCAGGGAGTCCAATGTTTCAGCATGAGGAATTGGCGAGGGCAGTTTCGGTAGATGGGGAGAGAAAAGATAAGGGGAAGGGGGGTTGGCAGGGAACAGGGGAGGGAAAAACGGAGGGGAAACTATGGAGTTTGGCTGTTTGAATTGAGTGACTTGGGTTGGTTGGTTGGGATGCGGTTTGGTTAAGGTTAATGCCTGTCTCTGAGATACCCATTTTCGTTTGTTTGTTTTCTGGGTACATATTTAGGACTTTAGGTCTTTAGTAATATTCTTCATGGTCGCAAACACAAACACTTGTTGTGTGTGCAGGTAGTTTGTGCTTCGTCTTTTAGTTGGGACGATATGAGGCAATACAACCAAGTCATGTGGTCTAAACTCCTCTTCTATTAGTTTCCTCATCAAACCTTTCAAGTGTCATACTAGACTGCAGCTAGGCACCCGGTAGCTTTCATAACATAAACACAACGTCATGAGTGTCTGTTTAAGAAAGACTTGCTTGAGGCAAGGTCAACGCGGGAAGTTAATGAGATACACTCATTATCTCATTGTTTTCCTTAAGCCTCTGCGCCAAAGTTTAGTGATGTTAGTGCCCCCAAACCGGCAAGATAGGCTGCCTGCTCCTCTCGGCATTCAAAGCCCTTGAAAGCAATAATCAAGCAAAACAACTCTCTTAAGATAGCACTAGCAGCCAACTTCCTAGACACCGCGTTCCCGAGCTCTCCAAGCACCGACCAATTAAGGGTTGAATTCATGCGAGGTTTGCTCCGAAAAATGGGAGGGCATGAAATCTGCGGTTAGTGTATATCTCATTGTCATTATTTTCGAGCGGCTCTTATCATGGAGGTGATACTGATTGTTTCGACAAAATATGGACAAATGAGAAAGTGGAAGAGGGGAGAAGAGGAAGGGAAACAGCTATCTGAGAACATGACAGATGAGCTGAGAGCAGTAGAGAAATGCGAGAATACATGAAAAAGGGCAAGACAAAAGTGGCGGAAACTGGAAAGAACCGGAATCAACTGAGACGAGAGCGTATGCCAAACCGTTCTAGAGTAATCTAAAAGAGAAAGAGAATACGCGAGAAGCAGGACTTGAGAAGGACAAGAAGCAGAAGAACAAGGGAAGGAAAAGAGAAATGTCCTCGGAAGCTCTTCGGGGACACTGCCCGGATTTCAAACACCGGCCCCCGTACGACAAAAATCAATCACGAATCTAGATGCTTTGAGCAACCTTTTTCAGCATCAGCTAGTAGAGTGCCAGCTCACCAGTTGCTGGCGATGGCCTCTGGATGTTGAGCTCAACGGCGCCGAGTGATTCCAGATTTGACCACTGGGTGTTCAGCTCTGGCAATCACGAGCACATTCGTTGAATTCTCGGTGAAATTCAGCACATACTGTCTCATACCGAGGAGTTGGAGCTGAAAGAAAGCACATTTCCTCGGCGCCTACTGAGTGTCAGCGGAAAAGGGGATTGAACTCGGACCGCTAGTGTCGAGATCTGGTATGCAGGTCCCAGGGGATGAACTGCATCTCCGTTTTATTTGGGGGAAAAAGAGTGGGGGGGTAACGAGAGTTTGACAAAGAACACGCCATGAGCCTTAGGTATGATGATGGGAAAGAGGAAAGAGGCTGGGAATCAAACGGAGACGGTTTTGGATGCCCGCGGACAGGTAAGAATCATCAGATGCTTGAGAAATACTAGAACCGAAATGGCTAGCTACACGAACAGCATTCCAAGAAACCTATCTTCTCCGGTTGTAGCCTCCTCGAAGTCAAAGAAAGTGTAAACTTGGTTCAGTAGAGCCTGTGGATATTCCCAAAGCAGCAAGTCAGGCACACGACAGCTGATGATGTGAACCTCATCTTGGAGGATACTGAGATGTCGGACATCCGGACTGCTACAATCCAAACCTCCTCGCTGCACAAAATCAAATCACATGCTTTTTCTACAAGCCCACCTTACATGAAAGACTAAGAATATCCAAGAGTGTGGAAAGTGGCCTGCAGGTGGTGGGAAGATGCGGCCGGCCAGCTAGTGTGGCTGCGGCGAGTTGGGGACTGTGGGGTGACGGATTAGTGGTAGCCAACTTGAAGCAGGCTGTGTGGTGTATGTCATGGTGCAGTGCTAGATCATACATCATACAGGATACATCACCTTTATAAGGGGCTGGATTGATTGTTGAACTCGGAGATATTTCCAGGAAACATAGAGCATGCGTGGTGGCTTGTGCCTAGTGTAGAGTGAGCGTGTCGACCACGTTGTGAGATGCAGCTAACTAGGAGCACGAAGCATCGTCGGGCTAATAATGTACGAGTCCGTCATGGTCTGGCATGGTCGTTGGTACGCGTATGAGAACATAAGAACATAAACAGTGGGTAAGGTATGTGGAGGGGCAGGAACAAGACTACAAGATGGGGCTCAGAAGAGCCAAGCCACGCGCTTGTCAGCCGACGTCTCCAGACTGTGACATCTCCCACTCCCCGCATCGGGGTATCGTCATCATTCATCGTGTTCGTATGAGGTAGTGCAGAATGTGCAGGACCTAGCACAACGGCAAACTGAGGTGGTTGGGGGGGGGGTGGAAGAGGGGGGCAGAACGGCCGAAGTCGAGGGTACAACAAGGCTACAACACACTACACACCGCAAAGTATACTTATTGTACCCACTTACCGCTATCACCTAGCGCCGGCCAGAAGAAGTTGGATTCTGCCGATTGGTGCGCCAGCGCAAATCTCCTTTCGCCCCCGGTGCTCGTGATGTCTTCGGCGATGCTTCCTGAGTCTCAAAGGGGGTCAGTCGAGATGGTGTGGATGGGTATGCCACTAAGATTGGCCGGAGTGACGTCTCAGCCCACATAGTGAGCGAGGGAGGTCGGCTCTTGGTTTTGAGATAGTATTTTCAAAGGGTCGATGCGAAAGGGTGAAGCCCCAGTTGCATCTGAGGAACGGACTGTGGTTGGGCTTTGGCAAGAGCCAAACGCGGACAGCGCTAAAGAGATCCAGACCAAAGATTGGCTGCAGAACGCAAGCTTCAATGTTAAGTAACTCGCATCCCTGCATCATTCACCATGCATCCTGCTGCTCGCAACAAACACCAACATATGGAATAAACAAAACTGAATATTCTGGCAATTGTCGAGAGGAGAGCTGAGTGGTTTCCATCGGCCTGATGGCAAACATCAGAGTGACAGAGAAAAGATCATAGAGAACGCTCATAGCGCCGGAGCAGGGAGCCAAAAGGGGAAGCAAGGCCCGTCTTCCCCGCAAAATGGATCTCGTTTGCTGGGCCACGAGTGACACTCAGCATACCCAATGATGCTACACCCCGCATTCCTCGTTTCCGTTCTGCTGGAGGTGGTTCGGGACAAGACCGTGTCAGACCCGAAGCCGGCGAAGACGGAGATGGGCTCCACGCGAGGGTTCAGAGAGAGAAAGTGAAGGAGACGGAGCCAGGGTTTTTTTAGCAGGTCATGGTCTGTCTCCAGTCTCCACGTTTCATTCCGCGCCCAACAAGCGCAACTTGGGGCACTTCGGGCTGTAGGCTAGAAAGTAAAATTATCCAGCGTTAGGCTAGCAGCCAACTGCCGTGGCCGTTGTGACTTGTGTGTCCGAGCGGCGTCAGGAAAAGAATTAAGCAACGTCGCACAAAGTTTTGGACATGAGACACTACAACGACCTGCACAACATTCAGTTTGATTTCTTTGAAAAAAAAAAAAAAACTGTCCGGATTATCTCAGTTTTGACGAATTCAGGTCCAAGAACTCGGATCGCGCGTCGGGCGCAAACATACATGTAGCCGGCTGGATGGACCGAGAGACTCTAGCGCTTTCCCCAAATCGACCCCTGTGCTTCCCAACAAAAAAGCAGAATTTTCTCCGTCTCCGTCGACTCGAGCCTAAGACCAAGACCGGAGTGTAAAGTCGTCCGCCATTTCGCATTTCGAGCGGCGCCTCTTCCGCCCGGCGGGCAGCGAATTCCGCAGCAAAACTAGAAGTTGAGGAGTGGTGTGTAGGGCTACACCATCGTCGTGCGGGGAATCTCGATCTTACTTCCCTCATGACGGCCACGCGCCCTCTGCCTGCAGACGCTAATGCAGTGTGTCCTCCTTGACTCCAAGCCCAAGTGCCGAGGCTGAGGCTAGCGCCAGGCACAAAAGCTTCTTTTCACATGTCTCGAGAACGTCTCATGAATTTGGAAAGCTTCAGAGATTCCATTATGATGACAGATTTCGAGACAGATGATCTTTGCGATGCTTTTCGAAAGAGGAAGACAGCATAGTCCTCAACAAGACATTTTACATGCCCAAACATCCCCTGCACCGGATACCACGCTCTTGACAGCGTCAAGGGAGCAGAAGAACTCCCAGTTTTCCCTGTCTTGCCGACTCTTTCCCCCGGCTCTTCCCCACGAGAAGCGGGACCCGGGTAGCATCATGGCAACGCGACAATGGCCAAGGATGGATCATGGCACGCAACGACGCCCAGTGACGTTGGAGTTTCCCTTCTCCAACCTTTGGCCGCCGCCGGCGTCTTCGTCGGAGACCTTCCCAACTCGGCCATTTGGCCCCGACTTCGCCAGTCACTAGGTCAGCTGGGCTGCCGTTGGGCCACCAGAAGAGAAACAAGAGCTGCGAGCAGCGTGCATCACCGTATTGGACAACGTCGTGGACTGCGGGGCCTAGCGTAGCGTCAAAGCATCCACTCGTGGACTCGGAGGAGATGACGACGAGGTTGGGTTGGGTATCTGTTGAGCCATTGAACCATTGAGGAGATCCCCCTTGTTGAAAGTTATATATAACATCCTCATCGTTCCCATCTCGAGGTGAGTGAGTCCCTAGACAGAGCAGTATCTCATCAGCTCTTCTTTCTCCAGTCCCCTCTTCTAACTTCATTATGAAGGGATTTTCTAAACTCCTCACCGCCGCGCTCATCGGCACCGCGGCCGCTGCCCCCCCGGAGCCACCGACCAAGGTCTTGGCCAAGCGTGCCGCCCCGACGGTCACCATCTCGACCGGCACCGTCATCGGCACCGACCGCATTGTCACCGAGGCCTTCAACGGCATCCCCTTTGCCAAGGCCCCGACTGGCAACCTCCGTCTGCGCCCTCCCGTCCGCATCAATGAGTCCCTGGGCGTGATTGATGCCACGGGCATTGCCCCGGCTTGTCCCCAGTTCCTGGCCGATGCTAGCTCGAATGAGTTTCTGGCGCAGGTCTTGGACAAGGTTACCAACCTGCCTTTCTTCCAGAAGGCGTTGAAGATCACTGAAGATTGCTTGACCGTTAGCGTTATCCGGCCTAAGGGTGTCAAGGCGGGTGATAAACTGCCTGTGCTTTTCTGGATCTATGGCGGTGGTTTCGAGGTAAGCCTCTTTTTACTGTCAGTTACCCTTAAACAAAGCTAACAATACCAGCTCGGCTGGAGCTCCATGTACGACGGCGGTCCGCTCGTCGCCAGCGCAACCTCCCTCGGCAAGCCCTTCATTTTTGTGGCCGTCAACTACCGCGTCGCCGGCTTCGGCTTCATGCCTGGCAAAGAGATTCTCGCCGACGGCGCCGCCAACCTGGGCCTGCTAGACCAACGCATGGGTCTCGAATGGGTGGCCGACAATATTGAGGCCTTCGGTGGCGACCCCAACAAGGTCACCATCTGGGGAGAGTCGGCCGGCTCCATCAGCGTGTACAATCAAATGGCCCTGTACGACGGCGATAACACCTATAAGGGCAAGCCTCTCTTCCGTGCTGCCATCATGAACTCGGGCTCCATGATCCCCGCCGATCCAGTTGACTGCCCCAAGGGCCAGCAAGTGTATAACACTGTCGTCGCCAAGGCCGGCTGCTCCGGTGCCGCCGACACGTTGGCTTGCCTGCGCTCCCTGCCCTACGAGAAGTTCCTCCGGGCTGCTAACTCCGTCCCCGCCATCTTGTCCTACAACTCTGTCGCGCTCTCCTACCTCCCCCGTCCCGACGGCAAGGTCCTGACAAAGTCGCCTGACCTCCTCGCTAAGGAGGGCAAGTTTGCTGCGGTCCCCATGATTATCGGGGACCAAGAAGACGAGGGCACGCTCTTCTCGCTCTTTCAGACTAACGTCACGACCACCGACCGTCTCGTCACCTACCTCAAGGATATCTTTTTCCACAATGCCTCCAAGAAGCAGCTCGAGGACCTCGTCAACACCTACGAGCCGTGGGTCTGGGCCGGCTCACCCTTCCGCACCGGTCTGCTTAACGAGGTCTACCCCGGCTTCAAGCGTCTCGCAGCAATCCTTGGTGATCTCGTCTTTACCCTCACCCGCCGCATCTTCCTCGAGTACGTCACCGCCGCGAAGCCGAACGTTCCCGTCTGGTCGTATCTCGCCAGCTATGACTACGGCACGCCCATCTTGGGTACCTTCCACGGCTCGGACTTGCTGCAGGTCTTCTACGGTGTGCTTCCCAACTATGCCAGCAAGAGTATTCACAGCTATTATGCCAACTTTATCTACAACTTGAATCCAAACGATGCTTCGGGTGGTACTAGCTCCAAGAGCAAGGTGTCGGAGACTTGGCCGCAGTGGACGAGCAGCACGAGGAAGTTGATCAATTTCTTTGCCAACAGGAACGAGTTCATTAAGGATGACTTCCGCAGTGACTCGGCGGCGTTTATTAGGAATAACGTCAATATTCTGCATATCTGAGCGACGAAGGCATGCCTTGGGGATGGGCATTGGGTCATGATGCATCCATAGTCGGTTTCTGTTCATGATTCTCTTTAGCATGTACATATTTCTCATAACGGCTTGGGATACGGTTTTGGGTATGGCTTGGAGTTTGCATGCATGACTCGATGCGGGCAGGATAGTTATGATACCATGAATCGCAACTTTGTTCATCAGTTCTCTTGGTGACACAGTGCCTCTGCTTGAGTGATGTGGCTAGGCTGTGTAAAATGTGACACATGTGATGGAAGTCTCTGAAGAGACCTGATGTCCAGAGTTCTTATCACCAAAAGCAGGGGAGTATGAGAAAAGCAAAGACAATCTTGCGATAAAAGAATAAAAAAATAAAAAATTGATCAAATAAAACGTTGACTAGATGAGAGCATAATGAGAGGACAGGCTACTTCCCGTCCCTAAAGTAACAGCTTAATAATCCTTGCCTCCGTATCCCAAAGCTTCGGGCATTGTTGCACCGACTCACCACTACCTTTCCGTGTGACATCATTCTCTCGCAACACGTCTCTGTGAGAAAACCATCACAGCATTCTTGAGCCTCAAATTCTTGAACCTGCCAAACTACTCGTTATTTATCAATTACCCAGTGAGGGGTTCAAGCACAGTTATTGCTCTCAACACCAAGGCGGGCAACGCAATCCTCGCCCTTGGCACAACCGGGCTCTTGGGCCTGTGTATTTTTGCGTGAGCTACTGTATCGCGGGAATAAAGTCATTGCATTTGTGAGAAGCCCAGACAAAACTCCTGTGTATCAGAAGGGGAACTCGAGCCTTGAAGCACACTAAAAAAAAAAAAGAAACACAGTATCCAAATAGTCTCCCTGCGCTTTAAGTTTAGAACCCAAATACATCCAACCCACTACCCATTTAGAACGTTTATCAACATCTCCTTTTCATCACGGGCAAAGATTTCCCTCTCTTCAACCGAACTCTCCAACGCAATCCCCCGCTCCTAAACCATGATCTCCCTCATTAGCCCTGCCCAGACTCTTTCTTCCCGCTTTTCTTTCGCTTCTTCACAGTCCTTCCTTACCCCTCCTTCTACACCGACACAATCCTTCCCCTCATGCGTCCAACACAGTTTCAAGCGCAGATTCGCTCTCTCCACAATATGGACACCTGATAATAGAAAGGAGAGTTCGGCCTTACGAGGTGAGTGATGGAGACTACCGTGGATTGGATCATGCCCGCTGCGTACAAGGCCATGGGCGGGATTATGGGGATCTTTACATCTCTTAAAGATGACGTGGGGGATGGATTGGATGGCTTCTAAAATCACTGGCTTGTATGGGGATGCTATGGTGGTGTTGGTGAGGAGGAATGGAAGAAGGAAGGGGAAGGTGCTGTTAACGGGGGACCTGTTGGGGGTGAATGGACGGATTGGCTAAGTAGGAGCTGGCTGGTTATATGGTTGGGGGATGTCTTGGGAGATAGAACAGTGGACACGGAACAGGAAATGGGGAAGCTGCCGGCTGTTAGCGATGCTAAGTGATCTACCGGTGCCACTGTTTTGTTGACGAGGGTGTTACAGCTCATCATGACCGGCTGCGTTCTCACCCGGTTGCCAAGGCTGCACTCTCCCCTGGATGATATCCCCCAAGAAGCGTTCAACCACCTCCGCAGTGAGCTTTTCCTTCCCCCGATAAGGATAGACATTCCCTGTATTCGGGCTCTGCACAGATAGGCCAGAGATACCAGGCTGCAAGCCAAGCATGGAGGCTGCGTCGGGGTACTCGTGGGCATCAGTGACGAGGAAGTGGAGGTATTCGGCGTATTTCTTGGCGAGAGGTCGCATTTGGGAGATGAAGGTGGCTTTGTCATAGGAATTGGAAGTGAGGAAGTGGACTAGGGATTTTCCTGTCTGGGGGATTTTAGTTTGCCGGCACGGAGGAATGTGACAATATTTGAAGAATAAGATCATACCTTGTAGAAAGTGAGTTCGTTCTTTCTTGTTAGCTCTGGGATCAATGGTCTTGAACATAGCCTAATGAAGTTTTCCATGGCTCCGATTGTCTTAAACTCCGTGAGCGTGTGATGAATGTCATCGAGCTTGTTGTAGCACTCCACGCGCGACTCCGTTTGCTCTTGACTCTTCTTTACTGCAAAGGAATACTGATCTCTGTACTTCCTCGCCAACCGCTCGAACTCCTGCCGCAGGTGCTTATCCTCTGGTTCAAACTGAGCAACAAGGGTAATGGCATCCATCCCTTGGAAAGAAGTGACATTACTGCTGTCAATATGAGACAAGGCAGGGCGAGACATTCTCTCAACGAAGCTGAGGATTGAGTGGGAGTTTCGTGGACCTCGGTATCGATGGAATGTCCCATCTGAGTAGGAGAGTCGGATGGCTGGGACTGAGGAAGCATCAGCTTGTTGACAGAGTCGAAAATGAGTTGAACAATCTATGCTGAGGACGGGAATTCGGCTAGACTGCTCTACTGAGGCCCATTCGGGCTCGAGCCATTTCGAATGTCGCCTACGGTTGTTGTTAGAGGTTGATAACATCTCGATAACATGAGATACATACTCATCTGGCTGTTCGAGCGCATCGTTTCCGTGTTAGTTTTCCAACATCGCCCGGGAGACCTTTCCTGGGGGAACTGCACATACGACTACATCTGCAGCACAGTTAGCGAGTGAGGTACACATACACTTGATGCTGGAGCAACTCACAAGCAACCAGCGCTCGTCCATCTTTCTCAATGGCCGTCCTCAACTCATTTTCTCCTTCAACCCACGTCCATGCTGCCGTTTTCGGTGCCAAGAAAAATAGGGATAAGCCGCAGAGGTCGATTCTCATGTCGCCCGGTCAAGCATACCAGAGTACCGGCTTAACAGGGAGAAGACAACAGACCAACTACGACGGTAAAAAACACCAAAAGAGCGAATGACCACAATGAAACTTCACTTGAATGCCGAAGAATGGAGAGAGCTCGATGTTAATACACAGTAGTATTTGAGCTGTTGGCGCCAAGTGTTAGACTGTGTGACCCCTGTCGCAACACAGACGCCAAATCTTCCATCAACCCCTGAAACACCACATGGCGCGCAACACTCACGTTTCATGTTGAGATAAGGCTGAGCTAGGATGCAAACCGTCCGTAACGTTAAAACAGGGGTTTGACTTCGGGTTTTAAAGCATGACGTCTTCCTTGGCAGCTGTCATCATCTTCACGCTGTCATTGAATGGGCCGAGTCTCGTCTTACTCATCAGAAGGAAAGAATGTCCACGAAGAAACTCAGAAGGCTCATCGCTGGTGTCGGTGCTGTCGCGGCGCTCAGCAACACTTTTGTTAATGCCAAAAATGCCGACCAAGCCCCTCTAACTGAATCCTCAAATCCATACGTCTGCGAGCATCCCCCATACAAAGTCCATCTCGTCTCCCACTCACCCCTAGTCATCTACCTCGAAAACTTCGTCACTCCAAAAGAGCGAGCACATCTTCTAAAGATTAGGTCAGTTCTATTTCCCTCTTCCCAGTCCTATATTTTATACTGACTTTATGCTTTCATGTAAGTGAAAACACCTTCACCCCCTCTGGCATAACCTCTAACACCAGCATTCCCATCCGAACTTCCCACTCAACCTCTTTGCCCCCAACGGATCCAATCGTGCACTGCATCTCCCAACGCGCCCTCTCATTTCAAGGATTCGACACTCCTCTTTCCCATCTCGAGCCCTTACAGTTAGTCCGGTACCTCCCCTCCCAATACTACCACCATCACACAGATTGGTTCACTTCCCCCGTCCACTCCTCCACCCAATTAGGAGGCAACCGCCTTACTTCCTTCTTCATCTACATCAAAGTTTTGGACGGGACCATCGGGGGAGGGACAAACTTCCCCCGGCTAGAACCTCTCATCGATGAGAAATGGTGTGAGAAGGGGTGGGTCGACTGTGATGAGGAGTGGGAGAGGGGCGTGACGTTTCGGGCGATGGAGGGGAATGGGGTATTTTGGGTTAATCTTGTGGATGGGGGGGATGGGAGGAGGTATGGGGATGAGAGGGTGTTGCATGCGGGCGTGCCGGTCGTTAGGGGGGAGAAAGTGGGGATGAATATTTGGACTAGGGAGGGACCGGTTGATGAGGCTATCAGGGGGGTTGCGTAGGTGAAAGGGCATTTAAAGATGAGTAAAGACATAAGGATTGGCTAAATAGAAGTCTGGATTGACGGTTGGCTGTGCTCAGCACTCTGGTATCCTCACTAGCCATCGTAATATGTGACACTATTCAAAGCCCGCTCCATTATCTATTGTTCATGACCTAGTTGACTCACTCCCCTCCTTGTTGACATCCCTCCTTTCATACCACCTCTCGAACGCAGCTTTCTCAATATCCTCTTCTGACGCTCCCGCCCCCTTTCTCTCCATCAGCCCATGCTTTCTAAGGTAAACCCTCTTCGCCCACTTCCATCCCTCAGCCCCCAGGAAGAACAACACGGTCATGGCAAACACCACGCCCCATTCCTTATCCAGTCCAGCATGCAAAAACACACGCTTATTAATTACGGGAATGTACAGCGTGGGAAAGACGCTCACAAAGCCCACGACAACCGACCAAAACAGAAACGGATTCCTCCACAACCTTAAAGCCCACTTCTTCGTATTCCTAAACGCCCCATGAAAGAAGGACAGCCTCGCATCAATCAGCTCCCAGGCGAAGAATACGAAGATCCACATCATGGAGGTGTAGCAGGTCGAGCGGGCGCGGAAGACGCCTTCGCATGAGGGAGAGTAGCGCAAGTTGCAGTCGACGCCGAAGTTGCCATCGTACAGGCCGAAGATGACGATGATGAAAGAGGAGAGCAGACAAATAGCCATGAGAATGCCGTAGGCGACAAGGTCGGCGAGAAATTCGCGCGTGAAGACGCCATATTTCAGCTAATAACAGTCAGCATGCCTCAACATCAAATAGCACGGCGGAAAACCTACACTCTGCGGCGGCCGACTCAAGATATGCTTTGACGCGGCCTCAAATCCCAACCCCGTCTCGGTAAACGCCCCGGCAACAAGCAACATCCACAGAATCTCGATGGGCGTCACTTGGTACACCGACGTGCCGCTCTTATCCTTATACGCCAGCCCGACCATCAACGTCGTGACAAACCCAACGTTCGCGCTGAGCACATGAAGCATGAACTTCTGCACATTGTCGAATATCCTGCGTCCTTCCTCAATTGCGTTGAGGATACTCGCAAAGTTGTCATCGCTCAGCACAATGTCTGCCGCGGACTTGGCTACATCACTGCCGTTCAGACCCATCGCAATCCCAACGTCCGCGCGTTTGAGACTCGGGCTATCGTTGACGCCGTCGCCTGTCATGGCAACGTACTTCCCTCTCCTATGCAATGCATCAATCATCCTAACCTTGGTATTCGGCGTGCACCTCGCCACAACTAAAGGCAACTCAGGCAGGGCATCAATCTCCTCATCCGTGAGGCGATCGAACTCTGCCGCGGTCATGACCATTCCCTGGGCGATATCCGACCTGATAAGCTCCATTCTAGACGGCAAAATCCCCACTTCAGCGGCAATTGCCTTGGCAGTGAAAGGATGGTCGCCGGTAAGCATGTGCACGGAGATGCCTGCTCTCAGAGCCTTGAACACGCTGGGACGGGATTCGGGACGAGGGGGGTCGTAGATGCCGATGAGGCCGCAGAATGTGAGGGAATGCTCGAACTCTGCGCGATTTAGCTGACCACGACGAGAGCTCTCGGGGCTGATAGGAGCGAAGTCGTGGCGGGAGGCGAGGGCGAGCACGCGCAGGCCGCGGCGGGCGAGGGATTCCATATTGGCATGGATTTGGGTGTAATGGGAGGCTGTCAGAGGGACTGGGGTATTTTCTAGGCTCAAGATTGTGCTGCAGTTGGCTAGGACGCGCTCTACGGCTCCTTTGGTGAAGATCGATACTCGGCTGGTTGGGATGTTGGTGTAGAGCATGGACATTAGCTTGATGGAGGAGTCGAAGGGGAACTCGGCAATTTCTTTCCATTCAGCCTTCTCTGCATCCTCGGAGCGGTTAAACCTGGTAGCAAACACTTTGAGTGCAATCTCGGTTGGATCGCCGTGTGCCTGCCAGGCACCGCCAGTCTTAGTGACCTTGGCCAGGTTGGCTAGCGACGCAATGGTGAGGTACTCCTTCAAAACCGGCTGAGTCTCGCTCTCTGGCGTCACAGGACTACCTTCATCGGAGGAAATCTCGCGCGGCTCAGCGTGGATGAAGGTCACAATCCCAGCGTCGGGGTTGTACGGGTCGTCCGTATTGACCGAGTACGTGCCGAGGCCCGGAATCCAGGCCATACGGGTGACCATCTTGCCTTGGGTGAGCGTGCCCGTTTTGTCGGAGCAGATGTATAAACTCTAATTAATAGCTCATTCAGACCACTAGATAGGAAGGAACGTACTGGTGACACCTCCAAGGGCCTCCAGCGAACGCATATTCCGCACAATGACGTTGCGCTGCACCATCACCTTCGTGCCAGCAGCCATCGTGATGGTGAGCACCACGACTAGCGTGACCGGCAGTGTGCCGACGGCAGTTGCGACGGCGTAGATGACGACATCGCTGCGGGTGTGGAACTGCGATTGTTAGCTGGTTCGACGCTGATGATGATGTTGATGAGTGGTGTTGACGGGAAAAGGTTTCGACTCGGGTTAGGGTTGAAAGGTTTAGACCTACCGCTGCAGGTGAAGTATGCACCCCAGCGGACCCTAACTCTGCTTTCTCGGACCTTTTTCCTCCAACCGCATCATTGATCCATGAAGTCAAGAACACTCACCTTGTTCGCAGCCAACACTACCACAAAACACGCCACCGCAAACAGAAACACATACCAAAACAGCTGCGACAGCTTCCTCTGCAGCGGCGTGCCCACATTTATCCCCAAAAACCCCCCAACCCAATCCCACGTCCTCAACACTCCATACTCAACCCACTCCCACACTCCCGCCCTTCCGTTTTTATTTTTCCTGACCTTCCTCTTCTTGGTCCCATCATCCTCCAACGCAGCCGCAATCGCTCCGATCTCCGTGCACATCCCCGTCGCAAAGACCACGGCCCTACCCCGGCCTTTGGTGATTATGCTCGACGAAAAGACCACGTTTGCCCTGTCGCCGGGTCCAACATTCTCATCGTCATACACCTGATCCGGGTCCTTGCGCACGGGCACACTTTCTCCAGTCAACAAAGCCTCATCAGCCTCGAGATTAACAGCTTCAGAGACCCTCGCGTCGGCGGGGACGCTGTCCCCCACTTTGAGCTCAATCACATCACCGGGAACGACCTCCGCGGCGGGGATGACGGACGTGACACCGTTGCGGATGACGCGGGCGGTAGCTGAGTTGAGTGACTTGAGCGACGCGATGGTTTTTGCGGCCTGCAAGTCCTGAAAGTAGCCTATGATGATGTTAATTGCGATGAGAAAACCGAGGACGCCGGACTCGATCCAGGCGCGGATAGCTAGGCAGGCTGCTAGGGCGAGGAGGAGGATCTACCGGTGTCACGGTCAGTGACTTGTGTGCCCTGAGAGAGGGGAGGGACAAGGACATACCAAGGTCATAGCATTTACCACTTGCGCGATGAGAATCTCGAGCCGCCTGACGCCCTTTTCTTCGCCTAGGTCGTTCGGGCCATATTTGAGGAGTCGGGCAGCTGCTTCTTCGCGGTTCAGACCAGAGGCAAGGTCGGTGTTGAGTTCCTTTGCGACTTGGGTGAAGGGTACGTTGTGGGCTGGCCTTGACAAAGGCCCATTGGCCTGGCCGGAGACGTGGCCTTCGGGGAGTTGGCGTTTCTTTGCTCCCATGACGGCAGTGTCTCTGCTGCTGCTGAGAAAGGTGAATTTGGCTACAGGTAGGAAAGGAGGGGACTTGAGCCATCACAGGATCGTCAAACCGGCCAACGCTGTCAAAGTCTTCTTCAAATGATCTTGGGAGCTCCCAAGCCTATTTATCCTTCCAATTCCAGGGAAACTCCTCTCTAGACTACCTAGATAAATTTTACTTCTAAATCTCAACCTGACTCCATCTGTTGCTCTCTTGGCCTCTCTCTCCAAGATCTAAATCCCAGGTCCCAGCGGAATCTTCCACCGCCAAGCCATGCATCCCAAACTCGGCAGCCAAGACACCACTCCTGCAGCTCGTCCTTACGTGATGCGGTGGAGACATGGAGGCTCTGTGGATCTCGATGCCGCAAATGCAGGATTGTTGCTGATTCCGGAAGCTTTTTGACATCTTCACCAAAGCCGGCCTGCAGCGAGCCCACAGCCCGGCCTGTCAAACGGTATTTGACGCTGTCGAGTCAAGCATATCAGGGACACGGACTGCCGAGTGCCGATGTCCGGCGGTCTGGTTCGAGGATCTGTCGGTTTGGGTGATGGGAGTGGTTATGAGAAAAGAAACTGGAACAAAGTGGATCCTCCACGTGACGAAGATGATTTGGTTGCGTCTTGGCATTGGCGTCAGGACCGAGGTGATAATGGCTCATCCTTCTTTGTTTACTTGGCGGTTAGTAAGAGAAACTCTGTTAAATGCAGCAGAGAATATCTCCGGGAATGATACGAGGTTACAAAGCGTTGAAAGGCTTCGGTATTGGAAAGTCTTGGTGGCTCCCCAAATGGCTAATTCCCGTTCCATGATTCTTGGTTCTTCACTACTTCAAAGGCTAAGTTGAGATTGAGACGTCACCTCAGAGAGCCCGGGAGGAAGTTGTTCTAGATAAGGAAGACCGTCCAGATAATCTGAACGTAAAGGTCATATATAACCATGGTATCACGATCGGTTACAGTACGGTTCTGTAATTCCATGTTTAGTGGGCATGTTTAGCAAAAGAACGAAAACAAACTCTGACTAAAAGTGGGAAACAGAGGCCAAAGACTCGAACTCCGAGCAAAGCGGTCACCTGGCTCGTGCCAACTTCCAAGTCCAAGGACACCATTACCGTCTGAACGTGGGCCTTTTGAGCCCCCGATGAGCCAGACACAACCAGAGACCGTCCAGTCTACGCAGAAGGCTGCTCAGTTTAGCAGCTTACCGCTGGCTCCAACTTTCGTCTCAGCTAAGCACGTCGAAGTCTCATGTTTCGGTACGGAAATATCTATATACTATTTTCTATGTACATTCTCTTTATCGCACTCGGCCAATCTCGGCTTTAGCAACCGCCGGGAGTGCCCCCATCCCCGTTAAACACCTCCTCCACAACCACATCAACAACCCCCGAACCCCCAACCTTACACCCCGGCACAGTCACAACCCTCTCGTCCTGCTCAACAATCCAATCCTGCCCACAATCCTGCTGTCTAGCATACTTATACCTCACCTCGCCCCCCTTAAAGCCCTCCTCAAACTCCAGCAGGACGTCTGCCCACCAGAGCGGGCGTTCAGCAGTATAATTGCTGCTGAGTAAGGGATAAGCTTTAGACACGTCCCAGTTCCCTAGTGTGGGCGTGCTGCCCGTAATAAAGACGTTCTCGCCGTAGTAAGTCGGTGCGTCGACCATGAAGCGGACAGTTGTGAGGCAGGGGATTTTGATGTTGGGTGCGCCGGCCTCGGTTGCGGGAGCGAAGGTGCCAATGAAGGAGCCGTCGCTTGGGGTACAAATTTGGGGCAAAACAGGGGCATTCCGACCAGTCGGGACCCAGCTTGCAGGAAGATGTCCATCGCGCCGGTGAGTCATGGAAATGAAGGAGGCGAAGGACCAGGTCAGGTTTGCGGCGGAGGTTGGAGTCCCGGGGGAAATGCGGAGGAATTGCTCTGCTTGCATGCCGTTGGAGGGAGTATATTTCTTGGAGACCTCGATGAAGGAGTCGGCGTAGGCGTGCACGGCTTTTGCCAAGGCATGGTAAGTTGGATGAGACTTCGAATATGTCCCGATTTTGGCAGAGGGATAGAGGTCCTTAAAAAAGGGAAGTGAGGTTGAAGTAATGGTTATCTGCCCCTGGCGAGACCAGGACAGGGCGACGTCGTAGAGAAATTCTGCGGCCCCGTGGACGATTAGGTACCAGGGGTTGCCGCCGAAGTAGGTATCTTCGGGGTAGCGGCCTAAAGCAATGCCTTTACCGACAGGGATGCCTTCGTTAATGGGATAGAGAGTGCGGAAGGTGTCAACGACAGCTTTGAAGTTGGCCAGGCTTTTTGGATGGCATGGCTGTAGCGTAGGACTGTTGCATGAAGCATTGGGGTCAAAGGCCATGATCGGCCCAAGGATCGTGTTTGCATCTATGCCTACCCGGCCAGTTGGCTGTCCGGCCGTGGAGGTGATGAAGTTTGCCGTGTAGTAGGCGCCGTTCCAGTACGAATTAAGCAGGCAGAGGATCTGAGGGGCTTGCGAGCAAGCTGGGCAAGAGAGATTGAGGGACTTAGCGAGGGTAGAGCCCTCGATGAGGGCGCGGTATTGGGATTGGGTGGTGAAGAAGGAAGCGCCAGAAACTTCCTCCCAAAGGTCAAAGGTTGTGGCGTTCCTGCTCAGCGGTTAGCTTTGGCTTCTTGGCTTGATCAAGTTCAGAGACACCCACCAGTACTGCCCAACATAGTTCAGATCATTGCTAATGATTGGCCAGATCTCCCTCTTAACCCTCTCCTTCTGCTCTTGGGAGATAAGATAGTTGCTATACTGGATGAGAGAGATAGCCCTCAATGGAGGACCGTCTCTCTGAGGCCGACCCCAGTTCCCATTGTATCTCGACCCATCAGCGTTGAACTTGGGCTCGCCGAGACCAGCACCGTTGGGGAGAAGTGAGCCTGATGGGTTGCTGACCGTTTGGAGGATAGCCTGGGAGTAGATGTAGTTCTCGATGTGTGGCTGAAGGGCCTTGTTTCCAAAGAGGAAGTCGTCGATGATGGTCCGGAAAGTGAGGGCAGAGTCGCGAGTCCAAGTGTAGAAGTCTGTGTGTGTGTGTGTGTTAGAGGGTTCGTGAAACTTCAAGTAGTCGAATTGACATACAGTCAGGATTTGACTTTGATGGACTGGCGATGACGAGACCGCGTCCTGCTCCAGCAACCTTGGTACCATTGGCGCCAATATTGTCGAGGACTCCTTCCAGGGCAATTGCTCGCTCTAACAGACATTAGATAGTTCTATTCTTGACATATCCGTATGTGAGAGCAGCTTACCGGTCTTGATCCATTTTTCAAGGGACAAAGTCTGAGGGATAGCTCCTGCCAGCCCCTGAGAAGCTAGTAGGCCTGTTAATGCCAGTGTTTTAATCAATGGCATCTTGGAAACACTACTGGTAGATGTTTGACAGATAAATGACCTGTAACCTGCATATCAATATGATTTGGCTCATAGATACTTAAATATCGTCGAGTGTCTTCCTATCGCGCTATCACCGTCAGCTGTGCCCATGCTCCATTCGGTCTATGGATATCATTGAAATCATTGCCTAATACCTCCAGTCCTGGTCAAACACTAAGAAATCGGCCCTTCAAACAACTCTCGCCAGGAGAACTTCCCATTTTGGCCACGGACATCTGGCTTGGCTTCGGTGATATACCGTCGCAGCGTTGCATTCCGCTCCCCGCCTTTCCACGATCACAGGATGCGTCCGATCCGGAGTTCTCCTCGGCTTCATTCGGACCCCTACATGACCGAGTAAATGACCGACATGCATTTTGATGGAGGTTTGTGGGAGCATACCGCTTTATTTGCTGCGTTGTAGTCTTCAAGCTTACGGATAAAGGGTTCGGGTATAATCGGCAAGGGGACAGAACGTTTGTCCAAGATGGATGTGAACATGCAACATCCAAAAATGGTGGAGACCATGCCGGCGCTGGAGAAATCCATAATCCAGGGAACGAGTCTTTCTGGTGGCTGATATCACTGGAATGATGGTTCAACTAGATGAAGCTAGTCTTTCTCACGTGAATAAAGCTTTAACTTCATGTGGAGTAAAGAGTCATACCTTCCGTTTTGGTGTCGATTACCGTTGCTGCGGACTGTCAACGTTGTTTTGATCTTAGACCTTGTATTTGCCCTCTTTCCGCTGTGGCCTGCTCAACATGCTGTTGTTCTAACACCCCATTCGAGTTCAACTCAAAAAGATGCAAGCAGACACTGTCCGAGTTTTTTGTATATGAGTGAATGGTCCAAGTATTACCAATGGTAATACACCCCGATGTGACGACATACATTGATGAGTTTTGTCCTTTATGAGTTTCTCCAGCTGGATGTAATCGTGATAATCCGGGGCTGTGAGCTTGGGAGCCACCTGCATCAGGGACGCAATCTTCAACTGGAGGACTGAATTGGCAGTCAATTTGCGCATGGTATCCGTCGCTGATATTATCAACCGCTGGCCTTGCCAGCAAAATCGAGGACATGAAGGCAAAGGTTCTTGCGGACAGGGTACTCCACATCGGATATGGGATTCCGGCCCTCACATCCAGAACTTTTCTCAGCTTATTATTCTCACCTTCTTCAGAATAGCTCGAGCCAGAGTTGAGACAGGTTACTCTCTTCTGTCAAAGTATAATTGCAAAGATCCAAGGATTAGCAAAGCATGAACTATAAATTTTTTAGCAGCTGCGAGTAGTATGCCATTGAACCAGAAAGACAAAAAAATGAACCTAGTACCTTGTGCTACACATTGCAAATGTCCTCTCACCTAGATCTCAAGCCCACCAAACCATAGTTTCCAGCTCACTCATGTTACCGAGCCTCCTTCAACGATCCCAAATCGACCCCACAATGCGGCTACATCCGCACGCAGCACCTTCGTGGCACGTCTCAACCACTCCCTATCCAATATCCATCCACAGCGCACACACTCAGCAGTCAGCCATGCTCCTCCTCCCGCGGCTTCCATTGGCGACACCTTGACCCTGTGGCCCGCGCGGGGAGCCAGTCGCTGACGTGTGGCGCTCTGTGAGGGTCCCTAGTACTCTGCAGGGTCTGGCATGGCGTCAAGCCACGCGGTACACGCCGCTGTCTTTGATAGGCATCCACTGGAGGACGAATGCAGCCCAGCTAGTGGCATCTGGGGCCGGACGGGGCTGCGCTTCAATCCTGGGCCCCACTGCCATGGTGTTGCAGCGGGTGCCAATGTTGTGCGAGTAGCGCAGCCCTAAGGCCCAAGCAAAAGATGGGACGGAATGCAACGCTCAATGCGGATATTTTTAGTGTTATGGGTAAGGGAAAGTTGAAAGAAATTTTGGGAATTTCCAGATATTTGATCTTGTGTGAACATGATTGTCAATATAAAACTCGGTAGCAACGTGTCTCCTTCCCTGTTACTACCATAACTAGTTCATTCTCTCCCACAAGAATTGCCTGCCGCATCTCTCCCCTCTCCCTCACACAGATGGCGCACCACAGCCATTGTGGCATGCAGCCACGGGAGCCGCAGTGACGCAGCACGCACGCTGAGAGGTGCGACAGGACGCCGCCAAGGCTGCCGCGATACCCCTTCAGGCACAGCCACGCGGTATGCAAGCCAGCAATATGCCTGGAAAGAACCTGTTAGCGAGCCGTGGTAGCGAAACTGGCCAGTCAGCCCTCGGCCTTAACACAGGGCCCAGAGGAAACTGAGGAGAAAGTGCCAGCATGCTGGTTCTGGTTGGGTTTTTCCAGTCGACTGTTTTGTTGTGCTGCTGTGGGCTCTGGCTAAGGGCTGCATCTGGGCTTCTCTGACACCCTGAATCGCCCGCCGCCGGCGGCGGCGGCGCTGGGGCCGGCTGGGCTGGGTTGTCTGGGCGAGCAGTCCGAAATGGGGTTCAGCTGAGGGCTCAAGCTGAGGGCTGAGGGACGGGACTCGGACTGACTGCAGTCTGCTTGTCTGCTTTTCACTCGTGGAGAGTTTCACTCACGCAAACTGGACCGGACACTCTCTTGCAATTGTGCCAGCGCATTCGTGTTTGCTTCCCGTCTAGATCTAAAGTACACCGTAAACTAATATATCCCCGCCGAGTATGTTGTGACCTCACCACCACCGACATGGGCGGCACGCACACCCCGTCTCCGGGCCGGGTGTCATTGTCGCTAGTAGCCGCGCAGCAGCAGAGCCAACGCCAACAAGATCAACACCAAGACCAACACAAACAGCAACCCGTGCCAGAGCGGGGCCACATCGTGACCTCCGATCCCATGCCTGCAGGGCGTCCATCACTCCCAGTCTCCCCGGTCGGTTTCCGGCCGGCAGCGGCCCGGTTGCCACTCTCTCCTTCGGCAGCAGTGGGCTTGTCACGGCCGTCAGCCGCCGCCTCTGATGGACGGCCGGTCTCTGCGGGGCAGAGCGATTATAGCCTGAACTTGAACCATAACAGCTCGTACCACATCAGCACATATCATATTCACCATCAAGCTCAGCCGAACCCAATCCAGTTGCGTCCCCTGCCTTTAGGAACGCCGTCATCCGTGCCGGCATTTCGAAAGTCGTCGTCTGGATCGCCGCCGCCCTTACTTTCGAATGAGAAGTTGCCGCCAATATCGACTCTGTTGAGTCCGTTTGTGGACACTAGGGCGACTGCTCGACCGACGCAGAGTCAAAGTGATCTAAGACCTCCGTCGAGTCATGGCAATCACTCGACTAGTCCCTCTCTTACGCCAGCGCTGCCTTCTCTTCTACCGCCAGAGCCGGGACCGCTAAGAAGACCGCTTGCGCCACCACATCTACAGTACACATCAACATCCTCTGTCCTACCCTCGCTAGCTCCGTTACCGCCGGCTTCAGTACATCGATATGGAGACCCATCTAATACTACGCTAGTCCAAGCAGACCATCTTAGCAAAAGCACTACCTTCCCTCAAGTTGAGGTGCAGACAAAAGTGTCGGTGTCAGTGTCAAACCACAGGCCCTTCCGCTGCGACATCTGCATGCAATGCTTCAGTCGGAATCATGACTTGAAAAGACACAAGAGGATTCATATGGCGGTGAAACCGTTCCAATGCTCAAAATGTGGGAAGAATTTTAGCAGGAAGGATGCGTTGCGGGTGAGTCCCTTTCCACATCTCTTCTCACGGGACCTGCGAGTTTTGCCGATTAAGTGTCTTGGTGCTTTTATGAATGAGTAGACCATTACGCACGCAAGTTGCGAGTGAACAGGGCTTGGCTGATTTGTGTGTAGAGACATCAACTCGTCAAGGCTTGTGGGGAGAAGAGGTCAATTTCTCCAGGAGAACAGGCCTCAGGTTCTGATCAAGGCTCGGGAAACAAAAGAACGACTGGAACAGACTCAAGGTGAGCTTTGCGTCCCGAATCGGGTTCCATATCCCTGACTAATCAGACTATAACATACGTTATAGCAAGCTGTGAACACTGGCAGGCATTTTGTCCGAGTCTTTTTGATGTTCAGCTCATAGTGATAGTTTAGGATATGATACCATAGCTTTAAGGAAAGGGGTGCTTGTCAGCGTATCTAGACGGCACAAAACGGTCTTCTATCTGTCATTTAGGTTGTAGTTGTTCAAGCGTTGAACTTGTGACCTGGAGATACAATAAAGAGGGTTCGTTCGCACAATCGAATTTCTTGAAGCATAGAGAACTCAACGATAAAAGCATATCCATTAAAGCCAGCCCAGCTATCAGTATCCTCGTGGTTCAAGCTGAGTTCAACCAACAGCTGATGGCAAGAAATCCCCACCGTAGGCTGTGTCATAATAATATGTGGCACACGTGCCACCCGACAATCGGAAACATACACGATTGCGATCGGGTATGGTGTAGCGGTAACATCTGCGACTCTCATTATTGAGTGCTCGCAAGCCCGGGGTTCGACTCCCCGTATCCGAGATATTTTTGCCTCTGTCCTTCTTTCTCCAGTGGCCAAGCCCATTTAGTTCTCTATTTTTGCGATAATGTGTGGTTAAATTCCAAAGAAACTGAAGCTCAAAAAGTAAAAACCAAGGTTAGTACCTGAACCCACAGTATGTACATTGCCCCAGCAACCATTTGTTTACACCCGAGCCCCTGACTAAGGCAAACTCATAAACAGCTCGAGCAACTTGGGGAAGATTGGAGTCCTACAACCGTTAACATCAACATCGTAATCTCTCTGTCATTGAAAAGATGTTACTTACCCTAATCCCGTCACCGGATCCCATCCCTTCGTCGCAGGGAAGCCCTCTGACCCACAACCTGGGTTCGAGCCCTCCGTGATATCAGTAAACACTTCGGGATGCGCGTACTACGCTCGTCAACCCTCTGAACCTCCCATCCATTTTATGCAGAGAACTTACCAGTACAGGATGCACAAATCCAACTGGCCCCTTTCCCACCGCCAACCTCTCTTCATTAATCAGCGTCAGAATTGACGCCCAAATTGGCACCGCCACCGATGTCCCATCCATGCGATTTGGATACCCCTTCCAGACAACCTTAAAGTTCTCTCCAATCGCCGCCACATCAGGGTAGGCCCTTCCAGCGAGGTTGAACACCTTTCCCTCGGGCACGCTGCTGTTACTGAAGCCCTCCTCTCCTTTCAGTATGTACCCCTTCTCTTTGATCTGGGGATTCGAGTTCAAAAATTCAGTGACAGCCTTATTCTGCCACCACGGCCTAGGAAAAATATTCGAGAACCCCCCTCCCGAACTCACCCCCTCGGCAGCCACCTCCCTCCAACTGGCTGTTCCATCATCTTTGTCTACTAACATCGTTGCCCCAACGGACAAAACGTAAGGACAATTACTCATCACCCTCGGGGCATACACCGTCCTGTTGGCACCCAAACATCCCACTTGCGAGTTATACCTCCCCCCTCCAACACCCACGTCGCCTGATGACTCGACCACGGTAATGCCCTGCAGAGTAAGCTTCATAATCTCAAGACACTGTCTGCGCATGTAATTTGCCGGCCAAGTGTGTTCTGTGCCAGAATATGAGATAGAGATGACTTTTGTTGGAGGGTGGGCACCACACATAAGAGGGCCGTGGTAAGCGTTGAGGATGATAAAGGCATCTGGGGAGAGGAGGGGCGTTGACGAGGAAAGGTTCAGCGGGGGTACATTGGGGTTGGGGTATTCCGGGTCGCGGCAGGAGGAGGTGCGGCAGTTGCCTGTGAGGTTGTAGGCCGTGAGATGGCAGTAGGAGGCGTCTAAAGCATCAAAGAAGGCTGTAGTCACGTTAATTTCGTTCATGAGATAAAGGTGAAGTGGCAGGGTTCATACTGTTGAAGAAGCCTGGATACTTGCTGTCCGACCTGGTCTGTTCTTGCTGATACCACTCGTCATCAACTTGGAAGAGGACCGTCTTTTGAGGCCAGACAAGAGGGATGGCGACTTCGAAGTCGAGATCAGCTTCAAATCCGGCCTTGGAGACGTCGTTGGTTGGGCCGAGGGCGCCGTTGATGGAGCGAAGACTGGGAAATGTGCCTTTGGGGACCCAACTGTCTGGTGTTAGTTCTCATCAACATAGGTAGGGGTGTGAGAAACATACGGGGCAATATTTCTAAAGTAGGTGTCCAAGTCATGTTGATTGTAATGCTGACCTAGACTCTGGAAGATGCCTAGCTCGTTGCCGGGCGTGGATTTGCTGCCGACGGGGATTTGATACTGAGCTTTAAGACGTCAGTGTTTCCTACAACTTCACTTTAACAACTTGGGTCAATAATCTACCTCTGATGCACTGAGGAGTCACATCCCCCGAGCACCAACCCGACGGTTTAAACCACTTGTCTTCGATCTGAGGAACGTTGAGTTGTGGTGCATCGGTAGCCGAGGCAACATTGTCATTGCGCTTTGCGTTACGACGTTCGATCATGAGTCGACGTGACTGACGCTCGTCCTCAATTCTGATGGCTCTCTTGGCAATCTTAACATCTCGATGGCTTGTGGCGAGCTTGATACCTGGTGTGATGTAATCGATTAGGTGAGAAATGTTATGAGGGACATGGTATCTGGCAAGATGTCAGACACACTTTTTCCCTCTCCGTTCAGGGGCTTACTTACTCCGAGCAGGCTATGCTTAGAACGCCGCTCTCGACGTGCTCATAGATGTGGTACTGTGTGTGCAGTAGCCTCTCAATCTCGTCGACAGGGGCATCGAAACCAATCCACTTTTCACATCAGCATCCCACCGTCAAGCCCTTGAGCGTGGGAGATCACTTACCTGCTTATTGTAGGACATCCCTAACCTCCTCCCGTCAACTCCCTCCCCCCTTAACCAGCTGACGACCTCATCTATGCTCTCTTGCTTCGGCGTAAACAAGTCAACGACTTCCCTCGGTGAGAGGTACTTCCCAAATTTTGGGCTCTTTGGATCGGATCTGCATTTATCAGTTGAGCGTTCACCCTACTTCTGTTGGAACCTCGCCACTTACATCTCCATCAATACCTTCTCTGCCCGCTCGAAGTTTTCTTCTTGCCTCAACCCAATGCGAACAGGCACAGTCGCCCGTCGGCTCACTGTCCCCCGCTTGACCCATCCTTCAAGGTGATGCTGTTCATGCCGCTCATGACAAACATGTCCGCGGGGCACTCTTCTTCCCGATGATGATTGCTTGTTGGCTGTTGCAGAGCCAGACAGGCTCGCTATCACGAAAACGAACACTCTGCAGAGCTTCATTTTGCTCTCCTCTGCTCATCCGCACACCTTGCGACAGCAACAGATAACGGAAAATGACATCTGCCTGCATGCGAACTACAGACAACATAAATAAATTGCACCCCACTTACCCCAACTCGTTGACTCCAACATTCCAGGCTTGCCACCATGGTCTCGGCGATGACATTGACAATCGGAACACTATTTTTGTCTTCGTCTCCAATCCCACCGTCTTGGCACCCCAGATGATCCGCAGGAACACGCACCCGGTACCAGCTACAGAGCGTGGTATCGCGCGGTATCGCGCGGTATCGCGCAGCACCGGATAAATGAAGTGTATATTGCCGAGCCGAACATGAACCGCAACTAAACTTCCAGAAGCAGCACGAGTTCGGAGGTTATAGCAACGAAAGGTTCAACGTCATGCACAAAAAGATAGAGAAGCAGGTACCGAGACAAAATTGGTAGGGTCAAGTGCCAGATGCGTTGATGAGAGAGGGATCGTGTCAAGGCAGGGAGACTAGCAGCGTAGACGCGTTACACATAGATCAATATATTTAATGCCAAGAACAGAGAAAATGCAACCAAAAACGCAGCTTAATCTAGTGCTAAGATGTGAACCTGGGATAGACTTGCGCAGTTACACTGTCAAATGACATTTGTTCTGCTTCTTGTCAATTGACAACCTTGATGACTTTGGAGATTGACAATTGAAGTCGTTTATAGTTACAGCATCCATGACCAACAGATGCAGAAGGTTATCAGTTCTAAGGTTAACATTTGTAATATTATGGCACTTTCCTCCTTAGATGCACAAGAGCACAAAGAAGCATAAAACTGAGGAACACATGGAATTTCGCTAGTCGAGTCGAGCATTCCAGTATCGAGGATACCATGTATTGTCCAACAGAACCCCATGGCAAGTAAGCTGTAATCTTTCTCTTTTCTATGTAGTCGTTAACCAAAGTGCACCTAGGAGTATGCATCGCTGTTCCAAGCTCTTATCCAAACTTACCATCCCCTGGGCTGACCTGACAACCGCAAGCTCAACGACGCAAGCAAACCTTACCACTGAGCCCATGAATGACTTCACGCCCCAACTCGCGCATTCCCTTTCTCCTCTAACCAAGCCTCTAAAAACTCCCCCAAACTCCAATGAACAACTCTCAACTCTGGATCCCACAAGTCACCCTCCCCATCTCCTACAAACTCAAACAATGTTGCATCAGCACACTCCAGCGCCTTGGCAACGTCCATCCCTTCTTCCTCTACAACAGTTTTGCGATTCTGTTCAACACTCGAGGAGCCGGGCTTTACGTGAGAACAAGCAGGGAAAGAAGTTCTCAGGGCATTCATGATCCCAGATAACCTCACCCTTCCGTCCATCCAACCTTCCTCTCGTTCTCTCAACACCCTGATCGCTGACCTCAGAAAGAGAATCTTCTCCGTCAGATGCCCCTTCCGAGCCTTGGCGTTTGCCTCACAGCACTCAACATCATGTACAGCGTTGGAGCAGGCCAGTCGGCTGTAGATGTGCTTGTACATGCTCGCGAGGGAGAGCACCTGCCCGTCGAAGCGTGAATTTAAGCACTTCTTCCGGTTAGGCAGGACAGTTTTCTTCAGACGGGCTGTGAGTTTCCCGAGAAATTTGCCAACTTGGTCTCTGGGGACGGATGAGGCGGCGGAGAAAAGTTCTTGGATGACCAAATAAGCGATGAGGAACCTAATTGATGTTAGTGACTCATTCGCACACATGCAAGGATGATCGAAGGGAACACTTGCACTCCATCACAAATAACCATCAGATCCCGCTTAATCCTCCTGCTCGTCCCCCCATCAACCAAGTCCCACCCAGGAATGCGAGGGAATATTTCCTCTAGCCATGTCATGACATCCTCCTTCGATCTTTCCCCTCCAATATCAACAACAAACATCGTATCTGGCGAGATACCAAACGCTTCTCCTGTCATAATTGTAGCCCCAGTTGCCATACATTTCTTGATAACTTCCTCATCGAGGCCCTTGATTATATCTCCATTGAGAAACATGCTCTTCCCATCACAAACCTCATTCATTAACTTTTGATGCGTCAGTCCTACCCTCTTGTTCTGAGTAAACAGGACAACCTTATCCTCCAACATCTTCCTTATCTCCTCAAAATCAAACTTTTGATTGGGATACAACACCTCCACACCCGCAATTTGCAAGGGGCTGTTGCTCCATCCACTGGCTCTCATCCTCCCCAGTGGCTGGATAATCTGCTTAAACAACATGCTCGAAGGCGTCTTGGTCGTGATGAACACATTAACCCCCCTCGTGCGCTGGAGGGTAAACAAAATGGACATAAAATCCCTTGTATATGGCCCCCAACCAGCAGCCAATTCCCCAGAAGCGAAAATAGGAGACTCGGTGTTGGGATTTGAATCAGGCTGTTCCAACCCGTCGAGCAGAATGTATACCGGTCTTGCGGATAAGGCCTTCGGCGATACCAGGCAGCGAACTAGGGTTCTAAAGGACTGTTCTTTGTTGAGCCAGATGTTTGAGGGTTTGACATCCTGAAGCTGGCGTTTGTCTAGGACGGAGCAGACAATCTGCCCTAGCAATGAGGCACACAGCTTCGTAAACCATTCATCTGTCTCCTGCCCTGGAAGTTGGTAGACGTCGTAGAGACATGCCACGACCGGTCGATCGTCTACCAGACTCGCTCCTTTGGTTTGCTGAGTCTCGGTTTTTGTGAGTTCCGCTCGGAGCGTGTCGACAACAAGGGAGGTCAAGACAGATTTCCCTGTGCCGGGAGCTCCTGGGACAAGGAGGGCTCTGCCAGAAGCTAGCTCCAGCCATTGCTTGACCTGAGGACTTGAGAGGAACCAGATACCTGTTTTCGGATGGCGGTGTTGTGAGAAGGCTCTGTGTTGAGGGAGGTCCCAGGGGTGTTTGAGATACGGAGCCAGGCTGATCCAGTCCGGACTCTCGGCCGGATATGTTGTGATGGACACGGGAACGAGGGTGAGTTTGCCGTCTTGGATCGAAACGGTGTAGGATACCCGCTCTGAAAGACGCTCGGGAATCTTCATGGGCGTAAGAGTCTCAGGTGACGACACCTCCGTGTTCTCCGTTCCCACACTCTCTCTCCTCGAGTCGTCCTCAAACACACCCTCCCCAGTATCGGACCTCGGCGACGCCGTGCTATGTCCAACAGACACAACGGATGCCTTTCTCTCCTGCATTTCCCTCTCACACTTCTCCATAACGTCAACCTTCACCCTCCCCAGTACAGCCCTCACCACAACACATGCCACGGCCCCGGCATACGCTCTCCATACATGCTCAACTCCTGCACGATGCCCATCTGCATAATGACTTATGCCCCTGACCACCAAACACGGCAGCTCCCTGTATAGTGTCCTTGATAGACAGATGTCCATACACAAAACCTTCTCCTCCACCAATGGATCCAACTCAGCGGGGGTAAAAACCGCTGGTAAATCCCCCACCGACGTAGCCACAACTCCATGATGAAAATTAGGCTCATTTCCATAATTCCTGACCAACGCTCCAGACTTATCACATCCCCTGCACGGCGGTAACCCAGGTAATTCCATATCTCGATGGGAAGTCGGCTCCGGAACAAAAGCAACATCCAACCCCTCATGACCCGGCACCCCACAGTTTGAGAGATGTTCCTTCGGTCTTGGTTGCCAGAAAACGTCGCCCACAAACCTGCGACGGATGCCATTCGGGGAAAGAACTTGTCCTAGCGCGGCAAGGAGGTACCCTGGTGGCGGCAGGAACTCGTTCACGACGGCGGAATGGTCCGAAGAGAAGGGGATGATCTTCGTCCCAATGACAACATCACCCAGTTGGACTGGTTCAGCGGGGATGGCGGCTGCGGTGCCGGATATGATGGCAAATCTTAATCCTGTGAATGTTCGTAGGAGATGTCTTACTCCCCGTTCGACGAGGTCCTCCGGCCTTTGGGGCAGACAAACAACTACAACGAAGACTTTACCAACCTTGCCGAGCATGTAAGTGTTAGGATCGTCGGGGAAACCTGGGGGAAATGTGTCGGGGAGGCGCTGGTCGAGACAGTAGTGCGCTGAAATAAGGTCGAGGGGTGAGGAGACGAGCCAGGCTGCTTGGATTGAGGAGGGGAAGAGGGGAATGGGATAGCTGGCGCGGATAGCGGGAGGTTGGGGTTGGAAGGCCATTTTTGATGATGAGAGAGAGTTTGAGATGGCTGGATTGTCGAGATGGTTTAAGGCGACGGGCTAGGACTGATTGGGTTCGTGAGAAGAATACTGTTGATGATGTTGGCATAGATAATGTTAGGAACTCTGTCATTACAATGAACTTTGCGGAGAGATTGGCTTCGAAGCGACAAAACATGAAGAAAAGCAGTGCAAGCATAACTGAAAGAGGTGTTGGCACTAAGCTCTGGAATTGTTTCTCTGGATCGGTGTTTCCTTAGGAGTACGTGCAATAAAAGGAAAGAAAGAGTATTGGGGATCGTCCTCCCGGCTAGGACATTGATTCTTACCGTGATACAGTACAGGTTTTCACCACTGAAAACTTTCACGCCGTGGGCTGATGAGCTGCCACCAATGTACACGCCGTAGCCACGAAGATCGAGTAAAAGACCGGCTAATCATGTCATATTTCCATCGATATGCTTGCCTACATACACTTGATGGTTATTTTCTGTGTATTTGATTGTTTGGTAAGCAACTGTCAGTCGAGGTCAATGAAAGGGAGAGCTCGAAGACGAACGGACATAGAGCAAACATGTGACGTACCAGGCTCGTTCATGTCAACCCTTGCCAAAATGACTTGTAACCCCAACATGTACATATATCCCGGGCAGCTGGTCGAAAGGTCAAGACCTCGGTAGATAAAGTGGAGCGCGACACGGGCAATCCCTTTCTTGCTTCTACCATAGCGTGTCCAGCCCGGAGGAGCATGCGGCCGAAGGTGTGGCGGCAGGGGAGCTAAACCGCGATATCCAGGACCGGGAGGAATCGTCCTAACATCTGGACGCGGAGAGCCGTAAAATCCAGAGTCAAGACGCATGCCCCTCGTATATCTAGCCGCTGTTGAGAGAGCGGTTCTAGGGATGCATGGGCACACCTTAACACATTTTCGTTGGCATCGGATGCATCCCTCCTGGGCCGACATCTATAGGGCGAAAAGGCATTGCTAGAGAAACAGGCAGTGCTGGCCCGCGATGAACATTGGGCGGTATGGCTTGGCTGCTCAACATCATCAATTGGGAGTAAAGGACGCCTTGATGCATCATCCCAAGATGAGGGGCAGGCCCTGTCTGCGGTAAGGCATGATGCCTCCCAGAATGCGGTATGCTCGGTATACCAGGTAGCCGCTGCGGGGGAAACATAGCTGTGATCGAGAATAGGTCAAGATTGCTGAACTGACAGAGACAAAGCAAATAAAAGAGAACTCAATGATAAGATGGCAAGCTTCCAAATTGCACTGCAAGAGTCGGTGCGCTGTTAGACGAAGGCTTTGAACTCAGGATACAGAGCAGGAAATGGAGAGAGAAAGCTATATGGCCGCCTCGATGCTTGGGATTTTACCAGGATAAATCAAATTGCGATCGTTTTTGCATAATAACATATTCACTAGGTGTGTTGATTTTTCGCTCGTCCCGGACTGAGGAATCCATATGTGGTATGCGTGGCATACTGACCGCCATCTCTGACCTGATAGGATGATAGTGGCCCTCAATATCTTTTATCTTTGCATAACCTCTTCCTGTAGTTGCTCAGAATGATGAATTCTTGCACATCTGATCCTTAATATTATATCATATGCATATCACCATGTTTGGCACCCAAGGAGTATAGACAAAACTTGATTTTGAGTTTCATTCTCACTGATATTGTCAACCCTCCGGAGTAGCTTGACTTCTCAAGCACCCGAACTATTCGTAAAAAGCTAGCTCAATGTCTCTCTCTGAACTAAAGGATCAAGAATTCAACATGCTTACAATCGCCAAACTCAAGTATCATCTGTGCAACAACCACCATCCCTCCTATTGCTGCTGTAAATGCAATGGTAACAAGCACGGTTATCAAGCCAACGCTACCTTAGCTAGCATAGGCACAGCGGAATAGCACTCGAAACCCCATAGAGCCTTGCAACTAGCCAAAATAGTGACGACAGCCGATTTTTCTCAGCTATCTCAAACAGGATGTACTGAGGAACCACCACGTCAGATTCCTCCCCATGTTCCAAGTTCAATCGTGACTTGATGGCCTCGATAAGAACCTCACTTACCCCACTTATAAAGTCTGTTGGAACCAACACCAATAACCGAAGAGCAAGCAACTCGATAAAAGGCCCCGCAACCGATCCAACAACAACCCATGTCACAATCCATGCTCTTTGTGCGAGTGTGCTTTCTCCAGGACAAAACTCGGTTAACATGCTGGTGACAATTATCCATGCGACAAGAACAAGCCAAGGCATGAAGTGAAACGGGCGGATGACGCCCCTATCACCGTCTTCACATTGATACTGTTGATGCCCTTGCTTGACGCGCGTTGACTGCCGTTTCTCTGTTACATTGTACTTGCCGTGATGAAGATCTCTTTGTAAGGTCCTGTAGAACAAAGTTTGGGATCAATCCCTGAACAAGGGACTTCCTCAGTTTCAATCGATGCTCAGTTGGCATCGTTGATGGAAAGATCAAGATGCCTAAGCAGCCAGCTTCCGTTCTGGGCATCATACGAGACCACTTTCCACAGGTTCCAGACCGCGCCTGGACTTGCAAAATCCTTCATTATGGCCGCTGGTTCTAGAGATACAAGTGAACCAACGACTCCTTTAATGAAGCAGTCCGTTCGGCGTTCAGCTTCGTTCATCTCTTTTGATCGGACCATGTAGAAAGTTGGATATGCTGGTGCGAGCAAGTCGGCCAAAGCATTCATAAACGACATGGTGAGATAGGGAGTGACTGTGAGCCCAAAAGCAGCATAGCCGAGCCGCGAAAGCTGATTTCCCCGTGTTCGATAAAAAGTGAGCGCTGATGCGATGACCTGTATCATTGTAGCAAATGCCTTTGCTGGATTATAACTGCTTGGAAATCTTAAGGGCTGGCCAAACTACGCTCTAGTCAAATGGAAAGATCTGGTGGTGCAAAAGGAGATGGACGGATATGCCAATCGCTAATGATATAAGCATCACTAAGGACTGAAACAAGCATATACCTATATGGAAGCCGATAGGAGCCATGTACCTGGCGTCTTATGAAGAGCGGATCTGGAATCAGAACCCCAGCGAGGTTGTCCCAGAGCCAAGAAAATCTTCGACCGTATATGTAAATCGAGGAATTTGATCTCCCAGGTCTCGTAACCTGGAAGGCGGGATAACTCTGTTGCTTATTAGGACAATATCACCAACGTTTGGGCTCCGGTCATCGCCTATGTAATCCCTCGCCACAGTTAAAAGAGCTCTGGCGCAAGCTGCCCTTGAAGATCATCTGTGCAGTATTCAGCAAATCACGCATGCCGAACAATGTCATCTATTGCCCGAGCCAAGCCGGAAGTTGGAAAAAGAACGCAGTCAACACAGCCACTAATTTTGTGGATATTGATTCTCCCGGTAGTGTTCTAATCGTCAAACAGTGGGCTGCATAATTGAACAAGAAGAAGATAAGTACCATCCAGCCCATTGCCGGCTTGCAAATCACGTCATGATCTCCGTAATTGAAGTATCCGGTGCCGTTGAGCGCTGCTGTGATAATGAAGGTCAGAGACATGATGCTTCAGTCACTGTGCAGCCATGGTGTTCACTGAAAAATAGACAAAGGAAGGTTGAGAGGAATAACGATTCAGGAAAGCAGAGTTGCAACCAAAAAGATTCTGAAGAATCACACATTGACCTTAACTATAAGAACGTGAGTGAAATGGCTGGGTCCCATGTTGTAACAGGTGACTTGGTCTGTTGCAGACAGGGATCGACAATGGGTCAAATGGGTTAGATGATGGCCACTGACGATGTGGGGTGCACAGCGAAGTCAATCACTACGTGTAATAATCTTTCTTGGTCCTCAGTGTCCTTGTGCTGGGGAAAGGAAAACCCAAGAGAAATCCTTCATCGTGTCCAAGTAGCCCCCCTTATAAAATCCCTTTGCCCTTGTGAGTACCTCGCGGGTCTCTTGCAATCTTCAGGGGTTCTCTTCAGCGTGGCAAGGTTGTCTAACTCATTCTTGCCACCCCCTCATATTTCCCGGGCTCTACCAATCAGATATGCCTTTGCTCTTCTCAGCTCTTGTGTCACTGGTGTTCTATATGTCGACTGTCAAGGACATTTCTTCTCCTTGGACTGCCGTGTCCATGTGACACATATGTGCACATATAGAGTAGTTAGAGCAGGAGCAGCGTGGCAATGCCAATAATTCCATGCGTTTCCCGCAGAGTGCTCAGATACTGAGATATGGCCGCAGCCCAATTATCCGTCGAATCTTGTGTTGATCAGTTTTATCCTGGTTAGTTCTTGCTTCTGGTGTCTCCTGAGTGGGCAGTGGCTTGCCGCGTCCTATGCTGCTAACTCGGCGCTATTGACGATTTTGGCCCACCAGGGGTGAAGGGCGCATCTCAGCGATGTATCTTCGTGACGCCAGGGCAAAAGCTGCTGACCGGATCCGAGGACTTCCCAGAGTTACTATAGCATACTTATAAGAAGTTCAGTCAGCCCAATCAGGGGGCTTCTTCGGCCAGCCCCACCCCCCGATGGTGCCTTAGGGCTGTACTTTCGCATCGCACATTTGTTGACCGACCGTGACCCTGCTCGTGATGAAGCAGATAGGAATTTTAGCGGAGAGCATCTCACTGTTTAGATGCAGCTACGTATGTACTAGCCCAAAGTCCTGAATCACAGGGTAGCATTTGACCAGGGAAAAGCGGAAATGTGACCTTGGCACCGTAGGATCAGCTTTGGATTTGTATGGGCTATGTACTCGAGTGAGAAACTGTCTTCGATTCTTGTTCTAGAAGCACTTGGCAATAGGCAGGATTTCTTACCCTCGACGACCCTGATGACGTAACATCATGGTTGAACGTGGCAGTTTGCGAGCAGATGAGCTTTCTCCGGAGTGGGTTGGTGGCACCGATATGTGGTGTGTGAAGAGAAAGGTAGGCCAGGCACAGCCAAGGAGTGAGTGAGTCTCAGGCAGGGGTCCACAGCCCCGCCGCAAAACAAAAGCTGAATGCGCACTGAGGAAAGCCACTTTCGGACTGCTGTTCCGGAATTCTCAGAACCATCATTGTCAAGGAAAAGACGCCGACTATCGTAGGTATGTTGATTCAAGATCACGAGGAACGGGACTTCTCTTCAGCAGAAGCTTGGAGGAAGCGGTTCGAGTTGCGGAATGACGTAGGCACCAGGAATCTCTTGTAGGATCATTGGTTGACACCTCTTGGCAGCTGACGTTGTCGTTATAGGCGCCAAGACATTGACCCACACTGCCTCTTTTTTGTTATCTTATCGATAAGACGAGCAGACCCTCAAACGAATCCATGAGTCGGAGTGCTCGTTAGCCGATGAACTCACTCTTGCTCATCCAGTAGTTCACTGCTCATGGTAACTCCTCATCCAGGCCGAGCTGTCACAGTGATTGCTCAAATCCGTCTAGCGACAGCAATTACCCCAAAACTAACATGGAGACGATCACCTGATAAATTAACCAACTCTTTAACAAGCAAGCCCAATGACTCGATGGCAATTCTCCCGTTGGGCTCCTGCACATCGGACAGCGAAATGGGAAAAACACTTCATATCTCGTCGTGTTCTGCTCCTGCACCTGAGATCTTGACTAACTTCCCACTAAAACGAATCGCGCCAAACAAGGCACAACTACCATTAACAAGTTGCTGTGAGCTGACTGGTTGGCCAGCAGAACCCACTGAGGGGTAAGAGGGGCAGCGCTGATGTGAGGTGAGGGGAATCTGGACTCGTGGACGCCGTTTGCCGTTGCCACATGGCCCGCATCGCACACTAAGGCACTTTGGTCTGAACTTCTTTTGGACTTTTGGATAGAATGGTTTGGACATTGATATCGACTCATGGATCTAGGGACAGGAAATGTGAGATTCAAGGATGATGAGTGAAACACCTGGGCGATGTGACCGTGAGTGGTTGCAGAAACGGGAATGAAACGGGCTGGTGGTTGGAGAGGCGCCGTGGCAGGGTTGGGTAGTATAAGATTGCGCTTATCGCCTACCTTCGTGGGGGAGCACGACAGCTTGAGTTGTTCGTTTGTCCAGCTGTTGGCTTGTTGATTGCACTTCTGAGCGCCGCAGTTGTTCGTTACTGCGATCGTCGTTCTTTACTTTCCGCCAAATCATATTCCCCGATAATCTTCTCAGTCGCAGCTCACCTCAATCGCAAAAATGGCCACGACAACAACAACCACGATGACAACCGTCTCCCCAACAGAACATAAATCCTTCTCCTCACACATCACATCCCTCCTTAAATTCCTCTCTTCCTTCCAAGGAGACCTCGCCAACGCAACGGGGCCCCCGTCTTTCCTCGCCCCTGTCTCCGTCACAGAAGTCGGCTGCTGCTGGGCACAGTACCCGCGTCTCTTCTCCGCTGCAGCGTTTGAGCCTGCCCCTGAGAAGAGGGCACTGCACGTGCTGAGGTGGTTTCTGAGTTCGCTAAGGACGCAGCTATACACGGGCATTGAGTTCGACAAAATCAGAAATGGAAATGGCAAGAACACAACACGCGGACACTCCATCCGCAAACCGTTAAACGCCTTTTTGGGCGAAGTTTTCCTCGCTGAATGGAAGGACGACAGAGCTGGCGCCAAGACCAGGTTGGTTTCCGAACAAGTCAGCCACCACCCGCCCATCACAGCCATGCACATCTCGGACGAATCAGCCGGCGTCCGCGCCGATGGCTATGCCCGCGTGGAGATGACGTTCAACGGCGCCGTGCATGTCAACCAGGTCGGTCACGCTATCTACCGGGTCGATAGGTATAACGAAGAGTATCTCGTCCCCTTGCCTGATGTGAAAGTCAAGGGGTTTTTGTCTGGCTGCTTGTACCCCGAAATCACTGGGACATATCACATCCTAGGAATCAACGGGTTTGCGGCAGAGATCAAATTCTGGGGGGAGAGCGTGCTGAGCAGGGCGAAGAGGAACTCGTTTGAGGCGAAGATATATCGGAAGGGGGATTCGAAGAAGACGGCGATCTACACTGTGGTTGGGTGTTGGAGTGAAGGGGGATGGACGGTCAAGGATGCCAAGACGGGACAGGTGATTGAGAAGTTTGATCTCGATGCGCCGGAGAACCAGGCAATACCGATCACATTGCTTCCCGTCGAGGAGCAGGATGAGTGGGAGTCGCGACGGGCATGGGCTGGTGTAATTGAGGGGTTGAAGACGGGCAACTTGTCGCAGGTTGTCGAGGAGAAATCAAAGCTGGAGCAGGCGCAGCGGCAGATGAGGGCCATGGAGGCAGTTAGAGGCGTTACGTGGGAGCCACTGTTCTTTAGGTCTTGCTCTGGCGAAGAGCATGAGGTGTTCAGGAGGATGGTGAAGGAGTGGGGGCTGGAGAGGGAATGGAAGTTGGAGGGGGAAAGGACGAAGGGGGTTTGGAGGGTAAATGAAGAGGCCGTCAAGGGGTTGAAGAGACCATTTAGGAAAGGGGTATCTCCGACGGGCTATCATGAGACGTCATGAGATAGATTGTTTAGACATGCATGGACCTGACACTTTGCGAAGGGTTGGTTGTATCATTGGGTTTGGCGTTGGAGGGTATTTTGGCTTTCTCAGGGTTATGACTCCTGATGACGATCTTCATGACAAAACAATGAATAAATCCATCCATGTCCCTCTTGTGATGCTTCACCCATAAGCCGTCTCTATCCGGCCGACACATCCGCATCTCCGCAGCAGTGGAGTCGCCTCCCACATTCTCTGCACCGCTCGTGATGCCGATGATGGAGTCTTGGCGCTCTCTAGCCGGGCAAACTGCCGGCCGGGAACTCTCGGCCGAGGACGGTGACCCGTTTCGGACCGTTGTGGGCTGTTCTTGGCTTTTGTCTCCCACGGGCCGTGATCAAGAGGCATGTATCACGTGGGACAGACTGGGGTCATTAACTTCGATCTGCAGGAGCTTTTTTGAATTTTTTACACCTTCGACATCCCTCGACAAATACATCGTCGCGTTTAAGACTCGCAAGACTCAGTAACAAGGGCATGAACTCAAAGTCGGAGGCAGGAATCGGCTGAAACAGGTTCAAATTGGGTGAGCAGTCAACACGGTCTCACTCACAACACATACCTTCACATACATCGTCGCACATTCACCATGCCAGGACAACATCTTTTGGGCCTTCGTGCACGCCCTGGACTGGGCCGTCTTATGGCCGCAACCCGAATTACACCGCTAGTTCATCATCAACTACGGCACTCTTCGACTGCTGCTCCTCGGAGGGGTCCAGGCCCCCTAACCCTCACCCTCACATCCGCAGTCGCCCTCACTCTCGGCCTATCCATTGGCACGCTTTACGGCCGCCTCACTTCCCCTAGCAAACCCCTCCAATTGGAGAGCCATGGCCCAAACTCAACCTCATCCTCCCTAAATGGGCCTGTGTATGCCCCCCGCATGGAACAACTCCACGCTGCCGAAGAAATCGCCCGTCTCCTTGGGCAAGACGCCGTCGCCTACGATGAAGACGAGCTCGAGGCTAGGGGGCATTCGGACTGGAGTACTTCCAATTCTCCAGAGCGTGCAGTCGCGGTAGTGTACCCCCGTTCAACGGAGGACGTAGTCACCATTGCGAAGATTTGCAACCGGCGCAACGTGCCCATGGTCCCATACGGCGCCGGGTCGTCGGTAGAAGGGAATTTTTCGCAGCCCCATGGGGGAATAATCATCGATTTTCGACGGATGGATCAGGTCGTGGCGGTTCACCCGGAAGATATGGATGTTGTTGTGCAGCCTGGTGTGAACTGGGTCGAGCTAAACAAGCGTTTGACTCAGCAAGGGCTCTTCTTCCCCATGGACCCCTCCCCGACTGCCACGATCGGGGGGATGGTGAGCACCAACTGCTCGGGGACAAATGCCTTCCGGTATGGGACGATGAAGGACTGGGTGGTGAACCTGACTGTTGTGTTGCCTGACGGAAGGGTGGTCAAGACGAGGAGAAGGCCGAGAAAATCATCTGCGGGGTATAACCTTACCCAGCTGTTTGTTGGGGCTGAAGGGACGTTGGGGATGGTGACCGAGATTACCTTGAAGTTGGCCCCAGTGCCAGAGGAGACTTCCGTCGCGGTCGTGCCATTCAGGGACGTGAAGGACGCAGCGGCAGGGGCGGCCGCCCTAATCAGGGCTGGTATCACGGGCCTGGCGGCGATAGAAATCATGGATGAGCGACAGATGGAGATATTGAACAAGTATGGAAGTGCAACAGTCAAGCAGCGGCATTGGGCCGAGCAGCCAACGCTGTTTCTCAAGTTTGCGGCAACCAAGGAGACGATTGGGCCAGATATTTTACGAACTGAAAGGATCCTTACGGAAGCTGTAGGGAAAGTTCCGTTCGAATTTGCTCGGACGAAGGAGGAGGAGCATGCCCTTTGGGCAGGGAGGAAGGAAAGCTTGTTCACGATGGCGAGTATCAGGCCTGAGGGGACACAGATGTGGTCTACCGACGTGGCAGTTCCTATCTCGAGGCTGGCGGACATGATTGAGTGGAGTAAGAAGGAGTGCTCGCAGTTGGGCATTTTTGCGAGCGTCGTGGGCCATGTTGGAGACGGGAATTTCCACGTTGCGATGATGTATGACCCCAGAGACAAGGAGCAGACGGCTGCTGTGGAGAGGTGTGTGAAGGGGATGATGAAGAAGGCTTTGGAAATGGAGGGCACGGTCAGCGGTGAACACGGCATCGGCATTGGGAAGAAGGGGTCATTGAGGGAAGAGGTAGGCGAGGAGACCATCGAGCTGATGAGACGGATTAAGAGAGCAGTCGACCCCAAGTGGGTAATGAATCCTGGAAAGATATTCGACTGGAAGTAGAGACAGAAACTTAATACTAAACCTATGGATATCATCAACGCACGCCTACTCTTTCTTCCCCAGCACCAGGTCAGCCATCGCCCGGCCAGCTGCCCGTCCGGAAAAGATACAACCTCCCAAGAAGGTCCCCTCCAGAGCACTGTAGCCATGGACACCACCACCTCCAAAGCCAGCTACCTCACCAGCAGCATACAACCCCGGAAATGGCTTGCCGTCTGGCTTCATGACATTACTCTCCAGATTCGTCTCAATACCGCCCAGCGTCTTCCTTGTCAACAGGTTCATCCTCACGGCAATCAACGGCCCATGCTTGGCCGTATCCAATAATCGATGCGGCGGCGCCACACGGCTCTGCTTATCTGGCCAATAATTTCTGGCACTGTTCACCAACATAGCCTGGGCGTCCTTGGAAAATGGGTTCACAAACTGACCATCGCGGGACTCTACAACCTCCTTGATCTTCTCGTATTCCAGGGGAGGGGCAGGATTGGGCGTCTTAGCAGCCAGCTCGTTCATCGCATCGACCAGATCCTTAAGGTTGTCCCTCACGATAAAGTCGACGCCGTTCTTGACAAAGTTTTGCACGGGGATGGTGCCCTTGGAGGAGAAGACGCGCTGCATCAGGAACTGCCAAATGGATTTGTTGGAGAGGTCGGGGTTCTGCTCGGAGCCAGACAGGGCGAATTCACGGGCAACAATGGTTTGGTCGGTGATGAACCACGTGTAATCGTAACCCGTCTCGCAGATGTACTTCAGCGTGGCGAGGGTGTCGCAGCCGGGGTAGAGGAAAGGGGGCAGACGCTTTCCGGTTGCATCGATCCAGAGAGATGATGGTGCAGGCAGGACACGGATGCCGTGCTCGGGCCAGATGGGATCCCAATTGTGCAGACCCTCGGTGTAATGCCACATGCGGTCGCGGTTGATAATATTCGCACCAGCCTTCTCAGCAATGTCAATCATCCTCCCGTCGACGTGATGCGGGACACCAATGACAAAGTGCTCCGGCACACGGCCGCCCAGCCTCTCCTTCGGCCAGCATTGCTTAACCTTCTCGACGTTGCCGCCAATACCGCCAGTAGCAATCAGCACCGCCGCTCCGCGAAGCTCAAACTCGCCGACCACATTTCGCGACGTCTGAACACCGCGCGGCTTGTCGTCCTCCTCCAGCAGTCTCCCCTTGACGCCCACGGCCTTCCCATCCTCCACGATAATCTCATCCACCATATGCCGCCACTTGAACTCCACCAACCCCTTCTTCTCAGCCTCCTTTACTGGGTCAGCAAAAGCCCTCACAACCTCTGGTCCGGCTCCCCAAGTAATATGGAACCGTGGTACAGAGTTGCCATGGCCATCCGCAGTCCCCGCACCGCGCTCAGCCCACCCCACACTTGCCAAAAACCCAATCCCCCTCGCCTTGACATAATTCTCCATTTCATCCGTCGCAAAGTTGACGAACGCCTCGGCCCACTTGCGAGGCCAGTAATCCTCGTCTCGATCAAACCTTGCCGAGCCGAACCAATCGCGCATGGCGAGTTCGCGAGAGTCTTTCACGCCCATGCGTCGCTGAGCGGCGGAGTTGACACAGAAAAGACCACCGAGAGACCAGAAGGCTTGGCCGCCGAGGTTGTTTGCATTTTCTTGGTCGACAATGAGGACGGGGACGTTGCGCTGGGTGAGCTCGAAGGCGGCGACGAGACCGGCTAGGCCGGCGCCGATGATAAGGACGCGTTGGGATTTGGTGTCGCTTGTGGTTGACATTGTGGCTCTTGATGGGTTAAGGGGCTCTGTTGGGGTCAGTTGAGGTGGGGGGCGATGAATTAGAGATAAGTTCGATGACAAGTCAGTTCCACTCCTCTCAATTGATAATCTCAGAAAATGGAAAAGACGCTCTGCTTCTCAATCGCGATGGCATCTCCTCCCTTTGTAAGTCCCACTACTGCCGGCAGCCTCTTGCCAACCTTCCCCGCGGGCCCCGGCCAAGACACTCTACCAAGTGGACTTTCCTCGGCTGGGCCATGCGATCGAGCAAATCTGTCGTTCGTCGTTCGATCTTCCCCGCATTGGCGTTGCGAACGATGGCGCCCTAGAATTGGAGAAGTGTGGACGCAAGGGTTCGGGTTGCGACTTTGTGCAGCCAAAGGGGAGCTTACCCCGCACTGCTGGGGAATCTTAAGATTTTGCTGGCAGTGGATGGGTGACTACACCAACCTTGGCCTTAACTCCGCTGATAACCAGCTGGCTGCCAGCTGGCAGGTACTGCATCCATCAGACAGCTGTGGCAGCTAAGAAGCGATGGAAGCGGTGGGCTCTGTCTCCTATGTAACGTCGGCTTGTTGATGCCTATTTTCTCCCATAGTCGTAAAAGTATTAGAGCTGCTATTATTGACGTTTGGCAAGACTTTTCAAGCCTTATGATTTGGCTCCTTACGGCCTATTTATCTTCCTTCCTGTGTATCTGATTATCATCCATCGCACAATTCAATTCCATTCCGTTTCGACTGGGCTCACCATTGAGGGTTCTAAGTCGTACCCATAATGCTGGCGGGCAATAGCTACCTAGATAGAACTATAAACAGGTAACGTCGTGAGAAAACCCGCTCAGGGGAAAACAGACGTGGACTTAGGGGATAAGAAGTAGTGTGCCATGGGTGAGGGGGAAAGTCTCATGGCCGAGCGACCCTACGGGTGTGGATCTCCACACTTGACACCGAGTTCTCTCGAGTCGGAGTCTGGCTGATCGGCTCCTCGGGCTTGGAAGCGGACAGGTAGGGGGCGAACGGGGGGGCCGCAAGGTCGGGACAGGTTGCCCCGTAGCGGCGTCCCAAGGCCGCCCCAGAGCTCGACCTGTCCACACGGACACGGCAGTCCAAGGAAAGGGGTATACCCGACTGCCAACACAAGGGACACCAGAGATAGAATGATTGTGAACGACACAAATACGTGGTTGATCGCGGAAGATATATGGAGCCACATGACCGAATGAGCCAGATGGCCAAGGCAAGAGGACGAGACCTCTGAAAAGCTTGGAAGGCCGAGGGACTCACAAGGGCAAGGGGATTCTATAAAGAAAGCTTCCTGGACACGATGAAGGACTTCTCTTGGTTCTTCCTCTTCCTAACACAAAGACACTGAGGACCAAGAAACATTATTACACGTATTACTCAACTTCGTTGTGCACCCCATATTGTCAGTGGCTATCATCTAACCCCATTTGACCCATTGTCGATCCCTGCTTGCGCCAGACAAAGTCCACCGTTACACAACCTGAGAGACTTTTGCCTTGATCAGTTGGAAGGAGGGCCAGAAGGCCCTTGGGTCCAGCCTAGCGGCGAGCGAGCTGTTAAAAGTGATGAGGGGGCCGGAAAAGAAGTGACCTCTGGTCACCACCCTACCAGAGGGTAATTCCTTAAAGGAGCGCCTGGATATAGGGTAAACCTTCTCGTTCACCGACCGGAGTTAGGTATTTGGTCTCAATGCAGATCGATTACAAGTTGCTACACCATCATCTCCCTACCTCTAGGAGGCCGCAATCTTGGCTTTGATATAATTGAGTACGAAACATGTAAGTTTGTGATAGAAACGGGGTCTCAAAACTTCCAAACTATCCTTTTCCAGAATCGAAACTTCGAGCACACGAGTACCTCGGGCTTCAGCCAGCTCGACTTCACATTTCCCGCCTTCATATTCTGGGCGGTCTTCTGCCATATCTCAATCTTTACATGCCTCGAGGAGAACAGCAACAATAACAAGAGGAAAGCCAAACTACTGACACCGCTAAAACACACGGCACCGAGTTGGGAAGTTCAGTGCACTTGTTGTTGGCCACTGGATTCTCGTGTGGACAGCATGTAACGGGTGACTTGGCCTGGTGCAGAGAGGGATCGACAATGGGTCAAATGGGGTTAGATGATGGCCACTGACGATGTGGGGTGCACAGCGAAGTCAATCACTACGTGTAATAATCTTTCTTGGTCCTCAGTGTCCTTGTGCTGGGGAAAGGAAAACCCAAGAGAAATCCTTCATCGTGTCCAAGTAGCCCCCCTTATAAAATCCCTTTGCCCTTGTGAGTACCTCGCGGGTCTCTTGCAATCTTCAGGGGTTCTCTTCAGCGTGGCAAGGTTGTCTAACTCATTCTTGCCACCCCCTCATATTTCCCGGGCTCTACCAATCAGATATGCCTTTGCTCTTCTCAGCTCTTGTGTCACTGGTGTTCTATATGTCGACTGTCAAGGACATTTCTTCTCCTTAGACTGCCGTGTCCATGTAATAACACTAGGCTCAACCAATCTAAAACATCTTTGTCGGACCAGGCTAAACAATGGAATATAATCGCTTGATGTTCTATCAAGTGTTATTGGGTCACAATCTCTGAAAATGATGTCTTGCTCAAACAGTTAGGCAATGTATCTCTAAAGTATTTTGTTTCTCGGAGAGATATCCAACAGTGAAGCTAAGATATTTATAACGTTTCTCAAACTTAGGTTTTATCTATGTGAGCCCTGCTGATTACAGACGATGAATGAGTTGTCACTAGGTTGATATGCTGTTTTCGATGAGTCCATGTTGTTCGCTATAGATATTACTATGAGCTAACTGAACCTCTTACCCTTAAAATGGTGGAGATTAACCCAAACTTATCCAACTCAGGATATTGTTGCAGCCCTCTGTGTTTAAGATACGCAGATGACGCTATGTTAACGATTACGAGGCAGTCTGTTAGGCGAAAAAGAGACGGAGCAGGGTAGCGAAACAGGATTTCAAAACTCTAATGTAAGTCTAAAGGTGTAGGTTGGGGAAGGCTTATCTGAGTGAAGGAAAAGTCACGGCATAAATGTTAGGTATGGGTTGGTGTTGGAGATTGGAAGTTGTGGTTGACGAGGGTAGGTTTGCTCAAAGACAGAGCTTGCTTGGACCTAGTGTTGAACCTTGTGTCAGCGGTGATGACGGCGTTCAGAGTGTAGAACTGGACTCTAGGGTGTGTCTAGGCCTGTTCAGGTCATGTTTAGCGATGGAAATTGTAATTTCGGTTCGATCAGGCTGTAAGGCTCATCTTGGCAGAGAGTCAAGTAGGTTCGAGTCAACGTAGAGTTAGTAGAGCTCTTGAATACTTCTATTTATATCCCTTCTACCTCTTCTTAAGCGTTGTCCTCACTGCAACTATCGGCAATAGCTGAATAAGCCTTCTCTTATACTCTCTGAGAGTGAAGGACATGCCCTCGATACAGATAATACTCTCCAATGATAATAGCAATGACAATAGCCAGCAATGCGTTAGAGCTTACACGGATGAAATAATCTGTTAGGAAGGAATCGCAATGGTATCATGCAAAGAGGAAGGAGGATAGGGCTGGTCTGCACTAAGAAGAGAACGTAGAATAACGCTGTCACCACCAATAGAAGGTATCAGGAGGGAAGAGTGGGATCAGGCAAAAGGACCAATAAAGACGCGCAGCTCACGCGGGTCCAGAATGGCCAATATGAAACAGGGGTTTTTGAAGCAGAATCGTCAGAGTCAAGAATCACTGACGAAGAAGGACTGAAAAAGCCTTAAGCAGAAGGAAAAAACAAACATCCTCAAGATATAAGGTAGATATGATTCCACGTGGGAAGAAGGGGGATGAAGACCTCCCCAGTCAGCAATACAAACGATTATGCGTATCGAACTGGTGACTACAGCACACTCGAATTTGTGTGAGGATTCCTGTCTCTCAGATCCTTAAAAACCCTTGACCCGAACTTGAACTCATTCTCGGAAGGCTGGGTGGATCTTCACAGCCACGCCATGTCTTTTAAGGTCCCCAAAATCAGGTGATGGACTGGTAAACAAGCTAGGACAGCAACAGAGACACTGCGTAGCTAGGAAGCTCCAGAACACCATGAGAATGCTTCAGAGTTAGATAGTACAGGACTTGGCTGCGCAATCATCACGGCATCCTTCACAAGATCCCAATTTTGGAGAAATGTAATTCAAGGGACTGTTTAAGACAACTCCTAAACAACCATAACACTCCACAAGACAACAAACCCATGAGCAAACGAACGTCCAGATTACCATATCTACATGTACCTGACTAGTATGAAACGCTCTATAGTACCACAGCCACAAACAAAACAGTACATGAATCCGATCTAGCACAAGCGCCACCCGCAGCCTGCCTGCAGTGCCTAGTCATGTCGTAAGCAACCAAGACCAAGGGACCGACCGACCGATTGGTGTCATTATCCAAATCCATTTGCTGTTCAATGATGTCCAAAAAGGGAAAGAATCTGTGTGTGTGTGTGTGTGTGTGTGTATGCGCCAAACCAAAATCCAAAAAAAATATATATCTATATCCAAATTCTTTTTCTCTCTCTCTCATCCCCATCTTAGCTCCCCAAAAGCCCGATGTAGCTCGACTACGGCTTCATCACCTGCTCCTTTCTAAAGAACTTGAAGAAGCCGACGGGAATCACCAGTTGGAAGGCCAAGCACACCCAGAAATACGGGGCCGCCACGCCCGGCATCGCTCCCTGCGAGAAGTCAGGGAACGTAGTATGCGGCGAGAGCGCGTTGGGACTTGTCGCGCGCGCCAGCATGGTGAACACGGATCCGATCACCTGGGCGCCAATCAGCACAGCCAGCACGTGATGTCTGGTCAGCGTAGCCAACAACATCATGCCGATGCCCACGCCCTGGATGTTATCGAGCAGGCCCAGCCACAGCCACAAGCAGCGTGATAAGATGGTCGAGCCGACGGCGGAGCCGGCCCACGGCAGATACCAGCCGATGCCGGAGGTGCCCCAGAACTCTTGGGCCCAACGCGGGGCGCAGAGGCCGATGGCGAAGATAGGGAGTAGCCAGGTGTGCTCGTCGGAGAAGTAGGAGAAGCCGTAGAGGACAATGGCCCAGAGGACGACGTAGAAAGCGAGGGCAAGCAAGAAGATGCCCCAGCCGGGGACGTGCTGCGTGGTGAAGAGGAACTGCCAAGAGCGGCCGTAGGGCGCGGACAGCCAGTAGTTCTGCAGGATGATCATGACGAAAAACCACGGCACGATCTTGCGGCGGTAGAGAGAGATCCAGAAGCCGGGGATGGTGGCGGGGGACTGGCGGTAGTAGTCGGGCAGGCCGACGAAGAGAACAGTGCCGATGGCCCAGCACACGATGGCCAAGGGGATGCCGACGACGACGGCGCGCGGGACGTTGGACTTGCCGACGAAGACGGTCGCGGTCGGGTCGGTGTCGGCCACGATCGAACCCCAGTACCAGAGGCCGATGCTGTAGACTTGGGCGAAGCCTGACACGACCAGGGCGCGGGTAATCCACTGCTTGGTGGGAGAGCCGCCTTCGTCGCCGAAGTTAAGGGCGAACGCCAGCGCACCGCTGGAGGCACCGACGGCATAGAAGCAAGTCGCTGCCTGCTCAATGCCATTGGCGACCCGCCAGTCGGGAATGAATGGGGCAATGCCGATGAACAGGAAGGCCAGACCGAAGAAGAACCACGGTGCGCTTAGCGCATAGACGGACTTGAAGTTGCGCTCCATCGCGAACCAGATCAGCGACGAGGCAATGTACACTCCGGCGACCGTGTACAGCTTCTCGGGCGTCTGCATCGTCTCACCGGTAAGCAGGACGATCTGGTAGGAGGAGATGGAGATGATCTGCGTCAGCGCCAGCAGGAATGAGTAGATGGGCCAGTCGCCGATGCGAATGGACATCCACTTCTTGAGGCCGCTCGGCGCCTGGTACCCTTCACCAAGCAAGAACTCGTCGTCGACCGGCTGGCCCGGCGGAGGCGAGTGCTCGAACACGGAGCGAGCCATGCTGCTTGGGGTTATGCTGCGGTGCCGCTGCCGGCCCCTGCTGACGACACTCTCGTTCCTCCGCTGACCGCTCCTCGACGCAGGCCGGCTGCTAACAGGCGAGTTGATCCTGCTCTCCCGATGCCTGCCGAGCTTGGCATCCCGATACCGCGCAAACCACTCCTTCTCGCTCTTTTTCAGAAACGCCTCGATGCACAAATCGCTGGCCGAATTCGATGCCGTCAGGCCCTCCAACAACTCCTCAAACTGCGCCTGGTACTCGCCGTTCGAGTCGTTGAAGAACTGGTCCACCTGCTGCAGCTTGAGGTCGTGCCTGTCACCCACGACGTCCGGCAAGCTGAGCAGGCTGCTGTTGCGATGGCTCTGGCCCAGTGTCGGCGGAGGCGGTGCTAGCCCGCCCACGTCGGGCGCCAGACCCGGCGACGGCATGCCGTCACGCTGCGCGCGGATGGCAAAGCTGTCGACGCTGGCTGTGCTTTCGCGGGCAGATGGGTTGGCGTACAAGCCGTTACCGCCGTTGCTAGCAACCGACGCCCGAGGGGACCCTGGCCGCGACGAGAGCCACGGCGCCGAGGGTGTTGGCAGGTCGGGCGTCATGAGCCCGCGGTTGGGGGTCAGCGTGGCCGGCGCAGGAGAGGCAATGCCGATGTTGTCGTAGGCGCCGGTCTGGTCGACATAGGTAGCCGAGCTGCTGGGGGACGCAGGGCGCGACGGGTTCGGGCTGGGCGCGAGATGCGGCACCTTCTTCTTCTTGGCCGCCTCCTTGTGATGAATCCGGATGGACTCATCATACAGCTGATCCAGCTGCCGAACCCACTGAGCCACGGGGAAGCGCTGCTTAGCCGACCAAGCACGCATCAGGGCACGCTTCTGTGGCTTGCACTCCAAGGCAGACACGATGGCCTGCTTGAACTGCTGCAGCAAGTGCGATGGCGTCATGGACTCGACCGTGTACCAGAAACCCGGCATCTGACCGAGACCACCGACACGAGCGCCAACACCAAGAGCGCCCTTGCGACCGAACTCGACGGCGACCAGGCCGAAGGGCTCGTCGCGGGACGGGATCAGGGCGAACTCGGCACCGCTGAAGATATACGGCGGCAGCTGGGTGAACTCGGGCCTGCTGTACACGCGCTTGGGGTACATCTCCATCAGCTTCTGCAGCTTGAGGGCCGCGAAACGGCCGTACAGGTCGATGACAGGACCGACGCAGATCAGCTGGGTCTTGGGGTACTTCTCCAGGATGCTGGGGAAGATGTCGGCAATGAGATCGATACCCTTTTGCATGGACCAGCGGCCGACGAAGACAAACAGCTCAGCGCTCGGGTCAACCTCCAGGCCAGCCCACTCCTGCGCCTGGCGGCGCAGATCGGCACGCTTCTCCTCAAAGGCCTGGTCGATCGTGATATCCTTGGACTGCTTGCTGATGTCCATGTTCGGGTTCCACTCAGCCGTATCGGACGGGTCCGGGTTGGGCAGATGACCGATGTTCTTCAAACTCCAGAAGATGGGGTAACGAGCCAGCGAGCGATCGCCATACTTCCTCGAGACGCCGACGGCACCGAAACCACGCTGATGAATACGGAGGTAGCTGGCACCGGCGTGCAGCAGGTTGAAGACCGAGCCGTACTGCACGTAGGTCTTGACAACGTCCATGGGCAGGCCGAAGACATCGCAAACCTCCTTCTGCTCCTCAGGCGTGCGCATGGGCCACATGCCCTGGAACTCGGCGTTATGGAGCGACAGGCAGCACGGGATGGTCTGCGGGAGCAGGTAGAGAGGAGCGGCGGCGCCGTGGTAGTCGTTGATGTGGTAGATGTCGACGGGGAAGCGGCGAATGGTCTCGGCGATGCAGCTGTTCCAGGCGGCGTAGAGGATGGCACTCTCGATGTCGTCCATGCGGGCGATGTACGGGTCGGCCTTGGTTTGCTTGCGGAAGACAGGAGCGTCGAGGATGACGTACGTGATGTTCTTGCTCTGGTAGTAGTAAACCTCGATCTCATACGGCTGGCCCATCACCTGCACGAACATCGACTCGGCCTTCTCCATCTTGTCGAAGGGGTACGAGACATCGCCGACGGTCGGCACGACCCAGATCAGGTCCATGTGCGTGAGAGCCGAACCCATGAGCTGCGCCATGACACCGAGACCGCCGATCTTGATCTTGATCTTGAAGTCATCGATGTTGTACTCCATGGTCGCGATCAGCACAGTACGGCGCTGTCCATTCTTGTTGGGCAGCGGGGCTACGGCCTTGCTGTTATCCGAAGGCGAGGGAGTGATGGCGCTCATCTCGACACCACCCTTGCCGAAGGACTTGAGGTCAAGCCGCGACAGGTTGCTCAGGCCAAGCGGGATCCAGCCCTTGCGGCCGAAGCCGGACTTGTTGATCTTGACCTGGTAGAAGCTGCCCAGGTAGATCCAGCAGGCGGCGAGGGCAGTAGCCACGGGCATGACGGCGCAGAGGATGAAGATCAGGATCTGAGGGCCGATGTGACCCGACGGGATGTACTCGAAGCGCCAGGTCTTGTCGTTGTACCGCAGCTTGTAGGCCAGCGCAGGCATCGGAGGAGGAGCGGTAATGTTGATGACGTTGCGAGCCAGGCTGCTCGGAGGCAAGCGGTCGACGATGCCATCGCGATCGATATCACCGTAGATCCAGCCCACATCGGGCTGGTTGTCCGGGTTGATGCCCCAGATGTTGAGCTGGAAGTCGGCAGGCCACTCGTACATGTAGTGCAGCTCCCACGTGTGGTGGTGCACCAGGTCCATGGACCCGGGCAGACCAGCGTCATAACCCCACTTGTTGTACGGACCGTGGATCCTGATGTGCGGGAAGCCTCGCTCAAACTGCACATCATTGCTGTCGCAGTGCTGGATGAAGGCCGACGAGCCGAGAGGCTTGCTGTAGTACTGCACCATGACGTGCTTGCCCTCCCATTCCTGGAGTTTCGTGCCCTTCCATGGCTGCTCCTTGATCGGCTGGCTCATGAGACCAGAGCCAGGGTAAGGCTGCCAGTCGCTCCAGCTGGAGCCCCAGTTGGTACTGTAGCGCCAGTGTGTCGCGCCGGCAGCGGCGTGGTTGAGGTACCACTGGCCGTTCTTGATGACGAGCAGGTCGCGGGAGTAGGAGCCGGAGTCGGGCCAGACGACCGGGTTGTCGGGCTTGCCGAGGCGCAGCAGGAAGTGATCGGTCGTATTGGTGCGAATGCCGTCGCGGGATGTGGCCGACGGGCCGACGGTAATCTTGATGATGCCGTCCGGAACATTGGTCAAGGTCGAGCTGATGCGCCACGTTGACTTGATGGCACCAGTATAGCCGACCCAGTAGTCGTTGTCGTTGTTGATGCCGGACTCGCACTTGGGGGACTCGAACTCGAGCTTCGTCGCGTTGTTGACGCCATCAACGGTGACATAGGCAGAGAGCGCCTCGGTGACCGAGTCACAGTCCATCGCGGTGTTGTACTCGATGGAGAAAGGAACACGGCCCTTGTACTCGGTCGAGTTGAGCGGCTCGTCGTGACCGGGGGTGAACTTGGTGATCATGGGATGGGGTTTGACCCAGCGCCCAGGCTCGACGTAGGCGCGGAACTCGTACGGCTCCATCGTGATCTTGCTGATGCAGCCAGCAGTCTTGCCGCCCGTCGTGAATTCGTTCTGAACGTTGGACGCGCCGAGGGTGATGGGATCGTCATCGCTGAACAAGTTCTTGACCTGGGTGCCCGCATTGAAGGGCGCGATGAAGGGGTTTTTGCCATTGCAATCGAACTCATACTCGACGCGCTTGCCTTGATTGTGGTAGACGAGCCAGACCGGCTGCGCGGCCATATCGGGCTGGAGGGACGGATGACGGTCGCGAACAACGCTCCAGATGCCGAACTCGGTCGCCTTGGTGCTGCCGTTGAGCAGCTTGGGGTAGGTCTGGTTAGCGAGCTTCTTGACCAACCAGCCCTCCTTCAGCACGGGGAGTTCCTCGCGTAGACGGAACATGTGACGGAAGGTGTTGCGCAGATGGGCCGAAGGATCACGGTGATCATAGGCGACCTTGGGGTCGTTGCAGCCCTGGCGACCCTTCTCGACAGGCCAGCCGATGTACTGGTCAATGGTGAGATTGAAGCAGCCATGGTTCTTCCACGCCGGCGACGGGGCAAAGGCCTGACGGCCGTACACGTAGTTGGACGCGGTACCGTCCAGAACGTAGAGCGCCTGTTCCTCGCCGTAGTAGACGAGAGGAGCGCCGGGCAGCAGCAGCGAAATGATGAAGTAGCCCAGGAGCATGCGCTGCTCACCCATCTCGATGGCAGGCCAGCGGAACACATCCTGGTTCGTAACGCCATACAGGTGGCGCGGATCGTACCGGGTGTTGTTGTAGGCGTTGAAGAAGTCGTTGGTCAACATCATGTGCTCCCAGGCCTGGACCCAGTCGGTCGGCAGATCGTAACCGGCCTCGAGGTTGCCGCTCAGACCGAGGAAACGAGTCATGAAGCGGTAGATGGAGTAATGGAAGGCGCCGGCGTCCAGGGCAGTGTTGCCCGGCTCTCGAAGGAAGTAGTCGGACTCGTCAGGTCTCAGCGACGCAGCCTTAACTGAGTCACCCTGCAGCTTGAGCGTCATGTCGAAGTCGCGGCCACGGCCCAGATAGATGGAGCCGAGGGTGTTGCCGGCCGTGATCTCACCGTAGATGATGAAATTATGCTTGTTGTATCGCTTGGCGCACTCGCGCATCGCCGAGCTGAACTTGGCCTGGGCGTCGACCGTCACCTGCACAGCCTTGTCGATACGGAAGCCGTCGATGTCGAGCGTACCGATGGTCATGCAGGAGAAGCGGATGAGACGGGCCATGACGTCGGGCTTCCACTCGCGCAGACGATCCTGGACGGACGCAAACTTGGCAAGCTGGCGCTTCCAGTCTGGCCACACACCGAAGGCTTCGATATCACCATACTGATCGAAATCGCTGTCGTAGCAGCCCTTGAGCTTCGGCGGCTTGATACGGCGGCCGTCTTCGTACCAGAACACGGGGTAGTCGCAGGTCTCGTTATACTCGTTGCCGATGTCGAAATCGAGGTACCGACGGTCCGGATTCTTCCAGATCACCTTGTGTTCCTCCTCGCGGAACGGCGTACTCTCGTTAAGGTAGCCGACGAAGCCGATAAGGTCACTCATACTGTGTCCCTTGTCAGACCAAACTTTTTTGCCTTCCCATCCTGTGGGAGCACAAACACGGGTTCTTACGTCGCCATGGTATTGTCCAGCACAACCCACATTCCGCGGCTATGGATCTCATCAACCACCTCTTGCCATTTCTTGATGGTGCCAAAGTGTTTATCGAGGACGGTAAGATCAACGGGCTACACATAAAGTTTGGTAGGTCAGCTTCCCATTTTTCTTCGAGGTATCGACAGCGACGAAGATCTTTGGATTACGTACGGAGTAAGAGTCGGCACCCCACGGCAAGTTGATGAAGGGAGAACCGGCGATATAGATGCCCTAGCAACACACAAACACACACGCGCGCGTTAGACGATGTCCATGACACTCCCTTGGTTTTTTTTTTTTTTAATTTTTGGGAAGGGGGGGGGAAGCGGAAGAGGAACCTCGGAGGTCTACCTTGATGCCCATGCCGGCAATGTAGTCCAGCGAATCCTTCAAACCGTCCAGGTCTCCGCCGAAGCGGAGCTGGGTACTGAACATGTCGGTCTCGTAGATTGTCCCATTCTTGTCGTCGTTATCCGGGTCGCCGTTGACAAAGCGGTCGAGGAAGAGGGTATAGAAGGGTACCCTCCAGTTATCCGGCGACGGGAAGTACTTGTGATCGGGCCCACGGTCGCCGGCATAGTCAACGGGACTTTGAGCGGACCGGTTGGTGTTGAGGTTCCATTCTACCAAGCTGGCGTCATACTTGAGGCCGGAAACGAGCGACGAAGTGGTAAAGAGCGAGAAGAGAAGCGAGCGAGAAAAAAAGGAAGAAAGCAGAGTCATCGTTGCTGCCGCTCAACCAGACATGGGGACTGGAGGTGGGGGGGGGGGGGGGAGCAAAGCAGGCCAGACCTGAGAGAAAGAAGAAACGAAGGACGCGCAGCGGGCAAGGTTAGACAGCTGTGATCGAGAAATTCTGGATCGCTGTGTATACCGAGCCACGGCAGCGAGAGTTGGTGAAAGGCCAAAAAGGGCAAATGGTAAAAGCAAACAACAAAGGCTGGCAGCCGGAGCTGGAGATGCTGAACAAAGCGAACGAAGATGGAGTTGGAGATTGGAGGTTGGAAAGGGGAAAGATAGATGGAACCCAAGCTACAGATACAGTACTTTGAGACCGGCCTGGGGACCTGCGGTCTGCGACCTAGGTAGGAAAGGATACCAAAGTTGGAACTTGGAGTGTGGATAAGACCGATTCGATAATGGATATGGATATGGGTATGGATATGAATTGGTAGCCGTCAGAGGCCAGAGCCGCGCCCCCTGTCGAACCCCACGGTGGATACAGTTCCCAGCTGAGAGCCCAGTGAGGACGAGCCAGAGGGAGCGAAGGATTTAGAAAGTGACGTGAGGGTAAGGATGGTGGTTTCAGGGAAGAGGGAGGGGGGGGGGTGGGGTGTATGGGAGTGAGGCCAAGACTGCAGAAACTACCCAATCCGTGACCTTATACGGGATTTGAATCTTGGGAGCCTCTAGGGGCATTTACCATGGATGCTGACCGCTACACTTCAAAGGTTGAATAATAAGCGGCCTTTGATAATTGGAAGGGCGGGTGAAAGGACAGACCATAGCCGCCAGTGCTGGCCTGTCGACTGCTTTTCGTCCGAAAAGGGCCCAGGAAAACAAAAAAAAAACCAGGAACAGCATCCATGGAGACGGTCATGGGGATGCTTCAGGACGTGTCGCAGTTGGGTGGACTGCTGTGCTCCCCAGGACTCCTTCTCCTTGTTCCCAGAGACATCCCCCCGAGTCTCGTCGATCTCTCAGAGGCGTCACGGCCTCATGGCAGACGACTGATGGCAGATGGCAATTGACAGTTGGCTCAGGGCCGAATCTGATCGCTGGGCCATCCTATCTATCCCATTCCATCTCATCCCATCGCCTGGGCAAGATGCCGCAGCCCCGGAACCCGGAACGTTCCTGCAGCCTATGGGCTTGTGGACTGTGCATTGAGGTGATTGTGTATCTCTCCATCGCGAATCGCCACTCGCAGGGCCCAAGAGGGTCAGAAAAAAAAGGGGGGGGGGTTTGGGATCCTGAGGCCCAAAACTCAGTCCACCTCGACAGTCTGAAAGCCCTGTTTGGCCGATACACTGTGCGACGTACAGGGCGTCATACAATCCAGAATGGCAAATCTGGCCAAAAACTATTCTCGTCTTCTTCTTTTGCCAGCACTGCCAGGCGGCAGTCGGCCGTCTGAGTCTGCTTCTGGCCGGCAGCCCGTGCTCGGATCATCCTGTGAGATCGTGAATTGTTGCAAAAACCCAGCGTGCCTGCCCGTCGGTGGGGCCGGTTATCAGCTTTTTTTTTTGCACCAGTCGGAGTCTGGTTGGGCCGTTGGACGGGAGTGTGGATATACTGTGGGCGTGCGACTAGGGAAGACATCGGAGGGGCATCTCGTCCGGGTCAATATCACGCCGATGAGCAAGAATACGAGAAAGGTAGAGAAAGGTAGTTTTGCCCAGAAGATTGTAGTTGCTCACATTTGGCGGCTGATATCACGGTGCATAAATATATAAATGGCAGTGCTATCGCAGCCGTCGGTGGATGGATGACAATCTGATAACCCAACTGCCGACACGATGGGACCCCCATCTTAAGCCTCTCTGGGCACGGGAACAAGAACAAGAACAAGACGATGCTGAGATCTCAGCTTCTGGGCTGTCTCCTCCCTCGGCTTTTGCCCGCAGCCCGTAGGCGCAGCTGCGCACTGCCTGCAAGTACCTCCGCAGTCCAGCCTTCCGCATAGCTCCGGCGAGTCCCGTTTGTTGCATGATGCTGGATCTCCGGCGTTTTTTCTTGGGTGAGTTTGGGGCGTTTGAGGGCCTGGTAATATGGCATGCCAAGCCCGACTGCAAGGGGAGATTGTCAGAGATCGCAGATAGGAAAAAAAAGTCTCAAGCTCGGTAGAAGGACAAAAAAAAAGAGAAAACTCCATCTCAGTATCGGTCAAGCTCGCTTCGGTTTCTGCCCGCTCTCTGGCCAAGGATTGGCTCTCATTTCTGTTTTCTGTTTGCTGCCCCTAGAATTTTTCCTCCGTCCCCAGCTGGATTGGCAACAGTATCCGTGCTCGCATGCCATCCAGACCAGCAACGCCTAGGGTCTGCCGCGCCCACGCGTCACCCGAGGCTGGGCATGCAGCTATCGAGGCAACGCTACACGAGCGTGCGCCAATCAGGCGTCTACATCACATGTATCTACGGGAGGGAGCAAAAATCGTCCACCGCCGCCAACCAAGATTCTCCCACCACCACACCCCCCACTAGAACCACGGTGAGACTTCACCTTGCGCGACGGTCGCGTCGGCAGTGTGCCGTGCACCTTCGTATTGCTTACGGTGCGCAACACCTTAACCGGTCGCTAATTCATCTACTCCATATCTCATCCATCCTGTGGCTCATACCTCTGATATCTGCCTGCCTGGCACATGCCACTCCTCGCTGCTGCTGCTGCTGCTGCTGCTGCTGCTGCTGACCCCGCGTGGCGCGATGACGACAGAGATTTTTCTTTTTTTTTTGATCTGCGCCACTGTCTTTTACTTCTTTCTTTACCTTTTTTTTTATCTGCCCTACAATCTTGGCTTTTTGGCGTACCCTAGTAGTGTGTACACTAGGGCGCCGATCTTGCCGACACCCCCCTCCCCCTTCGTCCCATGTACACGCCCTCAGTGGGTCAGCGGGCCTCCATCTGCGCGAACTAGAAGGCCAGGGACGAGCCAATCAGAACCCCCGCCATGGACGAACCCTCTCGAAAAGAGGGTTCCAACCTGTTTCTGTCGTCTGTGTCCTCACTCCCACAGCGCAACAATATCTGGCCTCTGTGCTGCATCCTTTCTCCTTTTCTGGCGGCCCCTGAACTGGGCCTCGGCGGGCAGGAGGCACGACACGACTCAGAACGGGCACAAGTCCGGCAATCCCGGCCTCCACATCCGCGGCGATGGTGACATCGCGCGACAGGATTCATCGTCCTGCTCCTGGGTTCCCTGGGTCGCGGACTCGGAAAATGTGGGACGTGAGCCTCTGAGGGGACCATTCCACTTGTTGGCAGTGCCAATCAGTGGCAGCAGAGTGCCCCAATCGAGCGACAGCGATGATCGATTGATGGGGCCTGGGCTGGCTGTGCCCAAGTCCCATTGGCTAGGATGCTGCCAGCGTTGGACAAACACAAAATCAACTGCTCCCTCTGTTGGTCGGCCGAGTGCGATGAAGTCATTGCTCAGCTCTGTAAGCGAGATCACCCATCTCACCAGTCACGCGGTGGTCCCCCTCCATCTCATCTGGGTTCAGGTTGTGTGGCCTTTTTGGCTGCTGTGGGTGTCGCCTGCAGCTGTCACAAAGAGTGCCACGTCCCAAGAACTAGAAGGCAGGGCTGCCAAGACGCCGTCCCCAAGCGTATCCCAGGAACCCCCCGTCCAACGGTCCCAGCACCACGCTACAGGCCCTGAACTTTCGTAACCTGTCGTTCCTGGACATGCTGTCCAGCCCACGCCGTCCAATCCGGTCCCAGAGTCCATCATGCGGCCGGGAGTCGCCTGGTCTCGGCCCCGGAGAAATGTTTTGTCGCGGGCCGCCCATGCCACGCTGGGTCATGCTGGACTCTGTCTGGAGCTCTCTGGAGTCGCTGCCCTCGCTGGCGGCCCATTTCGGTTCATTGACCTGATCTTTCGAGCCTAGCGCATACCCTCAGGGGCGCAGAACCGGAACCGGGAGGACATAGAGGAGGGCATGGCCGATGGCGACAGTAGCATGGTAACATGGGTTTGAGCAGGGGCGCTTCCCCAAAGTCCCAGGCCCAGATCGTCCAGTCCCCGAGGTCCTGGGCACAGCAGCATCCCTTTGCATTATCGAGACAGCCTGAGCATTTTGTGCCTCTGTCTTTTTGTCTCTGCTCTTACAACTCCGACTCCATCACCACCGTCATATCTGCCATCGCCAACATCACCTCTGGTGATACTACGCTCGTTTGTGCTGCCGGTGGGGGACAGAACAAAGAAGGGAGGACGACGATCGGCCTGACCCGAGTCACTCGCTCACTCGTTGCTGTCTATCTGCCACATCTGCCATCCGTGTCTACCACCAACAACCCTACACAGGCTGCAGAGACACCCGGTTCTTCCGAGATTAACCCTCCCGCGACCCCGGATCTCTCTGGCCTTGAGGTGTTTCCCCTTTGTGCTGTGATTCTTGATTCGATCACAAAAACTCAATTTCTGGGTTTGGTTTTAGACATCGTGATTTCTGCAAAGGAAATTTTAAAAAAAAAAAACGAAAGAAAGAAAATGCGCTCCTCGCTGTTTGGAGCCGCCGCTGCGGCTGTCCTGTCGTTCGTGGGGCTGACTGCCGCCGCCGACGCCGAAGAATGGAAGACACGCTCGGTCTACCAGGTCATGATTGACCGTTTTGCCCGTACTGACGGCAGTACGGACCATGAGTGCGAGTACTTCCGATTCTGCGGCGGCACTTGGCGCGGTCTAATCAACAAGCTGGACTACATCCAGGGTGAGTGAGGACTGATGACATCAGACATAAGCACCTCGAGGACTGCAGAGGGGCGTCAAACTAACCCTCCCTTGTTTGCAGACATGGGCTTCACGGCGATCCAGATCAGCCCTATCGTCAAGAACATCGACGAACACACTGCGGTTGGTGATGCCTACCATGGCTATTGGTCTCTCGACAACTATGCGCTCAACCCCAAGTTCGGCACAGAGAAGGACTTCCGCGACCTGGTCGACGAAGTCCACAAGCGCGGCATGTTACTGATGGTCGACGTTGTCGTCAACAACATGGCTCAAGCCTTCGACAACAAGGTCCCCCCCAAGATTGACTACTCGAAGTTTAACCCGTTCAACGACCAGAAGTACTTCCACGACTACTGCAACGTCACCAGGTGGGAGGATCCCGAGAACTACCAGAACTGCTGGCTCTATCCCTATGGTGTCGCCCTGGCCGACCTCAAGACCGAGTCGGATGAGGTCGTCAAGGAGTTCCAGAACTGGATCAAGCAGCTGGTCGCCAACTACTCCATCGACGGTCTGCGCATCGATGCCGCCAAGCACGTTAACGACGAGTTCCTGCCCCAGTTCGTCGAGGCTTCGGGTGTCTTTGCCTGGGGCGAGGTCCTGACTGGTGTGACGAACGATCTCTGCCGCTACCAGACCAAGGGTCTCCTGCCTGGCATGCCCAACTACCTCGAGTACTACCCTCTGCTGCAGGCTTTCAACGGCGGTTCTATGGAAGAGGTTGCCAAGTATCGCAACGAGGCCGCCTCTGGCTGCAACGACACCTCTGTTCTCGGCAGCTTCATCGAGAACCACGATATGCCTCGCTTCGCCATGTACAATGAGGACATGGCCATTGCTAAGAACGCAATGACCTACACCTTCTTGAACGACGGCATCCCGACTGGTAGGTGTCCGGCCTCTGACATAAAATCTGACAAGTCACACTAACCCATCTCCCCCCCCCCCTTCCCCCCCGCGCAGTTTATCAAGGTCAAGAGCAACACTTTAAGGGCAACGGCACGCCCTACAACCGCGAGCCTCTCTGGATCTCGAAATACGACAAGTCTGCGCCGCTCTACCAGCTTACCTCGACCCTCAACAAGGTCCGTAACAACGCCATCAAGCTTTCCAAGGACTATGTCAACACCCCAGCCGAGACCCTCTTCAACGACGTCAACCACCTCTGCCTGCGCAAGGGCCCCTATGGCAGCCAGGTCGTCTTCTGCATCAACAACCAGAGCTCCAAGGGCCCCAAGTACGAGCTCAACATCAGCGGTGGTTTTCACCCCGGCGATAAGGTCGTCGAGGTCACCCGCTGCAGGCACACCACTGCTGACGCAACCGGCACCATTACCATGTACATGGGCAATGGTGAGCCCCGTGTGTATGTACATGCTGATGCGATTAAGGGTACCGGCATTTGCTCGGACACCAAGGAAGATGGCCCGGTCGGCAATGCCGCATCCGGTGTAGGCTCTACGGCTGGCATCATGATTGCTGCTCTGGCTAGTTGGGCTGTGTTCTTCTTCGCCTGAATGGGGAGGAGTTTTTGATATGTGATGATCGGATAAGGACCTAATGTTGGTCATAATTGTTGGGGGTGAAAGGCGGGGTGGTGAGAGAGGAGGGGGGGGGTGTGGTGGAGGAGGAGGAAGGGGCGGGGGAAGGGGGGGGCGGGGGAGGAATCTTATTCTATTACTGCGTATATACATCTACTTTTCTAATACCCCACTTTTTCTTGGATAATCTTTGACGTGGGCTGTGGCTGTTACCATCAATTGTAATGATCATGACGTTGGGTATGGGCACTAGTGCATGTCCTTAAGCATCCCCTTACTCCGCAACACACACTCTCACAAAAGGGATCACTACCCCACCTTTTCAGCCGCTCATCTGCTTACTCACATGGGTATATGCTCAGTCTCACCCCTCCATCTCTGGTTCGTTAGGTCATCCTTGTGCTGATAAGTTCATCTTGACGCTTATTATACTCAAGTTCACACTCTCGTAACTGATTATGTATCTCACCTCATCTGAGTAATCTCTCACCAATCTCATATCTCGCTGTCTCAGCTGGTCATGGTTGGTGTAACGGATTCGATGACGATAGAACATGCTATATGTAAGCACGTATTGAGACTCGTAACTTTTATGGCGATAGAGGAAAAAAACACAACTGCCTGATTTCTCAGGAATTTCTCAGTATATGTTACGACAGCATAGAGTTGACCTAAGACGGACAATCGGCCGAGAGTCGAGAGTCGCTCTCGCACAGCTATGGATGTGTGGTTATAGGAATACTGCATCAGTGAAAGTCTTCATCGTTGTGTTGCTGCAAGAACTGTCTAATCGACTCATGTGTTATAGAAACTGGCGATTTGTAGTGTAGTCTTATGTCTAGAACCCACATCCACGATGGACACCCAAGTCGATGCTATGATGCGTCATCCTTCTATCACCCTAGGCATAGCACGCAATAAAAGCCGCCATCTATTGTGCCATGAGCGGATCAATAGCCGTCGGGCGAGCCTTCTTGAGCGCAAAGTCAAAGTGCCTCTTTGAGATAACCCTCTCTTCGGGGCAGTTCCCTTCCTTATCAGATTTCTGGTGTTTGACACTTCTGCAGCGCAGCAAACGCACACAGTGTCTTGAGATCCGACTCTGAGCAGCACACCGTTCTCCTCGCCATCATATCAACCGACGCATCCTCATCCAACTTCTCCTCCCTCGGATAGATATTGAGAATCCCCACGAGATTTTCGCACCTAGGCAGGCCAATCATGATCTTGATCGGAGCCCTCCTGAGCGCAGCAGGGTAAAGATCCCAAGGGGTACTCGTCGCCAACAACACAAAGGGCGTCTTAGCTTTCTCCGTATCCTCCACTGCCCCATCCCACTGAGTCAAAAACTCGCTCAACTCCGCTCGCACATGCTTCGCATCAATATCCGGTCTCCTGCCCAGCACCCCGTTCTCTCTGTCAACGAACATGAGACAAGGCCACAATATGTGGACCAAGGAGAAGGCAGCGCCGATGTACTTCTCCGACTCGTACATGCCACATGTTCCGGAAGGAGGGACTACTCAGGTTGAGCATGCGGAGGCCAGCTTTCTTGGAGATGGCTTGCGCGAGGAGGGTTTTGCCTGTACCGGTGGGAGAGCGGGGTTGGAGGCGTACAACAGGGAGCCGGTTATCTGGTGGGATCTGAGCACACCGAATTTGTATTGAGAAGCGCGCGAGACGGTTAGGATGATCACGGTTTCGAGAGGCTCGATCGTTTCTGGGGGAGAGGTGAATGTTTGAGTAGTCGGAGGGGGTATTCTCTGTTCCAAGGCGTTCTAATATGGTGTTTATTAAAGGGGGGAGGACCTGGGAAAAAGTAGACGCACCTAAATTGACGGCGCTATTAAGAAGTTCACTCTCTTGAGTTTTGGGGCTTTTCGGGGTATCGTTCCCGGAGGAGTCTTCACTGCTCTTCTCGACCTCTCTCTCCGTGCGGTAATGGTAGCAAGAGCAGATTGGGCACCAGTCACTAGGATTGTTCCCGGTCTTCTGGGACTCGGCAGATTTTTCTTTATTTTCGGAATCGTCTGCCTGGGACTTAGTCTCTTTGCCCATTTTGAGCCGAATCATCTGTATTCTCGACATCATCGGCCTGGAGCTGCATCTCTTCATCCTCTTTCTTGGCTGATCTTCGTTATCATCGGCAATGTTGGTGTGAATCCGGACTTCTTGTTCCTGCCCGTCGGCAGAATCATTGTTGTGTTTGCCGTTCTTGGTATTTCGGGCAGCTTCGTCAGCCTGAGACTCAGAGGACACCGTGCTCTTGACTGCCTCTTCAGTCTTATGGGTTATTGGTCCCTCATTCTTGTTTTCAACATACTCAGGAGTGCTCGGTGTTGTTTCTCCTTGAGTTTTAGCTGAGTGTGCTTCCTTTTTACTAATCATTTAGTTTTGAGTCTTTCGCTTCGTCTCCAACTCGGGCATCTTCTGGCTGATGGGGCCAACCTTGGTGACAGCACTCGTGTGTATGATGAGAAGACTGAATTTCAGTCTGACGCTAAGACATAGTCGGTCGTCGTCCAGGAAGGAACAAGTGAGTTTACTGAGCCTCAGGTTGACGACGTTAAGTTTACGCCTGTTGAAGGCAAGACCACGGAGAAACCGATCCAGTCTCAAAGAACAAGCGCACGCTCTCGCGGAAAACAATGAGAGCATGGAGGGACATATCGAGTCTGTTGATCATAGCGACGCCTCCTGTACTCAGCACGAGCCATCTACAGCTGAGTCTGTGGAAGGAGAGAAGCATGCCACAGATGATCGCCAAGCGTGAGGCGAACCTCTTCATGCTGAAAGATCAAAAGGAATTCTTCGTTTTCGATCATGATAAGGATTCGCCGTCCTGGGTTGAGGGTTGTGCATAACTTCCTCAAAGGCCTCGGCGGAAGTGCTTCCACGCAGGGAATGTGTCTTTGGAGGAGCCGGGTTCAAGATAAGCTCAAGGGTCTCCGTCGAAGAATGTGTCTCGTTAGGCTGCGATTCGGAGGGAATCCAGCCTCCACGGTTGCCTCTAGTGCTTGCCTAGATGCCTGCCCAGATTGCGACCGCAGGAACGAGGCGACTTCACAATCACGTAATCATCGAATCCCACGACATCTGGTATCCGGGTCTTTAAGGCAGATACGGTCACCAGAAAAGAAAAAAAAGCAAATATATCCTCGACCTATCACATGCAAAAGTGTCCCGACAGTTCTGAGCCTTCCAGGCAAACGCGCTGGTTGTATACAAGCAGCCAGCAATAGAAATTCGAGGTTTTATCAGCACTTGAGTAAGAGGAAATGTAGGGTTTGAAGTCTGGCTGTCTGAATGCCCTGCAGCCAACCGCACATGAGACTCTGCATATGCCGCACTGAAGCTGGGACAACCTGAGAAGCCACTGTGTGGTTTGTCGAGGCCCTCATTTCGAGATACATGGCCCAAGTGTCCTTAGGCATAAGGGCGGGCTAATGTTTCACAGATGCGAGCTGGGCTTCCTTTTACAGCTGCACTCAGCCATAAATGGGTCCCTGCCTCCATAGCCTCAGCTGGAGGGCCTCAAAATTCATATCTCCAATCTCTCATTATTGTGATGAACGATTATGATTCAACAATGCTCAGTCAGTACAACATTTCTCTTGGTTCCTCGACGCTTCTATTACTAACAACAAAAGTTAACGACCTTGGTCGACCCCTTTTGTCCCAGCTTGTGACTCTCCAAAATAGACAAATATTGAAGTGATTGACTTGGACTATATCAAAGAGCACTTTGGATGTCCGTTCTTCTCAAATACTAGCTACTAGATCACTTGTTTTCATAGTAATCCAATGCCAAATTATATCTGATAGAGTTTTCAGATTTCACACGCAAATATTTTCAATCGAAATATGAAGAAATACACATCACCACGAGAGATTTCTCGATGTGTGCAAATCGCGAACCTTCTGTAAATGTTAAAGTTGTTGCCAAGTCCCTAGCGTGGTTGATTCATGCATTTTCTCGTGCAATCATGGTTTATAGTGTGTTGTAGAATGATGTCATAATTTGTGGTTAGCGTTGCCCCATGGATCGGCTTGCCTTCTCAAAACAGCGCGGTATGATATGACAAGTGTGCCGATATCACGCAGGGTTTTTTTTTACCACCAGGGGGACAAGCAGAAGACATGCGAGTTTAGCAGCTTAGCTGGGTCGGATCATGAACTTTTAGCTTAAAGTTTTCACCCAAGGGCCTCACCTCATCGTATGCTACTACAAGGACAAAGCATCTACCTTTTTGAAACTCACAACAACACAGCTGATCTGCTAACTTCAGTTTCAGGTGGTAATCCGTTAACGACCCACCGGGCTGAGATTGTACGTTGTAATCAGTGAAGGAATTTTGTACAAAGATGGTTGCATTTCCAGACAGGATATTCTCTGCTGCCTCTCACTTGCTGGAAACAGATCACAGAGTTGGTCCATCGATTTGAATCATAAACATGTCACCAACAAGCGCTGACGTGCCGTCCGCGGTGAACAATGGTCCAGAGTCTGGACCGGTCCGACCGGAGTCTCTCACTAGAGCCAACAACCTTCCATCAGCAGGGGCTGCAGCGGCTGATATGTTTCGTCAATTCGTGACTCGACGCTTGAGGAACAGAAAGCGACGGCCAGTTTACGCGGATATCCCCCTTATGCCTGTCCTTATACAACCCCTCCCGGAAACCCCAGAACAAGAAAACAACGAAGGATTAGCCGTCCCTACGTTGAAGGATGTCCTTGGCAATGTCTTTATGCCACAAGACGCATCTCAAGATCTCGAGGATCCATCTCTCGAGTATGATAACATCCGTCCTTACTTGCATCCCGACGGTTGCGAGGTTGAAGAACGAGAGCGGGTAGTAAATGAGATAAAACGGCTATTGGATGTGTTAGAGAGTCCGGATACGCCACTGCTCCTAAGAAACTGTCCCAGACTCGAAAAGTTGAAGGGTACCTCGGTCGGGTATCGAGCCCTCGATCTCATCACTGCCATTCTTTGGGAGGGATGGCGCATCTGTGGACTCGACAACTACGGCGTCAGCATGTTACATTGCCCTATTAAAGATCCTAGCCCGACTGAATTACAAAGGATAATGAAGAAAATCCGTACGCGATGCTCACCAGAGAGGGTAGCCATCCATATGCGCAACATCTTCACCTTAAAGGATGAAGAAGACGGGAGTCCAGTCTGGCCAAGATACAACGAGTTTGTCGAGGACGCTAAAGCAGTGATCGACTTGATTACAGAATCCATTGCACGGTTCTTCACGCAGATTGCCCTCGGTGTATCCTGGCGTAACCATCAACTTGCTGCGATTGCAAGATTTTCGGCAAAACTGAAAGTCCTTATTCGAGATATCGAAGCGAGTGCCATTACATCGCTGGACATTGCGTCTCAAGTCTTTGACAAAGCCCTTGGCGTCAATTCTGACGGAGAAGAATCCGTGTCGCGGCCTGGTGTTATGGAACAGATAGAAGACATTGGAACCACTTTCCAGGCAGAAAGGGGTCGATTTGGTCAACCCGACCATGTCTACGGCAACGACGACGATGACGATGACGGCACCCCGTCAAAATCAGCATACACCTATTGGTTTGAGCAGCAGCGAGCTCGTGAAGGTTTAATGATGGCATTTGACTGCGTGCTATTCCTACTTTACACGGGGGATAATCACCCAGGGTACGGCATCACGGAGTTCGAGATTTGTGGTTTTGTGATGGAGACTGGGTTTCATGAGAAAACGCTGATCTATCAAGATCGAGACTTCGAGTATAGCGGAACATCTGATCCTGACCACCTGAACATCGCACACGCAGCCTTTCGGATGCTCAATGCTGCCCTTCGACATCTTCACGAGCACAGAACTTGTACCACATCACTCCAGCCCCCCGCGCCTAGCCCTTCGGTCTCCAGCGCTTCGCCGCCAGGTAGTGCCTCAGAAACAAAAACGATTATTGAGTGGAGCTATTCGCTGCTCGATTCACCGATAAGTCAGGAAGGGGCGCAAGGAAATAGATCATTCAATCGCAAGTCAGTCAATACCGGAGAAATTGTGTACGAGCTAAAGAATATGAAGGAAATCATTACTGTTCTGGTACCCTTGGCATTAGCCTCTCCAATGGGAACCACCATCTCAAGACAATTTCTTGAACTATTTTACGGAACGTTACGAGATCCGAATGACGTCCTGAAACTGGCCGCTGAGGACTCGTTCACGGCCTTCGTTCGGCTCTACACAACCGATTTCGAAAAAACATACCGCAAGCTCCATCCACCGGACGTCCAACAGCTGGCTTCCCTGGTCAAGGAGGATCGCTTCTCCTACATCAGTCTGCTAGAGGTCGAAAGCCCAAAGTTGGAACCGGCGAAGAACGGTGTCCAAAGCGAAACAGAAGCCAAAAAATTCCGAGAAGAGCGTGAAAAAGAGCTTGCACGCTGTCACGACCTCATGGACGCATGGGTGTACACGGAGGACGCAGTGATCGTACCGTGCGGACGGTATGTCTGGACCGTCATCGCAGGAGTCTCGACCTTGGTAGGTGGAGGGATGGCAATTGGCTTGAGCGTAGGAGAGCGAATCGAAGGCGTTGACCCCTTCAACATCACCATGTTTGTTTGGGCTGTTGCTGCCCTCGTGCTGCTCATCTGCAAGGCAAGTTTGGTTGAGCACTGGTCATGGAACGACTTCCTGCATCAACGCGTGAAGTGCCGGTCGGTTTCGGAACTGCAGGCTGTTACTGGCATCCCTGATCAACTTATCATTGCGAGGCTGCTGCATGATGAGAAAGATTCCATCTTGAAGACCCGGGGACCGTTCAACACGATATTCTTGAACAAGGCTGCTGATGGTGTTACTGGGTTTTCTATAGACGTACCGGTGAGAAACAAGACGCTGCTGCTCAGCGGTCTTGTCATGATCAAAGTCGAGACATGCTTGGGGCATGCCGTTGTCTGTCTAGACGCAAGAAGGGGGAAGCAATTCACTACGGTTTCGCACCGTGAAGTCGATACAGACCAGGAGTGGCTGATGTGTCCGAGCATCGACCGGTTGGCACATAATTTTGCGACTAAACAGTCTGCACGACGGAGATACCCATTAAAAAAAGGGCAGCTGAACTGGAGGAAGGTCGAGGGAGTTTATAATGCTCTGGATGCCGAGTTCGTGTGACCATGCTCAACTGCAAATTTTAGGCAATTCCGGGAACGTTGGAGCTTATGGCCCAGCTTGACTTCTAAGCCCAAGGGCGGCCCCGTCATGTTTAACATGGCCGTGGTGTCCTCCCTCTCATATGGCCTGGTACAGATAGACATCGGTCATTTCAGAGCTGGAACCAGGGGACGACTAATCCCATCAAATCCAGGGGCAATCTGGGAGCCCTGGCTAAGGTCACACACGCTGCTCTGAGGGCTATTTTTCCAGTGTGGCGTACTATCCCAACCCCATGGTTGTGGTGGCTAGCCGGGATCTACCCCCAGTACTTGCTGGAGCGGGAGAGAGATGGCGAGCTCGAGTTCGAGCCTTACCACCCGACCACCCCCTCTCGGAGGAGACTCCAGTCATCACCATACAAAGGCTGATCTCGCCTACACCAATTAGCCACCGACGCCCAACCAGGCTCTGTCTGGGAGCACCGGCGACCCGGGCTTCGGGCTTGGCTAGGGCTACCCCCAAGTCCTCTCAAAGCACGGGAGATCCCACCCCCTGACTTAGCATCATGGTGGCGGTCGAACAAGCCTCAGTCCAGCCTGTGGGATGGCCCCTCAGCTTAACCGTTCCTCGCTCTCTTTGACAGAAAGTGCCTGGCTAGATGGGTCGCGGAGGCATCTGGGCACGGAGACTTCCTAGAGTACCATGTCATGTTCAACCACCCTCCGAGTGCTATCAAAACCTGCCCTTATGGTTCGATAGCTTCCAGAGGCCATTTCCTGAGATGTCCCCTCGTGTCCTTCAAATAACCCTATGGAAGGGCTTCTGGACCCCCGAGCCTTTTGGCACTCGCACCAACTTTTTGAGAACAGGAGAGTACAACTCGAGCTTCACGGCTCCGCGCGAGATGAACAGACGGGGCTAACAATTCCCACCCTGCGCCGCCCTGTCTCCTCTCCTCGCTTGATACAACGCCCCCAAAACCGTCACCCTCCCAGTGACTCACAATCAGATTCAGAAATGTCTAGCTTGGATATTCAAATGCCCGGGATTCTCCCCACTTAACCCATTCCCCATTCTCATTTATGATATCCCCTCACAGCAACACACCGGTTTTCCCTTTTTTGGGTTTTCCCGCGTGTATATAGTGTAGTTTAGGCAGCCTATAATCACCTTTTGCCCGCCGCCGTCGTGGGCACGACCAAGCACCCTCAAGGGTGAGACCGGTCGAACATACAAGTTCAAGTCCAAGCATAAGCCCAAGGACCTCTATATGTGTATCTAGACTGGGTTCAAGACCGCGCTACCGCGACGAGATGTGACCGTCATCACCGTCTATCAATGAACCCACTGGAGTTCCTTTTCGCCATTCTTCGATGTAACAATCTTCAACCACTCCTTTAGTTGCTCCAAATACCGGTCCTCGGAGATGAGCTTCTCAAGATACTCAGTCACAGAGAGGCCGTAGTCCAAGTATGGAAGCTTTCTCTTGAGGTCAAGACCTCGACAAAGAGGTTTTAGGAGATGAAACACGTCAAGGCCCAATTCCGGATCAGTGTCTATGCGCTTCAGCACCCGTACTAGTGCTGTGTGACCGTTCATATCGACGCTGGCAGGACTGACGCCAGCAGCAAGATGTACACGTAGGTACTTCTCGGCTTGTATACGCTTTTCAACTGACGCACGGACGCAGTTGTATGGAGTGAGCCGGCACGGCTCAACAAAATTATCTAGAGCAAGGTGCAAGTCCTGCACTGGCCGCCCGGCCGATGATCCATCATCAGAAAGCGGTTGTCGAAGCAGGATGCTTTCAAAGACATCACATCGATTGGCCTGAATGGCTTTCTCGAAGGGTGTTCTGGGTGCAAGTGGGTGAAGGGACCAGTTTTTACGAGGTGGTTCGGGTACAGCGATACGGTGCGCTTGAGCTCCCATATCAAGTAGGTGTACAATCGTAGAGTGAGGAGCATCATTACCGATAGCGTAGAAAAGAAGCTCAGCTCCGTCATTGCCGAGTGGGTTGTTGCTGTCAACTCTGAGCGAGAACTCCATGAGGAGGGAGTCCACTGCTGCCCAATCTCGAGCATGACCGCATTGTAACAATATTTTCGCTCGAACCTCAGGAGTGAGATACTTGACCAGGGACTCGTGGCCGAAGAGATCAGGTCAGCAATGATCTGGATCAGAGGAACTGCAATATTACCATCTTTGATCATAGCTTTCATAAAGTGCGGCTCGGAGACTAAACGTCTGGCAGAGCAGAGATCCAGGAGGGTTTTTGGCCATCCTAGTACTTATCTTGACTATCTCTTCTGAGCTGACTACAGTATCGTCATCCTCATCCTTATCGTTGGATGGAGCATCCAGAAGAGTAGGTATGGTTGCTGTTACTTCGAACATACATGTAACTTCTCTGATGTCAAAATGATCAAAGAGGTTCCGAATTAGACCTTTGCTCGCAATGATATCCAAAGCATACGCGCACTTATTGCGAATAGAACACTCAAAAGCAGTTTCGCCTCTCTTGTTGCGAAGAAGAAGGCTGGCTGAGGCACCGTGGTCGAGAAGATAACGAAGGATCAGTTCGGCGGATCGTGGGTTCATGAACTTTTCACCAGCAGCGGTCGACTCAAAAAGCAAGTGAAGAACAGTGTTGCCATCATCATCTTGGTGGTTGACTGGAACTTGCAACCCCACGAGCTTTTTGACTATTATGAACCTTTTGGGGTAGTCGTCGAGAAGAGGCAAGTTCCAATCCTTGCAGGGTACAATGCCCAGATCTTCCCAACAATGTGTGCGACCTCCAAACTGGAAAACCAGGCGCTGTGGGAGTTTCGCCACAAAAGCCATCAAGGCATTCCTGTTGCTCCAGCCCTCATGTGGCTGCAAAATTCCGATCTTGGGCTTGCCGTGCGTAATAAGGGCATCGACTGCAGGGAGATTGAGGCTTTGGACCGCAAGCATCAGGGTAGTGGGGTGGCCAGAGTTGCCCAAGGGGTCCCAAAGAAGAATGTTATCCGCAGAGAGACCACCCTCCCGTATCAATCGTTCAATCAGCTGTGGCCAGAAGCGTTCTTGAAGCTGGGCTTGGCGTTGAATTTCCATAGTTCGGTCCTCAATGAGGTTCACCCGGGTTGCGCAGGTTTCAACCATATGAGAAGCGTCTTCGTCCTGGAAATAGACAAATTCTTCAAGAAAGCGGCAGCAATTTGGCTTCTGCCACTCCTTAAAGTCGATAGCACAAAGCTGCAACGGATCGACACGAAAATTAGGGGGCGCGTTGAGCAATGCTCCCAGATGAGACACGCTCATGCGGGTGATCTTCGCACCAAGATCGAGAAGTCTCAGGGCGTCTTCGAATCGTCCCAAACGGCAGGCAATATCCAGACATGTGGCTTCGATGTGCTGGTTTCCTACATCACATCCAACGGCGAAATTGATATCAGCCCCGCGTTCAAGGAGAAGCGGGATAGTAGAGTCCCAGCGACGGTTAAGAAAGGCATAAAACAACGCTGTTTGTCCTGTTTGATCAACACAATTTACGTCGATGTTGGGATGGAGGTCAAAGATGTGCTGAAGCACATCGGCGTGGCCACGCGCGGCAGCTTCAAAGAGAATCCCAAAATCCGGCCGCATTTGTCCCGGCGAAGACGAAAGTATACCAGAAGGTACGACTGCTGCACCATTAGAGAGGAGAAGCTTGGCGGTTTCAATATGGCTAGAGCAGAGGGCGACGTGAAGCGGGCTCCAATTATGGGGCGAAGATACGCCCATAGCCCCCTCCGACGGCAAAAACCAAAATCCCGCAAAAGGGGGCGGGTGGCAGATGCAAGGACCATTTGTGTAGATGCTGAGATCAGCACCATGGTCCACTAAGATCGATATGATCTCATTGTGAGCTTCCCTTGCAGCAAGGTGAGCGGCGGTGAATGTGCGGGGAATACTGCGATCCCGCTCCTCATACTCGGTAGCTAGGGTAATCTCATCCCTGCAGTCATCCTCATCCACGAACCCTCCATCAGGTGTTGTCGCTTGATACGCTCCGTAAAGCTTATATTCGTTGGTAGGCGCAATGATGTCCAGATCAACCAGATCTGGGTGAAGAGCATTCGCAGCCTTGCCGAACCTCTCCCTGTATCTTGTGAGAAGGTTCCGGTCAAACGGGGGCCAGAAGTCTTTGTCCCCTCTCTGGAAAGCCCGGTGAGATTCGTACGAGCGGAGGGATGCAACCCAGAGGCGGTAATCAACGTCCGCATAGAAGAGAAAATTCGGATCAGCGCCAACAGCAAGTGCCATGTTCAGTGTTTCTCGTAGACCGAATTTTGCTCCCCAAGCGAGCGGCAGGTGTAGATGAGAGAAAACTCCACGAGCGTAAAATATCATTGTCGCGATACTCGATAGCCGTTTGTTGGTTCGGGCAAGTGCGGCCAACGACTTCAGAGAGACGCGGTCATAGCAAACATCCTCGGGGTATATGGCATGGCAAACGATTTCGAAAACCTGGTTTGAAAGAGAGAGCAGGGAGGGCATTTTGCAGACTGGCTTAACGGTTGAAATGACAAATGTGGTTCTCACTTCTCCGGCACGATCAAGTCTAGGATAGAAATTTATTAGTGCCCCTGAATTACAGGGAAAAAAAAAAAGCTAAGGGACACAAACCACGTCTTACTCGAACCTGTATTAGCAGGCGGCGATCGTCTCACGAAAGATGAGAAAGCCAACGGACGAGTTGGCGCATACAGCAATGCTTGGTAGATTGAGTCGTTAACATTGCAGAAGCATCACACGCTGCAAATAAAGCTGTCGCCTAGTCTGCCCGCAATACGGAGCAATCTTCCTCCGAGAGAGGAATCCATTGTGAAGAATACGGCGAAAATTCGTACGGAAAGGAGTAGAGTCGTAGTGCTAGGGCAAACGCGATCTTCCTAAACGCCTTGGCGATACAGAGATGAAGCAGGGGCGCCAATACCTTACACGACGTCGTATGATACTACGGACGAAGTCACGTGATATGCCCCTCCGTTTTGAATTATCATTCTATGAAAAGCATCCTTGGTTGGAGAGATGTCTGGTGCACATCGTTTTACAGAACCCATTTAAGTTCCCTTTTCTCATTCCTTGAACATACAATCTGCCCAACACCGGGCTTTGTTGAAAAGGAGCAAATATGGAATCGCCGCCCCGAAATGAGTGACTAGTTAACTTGTTTCATTTCCTGTTAAGAATCAAGAGCTAGCCATTAGCACATCCTTCCATGATGAATCAGCGTAGAAGGTGAGCGACTGGAAGCCAAAAAAAAAGAAAAAAAAGGTATGATAGCAAAAAGAGGCGGAGCCCGGACAGCAATTACTAGTTATCTTGCGCAAACCATCCGCGGTCATGAATCGAGGAAGCCGATAGAAACACCAATATCGGGAACTAAACATTCAAATGTGGTGGGAGCTACAAAAGATGCATGAGCAGTAAGCTCATGACAGACTGGCTCATTTCAGCCAGTGAATTTTCTTAGTTCCATCCTCAAGTTCCAAAATCTTAACCCACTGTTTAAGGGCAGACTTCGCACTCAGAAGTTGCTCCATATATTCCAAGGCGGAGTAGCCTAAAGCATCCTTGAGGTGAAGATCAACCCCTCTAGCAAGGGGCTTGAATAGGTCATAAGTGTCCATAACGATCGACGGTTGCCGGGTCAAGCTCAGCACAAAGTAACAGAACGGGGTTTGTCCGCTAGCATTAAGCTGAGTGGTATCGGCGCCAGCAGCCAGGAGAGCGCGAAGGATATTTCGCGACTGCTTCCGCGCGCTGCGTTTCGGCTTCTCCCATGAGCCCACACCATTGTAATAAGCATTGTTCAAGACGGCAGTAACCGCCCAGTGCAGGTAATGCGGCGTGCCCTCCGGTAGCGGCGGTTGGGGCAAGGGCTGCAAGCGTAACATGGCTTCAACCACGCCGAAGTTTGAAGACTTAATGGCCTCTCCTAACGGAGTTGTGAACTTCCCCTTGCTTGATGGCAACTCAAGGAGCTGATGTGCGTTAAAGCCAGCCTCAAGGAGACGTTTAGCGAAGCTAGCAGGAGCTTTGGCTTCAATTGCCCGTATGAGAGGGAGCTCTTCCTGGGTTGTGGACACGAGTGTTCTCTTTTCATGGTCGGCGAAGCCGTCAAGAATGACGTGGGCAGTTTCCCAGCGTTTAGTGACAATCGCCTTCAACAGCAAAGAAATTTTGCTCTCCGTGAGCAAATCGGCGTGGGAGAGGGAGCCTTGGTACAGTTGTTGGACTGCCAAATCCAGAAGGGGTGATTGTGGTTTGCCGTCGTTGATGCACAAGTCCACAAACTCCGGGTAAGACAGCAAGGACTTCGAACTGAACACATCCAGGAGGAAAGTGAAGATCTGGCGAGATCTTTCCTGCAGCTTCCGTACCTGCATAGTTGTATAGGAGGGCATGCCAGTGTAGGAATCCCTTTCGTCGTCCGGGTCAGACGAAGAGTACATGCCGTCTTCGTTTTCATCTTCTCGGTACCCTTGGCCCAAATCGTCAGTATATTCGTCATCTTCCTGAAAATCAGAGGATCTCAGATTGCTAGGCTGTGCGTTGCGGAACATGGCAACGATTTCTGGCATACTAAGGCGATCTCCTGGATCGATACGGCTTTGCCTGGCAAGGATGTCAAGCGCGTAATGGCATTCCCTACGAACAGCAATCTGGAAGGGGGTCTCTCCTGAGTTGTTACGTATGAACGGATCGGCGCCTTTGGACAGCAACAAACGGAGAATCTGTTTGGCCGACTTGAGAGGCATCCATGGGCGGCTCTGGTCTCGGTATCCATCGAAAAGAAGGTGAAGCGCCGTGTTCCCGTCCAGGTCCTGCTGATTAACAGGAGTTCCGGCCTCGAGAAGAAGGCTGACAATATGCGGCCGGTTGGGATAATCGTGGTCAAATGGCAGGCCCCATTCCTGAAAAGGGACCAGGTTCCAGTACGAGTCAGATAATCGGCGGTGATCTGGGTCGCGTAAAACCGACTCGCTCGGTACTTCGGCTACGGCCACCATCAAGGCGTTTCGTCCCTGGGAATTGCAAGCGTTAACCTCAGCACCGGCATTAATTAGCGTCTTAACAGCAGCATCATTCAAATGTTGAACGGCTAGTGTCAGAGGACTGTGGTTGTAGCCATGGGCAGGGGCCCAGGTCCAGAACGTATCGAGCGAAAGACCGGCCGCAAGCAATTTCTCAATCACTTGTTGTCGGTACGAATCTTCGACAGAAAGGATGTAGTGCGGTGGTGGAAGACCCCAGCTGCGAGGAGAGCGGTGCAAGTCCAGATAGCGGATGCAGCAGAGGTGCGGCAGAGGAACATAAGTGCCGGAACCAGGGTCAGGTTCTGCGTCCATGGGATCTTGACTCTCGTCGTTTCGATCATCTAAGACCCGAATGCCGACCGAGGGGTCGGCACCGAGATCGAGCAGCTTTAAGGCGGTCCGAAATTGACCAAGGTAACAGGCCTCCCCGAGGATGTTTGTGAGTAAAGTGCTTCTTCCCCACCGAACCCGCACAGGATGATTGATATTCGCGCCATGCTGAAGGAGGAAAGGGACCGTTGTATCCCACTGGCGATGGTAGCACGCATAGTAGAGTGCAGAAAGTCCAGCCGCGTCCGTTTGATCGACGTTAAAGCCTGGATGAGTGTCCAAAACGCGTTGGAGCACATCAACCTGGCCCAAGGCTGCCGCTTTTGCGAAAGGACTCTTGCGCTTCGAAGGACGAGGAAGGGACGGATCGGATGCTGGCTCAGGCTCGTAAACCGCCTTGGCTCCTCTTGAAACAAGAAGTTTAGCCGCTTCGGTATGGCCTGAACAGATGGCGACATGGAGTGGAGACCAGCGCTGTATTTCGTAAAGAGTCGTGTCCCATGGGTCAGGGCCAAGGTCGTTCATGAACCCGTCACTCGTGATACAATCACAAAAGTTTGTCGATAGGCTTTCGATGTCGGCACCGTGATCCAATAGGAGAGTGATGATATCGCTGTGGCCTTCCCTTGCAGCAATGTGAAGCGCCGTAAACCTGCGAGTACATTCTCCAGAATCGCCATAGCCAGGATAGAACTTCTCATAACTGCGCACCTCATCGTCATCATCGTCCTCCCCGAAAGGTCCTTCACCTCGAGGATGGGTGGGGGCAAACACATCGAAAGTAGTGTGGGTTGGCGTTAATGCCCTCGCCTGCTGTTTATACTCCCTGACTAGATTCTCTTCAAGGTGCAAACCGAGAGCAGGCCAAAAGGCAGGATTACTTTTCTCCCACAACACATTGGTCTTATATACCTTCATAGCAGCTTCCCAGATGTCGATAAAGATGCTGCTCAGGCAAAACTCATGATTCGGATCAGCCCCAACCGCCAGAGCCTTTTTGAGGGCTCCTGGCAGGCCTTTTTTTTTGCAGCCCAGGCAAGAGGACGATGCTGGTATTTGTGAACCCCTCTGCTGTATAGGATTGGCGTGGCAATATTGGAAACGAATCGGCTGGTGAGCGTAAGAGAAGCGAGAGAACGAAGACCTTCTGAACTGGCCGGGAGATTTGCAGGGAAGAGCTCTTCACAGATGAGGGTAAGCACCTCGTTAGGTAGAGATAGTAGTGATGTCATTCTTGAAACCGATAAAGCCTGCACGCTTGGTCAATTTCGATACTACAAGTAATGCGAAATGTTGCATCGTTTGGGTCAAGCGCGACGCGTATTGCGAGTTGGACATGGGGATTTGGCGGCTTGCGCGCTGTACTCACGCGACGCCACGTGCCATAAGCCCCGCCGGAAGGGGGAGCCATATTTTCCCGACAGTTCAGGCTAGGGTTGGAGTCTTGAACAATTCCTTTTTTTCAAAGCCAACTCCTAGCGAAGGTGAGTCACAACACAACAGAAACAGATTATGCTCTTATCGACTTAACACTTATGCAATTTCGGAGGAGATGAGACTTGGAATGCAGTTCAACACATCCTTTGTTTGACTCTTTTGCATCGGACCCCGCAGCATTCTCCCCTATGAAATCCTATTATACCCTTCCTCCCCCACCGATCGATTGATCCACCCCTTAAGAGTGCTTTCGACATGATGGGGGCTGGAACTATTCAGACCAGCTTATGCCTACACTTGCGCACCGGTATTTTGCCTCAGAAACAAAGCAACAGACTTGGTAGGACTCTGTCATCGGCAATACTGCTTGGCGGCTCCCTATAAAACACCGTCACATCAGCGCTTGACGTCACCACAATACCAAACCCATAAAAAAAACATAACACAAGGCTAGAAAAAGGATCTAAAAATCAAGTAAAGGGGGAGGCAAACATCACTAATATATAGGACTATCCCAACCAAGGATCGCCTGCCCACCAGAGCTAGCCGGTCCAAACATCATTGTTTTGCGCCATGTAGTTCAGCATGCCGGTCAGCGCCGGAATGCACTGGGTGTTGGCGCCGCCAGCCGTTTCGCCCAGGATGCTCTTCTGTTGTTTGCCTTGAGCCAGGCCGCTGCTTCGCGCAGGCGTTGTTTGTCAATGGTGGAGGACACGCAGTTCTCGGATGTGCCAGAGCCGCCGATGTCGAGATATTGGTGCATTTCGTAGATGATCTTGGAGTCGTCTGGCGCAGCGGGGTTGATGAGGTTGAGGAGGATTAGAGCGTTGCCGCTAGCGACCTGGATACCTATCGTCAGTGATACCCCAGGGGAAGAAGCCAGGGTATGCGTACCCAGGCCCAGGCGCCTGTCCGTGAATTGCCCTCGACAAATATTCGCTGTGAAGTAGCTCCCGCGGCGCGGATACCTTCCAATGGCCGCCTGGCTGAGACGGAGGACGAGCTGGTTGTCCATGTCGCAGTACTCATTGTTCTCGTAGAAGGTGACCTTGGTCATTGTCGGCGAACAGTTTGGCTACAGTCATCCACCACGCCTTGAAGTCGTCCACATTGATTATGACATTTCCATAATAGCGGCCTGCCCAAGAGTCAGTTTGCAACCACTAGCTCAAAAACTCGTACGATCTTTTTACCGAAGTTGTGCGAGTCAAGGACAGCATAGGCTCCCTTGCTAGTGACGTGGTTGACGATCAAAAGATTGTGAGTCTCTTCTCTCTCAAGCATACCGACGAAAAGGGCTCCACATACGTCAATAAGCCCCGGAGCATAGGCATTGTCGACGGGACCTGTCGACCTATTGGGGACCAGACCCTCCCTGAAGTGCCGTTAGAACACTCCTTACCAGAGCCTTGAGTTTCGGTGCCTACATACATCCACATACATCATGAAAGGGATTCCCCCGGCCGATGAGAGTCTACACCGGTTAGCCGCGCTCGATTCCTCCAGCAATGCAGGACCTGCAGACATACGTCAATGCTAGACTTTGACGGCTAGATGTTGTGCTTGCCTAACCGTCCGGGGAGTGTGTCCTTGCCAAACTCGGCACCAGTCTCATCGATACCCACGAACTGGGACTTGGGAGTACGCCTTTGTGTTCTGGTTGGGATGAGAACACCGCCAGCCGGCGCGGCAAGGGCTGATTCAGCGGCTGCAACACCTATGAGCAAGTTGAAGAACTTCATTGTCGAGATGTAAGACGTTTACCATGGGGTACTGGATTTAGTTCGCATGATAGAATACCCACGAGATCGATTTATACATAGTTTGACCTCTAAGCTTTGAATGAGGCGAGCTGAACTCAGCAGCTTCCCTCCCGCGCTCAAGTATTGGCTAGGGCACCAAATTATCAATCTAAAGTATCAGCTCCCATGAGCGTCTTCTCAGGTTCACATATCTCCCTCTCATCATTTGGATAATAAACTGCCCCCTTCTTCATACCGAGTTTTACTCAGGTTAGTTTCACTGAGTGTTGAAAGCCGTTTACATCCCACAGTTTGATTGTGTGGGAAGAACATCTTATGTTCCCAAATGGACTTACCGCTTCCGCCCTCCTTAGTTCAGCCAGAACATGAATTTGCGTTTCCAGGGGGCTGCCGAGAGCAGAGTGCGATGTTTACATCCAGGACAATGTCCACCCCTGAGAAGACATTTGCAGAGATGCCGACTCATCCTTCAAGAGTGTGCCTAATGTCGAATTTCAGATACGGCCTTATGCCAAACAGACGCCTCCGTACGTCAATGTGGCCTGGTCGTCTTCAGCCTAGAGGCACAACTGTTAACCTGTTACATGACACAAGGATTAACTTGGGAAGGTGATCCAACCTCCACCCTGTATTTCAGTCAGGACTCGGGAGGATCGGATTCCATACAGAATATTGTGGTACATAGCGGCGTGACCAAGACCATAGGTATAGGACAGATAGGACAGAATGCTTTGCCACTGGTGTTTAACTCGTTGTCCTTCGACGAAGTGCCCCTTCATGCGTCGGCATTGGACGTTTGTGTAACATAGTCAGCATGTATCAGACATCTGACCACCATGATTGGTACCTCCTTCAAGTTCTTTGGGGACGCGGCCGTTTCAACAGACACCGAAGTTAGCTCCCAGTTCGACCCTAGTCCTTGCTATGGACATGCTTCCTGGCTCCGAGAAAAGTCCATGGGTGTATAGAACGTCTCAATAGCTGGACCCAGAATGTACACAGCTCTAGTATTAGCTCACTGTACCGAGCTTCCATAAGTTTGTACACCCTCTATCCGAGTGATGCAGTGTAGTGACACCCCTGAAAATGCCTCTAAAACTCCAATTCCGATCCCATCCCATCACATCCATGTTTCCGTACACCCTTTTGTGAAATCGTGCAACCATCGAGCAAGATGAAGGAAACTAGAAAATTGAAGAGGAGAAAAAAAGTATAGACGTTTGGGGGGAGAAAAAAAATAACAATGAAAGGAAGTAGGCCAGGAGAGCACTAGTCCTTGTACTCAGGCGTAGGCCACTTGACCTTGCACTCCCCCTGTTTCTGGATCCATTCCGATATCCTCTCGGTCAACCAGCCACTCATCATCGATCCCTTTGTATCATCGCGCTTCACCGGCTTGCCGATTTTGAATGCATTACCAAACGCGCACATGCCGTTCTGGTACCGGAAGGTGAAGCACTCATGCTCGGAGACGCTCCGACACGCGTTCTCACACGCCTCAAACGACAAGTGCGCATTCTTCTCCATCTCATTCAGTTCTTCATCCTTCTTCATCCGCTTCACCATCCAATCGTCCCAGTAGGACCGACCTCCAGGGCGAGTGAGATCGAGGTAGAAGCGGTTGTCGGCGAGGTTATCCCAGTCGGCTCGGATGCGCAGGAGGTTGGGGGCAAGGAAGTGTTCATAGATATCGCGCATTAGGATCGTGGTGCCGGGTGGGTGAGACTCAAGGAACTTTCTCTCGAAGTTGAAGAAAGAGTTGATCTCATCGCTATTCAAGTGGTGCATGGTCACAATTGGATGGCACCAATGCGACGGGCCGTATGGCAGAGTAAACGGCTTCTCGCCGTTAATGGTGGGCCACTGTTGCAGTTACCATTAGCCGGAGCCCTAAAAATACGCCGGGCACTTTGGTCAGAAGTGGGGGAGGAGAAAGGGAAGGCAAGCTCGCCATGGGGAAAAGCCGCACGGCAATTGACGGTCCGCACCGTTGTCGCGGCAGGCAAATCCCATGATTTTGGTACCGTAGTCCGTAAGCGCTTTTCGGCCGCCATGGCGGCTCAATAAAAGTACTTCCAACCTCACTCACCATGTGCTGAACCTTGATTCCGGTCTTGTTTTCCATCGCGACCGCAAACAAATAGTCACCGCAGCACTCTTTTCTCGCGCGCACATCGAATTCGTTCCCAACACCCGGATGCTTGCCCACGAACTCCTCCATGGCAGCCCTGCTGACGATGTACCCTGAACCGCCGTGGCCAAAGGGGAAATTTCCGATCAAGGCCACGCTGCCGAGATACAGTTTCTTATTCGGATCCATCGTACTCAGCCATTGCATGAGATTCGACCACACAACATACGTGTCGGCGTCGACAAATAAGTACCAGTCATAGTTGGGACGCATGGCCCATGTCTTCTCAGCGATATGAATGTTCTTGTACTTGTCCAGGCTCCAGCCCTCCTTCGCAGGATCGCCTAGCTTATTGCAGCTGTCCTGATCAATAAAGCACCACTGCTGACGACGGTAGATGTCAAAGTCTGGGTTCCCTGAGCGCGCTTCCGGCAGAACCTTGTCGAGGCTGTCATAGATGTGGAAGCCGGCAATATCCTGCTCCATGTCGCTGAAGATGAGAAAGTCGTCCAGACACCTGAGATTCGTCATCAGCTGAGTCGGAACGCGAGCGAAGGCCTCGGAAGCACCAGTTTTCATGACCAACAGCACACTGCTGGTATTAGGGAAACCTTCACACAGGGGATCTTGGGGTTGCGGGGGTGCTGGAGGCGGCGTGGACTCCGTGAACGACGTCGACGAAATCGAGGAGGCAGTCTCAGACTGCTTAACGGAGTTAGGCTGTGTTGCGTGCGAACAATTCTCCCCATCGGGGCAAACACCCATCGGCGAGTACTCGCTCCGGTACGGCGCATTCGGTCCATCCATCATCGACCAGTTAGTTATCCTTCTTGAGGCGTAAACAAGCATGAAGAAGCTGAGGATCGTGAAGACGAGGAGGATGGTCGAAGATCTCCTAACAGGCAATCTCAGCCTTACGGGCGAAGTGCCTGGGCTGCCAGGGGCAAGCAGAGGCATGTTGAGAGTTGTTGAGGGGTACAGAAGAGAGCATTGAGGAACCCGGTTGTCAAAGGTTTACAACTTGACTGGCGTCGAGGAGGTTCGGGTGAAAGAGCGAGTAAACAAGTTGCACAGCCCAAGGATATGGAGGAACAAATCAGTTAGCTAGGCAGGCTTTTTTTTTCTTTTCCTTTTTTTTTGAACGAAGCGAGAGGGAGGAAACCGGAGAAAGAAGAAAGGAGTCGGTCAGAAAGGTGGTGAGCGTGCTTTTTGTTCAGACAAATAGCAAAGGACTGAAATACGAGATTTGCAGGCGCATCTGCAGCAGAGCTAGCTCTGCACGACAACCAATCTCAAGTGAAAGCTCGCGGAGGGCGGCAACCGAACAACAGCCACTCATCCCATCTCCGTTCCCCTCTGGGCTTTTGATTTTCGGAACCACTCCCCCAATCTGCTCCCAACAACCAACCTACCACCACAAACATTCCCTCCATATTGACACATTCAGTACAACTACGCGGAACCTAACTAGTGTGTCAGCTTGTGTTCCGTGCCAAGATCAGGTCTCAGTTGCGCTGCGCGCAACCGAGTCGGAGCACGACAACACTATGGTCTTGGGTACAGACACTGTGGACGAATTGGGCAGGGCTTCTGCGGCTGAGATGGCACCATTAATTGGTGATGTCGTGATTGGTCCTCTAAAGTGCAAGAAAGTCCCAAGGCTCAAGCTGTGATAAGGCAGGGTACCTGCGGGAGCTCTGCTGCCACCACTGGGATAACAACTAAGGAGAGCACGGCTTTGCTGACAACGCTGGATTAGTGAGAAACTGAGTCATGTGGCTTTTCCAGAAAGACCGTCAAAATCAAGCCTAAAAATCGAGGTCTTTCCGCCACCTGCTTCAATAAGTATTTATTGTGGAACTGGTCTTCCTTTCCCGTTGTGGAAGCCACCGTCATGAGACTTGCCCTGGGGTAGGGGCGGCCAGACACGCCGCGCCTGCACGTTTGCTGTTCACTTGTGGGGACTGGGGAGCTGACCCTTCAACATGGTCCTGCAACTGGGGGATCAGCCATGGTGGGGAGTTAAACCTTTTCCAGGGGTTGATCTGCCGGACAGCGATGTCATTCCATTGATTGAGAGGGAGAAGCGGCGCAAATACCATCCGAAGGCCGAGCGGACAACAGGAGACGCTCTCATAGGTCACAATTGAATGGACGTTCAGCAGTGCGTCAAAACATACGATCTTGACAATCACTTCACTGTATTCTTACGGCCAGTTACCAGATCAGGTATGTTACGCGATCTAGCAGCAACAATTTCTCGATACAGGTGCGCGGGATTACTCAGCCGAATACCATGAAGCCTTGCAGCATGAAGCCAACCACAATGTAGCTGGGTTGGAGCTCCTATGGACATGACCGAATGTCATGGTTTGCGTTACGCGAAAGAGATGCATGCAGACTGTTGCTGGGGAGCACAGAGGTTAAACTTGGCAAGATCAAGATCGGCTCTTCCCGAGTGTGAGATGTAAGAAGCAATGCTCCGTTTGCGGTATCAACTCGGTTCGTTACAATAGGAAGGGTCCACCCCGTTGCGAAATGTCATGTAATGATAGAAAACCGTCGGTCCCACGGGCGAAGAGGGTTACACATGTCGTACCACGTACCCCCCTGTGATGTAAGGGAGGGAAATGTGTCTCATCTGCATATTATAATCCTGATATTTACCAGCTTATGCATTTATCGAAGCATTTGTATAGTATTTCCAGACAATTTGGGAGGGTCAAGTATAGAGATGGATGTGCGTAAGGCTTCAACGTTCTTGATTGTTTTGTAATATACAGTAACCCAATGGTGATTTCACCCCTAACAAGGCTTTTTGTTCCCAAGACCCACCCAACTGTTATGGCCCGGGGAAGTCGCCGAACTCTCAAGCCTTTCCACAAAGTACGCCTCCAAGCCAAGAAACGTAGTTGGATCGTCCGCGCTCTTCCGAGACCACCTTTTTCAGTTACATCATGCAACCACAGAAGCAACAATGTTCGCTTTACCGGCCCGTTGAGCAGGACAGATCAGCTTTACCCTTACATAGTACATGGCGAGCGATATCTTGAGATCCTGAACTTTATCGGCAAATTCTGCCTGGTCTGCTGGGCAGTATGGCTGAGGTTTCGCTCAAACATGTTCCCACCAAGCATCTTCTCTCATAAGCAGATATGAAACAACTTATCGGGAAGAGCAACTTTCAGACAAACGCAGCTGTCGGGTTTCCAGTTGATCTCTGGTGAAGTCGGAACACGGGGGCGTATGCGCTGTGCCAGGTTTGCGGGTTAAACACTATTGCACTGTGCACTTGAATGACCCAAGATCCCGAACGGTCCTGTCTCATGCAGCCTTCGGAAAGCTCAGAGCAGGAAAGCTTGGCTCAGCTTGTAGCTGACAGACAAGCTTCAAGGGACTCGACAACCCAGCAATCTCTCCACGTTCAGCCACAGAACTAGTCTTTGCCCAAGCCGATACCTTGCATAGCCCGATGTTTGTCGCTGAAGAGGGGGGCGCTGGGTCGTGCTCACGACAACGGCGAGCAATAGTTACACTGCTATATACTTTATATACATGCCACACTGGGAAAAACCCCGAGAGGGGAAAAACCTGTGCGGAAGAAGGCAGCGGAGGGAGGAAGGGAGGGGGGGAGGGAAATGGATATCCGGGAGGGGTAAAGACCTACTCCCGCAGAGCAAGTGGGATTGGCATCTCTGATTCCCTCCGATACCGACTCGTCCGAGTCTGTGTCGGGCTCCCTGTCTTCGCGGCACTGGACCCGTACGCGAAAGGGGGAACGAGGGGACCGTAACGTCGGAAAGGATTGTCCTGTGGCCGCGTCGAATGCTTGACCCAGGAACTCGATCTGGGAGGCTCTAGATTGGAACAGTTGAAAGGAGAACCGGAAGGCCCTAGGATCGAGTCTCTCTGCTAGCGGGTTGTTAAAACGTGGTGAGTGGACAAGAAAAGAAGTGACCTTTAGACATTGGTTGGCCGCAGGGGCACTCCTTGAACGCTCTCGGAGGGTTTTTAAACAGCACGTGGTACTCCATGAAGTCCACCATGGCCTGGGGCCTCTACAAGCCATCGCGCGAGGCATTGCCGGGAAAAGCTCTCTAGAAACGGCTTCGCTGTCTGTCCGTCCCAACGGGCCGACGGGGGCTTGTTGGTGCGCCACCAGCTCCTCATATCTGGGAGAGGTACCCGGCGCCTTTCCGGGGGGTCTGGAGGGAGACCTAGCCACGTCCTAGGCCCCAAGCGACGCGGCTCCCATCGGGGCTGGGCCCCGAGGCCCGCTACCTCCTGATGTAGGCGAGTCCACCCTTGGTAGGGAGGTCGGCGAAGTCAGATCTGAAGGGGGTGGTCGGCTGGCTGCCTCTCGACACGACTCCTCCACCGAGCTCTCTCTCTATCCATTAGGAACTCCGGGTACAGGTACACCAGCTACCGCAGCCACTGGAATGGAATCGTCCGTCACACTGGGAAAATTGCCCTAAACGCTTCGTTCGCTGTTTTGGTCAGGGATGGCCAAACCGGCACGAGCTTAGATGGGACTAGGCGGCCCCGGACGCCGGACGCCGGCCCTCGTTGGGCCTGTGTCAAGTTGGACCATGCCATAGAGGAGAGAGGGGGCGACGACATCGTTGAAGATAGCAGGGCCCGCCACCGGCGGAAAGCCCCGTACTCTCGTGTTGGACAGTCGCTTCATCAATCCCACTATCGAAGCTGTCGCCGACGCCCTAGCGGCAGCCTGGGTCGCAGGGTTCAGCTTGGAGTCGAGTGTGACCCCTAGCCATTTGATCGATTTACCAGGGGGGAACGACAATTTCTCCACTTGAGTTGAGATCCTCGCCGGGTCGATTCTATTGCGCTTGGCCCCGAAGCCACCCGGGGGGGGGTAGATGACCTCCGTTTTAGTCGTATTGACTCAGAGGCCGAGGCCCTGGATCTTGGTGCAGAGCTGAGCATCCCTGAGCGAGGTGTGGTGTGCCATTTGCACGAGGTTTTTGCTCCACGTCAGCTGTGCTTGGTCGTCCATATACATGAAGGAGGACTCCGGTTGCGGCGGCGTTATGAATGGGAGACAGTAGGGCATGAAGAGAATTGGGGACCATGGGGAGCCCTGTGGGAGCCCCGTGTCTGACCGGAAGGTTGTCTGGGCCCATTCAAAGGAGAAGCGTTGATCCAGACAGAAATCTGCTGTTATTCTGCAGACCCAGTCGGACCAGCCTTGGTCTGCCAGAACCTCGCTGAGTATTGCCGGCTGGACAGAGGGATACGCCGAGACCACATCGAGTGTCACCAGAAGCCCGTGGTAGCCCTATCTCGTCATCGACATCGCGTCATGTACCAAAGACTGCACCAGGTCGAGGGCCGACCTGGATGGCGCAGCTCCCGCCACAATTGATGGCGAGAGCCCCGAAGCTAGCCCAGCCGTTGTCATGCGCCTGGCCAACACTGAGACCAGAGCGGGCTTGGGAGCGTTTGTTGCCGATGCTGTCAGCCGGCGGTCAATGTAGATTGCCGCCATGGTTGAGTTGTCATCGAGGGCGTATAGGTGAAACCGGGATGCCCTCTGACCTTGCCAAAGAGGACCAGCGGCTCTTGGATGCATACAACCTGGTAACGGTGTTGGACCACCCGTTGGAGTACACCGTCCAGGTTGGCGATGGAGCGTTGGGCATGAGCTGATATGATTCTAATGGTGCGTACCATGGTCGTTACACACCACTATGCAATATTGGATCGGTCCATCCAGGTTCGACAGGGCGCTCCTCTGGGCGGGGGGTGGGGCCTGCAGGGCTAGGCTGGATGCGCCTGGGGTCGTGGGAGTGCGGAACCGCAAAAATGCCGTGCCTCTACCTTGGGACACGCTGACCGGGGGGCAGAGTTTGTGAGGGGTGTTGTCCATTTGGGGTGCTGTCGTGGCCTAAGTTGGGGCCGTCGGCCGGGAATCAGGTAGCGCGGTGTCCACCTGGGGAGCCGAAGCCTGCGGAGCCGCGGGATGCACCGGTAGGGCGTCCGAGATGACCGTGTCCTCAGCTTCCGGCCTGGTTGGTTCGGGTGTAGGCGAGGAGTTCGGGGAAGGGTTTGGGGGAGAGTGTGAGGAATCATTTTGGCGGTCGGAAGCCACCTTCTTAGCCGCCCTGTATGCGGCGTTGCCTGCTTTCCTGACCGCCTTCCGTTGGTCCTCGGTGAGTTTTGAGTACTCTCCCCTGCCAGACCTTTGGCCTCGCGGGGCAGCTGTTGTGCCCGGGTTTGTATGGACCCAGAAAGTTCGGGCATTGCGGAATTACGAGGTGTTCCTTGTGGTTGTGGAGGAAAGCGCCGCACTCCGTGCAGCGGGCGCTGGAGCGGCCTTTGTCCTTGTGGTGGAAGCCGAGGCATCGCTCGCACGTGTAGATGCGCACCCTCCTCTTGAGCAGGATTGCTGGTCTGAGTCGAATAGCCTGGAAAGGGGGGGGGGGAGGAGGGGGAGACCTTGTGGCGTAGGATAACCAGGTAGATGCCAGGCGAGTCTTTGACTGCGTGGGCGCTCACCTCCTTCTGTTTGGTGACAGAAATGACCTCGTCGGCGATAGCGGGGTCGGTTGGACGGCGGCTACCGTCGTAGGCAAGGATGTATTCGGGGACATTCTTGACCAAGTACGCGTCGGTGATTGTCTCAGGTTCGATTGTGTACCAAGCCTCTTTGGCCTTGCGGGCGAGGGTCTCACGCAGGGAGCTCTTCGAAACTTCAATGCAGACGCTCGACTTGGCCGGATAGACTTTGGTGACACGTCCGCTCTGGGGAAGCCAATCTTTTCAACCAAGAGAATTATGATGCCAGCGGTGTCGCATTCCGCCAGTCGTGGCTGCTCCTGTCTACTCTCAAGAAACTACGAGATACTGTTTTCAAACGGGGTCAAACGCTATGAATTAACAGAAGGTAGTTGACAGCAACGAGCGTGTCGGTCGTAAGGGACACAGATCTGGCGATTTGACGATGTGTCCACTACAAGTCAGACCACATTTTGGTTTGCACTGCTCTTCCATGGGCGTTGGCTGCCTTGATCTTACGATTCATCTTGATCCCGCACCATCATGTAGGTTAGGCATATTGGCCGCAATTCTAAACCTCTCTCTGGCTCTCTCATCCCCAAGGGGCCTCTGGAGTCTACGGAAAAATCGTAATGTTGAAAACTCTTCGGTTAACAAACCTCCAAGGACATATCGACATATCCCACTATCTGGCCATCTTGATTTCTGTGATTTCATTCTTTCCTCCTAACTGAGGACACATCTCAGTCAGTCCCTTCACAGCGCTGGCTCCCTTCATCGTTTTCTCTTAAAAACATCATTCGCCCTCCAACCCTCTCAAATGCTGCTCTGTTAAATTTTATTATGCTCTCACCAAGGTATCACTGGTATCACTATGGTTGATCCTACTGGTATCGTTGGCGTCATTGAAGTGGCCGGTCAAGTCTTGGAATATACCTCCAAGTTTGATAGCAGCTGGACGGATGCTATGGAGGAGGCAAAAAGTTTCATTTTCGAAGTAGGGGCCCTTCGAACCACCCTACTACATGTCCATAACCTTCTCTCGGACCCGAAATTTGCAAACGCCTTGGAGAAAGATTCTTCAGCATTGCTTTCTGAGCTTGATCCCCTACACGACACGGACACCACTGTTCTCTTATCTATTTGTAAGGATGAACTACAAAGTTTGCTCACCAAGTTGAAAAAGCGGACAGATGGTCATAGGTTTGGATGGGAGTGCCTTAAGGCTGCACTTGATGGCGGGAAAGCGCGCGAAGCTGTCGAAAACCTCCACCGGCGATACCAAGCCTTGAATTTGCTTTTCTGGAACGATCAACTTGCCCTTCAAACCAAGGTACTTCAGCAACCCATTGGAATCCGAGATGACCTGCACCAAAACCATGGAACTCAAGTCCGGCAGCTTCAGTCCATTGAGCAACGAACCAATGCGGTGGCATCCGGTGTGCTCTCTATAAATCGAAAGGCACATACAGCCGAAGCTCTGCAAAAGCATGGAGAAATCCTTGACTGGCTTTCTTCGCTGGCTTCGGTGGACTATTCTCTACAACAAGCCGATTTCTTCCGCCAAAGACAAGAAGGAACTGATCAGTGGTTCCTTGAATCTCCTCAGTTCCAGGAATGGTATTTTCCCTGTTCTATTCTGTCCCATGGCTGCTGCTCTCCAAGCTAACCAGGTTACTAGGCTATCAAGAAAGCAGGTGATTCTCTTTTGCCCAGGCATGCCTGGTTCTGGAAAGACTATCCTTGTATCGATCGTCATCGATTATCTGCAAAGGAACTTGGGAGATCGTGACGTTGGCATCGCATACATATATTGTAACTTCCGGCGCATAGAGGACCAAACTGTGGAGCAGCTAATTGCCAATCTTGTAAAGCAACTACTCAGGAACAAGTGTCCGCCTCCAACCGCAGTCATGGATGCCTATAGTCGACATCAGAAGCATAGATCACTGCCATCGTTAGGTAATCTCGAGGAGATGTTCCATGCTGTTGCCACACTGTACAAGGATCCAGTCTTCATTATCATAGATGCACTGGATGAATGCCAAATGAGCGGCAATGTTCGTTCCAAGTTCATCGAAACACTCCTGAGTCTTCAATCCAGAGGAATTGATATCAACATCCTGGCCACATCGCGCCCTGTGCCTGATATTGTGGAAGCTTTTGATGGACACTCCTGTCTGGAGATAGCAGCCCAAAGAGACGACATTGAGCGATACTTGCGCAATAAGATGTCTGAATTGCCCGTTGTCTCAAAGTACCCGGACCTCCAACACGAGATCATCAGTTGCATCGCCAGTGTCGCAGATGGCATGTAAGTCATCGGTGGTTCATTGACCACGATTTGTTAATCTTTTTGAGCATATGCTTACTTACAAAATCAGATTCCTTCTCGCTCGCTTCTTCTTCGAGTCCCTGAAGGATAAAGTGAGCGCAAAGCTTATTCGCAAAACACTTAATGAGCTTCAGAACAACTCTAAGGAAAAGAAGTCGAAATATGCCCTATTATGCCGGGCATATAACGACGCAGTGGAGAGAATCAATGGGTAACCGGCTGGATACAAGGAGCTTGCCAACCACGTGCTATCCTGGATCATCTGTACCAAATATCCTCTCAAAACGATAGAAGTTCAGTATGAATGGGCTGTCAAGGATAGTGAGGACGAGCTTAATGAAACCGCAGTTCCTGATACCGAACATATGCTTTCGGCATGTTGCAGACTCGTTGTCATCGACAAAAAAAGCGAAATCATTCGACTTGTCCACTTTACGGGCCAGGAATATTTCCAGGATACTTTAAACCGCTGGTTTCCGAGAGCCCATTTTGATATTGCAAATACCTGCGTGTCATATCTTTCGTTTAAGGATTCTTCAGGTGGCCCTGTCAGGGCATACGAGAAGGCTCGTGAACAACTTTAAAAAAAACCTCTCTTCTCCTATGCGGTTGACTACTGGGGACATCATGCATCTGCGTGTTCCTTCTGCACTCCTCAGCTGCTTGACTTATTGACAAAGTCCGAATGGGTCAGTATGGTGGTACAACATTGTGACATCGCTTCCGAGGTCAGAAAGCGGTTTTGGCTTTCTTTTGAGGATTCGAGATCATCTCAGAATTCGTTTCACATGGTTGGTGTCTAGTGGCTTAAAAATTTAGTTAATACACTCCTTGCGTGTGCCCAGAATATTGATCCAAACCTACAAGATAGAAGAGGCCGAACACCGCTGAGTTGGGCGGCAGAGAAAGGCCATACGGAGGTTGTTAAAGCTCTGTTGTGTGGTGGCTGATTTGATCCAGACCGACAAGAAAAAGAGGCTGAACACAGCTGAGTTGGGCTGCAGGGAATGGTAATACCTAGATTGTTAAACTTTTTGCTGTCTAAAGCCCAAGCTAATCCAGGCCGACAAAACGGCCATGGCATAACGCTGCTAAGTTTTGCTGTATGGAATGGCCATGCAGAGGTTGTTAAAACTCTTATCTAATGGCCCAAGCTGTTTTGAATTTCGCAGATTATGATGGCAACACACCACTGGCATTCACTTCCCAGAAGACGTGGACATTGTCGATTTTTTTTCGACTCCACCAAAGTGAACAATATCCATACCGAAGAGCTTGTAAGGTTTGTTAGCAAGCTGCTTGCATCTGAAGCCTTTAGGGAAGCTTGTAAACTGCATGATGTATTTGTGTGATGACTCCGATTCATCTATCAGTTCTTTTCGGGGGGGGAAATGAGAAGACAAAGCGTGGGCTAGTGCATGGCGAAGTTCAGAGGCAAGTGAGAGCGATAAGACAACGGAGTTAGGCAATAGGGAGTCCTAGACTGTGTGCAGCCGACGAGTGATGAGTGCATATTCCAAGAAAGTGCGGCACTAGTCGATTCGAGCATGCGTCACAGGATTAGATTAGGTATGAAGGACTTCTCTTGGTTGTTCTTCTCCATAGCACAAGGACACTGAGGACCAAGAAAGTTTATTACACGTATCAATTGACTTTGTTGCGTACCCACATTATCAGTGGCTATCATCTAACCCATTTGACCTATTGTTCATCGCTGTACCTTACCAAGTTCCCCGTTGCATCAGATAGCGACTTGGATGACTAAGGTGAAGACACATGGTTGGTATTGACAAGACAATTCTCGAGGTATGAATATTTGTTCACTTCACTGACCAGGCCAACCAGTGCTGCAAAATGCAGAAAAGAACTTTCGCACTTAATCTAGCCTTATGGCACATGCTCGAATCAATCAATGCCGCACGTTCTTGTAATATGCACCCATCACTTGTCGGCCATACACGTCCATGCCTGCCTGTTGCCTACCTCTGCTGTTTTATCACACTCACTTGCCTCGGCACTTTCCCATGTACTATTTCATGATTCGTCCTCGCATTGGCACACCTTGAAACAATAACTACAGGAACAAGACTCATCACAAGAAATACATCATACAATCCGAAAACGTGCTAACTCTTGGCCTATTTCCGTCCGGTTATTTGAGATGATATACACCCCTTTCTGCAAGAAATCTGGGTTTACCCTTTTCATGAATCCTGCCCGGTCAACTGTCAGCAACCTTTCGCTCATCAGCTTATACAAGGTGAAATTATTCCAGGTACAAAAGCGCGAAGCTTCTCCAAACCGTTTCCAAGCAGCTTATAGACAAACCTTGCAAGGTCTTCGGTGCGGATATCGTTCTTTTTTCGGGGAGTCAAGAAACTCCTAAACAATATCCAGGTCTTTTGGCGGGATGAACGCCAGTGGTATGTGCCCAACACGATCTGCCTTAATTCGGATCAACTCGACCATCAGATAAGAGAGCTTTAACAACCTTTATATGACCATACTTTGCAGCCAAACTCAGCGGCGCTCAGCCTCCCTTGTCTTATCGGTTATGAATTAACTTGCCTATCAGATATAACAGAGTTCTAATTACCTCCGTAGAGCCCTTCCTTGCAGCCGGACTCAGCGACGCTTCACGGCAGTTGTTTTGTAGATCTGAATCAACTCGGTCATCAGATAATAGAATTTTAACACCCTTCGTATGGCCATACTCTACAACCCAACTCAGCGGCGTTCGGCCTTCCTTGTCTTTTTGGGCTGGATCAACATTCTGGGCACGCACAAGGAGTGCCTTGACTTTATCATTTATACCATAGACGCCAACTATGTGAAATGAATTCTGAGATGGCCTCAAATCTGCTCGAGGACCCCAAAACCGCTTCCTGAACTTGGAACAGATGCCACAAAGTTGTACCACCGTACTGATTCTGATTTGTCAGGCTGAGGTGGGGTCTAGTCATAGGACTCACTGTACGCGGGCATCAATACGCCCCACTTTTCTCTATTTTCCTATGTGTATATGCTATTGTTTTAGGTAGAGTGCCCATCAAAGGTTTCCACAATATCAGGTAGAGGGCGAGAGGTGGCCAGGAGGTCGACAATACTTTCTCTCGATTGAAGGCGCAGTAATGTTTCAATGAATATGGAACGAACAATGACGCTCATTTGGCACTCATCAAAAGCGCATCAACAATAACGAAGATCCCATCCTTGTGCAGTGCGGCAAAAGCATGGAACATCCCCTCGAGATCACTCAATGCTGGTTATGATCTATGATTCTTGTGTTGAAAATCGACACCCATGACCTAATGGCGGTGGAAACTTGGTCCTGATTAGTTGCTTTGCGAGGTCGGTAATGAGCTGCTCGACGGTTTGGTCGTCTACGCGCCAGAAGTCGCAGTATAAGCATGTAATGCCAACGTCACGGTCTCCCAGATTTCTTTGGAGACGATCGATGACGATCGATACAAGGATAGTTTTCCAGCACAAGGTATGCCGGGGCAGAAGGGAGTCACTAGCTTCCTTAACAGCCTGGTGGACTGATTAGCTTCAGGAAATAAGGATGAGCCAGGAGTATACCACTCCTGAAACTGAAGATATTCCAGACACAACTGTCCTGTATCTTCTTGTCTTTGGCGTAGAGAGTCGTCTTGTTGTTTTGAATAGTCTTCTTTGGACAGGGAAGAGAGCCGGTTGACGAATTTATGTACTCTTGCTCTTATGGCGTAAGTATCAGCTCAAGATCTGCCACAAGGCGATTACTCGCAAACAAGCTAGATCAAGGTTTGGACAAACCCGCTTGGTAGTGGTTAATCACCTGCGATCGAACGTAACCAAAATAACGTTCCCAGAACCAGTGTTCTGGATGCTACCATGATAGTGAACCTTGACGTTGTGGGTATTGTCAGGGGAGCCAGTGGTGTTAACAGCAGAATCAATGCTATCAGCGGCAGGGGAACCAAAGTTATTGACAGCAAGGGGATCAATGTTGTTGCCGGTCGCGGAACCAGTGTCGTTCATGGTGGGAGGGCTGCTGTTATCGAGAGCAAGGGCGCCAGTATCGACTCAGATAACACCAATATCTTCTGTTCAACCAGTACCGCTTAGGTCACCACAGCAGGACGTTTTAGAGAATTGGAGCTCTTTGAGTTATTTTTCTCCTTCAATCCGTGAGCATTATGTTCTGGTATCTAGTCAAAGCACGAGGATTTGTGGAGTTGTAACTCTTTCCCTAGGTTGAAGGACTTCGAAAGCTGGCTCTGTTCTAGTTGGATGTGCTCTCAACAATGGAGAAAGCAGGCACGATGGAAAGGAGATCAAGGAAAAAGAGTCATATAGACAGCTCGCTCGTATAGTAAGAGCGGTGGTAAAGAGGAAATCTAATATGAAACAAGACAAGTCAAATTCTTAACTCCCACGCGAACAAAATGTAAGATGGCCTATGGGGACGAAACAACCAGGAGAAGGCGTTCAAACGAGTGATACATACCCAAACGACCTGACATAATGACAATACGGGAGTAAGGCTGAGTCATACGCTCAGCATACTTCACTCCCGCGGCAGAGTTTCTTGTGCTTTGATTCGTGATAGCGCATCGACGCGGCACTGGAGCTGCACACCCCATACATAGCCTTATTTCGTTGGCTTGGCCTGCCGCCCGATATCAACCACAAGGCTACTCGCCAGGCCCTCCGAAAGGCCGTATAACTCTTGTGTCAGAGAAATGGCCGTTGGTCGAGGCTCAGCGTGGACAATCCTCACAGCATTTATAGAGAATCTGAGCGGTCATACCACGGTGATCAAAGATATCAATGTGGAAGAGCCGACATATTGATATCTAGCGACTAGCCGTGAGGTTGCAGGTCTGCAGTAAACTACATTGCTTATTAGACACTTATAAGTGGTAAGCAAGCGGTTGTGAGATACATGGGCGTTTATCGTAGCTAACGACAGCTTGTGACACTAGAGAGGCTTTCTCGTACTGTAAGACGAGTTAGACAAGTTTGGTGCTACTCTTGGACCTTGGGCATGGGAACTGTGGCCACCCAGCCCGAAAAGAGTGTGAGGAATTTCAGTAAAACTGTAGGCGGGCGTTGTAACTCATGTTACCTATAGGCTCTAAACCTCGATGTTGTAACGGTAGCCAGGAAAGAGCATCATGTGAACAGATGAAGGCCGCTCAGGTGCATAGGTTGGAGACTTACGAAAGAGCTAGGTGGCTCTGGTATCCTGCCTGCTAACGGCAGAGTCAACACTGCTTCAGGACGCGGGGCGCCAAGCCTAATTGAACCTAGCTAACTAGCCGGACGAGATGAACTATTTGTAGGTCAGGTCGAGATGGTCGTGGCGATTGCGAGCTCCGACAGGCGCCACAACCGATACCGATATAGCTCAGAAACTGCGGTTAATCCAAACAATACACACGCGGCCGTTGGATCCAGAATTAGCTTCATTTGCCTGAGGTATCGGACAGGTAATTCTTCCTACTGTTCAAGGGCCGCAGGTAGACTTATATAGCGAAGTTGCCTTGGCGTACACAGGAGGTTCACCACAGACGCAACCACGCGGACACGCTAAGCCCAGTCGGTGACCTCCGTTATGCACGAATTTTTCAGCCGCAGAAAGGAATATTTTGCATGATCGGCCATTGCATACATTTATCACAGGCCAGGTAGGACTGCACGCGTACCTATTATACCTCCCGAACACACGGGTTCTGATGGCGGACTGGGAATAAGCCGTGCCACTCAACGTCAAGCACCCAAGGTCCGCTCCGATTCGGAACCTTGGGCCATTCCGGCTAAGGATGATGCGATCTTAGCAAGATTAGCTCTCAACTGTGGCCCTAACACGTTAGCGCGATAACAGGGATTTGCTCTCAGGGATGGCCGTGCCTTGGCAGGGTCTCTGCCCCACCTTCCGGCCTTGGGGTCGAGACGCACCGTTGCTTCTGTCGTTCCCTCGCTTGTGACCTGCCTGCCGTAGTGGCAGCCTGGAACTGCAGCACGGCCCAAGCCGACCCAAGCTTTCCTTCACCAACAGGACAGCCGCTGCGTCATCACACAAGGATTCCCAGCCTTTCCACTCATAGTAATGCATTGCCAATCTCGCGCGCTCTGTCTCCGGACTCTTCGCCTTGCTGACGTGTTGAGAGTGTGCTCTTCATCAGCTAAAAAGGAGCTTGCTGACGCTAGATTTTTCTGGCGTCGAAATGCTTCGAGCTTCCTAGCGATTCTCTATTCTTCTGTGTCTCATCATCATTTTCTTCTCCCAGGACTTTTTGTTGGAAAAAATTACATTCTTTTTCCCCTAACCACGCCCACCTGCAACTCAGGACAAGACTACCCTTTGTCCATTCGCCCTCACCCAGTCGACTGTATCCTGAGGTTTTTTTGTTTTTTTTTTAAAAAAATCCAAGCGGGCCTCGCATCTTTGTCTTGTTCGCACCTTTCCCATTAAGAATCCCCATCTCTCCCGTTTCCCTCTGAATCTCCGAGTCTTAAGCCCGCGACATTGAAAAACAACCACAAAGCTGGCCCCACTTCCCAACAGTCACGCGGCTTTGACCCTCCCCGACGCAATCTTCCTCTGCTCGACCCCACGAAGCGGGCACCGCCCACCATGATGCGGCGATCGTCGCTCGAGCCCTCTGATGCAGTCGGAGAAATGCAGGACCCAAATCCCATGCCCGACAACACCGAGTCAATTGATCTTTCTCCCGACGACTCGCTCTCGTTGCCGCCGCCGCCGCCTGCCGACGACATGGACATCGAACTCTCCGACGTCGAGGCAGAGAAGCCCCGAGTACATCCCCCGCCGCCGCGGATCGCCGCACGCCTCATTTACCATCCAACCAGCCAGTCCCGACGCAGCAGCGCAGCCTCGTCCCGCCGCAATAGCATCTCATCTCGTTCCTCCCACGGCCACGGCCGCATCTCGGGCCCCCAATCCAAGTATGTCGCACAGCACCTGCGTCGCGTCGCGATTCTCGAAGATCGCAAGGCGCGGCTGGCCGACCGAGCCGCGCACGCAGAGAAGGTGCGGTTGCGCGCCGCGCTGGCCAAAGCAGCCGCTCGCAACAACGCCCTGAGCGAAGAGCGCGCACTGGCTGCGGCCCAGGCCCGCGAGCGCAACCTGGCCGAGATCGCTGCCGCTTGCGCAGAGGAAGTGCGGCGCGCCAAGGCGATCGCGGAGAGTATGAAGGAGAAGAGGGAGCAGGAGATGAGGAAGTTGCGTATGCAGATGGAGGAGAGGCTGGCCGAGGCCGAGAGGAGGAGGGAGGAGTTGCGGAATGCGAGGGCAAAGGGGAGGGAGCGTGGGCATAGTCTCGGCTCGAGAAAGCCCGCGTCCGTTGAGCCTACGCCGGAGGTTAAGGGGGAGGAGGTCAAGGCTCCTGAGAGGAGGAAGCCCATGACGCCAGAGGTCGCCGCTAGCAAGATCCAGTGGTATTGGCGGGCTAGGCAGCGGAAGCGGACTGTCGCGGAGTTTGCGGCGCTGGGCCTGTCGCTTGATGCGGTCCGGGAGACTTCGTTTGAGCAGGTCACGGTGCTGCTCTCGCAGGAGAGCGTGCTGATGCTCACAGCCCGGGTGCTTCGGATTTGTGGCCTCAACGAGGGCGCGCCGGGGTCTGTCGAGGAGATGGCCGCTGTCAGGTCCTTCCTCAGTGCCTTCTTGATCTTGGGTCACCCAGCCCAGGTTCTTAGCAACAAGGAGGAAAAGGATGACCCGGAGGATGACAGTCCGCCTGTGGCGCACCCTCTGCCCAAGGATAGCTTGGCCAACCCGCAATCGCAAGAGCTTGTGGGTAAGGCCAGGGACTTGCTGGTGTTGTTCGAGAATATCCTGGGTCGCTTGACTCCATTCAACAGCTACACGCCGCCGCCGAGGCTGCAGGCCTCGTTTCCCGAAGTCTACGCTACCTTCTACAACGCCTTGATCGCGTGGAAAGCGAGAGATTCTACCTCCTTGGTTGAGCTAATGGTGATGCAGTTCGTCGAGTTGGACGCTATCTGGGAGTCTGTCAAGGATACCACAGATGGCGAGGTCGACCAACTTTACAAGGAGAGTATTCGAAACAACCAGCTGCTCTTATTGGTGCGAATCAAGAAGCTTGCTGGCGCAGAAAGGGGCAAGAAGATGGTGGCAGATGCCGTGCGCAAGGCCCGCAAGGCGAGGGCGAAGAAGCCCGTCGGCGATACGAAGCCGCGTGTTGCAGAGCAAGCCGTCACGGAGACTGCCATGGGAGTGCTCGGAGTCGAGGAGACTCACCCTCACCCCGAGTCTAGCCGGCAACAGCAACCGACTCAGACCCTGACGCCCCCGGCGACTCCCAATCGGCATCGCGAGCCCTTCAAGGTCAGCATTGTCATTCCTACGGGGAAGAGTTTGCTGCCGGACAACCGGATCGTCGTCCATGAGCTTGCCCTCAACAAGGAGTTCCGGACTGAGCCACACGAGTACCATCAGCAACAGGAGCACATGCTCGCGCCGCTGTTCCAGGGGATGCGGGCGACGATGCAGTCAGGCGATCAGACGGCTCATTTTTTCCTTCTTCTCCGTGTCGCCGACATGATTCGGGAGAAGCTGCAACGTCTGGTCAGGCCGGGCAACTCCATGCATACAATGATTGGGGAGCTGCTCGACACGGAAATTGCCCAGCGCCAGTTCGCTATGGGCAGCTTTTCGTATGAGCGCTTCTTCCAGACTATGGGCGCCCTTCTTCCGAAACTCTGTGCGCCCGTTCGCGACGAAGAGGTCAAGAAGCTGGTCGAACAAAAGCTCAGCCAGGGCAGCTACGTCGACCGCCTTGAAGCTCTTAATGGCTTCGTCGACGTCATGCTCAGCGACTACGCAAACTACCTCCTCTCACTCGCCGCACCCAAACTCATCGAGCAGGCCCCAGCTTACGAAATGCGTGCCTTCGCGGCTGATCTTGAGGCCGGTCGGGTTACGTTGTCAGCCGCAACAAGGGCATGGCGTCTCGCGCGCAAGAAGCTTTTTGCCGAGACCACGCGGCGCGACCCAGAAGGCGTGAACCATCCCGGCTCGCGGCCCACGGCAAACCGGATTTACGCACAGCTGCTCGTCGACCTCTTCACCCAAGTCTCCCCCGTCGCCCGGGAAGATGTCCCCGAGATGTTACTGCTCGACTACAAGCGCGTCCTCGAAGCAGGGAAGCTCACTCGCCATGTCGTCACCACGGCAGCAATCCTGCTGCAATGCAAGAACCTTCTCAAGCGTGACGTCCGCGCGCCATGGAAGGCCGAGGCGGCGCGGATCATGGCTATCCTCGAACGGTGCGACGACCAGCCGGGTAAGATGACGGCCGAGGTTGCCGTCGAGGGGATCATGGCTGCGCTCGAGGCAGGTAGGTCCATGCCGTCTGCTACGAAGATGCAGTTGCGCGGCTTGGTCGGGAAGTTCCTCGCTGCGGGGAAGGAGGTGGCCTCCCCTCCTTCGACATCATCATCGTCTCAGGGTATTGGTGGTTCCGACCCCCGAGAGCCGGTTTTGAGACTCTTACTCGGCCGGTTGAGGAGTCATATGCTTGCACGACTGGGCGCGGCGTCGGCCACGGAAAAGGTCAAGGCGACCAGCACGGCGGGCGAGCGGCTCGCATCGCTGGGCTTGGCTGAGTTCGTGGATAAGGTCCGGGATATGGTGGATATGATGGGACGGGTGTCGGCTGTCGATCGGGATGCGCATGGGGTTTGGTGGGATAAAGTTGCTGAGGAGGTTGAGAGGGAAGCTCAGGAAGAAGCAACAGCAACACCGTGAGAGACAGGTATGGGAGGATAAGTCTTTGTTTTTTTTTTTTTTTTTTTTTCCCTGTGGGATGGGCGGATGGGTGGACTGGTTGCATATGGCTACGGGTATTTGGGCATTTCTTTTCATCACACACACACGGGAGGAAAGATTGCATGGTACCGGGCGGATTTGTTGAACATGGCTGGGTTTGCATGAGAGAATACCTCTCTGGCTACTTGATTGCTGTGGTTGACTTGACTTGACTCTGTCGAGTCTCGATGAGGGGCATATTCGTTGTTGAGCTTCTCAATTATTTTTTGCACATAGGTGGGGCGTTTGGTCTTGGCAGAAGCATCCGGATTCTCGGGTCTAAGGTGACTTGATGGATGCTGTTAGTTAGTTGTCTGTTTTCTTTTGTTGGAATTGTCATGACATCATTGATTCCTTGGTTAGGTAGGTGGTAGGTAGTTGGCGGGTTTCTTGCGCTCAGCGTTGGTTGTTTCAAGAGGCTTGAAGTGCTTGATGAGGTCAGCGGAGGGCCATTCGAGGCAATTCTAGTCCCGTATCCTTCAGTCTATTAATTTTTTTTTTATTGTTGGCTTAAGTAAGTAACGCATTGTTTTTTCGCATCGTCAATAGCAGACTTGACTTCCATTTTCCGCTCAGACTCTCCCGCGTATTACTGCATATTACTGTTTATTTTACTGTCGACGATGCCCCCAGATATTTCTCAGGTCCCGCCATTATCCGCTTGGACTCCCATCCGTTACCCCACCCAGCCCCGTCCACCACGCAACAGCGCGACCCCTCCTTCCTCTCCGTGTTTGAACCCCTCCATCACTCCTCCATAGAGCCTGTCCAAATCCAGAAGCTGCGAGTGATGAGCGGCTGCTGTAGCCCCTGCTGGTGTCGAGATTCCTATTCAGGTCCAAGCCAGGGCAAGGGCAATCAATTTGCATTACGCACTAGTTTTTTTTTTTTTTTTTTCCCTTTTCCACCCTCACGTCGGTGATCCATCAGCCCCATCTTTGTCACCAGCCTGCCTATCACGCAAATCCGGTGCGCCCTTCTGCAGCTTACAGCAGTGCTGTAAGGGACCACCTGCATTTACCCCATCTTGGGATTGCGAGACGCAACACAACGGGGATCTTGCTGTCCAATTACCGGTTGATCCAGCCCCGCGGATAGCTTGAAACCTTGGTTGGCAGCTCCTCGGCATCCCGTTGTCAGCACCTAACGCTGGGTCTCATCACGCACCACAGCCCAAGTCTCAAGTCTCCCAGTCCCGCAGCTGCCGCTGTTGGGAATTAACTGCCTTGTTGGTTGGTGCGTTTCCGCTCCACTGCAGTGACTTCAGTCCGAGGTCAAGTGGGGTGGGGTTTTGGCCAGGTGCTTGACCCCAGACTTGCAAAGTGGGAGCTTCGGGCGTTGGCGCGCAACCTGGCCCCTGACCTTCAGGGTTGCCTGGACCTGGAGCTTTGTCCCCTCCATCCCGTGTCCTGTCTTGGTCTCTGTCTGGCCTCTTTTTCATCCATCAAATGCCCTACCTCCCAGCTCCCACGTCGGCTGCCATTGTTCTTGCCAGAACACGGTTCTTAGCCTCGACGTGTGCGCGGTCCTCGAAGCTCCTGCGGACTCCTGCTGCTCTGCCTAAGAATTTCCCCAGGCTTATTTCAACCTCGCAATCGCGGGCTCCCCCCAGCCTGAGGTCTCTGTTGACTGCTGCTCCCCGCTCCAGACTCACTCTCCGCCGTCCTGTAGCTACTCCGTTATCTTCACTTCTTATCGTCCCCCGTCGCTGCTGCTCCCACACTTCATTCCAGCACAAGCGGGCCACCATGACGGACAGAGACATCCTCCCCGACTACTTCAAGCCGGTCCACTATGACCTGGTCATCCGCGACCTCGACTTCTCCAACTGGACCTACAAGGGCACCGTCCGGTGAGCATGAATCTGCGCTTGAGTGAATGTTTTTTTTTTTTATTTATTTACCTTTGCTGGGACCAACCGCTCATGACCACTCTGTGAAGGATCGACGGCCAGCTCCGCAAGAGCACCACGGAGATCGTCATCAACACCCTCGAGCTTAAGCTGCTTAGCGCCAAGGTTACCACAGGCGAGCAGTCATGGGACGCTACCGGCTTCGCCGAGGACACCAAGTCCCAGCGCTCGACTATCTCGTTCGCCGAGGCCCTGCCTGAGGCCCCTGAGGCGTCCCTGTCGATCGAGTTCACGGGCATCCTCAACCACGACATGGCTGGCTTCTACCGTAGCCAGTACAAGCCGGCTGCTCCCGCTGCTGCCAGCGTGCCTCGTGATGACGAGTTCCACTACATGTTCAGCACCCAGTTCGAGGCCTGTGATGCCCGTCGAGCGTTCCCATGCTTCGACGAACCCAACCTCAAGGCTACCTTCGACTTTGCCATTGAGATACCCGACGACCTAGTTGCCCTCTCGAACATGCCCGTCAAGGAGGAGACGCCAGTCGAGGGCAGCAAGAAGCTCGTCTCCTTCGAGCGCACTCCCATCATGAGCACCTATCTGCTCGCCTGGGCTGTCGGTGACTTCGAGTATGTCGAGGCATTCACCGAGCGTGAGTACAACGGCAAGAAGCTGCCTGTACGCGTGTACACCACCCGCGGCCTCAAGGAGCAGGGCCGGTGGGCTCTGGAGCATGCGCCGAAGATCATCGACTACTTCTCGGAGCAGTTCGAGATCGACTACCCCCTGCCCAAGAGCGATATCCTTGCTGTCCACGAGTTCACCCACGGTGCCATGGAGAACTGGGGATTGGTGACCTACCGCATGACTGCCATCCTGTTTGACGAGAAGCTGTCCGAAGCGCGCTTCCGCAACCGGATTGCTTATGTCGTCGCTCACGAGCTGGCTCACCAGTGGTTCGGCAACCTGGTCACCATGGACTGGTGGGATGAGCTGTGGCTCAACGAAGGTTTCGCTACCTGGGCTGGTTGGCTGGCGACCGACTACCTGCACCCCGACTGGGAGGTTTGGCCGCAATTCATCAACGAGGGCATGGACCAGGCCTTCCTGCTCGATTCCGTGCGCTCGTCGCACCCCATCCAAGTTGAGGTTCGCGATGCGCTTGACGTCAACCAGATCTTTGACAAGATCAGCTATCTCAAGGGCTGCTCCATGATTCGCATGCTTGCGTCCAACCTAGGCATCGAGACCTTCCTAAAGGGTATTGCCATCTATCTTAGGAGGCATGCCTACGGCAATGCCAAGACGAAGGCTCTGTGGGATGCTCTCAGCGAGGCTTCCGGCGTTGATGTCAACGCTCTCATGGAGCCCTGGATTGAGAAGGTTGGGTTCCCTGTCGTTACCGTGACAGAAGGCAACCAGCAGATCTCGGTCAAGCAGTCCCGCTTCCTGTCGACTGGCGATGTCAAGCCGGAGGATGACACGACCACCTGGTGGGTGCCGCTCGCTCTTAAGGGCAAGATTGGCAGCGAGGGCGTTGAGCCCCTGGCCCTGACCACCAAGGAGGCTACCATCGAGGGCGTCAGTAATGAGTTCTACCAGCTTAATGCTGGCGCTACCGGCTTCTACCGTGTCAATTACCCTGAGGCTCGGCTCAAGGTTCTGGGCACCCAGCTGGAGCACCTCACAACCGAGGACAAGATCTTCATCACCGGTTCTGCTGCCGATCTGGCCTTCTCTGGCTATGCCACCACTGGTGCTCTGCTGGGCTTCATCCAGGGCCTTAAGAATGAGACTCACTACCGTGTTCTCAGCCAGGCCCTCGATGCTCTTGGTACCCTGAAATCCATCTTTGGTGATGACGAGCAGACCAAGAAGGGCCTGGAGAAGTTCACGCTTGAGCTGATCGACAAGGCCCTCAAGCAGGTCGGTTGGGAGGGTCCCAAGGGCGAAGACTTCAACACCAGCCTGCTGCGCAAGCGCCTGTTGTTGACTGCTGTTGCTAACGGCCATGAGGAGTAAGTCCCCCCCTTTCTGCAGCACTCTCTCTCTCTCTCTCTCTCTCTCATATATGTATGCCGTTTAACACTTTACAGGGTCGCTGCTAAGGCTTACGAGCGCTGGACTGCCTACCAAGCGAACCCGACCGAGAACCCCATCCCAGCCGACCTCCGTTCGCCTGTCTACCGTGCCGCTATCCGCAAGGACCCCGCCGCTGCTGTCGCCGGCCTGAAGAAGGAGTGGTTCACCACTCCCGCCATCGACGGCAAGGAGATCTGCCTGCAGGCTCTTGGCCACGTCCACGACGAGACTGTCATCAAGAATGTCCTGCTGCCCTTCTTGTTCAACATCTCCCCTCCTGTTCATCCTTCGGAGTCCGTCCCTCCTGCGGATATGCACATCCTTGCCGGCAACCTCGCCGGCAACCGGAATGCCCGCCACCATTTGTGGGCTTATCTCCGGGATAACTGGGATCAGTTCAATGCTAAGCTGGGCGGCAACCCCATCTTGGTTGATCGTATGATCAGCGTCAGCTTGCCCAAGTTCACGGATATTGAGACGCTCCAGGACATTGAAAAGTTCTTTGAGGGAGTTAGCACCAAAGGCTTCGATCGGACACTGGAGCAAGTCAAGGATAAGATCCGCGGACGGGTGGCCTATAAGTTGAGGGATGCGGAGGGCGTTAGGGCGTGGTTGGTTGAGAATAGGTATGCATGAGCAGGTTTATGTGTGTAGATACGTGATATGTATATGCTAGGTATGCAATGTGAATGGCCACTTTTGTGTTATACTATCTCTCTTGTGGGCTCGGTTGAGACTTGCCCGTGGTGGCATTGAACAGCATAGTTGATAAATAATTATTGCTATTTGGTTCCTCCCAAAGGCTCGAGGAACTTGCTGTGTTAATATCTTACTAGTAGTCAGCATTCATTCCAATTCCCGTTTTACTGGTACAGTCTCCTCTCGATGCTGATATCTCGTCTTGCCCATGAGCCCGGGAACTTCACCTAGATCCCATGCGAAGCGGGATCGCAGTTAAAGAACGTCCCCCAAGTCATGATATCGTTCTGAGGCCACTCGAGCTTCCACTCCATCCTGTCAGGCTTGCCGCGATAGGTTCCGTTCGCAAAGATCTGAATCTCAGGTCTATTTTGAGTTCCTAGTGTCAGCTTCTCTACTTCCCCTTGCTTCTCCCCCCCACCCTTCCTCTTCCCAAAAAAAAAAAATCCAACTTCTGGAACTTACAACCCCGTTAAATTTTTTGAATCTTGCTTCACCACAATCTCCAACCTGGCCATGAAATTCTTTGTTCCCGGAATTGTGATATTCACGCCTTGCCCTAGCCCCCCCAGCCGTGTCCTTGCCCACAAGAGGCGGCTGAAGTCGTGGTTCAGCAAGAGGAGTTGGTAGGGAGTCTTGCCGTTTGTGGCAGTGCTTAGGTTCTGCGGGGTCTGTCCGATCAGGTTGCAGTGGTGCGAGTCTGGGGCATCAGGGAAGCCGTAACACCAGGCGCACCAGCGGTTGGAGTGGTAGGTTTGCGGGGGTGGTCCGCTAGAGTCTGTGGATTGAGGGGAGGGGAGGGTAAGGGCTGAGGTCCCTGAGAGGGGGAGGTAGAAGAGAAGGAAGAGGGTCAGTAAAAGGTTCATTCTCGTGGTTGTCTGGTAAGCAGGGTTATGATCGGAGGGTGTTGGTGTTTCAATCCATGGCTTGATGGAGAGAGGATGGGAGGGGAAAGGGTGAGGATGATAGATATAAATAGGGATGTAGTGGGCAGGTTGATGGTTGCGGTCTGATATACCTTGAGGGAGATTCTTTGGTGGTGCGGATAAGGCTGGTAGTTCATTGTGGGATGTGGCAGTCCCCTATAAAGACTCTTTAGTAATATCCACACTCCTTTGTTTTCTCATCGGATGGATAGGAAAACAACCTTGAGTGCTGCACTGTTCAGTACTTGTTATGCCTGGGTTTGACATTTTCCAATCAAAGAGACTACCAGAAAACGCTCGTTATATACTAGGCAGTGATAAGATAATCCATTGATGATATTTTCTCCTTACAACTCATTGACTCAACCTTTCACTAAGCTTCTCGTTAAGGTAACCACGGAGCATCGAGTTGCACGGATGATGAAGGTTACAATCTCCAGGATGGATGGTAGTGGGTATACTCATCTAACCCTAGGAAGGAATCATGAGTTTTCCCCCTGGAATCACAAGTTACAATGGCATAACCCTGACCTGATAATAAAAGATGCCCCTTGTAGTGGGGCACCCTCCACGTGAGCACGCGCGACTATTGTCCATTTCTACCACCAAGTCAGCTCGCGCTCTTTGATGAACGTGTTTTCCTGAGACCCGCCAAAGGCAAGCAATTGACCGACCGGCCATTTCGATCTTGAGGCGCATAGGCATCCGAGTGCAGCCGCACTAGAGATTCAGCAAAGATGCCGTCCTTGATGTCTCTCCTAATGTAGTCCTCCTCGCAATCTGCAGGAGGTCTATCCTGAGTATTTCATACAACCGGATTTGATGTCAAGAACGCGCAGCGGGAGAGTCCGGTGATCCATGTCCCTCTTCTCCACGTCTGTTACATGGATTTTGACAATCAGCGTTGCCATCCACGGACATCCATATCCTCAGCCATTCGACCTCCATGATGTGAGCGATTTTCGATTACAAGCGATTGCGAAATTGATTGTTGTCGGTCAACATCTAAACATGTTGTGGGTCTGGGACCCGAGCACCCGCAGTGATCTCACAGAGTTGATGATGGCAGTTCAACACCTCAATATTTCAGCGATCAAGACGCTACTGCGTGCTGGAGAAAATATCCACGCTAGGAACTTTATGGAACAAAATATGCAGATGATAGCGGTTGCTCAGTTTCCTGCGGGTGTTAACTACTTGCCCGAGGATGATGAGCTCATTTACTGGAACGACTGAGGTGTTGCCCCTCTGAGTGTTTGGCGTCTTTTATCTTTGATGACTACCCAAAGAGATCAACCACAGTAAAACCCCTCCGGATTTCCTGTCAACGGATAAGATGCGAACGGATCGCTGTTCTGCAGCATCTCTTCCATGGGCACTTTGATCCATCCGCACAGATCGACCCTCAGTCGATAGCACAAATCCTCCGCACGTTACTCGCAAACAGAGCATATTTCTCCTCAAGAATCACGCTGGTGAAACCTCATACATCAACGCTCTTCGGTTTTTAGTTGTCTCTACGCTTTAGATATCATCGAACAACAAAGCCGTGTACCTCTCTATATTAGCTCCTCCCAGTTAGCGATATCTTTCAATTTCATCGAACTAGCAGCCCCAGATCTGTTAGATATTTCAATCTCCAGACAGCATTTACAGTCTCGATGAGGGGCCAGGTAGGCTGACTGAACGACTACTGGACATGTGCGACGCACAGCGGTTACTTTCACACCCAGACTTTGCTGCCTTCTATCTACAAGATGACAAAGGAGAATTTCTGCTGTTCGTTCGGATTCTCGATATGCTCATCCAAAAACACTCCTCCAGCCACTTCCCAACAAAACCAAAGTGGCATATCTGCGCAAAACTATAGTTTTAAACCGATGAGCAACTGTCCGGGGTCTTTTCGTAGAGTTAAATGTCGATAATGTATCTTCTCCCAATGATAAGAGAGCAATAGCCCTTCTAAACTCATCAGTCTTACGTTCTGTGCCCAAACTATTTATCAAATGGATTCATGATATGGGAGTTGATGCGTGTTGCGGGGGATTCGTCGGTATCTGGGCAATAAGGAACGCTACTGGCAGCTACTCTTTGACACGTCATGCCATTTCGTTGAGCACAAGCTGCGGAAGCAACCCCTACCATTTCATTCTCAAGAAAAGCCATCTATTTACGGCTAGCGCTTGATGTTTTTATCAAGAGAGTCCCCAGTTGCGAACATGAGGAGTACATGGATGAATCTCGCCCAGCACAGAGGTGCCTTCAAGCTCTTTTGGAAGCCGGAGCTGACCCTGCAACCATGGGGACATATCCTCGGGACCCCCTGCCCTATTTGCCCTGTCAGACGGAATGATCAAGCATGTATCAATTGTTGCAAACACACTGCATTTGCTTCAAACCTCTCAGTCGCGGTGTTTACATTCATCGAGAAGACATCACGAGTAGGTCTGTTGTTGCTTATATGGAAAGGCTATTTGCTAATGCCATAGGAAGGTTCGAGAACAAGATTACGCGGTGGGTGCAGTTAGTTGAGACTCAAGTTGGCAATAAGAACATCCAATGGCTGAAGTAAATAACTGATATTTCTGGGTGTCATATGCTTGGTGTATAACTGCCTCAGATTCTACCCGTAATGCCCAATCTAATCCTTCGACTCTGCTACACATGCTAAGAGGGCGAATATCAGTCCATCCAAGGCGCCCAATCCCCACAGCACGACTGCACAGACCGCGTGGCCAGCTACAATGAACACTTCAATCATGAGCAAGGGAACGTACAACAGACTTCTGTACCTCAGCACCAACATGACTCCAGAAGATGCCGCCATAATCGCCAGCAACAGACTTGGCCTGCCCCTCACAGCACCTCGTAGAGCAAGGGTCACTACCGGGATGATTGCGGTAACAAGGTAATGCCCTACAACTAGGAGCGCAAGTATGGCGTTGAGAGTGACATTCAGCCAGGCCCAGCCCCAGTCCTTGGTGAAAGGGGATAAGATATCGTCTCTCAATGCAGCCCAAAGAGCTGTTGCGCTTTCGGGGGCGTATGGGCCAAGAACGAGCTGTTTGAGAGCAACAATCCAGCAGGCAGCTGCCATGCAGCGGGTGAAGATGAACTCGAGTGTTGACAGTGCCCAGATGATGGGCACCACTCGTAGCACACCCGCTGCTGTCTTCTTCTCTCTTGCTAAAAGTCTTGTTGCTTTATAGGGTGATTTCCAATCTTGTTTCTCTGCATGAACCTGTGCGACGGATGGGGTATTTTCTCCCTTGACTCCAACGCCAGCCCCCATATCCCAAATCCCCTTCACCAAGTACCCAGCCACAGTCCTCAGAAACATTTGTTTCCCACATGATTTGGACTGCAACTGTTCAAAGACAAATACATCTGCCCTCTGAAGGGCTAAGCGTAAGTCTTCCAGTGAGGATCCGTGGAAGGGAAGCTGCTGGGCCAGACCCGAGCCCGGGAGAAGACTGGGTAAGAGCATGCAAAGGATGTGATGGAGTAGGATGGCCAAGATGACGTCTGTGAGAGCAAAGATGGGTCTATCAAGAGTTCTGGATGGACTTATCCTTGGCCATTTCCAAGTCAATCCTTGGAAGAGACGGGAGAAGTGACTGCGAACGGTTTCTGGTAGGATAGCCACAAGTATGGACAGGAGAACCTCCAGTCTAGGAGTCGTCCTAACCAGAGTTTCGGGCATCGAGGGGAGGGATGGCCCATCCGACGCACTCACTGGACAATTATCTGGATAATGCTGGAAAACGGGTCCCAACTCTGAGTTTTGATTATCGTTACTCCATGATCGGATGGATAGGAAGTTCTGGGCGGCGTTGACAATTCCTCGTAAGGGTGAGAAGCGAAGATTATCGTCAAGTTTTTCTGTAGCATGTTGTCGCAAAGACCTTCGTGCGGCCCTTCGCTTTGAACGAGCTGCTGGACGTCTGGTAGTCATGTTGTCGTTCTCGTCACATAAGTGAGACACAAGCGAGAAAGCTGCATTGATGTCCTCCTCCTCAACAGCACAGATATTGATGGTTGCTAAATGATATTGGCCATCGCCAATAGCTCTAAATACAACGCATTTAGCAAATCTGCAGTTGATGATATGTGATCTCGACGGTTAAACACTAAAACAGAAAAGTATGCTTCTCCTTACTGACGGTGAAGGGTAGGACAAACAGGTTCTCAACTGCCGGATATGCAGATGATATCACCATTCGGATGAAGCTCAAGCGAAGATGCTACATTGCGGCTAATCCCCAGCATTAGCTCGACTTCCTCATCTCAAGTTGACAATGCTACCACTCCATCAAGCGCGAGCAATATGGAACATTTTGACCTGAGCATCTTGCCATGGACCGGTTAGCGGCGTACAAGCTTACCAAAGCATCCATCGACCCGGAATCTGGTCACACGGCAGTTATTTGCTGGATTGCGGTCTGGGGGTAATATATAGCAATTTAGCGATATCAAACCAAAAGTTTCTTCCCGCCATTGTAATAAATGCCGGCGTCATTGCCTAAATGAAGCGGCTTGGGTTTCGTGGATCGGGTCAAAGGGAGCCCCCCCCCCCCTCCATCCCCCCGCCTTCCCCGTCAGACGTGGAGATCAGGGTTAGGGGCGATTATGACATTGCCAGCAGAAAGCAACACCGGAGGATGCATGAACAGGACGAGATGAAGAGATGGCTGTGGCTAGCCGAATGTACCCTCTCTCTTCGCTGTGTAAGTATGTGTGCGCTATGTACACGTTATTGCTATGTACAAGGATCGGTGGTGCAACGACACCAACCGCATTCGCTTCATCTGCCAGCCAACCCAATCATCCCTCTCTCTCTCCTGAGAGAAGCCAAGCTGCTGCCGCAGCAGTCCTTATGAAGCTAAATACAGACCCAACCGAAAAAGGAAAACAGAAAACACGAGATGCCAGTGTAAAATATCGAAGCACAAAAAAAGGGGGACTAGGATGACGAATCCTCCGCTTCCTGCGGGTCTCTCCACATCGCCGTCCACCGCACAGACCATTCACAGAGCAAGAAGGAAGCTGGGACATCAAAAGGAAAGAGAACAACGAAAGGAAATCACAACCGCGATGCACGCAAAAGCCATGATCCATGGCACTCACGCAGAAGCGGAGACTGGGGAAGAGCAAAAAGAGCAGAGGGGGTATGACAACGCCGACGTTGACGTGTATGTCCGTCCGGTCCGGTCTCCTCTATGAAACAAGATAATATGTGTGGTAATAGTAGATAGAAGGTAGATGGTAGGTAGATATCTGAAGTAATTGGAACCGATCAAGGTGATGATGTGCCGAAAACACAGAACCGAAGAAAAAGTTGTCAAACACAAAAACACAACCCAGCCGTTCCTTCCCATCCACGCACCTGCCTCCTGTAAACCAATGCCAATTCCTCACACACACACAAAAAAAAGGGAAGCCATTGTCACCTGCTGTTGCCGTCTTCCTCTTTCTGTTCAGTTTGCTCCTTTTCCTGCTCGATCTCTTTCCCTTTTTCCTCAGGCAGCTCTGCTGATTTGCCATCGTCTGTCCGAGGTTTGTCCTCTTCCTGATTCGGCTGCTCCTGCTGCTGCTTCTCCCTATTCTCCGTCACTTCGTCCTCTTTCTCAGTCTTGATCTCGACCTGCTTGCCCTTTTCCTCAGATGACACCTCCTGCTGCGCCAAGCTCTTTCCCCTCTCCTCGCTCGCGTGCCTCTTCTGCCCACGCTCGGCATCTCTCCTCCCATCATCCTGCGCATGCCGTTTCTGCGCCCGATGAACGCCCTTGGCACGGTTCTTGGGCATGTAGAAGTCGTACCGGTCGGGGAACAAGATGATGTTGGCCAACCGGGCGACTTCGGCTTCAGCGCGAGTCATGGACGGCGGGAGGATGGAGGCCATTGTGGCTGTCGCCGGCGGTGTGGGCGTTTGTGTGGAGGGTTTGGGTTGGGCATCGGACGAACCCGTTTCACCATCAACCTTCTTGCCATCAGTGGAAGAGCCTGCCGAGCCGGGCGTCGAGGCGTCCTTCATCTCGACATCACCGTCAGTTGTGGCGCTGGAGCTGGAGGAGGCGCTGTCGCCATCGGCAGGAGGAGTGGGCGCAACATCGAACGGCGCCAAGCCCATCGCTTGCAATCCAGCCGGACCGCCAACCTCTGCGATATCCGTCTCCGTCGGCCTGCCGATGTGTGTCGCCTCACTGCCGAGACCAGAGCCGGTCGAATCGAAGTCTGGTGAAGGGTGGCCGCGATGGAAGGTCTTGCGCTGCCGAGCAAGATACAGGGCATTCGTCTGCGTAAGGGGAGCAGCAGGAACGTAGACCAGGATGGAAACGGGACGAGAAGGTGGGCGATCAGGGTCCTCTTCGGGCGGTGGCGTCGGAGCGCGAGATGCCATGAGGTTCGGGTTGTTAGAGGTGATGTGATAGGCGATGTCGGGATGCCAAACGATATAATCGCCGGTCTGCAAGGACGGGAGAGTGACGAGAGTACGACGAAGATGCAGGTGGGGGTGCCAAAGCTCAGTCAGACGCTGAGCGTGGCCAGGGACAGCGCCGTGAATGATAGTCGAAGGGTTACGCTCAAAGACCCAATTGGACGGGTCGAGGAAGGCCTCCCATTCGGGGCCCTCACGACGCTCAGGAGCCTTCGTCTTTGGAGTGAAGAACGGCCGCAGCAGGAAGTAAGCTGTGGCAAGCTTCGGGCTGGGTAACAAGCGGATGAGGCCCGGCTCAATGGGGCTGAGCGCGATGACGCCCTGGTACATACGGAAAATGCTGCAAGCACCGTGTCCGTTGTAAAGGTCGGGAGTGGCATTGAGTCGCGAAGTCGGGTCCCACGGGTTGTACTTTTCCCACTCACCGCGGAAGATGGCCGAATACGTGCCCCAGCGGCCGTAACCGTCGGGCTCCCACCGCTCCAAGCTACCGCTATCGACTTGTGCGATGACGGTCGACGAGGTGAAGTCTCCGAGCAGCTCGGCGGCGGCCTTCTGGGCATCGACCTCGTCATCAGCGTCCGGGGTGTTAGTCTCGGTGCCGGCTTCGCCGTCCTCATCTCCATCCTTCATCTCTTCGTCCTTGTCGGTGGCCGCGTCGGGGCCGACGTTGCCAATGTTGGCGCCGTGAATGCGCAGACGGTCGGCATATGCGATAGGGAAGCGAATTGCCATGCGGTCGTCGTCGCTGTTGTCCCAGAGAGACATGACGAAGCGCTGAGCCTCGAGAACGCGGGGATGGGCACGCGTCCGGACTTGGGCCGGGGTCCAGAAGAAGTCGAAGCAGGTCGGGTCCTGCGGCGACGGTTTTTTGTAGTCGGTCTGCTTTTCGAGATACTTGACGGTTTCGTCAATGGCCTTTTGCGCGTCGGCCTTGGGCACGACGCCACGGATCAGGCCCAGACCATAGCGCTTGAGTTCGCGCTGGAAGGCTGCCCTCGCGTCGGGGTTGTGGATGTCGGCAAAGTCAATACTCGGGGTCAGGCTAGAGCCGCGTGACGCGATATCCTCGACATCGTCGCGCAGGGCCTTGAGCAGCCGGGCCCACGACGCTTCGATCTCGGCCTCGCGGCCCTCGACTAAGCTGCGCTTGATGTGCGCGAAGCGTGAGGGCAGCGGCACGGGTTCCTTCCCGTAGAAGGAGAGCACGGGCGGCTCCATGGAGGGGTTGCTGGCGTCAGTGTCGGTGCTGCTGCCGGTAGCAGGCCGGATGGCGTGGCCGTTGCCGTTGTGCAAGTTCGACGACGACGACGGGGATGAGGAAGTCGGGGGAGTAGAAAAAGCCGAAGCGGAATTGGAGACTGAGGCTGAGGTGGCATTTGTATAACTGGGAGGATTGGTGGTCTGGGCACTCCCAGGGCCGTTCCAGGCGCGGAACTTCAGCCTGGTGATCCTGCGGGGTCGCGCGTGAGCTGCAGCAGTAACGGCTGCACCAGCGTGCGGGTGCAGGGACGCCGGGGCGGCGGAGCTAAGCATTCCGCTGGGAATTGCCTGGCCAGCAGGCCCGACGGCAGAATGCCCATGTCCGCCACCAGCCCCCGAATGGCTGGGCGTAAAGCCGTGGCTATGTCCAGAAGAGGGAGGAGGATGATAGCAGGCTGTGCGCCGGCGCCCGCATTGGCTGCACCGTGGCCGCGGCTCGAGGCCCCTGCCATGGCCCGTGCTTGTGCTGCTGCTGGCGTTGCTCGTGCCAGTGGTGATGGTAGTCTTGGGGTTCAGAACGCCGGCTGTTGCCAGCAGGCTGGCGCTGACAATGGTGCCAGTTCCCGTTGTGGATGGTGCTGGCGCTGGTTTTAGTGGGGACGTCAGGCCTGCTGCTGCTGCTGCTGCTGCTGCTGCCGCCGCCCCTGCCCTTGTCCTTGGCTCCGTCGCTGTCGCCGGTCCTGTCATTTTGCTGATATCAACTCCAGGAATTGACGGTACTGATCTTGGTGTTGCTGATGATATCGATGATGTTGAGTCTGTTGTCGCTGCTACGGTCGAACGTGTTGACGCCCTCGTCGATCTCGAGATGGCGCCGCGAACTGATCCTGTCATCCTTTTCCAGACCTGCTAACAACCATCGAGTCCTGTGCAGTAGTTGGTCGGAATCGCACCGCATCGGGGTGTTGATCGGGTCGTCAAGCAGGGTAGGTGGTGCTGGCAGTGGCCTTTTTCTTTGTGAGCTCCTGGAGAAACTTCGGGCCAACTGTTCGAGCAACCAAGCACGTCAATCGAGTCTGGTCCCACGCTGCGATCCCCCTGTAGCAATGCGGCCGTGTTGTCGCTGGTGCCGGTGTTAGGCAATGCTGGATCGGAGATAACAATTATCAAATGGCCAGCTTCGTGTTGTAGTGTTGGTTGGTGTGTGTGTGTGTGTGCAAGTCGTCAAGGGTGTGCGATCAAAAATGTCGTCGGTGTGTGCCAAACTGTTAACCGTCTGCTGCTTTCGCCCTCAACTCTTTAGGTCTTTCTCGCTTCTTCCTCTCAACAACCCTCCTCTTCTCAAACACTCGTCCTTGCAAAAAGGTCGAAAAGGCAAACAAACAACAAACCTCCAGGACTCAAGGGGGGAGCGAGGTGCCGGGCTGCAGCGCCCTTGATAAGCGCTGTGGGAAGACCCCCAAGCAAGCAGCAGTGGAGCCTGTTGGGAATTGAGTGCGAGTCTCTCGGTGCAAAAAGTGAAATAGTAAGAGAAAGAAGGCTCAGACCATGCAAGAGAGCGAGCGAGCGAGCCGTTTCCTATCGATGATACTAGGTTGCTTTTCAGGTTGCTGCTCCCGTGTTTCCCGTCCGTTCCAACCTAACCTAGCAGCCGGGCCTGGTCTCCTGGCGGTATGTATGTGCCGGCGGCGGCGGCAGCGGCAGCGGCTGGGCTGGGTGTGGCTGCAGCAGAACAGGAAGCCAAAAAAAAAGTCGTCAAAAGGCGAACCAAAAGGGACTTCCTTTCTTTCAGGGAGAGGGGCTGTAAGCCGGGACCCGGGGACGACGAGGTGTGAAATATAAAGACATGGCATATGGATGGATCTACTACCTACGACGCCGGCCCCTCGCCCTCACTACCTAAGGTACCTACTCTCGGCCTCTTTGGATGGAGACATCGGGAAAAAGCTCCCAGCAAGCTGCCGTCGCTTCGGCGATCTCCTTGCCTTGTTGTAATGCATCCGTATGTACGGAGCGACAGGTCAAAGGTAAGTCAAAACGGTAATGTGCCTATCTAAGTCCAGTCCTTCTATCCGGCAACGAATCCTGGGCTTGGATCCTCTTTTTGTTCAGTTAAGGGCAAGGGTTAGCCGGACATGGGTTGGATGGAGCCTTCTGTTCTTTTAACTCTCGATGGGGGATGGGGGCGTTTAGTTTCAATCTTCTGTTTTAGGCAGAATGCGGTGGCCTTTTTTTGCGAGGAAGCGAGCGGCCGAGCGAGAAGAGAGATCAAACATTGCGCTCACTCTTTTTGCTGCAGCCGTTTCTGCTGCGCGGCGGCGCGGCGCGGCGGTTTGTTTGGCCTGGTGGCCCCAGTTTTCATGGAGCTCCGGGCCTTTGGGCCCCCCCCGTTTGTTCGGAACGGCCATGCCTGCTCGCCAACGAGAAAAGCCGCGGTTTTTCCGAGAAATATTACGCAGTTTCTTACGACTTTCCACTTACAAGCACACACCTTCGGTGCAAAAAGTGGCTCTCGTCTGGACGAAATGATTGGAATTGGATGTCGGCGTTTGTCTTTCCGCGCCTGCGCACGAGGGTACGTATCCGTACCTAGGTATGCTACGTGCGCCGGTAGTAGTAGGGCTAGCTTAGCTGCTTCCATTGCCTGCCCGCCTGCCTGCCAGACAAGGGTAGACCAAACGAGATGGGGCTCGAGTCTGTATGGAAGTCACGATCTGTGACAATGGGGCTGTGGGCCGCTGGTCGGTATCTTGGGGGATTGATGGAACCCTTGATCTGGAGATAGGAGACAGGACAACGTGGATTGGTGGACCAGTTGGCCAAACCCACTCGATGGAGATCCACGACGATAGGCACAACACAGCCGTCGCAAGTGTTCATTCAGAGACAAGCCGACAGCCAACATCGCCATCGCTCGTCATCACGGCCAGCCGACGGCAGTGTCGGGATCGGTATGGTTGGTGCGGAATCCGGAGGACAGGCGGGACGGGAGGTGTTGGACGTCGTCGAGTGGCCGTCTCATTGGCTCCTTCTAGGTTCCTTCGCATTGCCATTGCCTCGTTGCGAGGGCACATCAAACCGCCCATTGGGCCCGGCTCCCGGCTGCTCACTCTGCAATCTGGCTGGGGGCCCGCTAGGGGTGTTCGTTTATTCTGCCCGCTGACCCGTGGGGAGCTCTGCCGAGAGACAATGCGACCGTCCATTGCAGAACGTGGGTGTGAGTGAGGGCCAAAGTGGGCGCGCGGGAGCGTGGGAGCGCAACAGTGGAATGTGAGATGACATGGCATAGCATGCCCGGCATGGATGGGGTAGTGGGACGCAACAGGTACGGGGAGGAACGCATCTGCATCTTGAGAGGCTGATGTGTCCCAGAACGGAAGGGCAAGACGAGAAGTTCGATATGGGGTCGTGGCAAGGTACAAAACCTTTGGACGAACTCTGGAAAACGACTGGAACGAGGACTTGGACACGCTGGTGGGGAAAGAATGTCATGCGCGGCTTTGTCGTGGCTTTGTTGTGTCCAGCCGGCGTGCCTTTTGGCCATAGCTGATGGTAAATGGAGCGCGATGGTGGAAGACGCCGTCAACGACTTCCAAAAACCAAAACTGCGGAAGATGCGGCTAGCTTGCGGTAATGATACAGTAAACGACGCCGCCAAGCCAGCTGTCCCAGCGTAATGCGAATTCGCATCTCTAGATAGACCCACTCGACCCCAGTGGCGCCGGACAATTTGGGGCGCTGGGCCATGCAAGAAAGCTTGGCCTCCCCCCATTGGTCCCAACCGCCCGCAGTGGGGCCCCGTCGGAACCGCTGCTCCGCATCTCCTGAAGCAGGTGGCACCCGCCAGCCGCCTTCCGGCCCGCGATTCCAAGGTTTTTGGGAAGTTTCGACGTCCCAAGGCCTGGGTACGCCCACGGCAGCCCCAGAGAGCCCCAGGACCCACGCAGCAAAGTTGCCCTAGCGCCACCCTTCCCGGTAAATCAACTTGCCAGCGGCCCACACACAACCAAACAACGAGAGGAGGAGCAACGGACGCTGCCATAGCTGCTTGCCATGCTGAATTGCTGGGCGTTTTGGGTGGATGTTACACCACACGCCGCCGATCAGTGAAATTTCCGAATGACGGCACGCCGGCTGGGCGGGTAGCTTTGCTGGTGTCCCAGGTCCCGAGTGGTGCCAGTGCCAGACTGGGCTGCCCGCAGCCCGTATTTTGCTGGAAATCGGATCTTGTTCACAGCCGATCATCTATCTACCTGTGATAGATCTGGGGCACGCCGCGATGCCCGTGATCCAGCAAACACATACTTACCTCTCTACACCGTTTTTCGTCATCCTTCTCTCGGTCAATTCTGGTGCCGCCGGCCCTTCTTGGGGTCCTGCATAATAAAAACGGGTCAAGCAAAGCTCCAGGAAATTGGCAGGATGCACATCCTCATCGTCCACACGGGACACTGCCGAAGTTTGGCCGTCTTCGCTGCTCGCTTCCGGAATCCTCGACGCGGACGCTCCGGTCTGTCAGCGTCCGTGGCAGCCCGTGGCAGATGTCGCATGTTAGGTGGACTGCCTCTATGTCTCGCTGAGCCCCCAAAGAGGAAGCGCCGGGTTGGATGCGCGCCTGTTAAACGGCACGGGCGTCTCGTGCATGTTCCGCGGCCCCCAGAAAGAGAAAGTAGAAGAGGAGCTGGGGTTTCTTGGCCCACACCTAACCCCAACCCCGAAGCTAGTCATCCACTCAGGCGACATTCAACTTCACTTGATCATCAAGAACCATAATCCATACCCAGCATGGTCACAACCATGGCACACGACATGACACCTATCGTCAGTCTCGTGAGCTTCTCATCAACCTCCACCAGCAGCCCTTAATCAACCACATTCGTGGCTGTGCTCTCTCGTCTATCATCAACCGCATTCCAACTTCACCTGGTTCTTGGTCCTGCTCATCGCCAGTGTAACTCTCTCACTCTTCAGTCGCCGCAGTCGCATAAACACCGGCACGAGCCTGCTGTCCGTCGACTATTCCCAAAACCGTCATCAAACTCTCGGAGATACATCTCACAGAGCCCTCGATTTGGCATCGCGTCCCTCTGTTCTATCCAACCAACATCCACGTTTGTTGATCCCACCGGCCGGCTTACCTTCCGCCAATGGCAGTACGTTTCGTGGAGGTTACATGCTCACCGTCATCATCTCTTTCACTTCTTTCTCTCATCTCTCTGTTCTAACGCCTTAACTCAGCACTATGGTCTAAGGCGTTCACTTAGCTTCTCGGTTCTTGACTTGGCTCTCGCTCGCTTCGCTCAGTCCAAGTTACGGAATCTCCTTGCTGCGAAATCGCGGTGTTCCCGCGCCGTTGTAAACCAAAGAACTCACTTACTTTCCCTGCCATCCGAATAGCCCCGTGACCCCGCAGACCCAGCTTCTGTGAGAGCTGATGTGTTCTGGGCACTGGGTAAGGTAGCATTTGGCACTGCGTGTTGTTGCTTTGGATCCAGCCAAGAAGCCGTCAACCCGGGTGTAGTGAGTTATGTTTATGGTGGGCTTGATGCCCCTCACATACATGACTGCGGAGTATTGTTTTTGCTTGATAGGCCGAGGCATATCCTCTCCTGGAAGCATCGTACCATCATGAACATGTGTCCGGGGGGAGCTCGCGCTTGGCTAAGCAGTGAAGATTGAGTGTTTGGGTACTGTGGCTATTGTTCAGTTTTCATGAAGGGGAGAAGGCCACTCTTCAGGTAAACATCCAGAAGCTGACAACCTAGCCTTTCAGCAGCTGAAATGTCCTTACCTACTAGAAGGTAAGCGGCACAATGCCTCGCAAACGCGTAAGTTCCTTCGTGAGCCACAAGTTGCCCTTCAACTCAGGAACCAATCCCCAAGTTTGACACCAGCCACCAACATGGAAAGACAAAAATAGAACTTGAACTTATTCCTCATCAGCACGGCTGGTTGTCACTACCTGGCTATCAATTCGGCCTATCACAGAGGCTGAAACTAGGGAACACTGGCTAGACACGACACACATATGCCGCTTGCTACCCGTCACGTCACATATCCTCAGACCATTTCTCTGCTTTCCTAGGATACTAGATGCTACTACCCACCTAGTACCGCGCCTATCGTCGTTCTATCTTAGTCATGGAACACACACCACGTGCTGTGGTGGCGTGGAGGGGAGCCTGTGACCCCCCACGCCGTTGAAATGCGACACTCTAGGCGAGCTAGAGATATGTGCACCATAGTCCGAGCGTAGTGGAGGTAGCAGCCTCAGGACAGGAACTGATACAGAGGACTTACCATGATGAACTGGGAATAGTTTCGCCAGGCCCCAACTTGAGTGTGGTAACTCGTGGGATGTTTCCTGCAGTCAGAGATAATGACACAAATTTTCGAGCGACAACATTTCAATGCCTGGTCGATGAGTGGCATTGGATTGGTATAGATTTTTTTTTATATTGATATCCTGATCTTGCATACCGTGATGGTTGATATGAAAGGACACAGGACGCAAAACTGGAGTGGACTGTCCAATTGAACGTATTGTGTTGTGAGATATGTTACGTTAAATGATCAGTATAATGTCAAGCTTAGGACTTCAAACTATGCAAAATTTAGATGAATTCTATCCGAATCCATTCTTTCATGGCTGTTTACATGAGCGGTAATAATAAGTGGTAAAGGAACCCTTTAATTCTTGGAGAGTCGATGAGAGGGAAATGCATTTGGCTGAGCCTTAATCATTCATCTCATTTTCGTTATAGACCCAGATCATCACATTATGTACTAAAACCACATTTCAGTTTCTCCTCTGTAGTTTCACAAATGGGGATGAATTGGGGATTTATTTGTTTTGTAGATCATGTCTCTGATTTGCAAAAAATTTTTCATCACTAAAAGTGATCTGCAGGATTATATGGTGGGTTCTTGAGATATACTTCACATATTTTTCTGGGCACTTGAACTTCCAGAAAGCTTCCGACACACATACTTTATTTTGGTTTATTCTTTGAGCCTCAAAGAGAGTTAACTGTGCAGTTCGTCTCAGATACTGAGCGATATTTCCATCAATATCAAAGGATTCAAAAAAGTCATGTATCTAACAATCTTTGAAAGCATGAAAAAGCGAACTGAGTATCAGATAGCAGCAGAGCTTCCACAGGTGTCTCAGAGATAAATACTTCGTCATCACTTTAATAACTCCTCTTGCAAGAATAGCTCAACCTATGCAAGATCCATTGATCTCAGACCCACAACCATGTTCGTCAAGCATCTCACTACTATCCTGGCCACTCTATCGCTGCTTCTAGCTTTCACTACTGCCCTTCCACAATCAACAACTCCCGTCAACCCGCCGTCTGACTTTCGTGCCAACCGGTGGTGCTCTTGGTGCTTCAAGTTTCCAGACGCAAAGAACCAGAGCTACTGCAACATTGTTGTGCAGACACCTGGCAATATTAACCGGTACCCCAACGGTTACCCGGCGATGGTGTTTAACCACAACTTCCAGCAGCTGCTTTGGGCACGGGATGTGGGCCAATTCGATACGGTGCATGATATCTACTTCCCTGCGCCACAGGAGAAGCAGGCGATCGGGGTTCATGTGTTGCTGGTGCCGAGCCATAGAGTGAATAACACGAAGGAGGCGTACGTTTCTACGAATGTATGCCCGAGAGATGAGGAAAGGTGGAGAGCTGACCTTGTATGTGAAAAGTCCGCAGATTGTTTACAATGGATGGGGCTACTGGCATGACCAGACCTGGACGACATACACTGGGGTTCCTAATGCAGACTGGACTAGCTTCCACACATCATTCATTTGCGAACCTCGGGCAAGACCGAAAGACTAAAAGAAGCGAAGAAAAACAAAGAACAAAGCTAGGCAGGAGAGGTAACTCTTTACAGGTTTTCTTCACAAGGATGATGTATCTTAGTCACATAGCGGATTGAGCAGAACTTGGTCACCTGCAGGGACCACCATGGAGAGAGCACCAAGACCTAGATAGGAAATTGGAATGGTGTCCGCACTCAAACATTGGAAACCAGTTTTATATTTTACCATTGAAGAAAAGGCACCAGGTTCATAATGACCTGCTCCGTTCCTGAGCCCTAGTACACCAGTCCTATGCTCTTACTTTATCTCCAACTCTACGACAGTCCATAAAACTGGGGCTTTCAGAGAGCATTCCATGATGACTCATCTATACGACAAGATCACCGCTGGGTTTTCCTTGTAAAACATCTGGGGCACAGAGACATTCATTGGAAATCGCAATGTGGAATGGAGACAACTCCCTTCACCTGCTCTTTGCGGGTCATCCAGACAGATTTCGTCACCTTGGTGCATTTGGTTGAATTAACCAATAATCCGAGGAGGATAACCTACACTTCATTCTTGCACATGGTGCCGATTTTTTACTACCTGAAATATCATGCGGGAGTTAGCATTCCAATTTTGCTCATTGATCGCATTGCTTGCATCGACAAGCAGGCGAACTATAGTCCATCTCCTTGGATAATCGTTAGGGAACAGAACCTCCCAGTTCAAGCAAGGTCCAATACCCAGGTCCTGGCAGAGGCCATCAAGGTCCAGTCCATTAAGAAGGGGCTGAGTGACGGCCATCATCAGGGCGATTCGCCCATGATAGTTTTCGGCACTGTCATTGGTTTTGACGTGTAGAAGGAATTTGACAAATGGTACTTTACTACTCTGAGTTGCTATCATCAAGTGTAACGGGTGACTTGGTCTGGTGCAGGCAGGGATCGACAATAGGTCAAATGAGTTAGATGATGGCCACTGGCGATGTGGGGTGCACAGCGAAGTCAATTACTACGTGTAATAATCTTTCTTGGTCCTCAGTGTTCTTGTGTCAGGGAGAGGAGGAACCAAGGGAAGTCTATCGTGACCGGGCAGCTTCCTTTATAGAATCCTCATCATGCCTCGACCATATGGCTCATTCTCTTCGGTCATCCGGCTCTAGACATCTTCCGGGATCAACCACGTATTTGTGCCGCTCACGATCATCCTGTCTCTGGTGTCCCTTGTGTTGGCAGTCGGGGACATCCCTTTCCTTGGACTGCCGTGTCCATGTGACATCAAGAGAGTATGGTTGTAGGGGGGGACCTGTCTATTCCCCCCTCTCCTAACAATAAAAAAGCTAGTTCTGCGAATCATCTCTGGCCAATAGTTTGGCAATGAGATATAATCCGTGAGTTGCCTATAGGTTAGTTTTATGGCGAAGATTCGTTCGAGGATCATAGGGGCCTGTCAAACAAGCCGTCATCTGGATTGTAGTGGAAATTTTGTTGTAACTCAGGCAACAGAGGTGGAGGACAGAGATTTTGGGGGTCTTGCATTTTTTTTTTCACGGACGACCTCGAGCCCAAACTCTGGGCCAGCGCCGAGATTGAGGAGTTTTAAACGCATCGTCAAATAACTCTCAGCGACAGAGCACGCTAACCAGATTAGTTTTCACACCCATAGAGCTCCTTCTGTCGAGAACTTTGGCGACACAAGAATATTCCGATGCCGATCAGAGGAGAAACGGGTAAGTGTGTCAATGATGGCCCCGCGGCTCAAGAGTAGTGATATAGATGTATCCCACCGACGCTCCATGCAGGCGTAGTAGAGTGGGGTTAACCAAACCTATCGGGGCTATTGGAGTTCAGGTTGGGATGGCTATTCAAGATACCTGGACGATGTCAACCATTCCGGCAGTCGCTGCATGCCAAAAAAGCACCAGCGCGTCCTTGTGGTCCAAACGTTATTTTGTAACTCCAGACAATCTCGGCGCCCCTTGATCTTAGAAGTTTGCGATCTCGGGGTGACCTGAGCATATTGTTAGATGGATAGTAGGCCAGCATTGGGGATCCTGCCATTCAATAGGAGTAGGGCCTTTGCTTCTTGGAAGTAAAAACCAGTGCCTCAAATTATGCAGAGGAGGACAGTCGCAGAATCCTACGAACAGAGCCTCGATGTTGACACCGTCATCGAATAACATTTCCACGGTTTCTTTATGCCCCTCTCGGATGGATATGTGAAGAGCCCCGTGTCTCCACCAAGTCTAGTGTCTCTTCGGCAGCCGAAGCTGGCATATCGACGAGAAACGGGAGAACTGGCATTGGTTCAAAATATGACTCGTCATCCTCTCATTCTGACTCGTTTCCAGCATCATGGTCCTTGGTCTTCCTGGCTTGTCTGACTGGTGTGAGCACAGCGAGTCTTTTGAGGGGTGAGGGTTAGGGATCGCGTGATTCGGCTGGATGCTTCTATGTGTGGCTTATCCCTCAGGCCATTGAAAACTGACCAACCCCCCGCTTGTTTTCGTTCCATGTGCGGTGAACTCTGTACATCATAAGAGCAAGCCGCAGTAAGCTGGTATTGGAAGACAAAGCCGGGGCTTGCTTTGTTTCCCAGTGAGAGTTTCAGCATCCTCGGTAAACTGTGTTTGGTGATCCATGTAAGTGGTAGATTGGAACGCTTGCGATTCCTGTGTCAATGGAAAGAGGGCTGAAGATGTTCCAAAGTTAATGGTTCGTAAACGTGAAGGTTGTAAGAGGCTCGAAAACTCTTTCTTTGCGTTTGTAATGAACGGTGAAGCAATGTTTCTACATGCAGTTGCAGATCGCCTCGCAGATTTTTCTAAGGAACTGACAGCACGGGTAGTATTCTCGGTGGAGGGTTTTGGGTGTAATGTACATTAGTGGCATTTGCGATGAAAGGTGTGCTGCTGATGACGTTGGAATTTTTAGTCGGTCGGTTGAGGTTGAGCTTGCGGGAAGGACTTGAGACGTGGGTTAACTTGGCAAGACGCGCTTAGCAAGCGTGCATGGTGGGTTACACAGGAAGCATGTTTCCGCGGTATTACGTGACTATATCGGATGATATATCCGGCAAATCTGGGTTGGGGATTAGGCTACTGCTTACAGCTCCTTTGTGAGGTCCGTGTGATGGGAACATTTACAAGTTCCGCCAAACTGGTAGTGGAAATCAGCCTCGATGACAGCAGTAATTGCTATCACAGTGTAAGAAGAATTAATTGTTCGGTTTAGGAAGAATGCCAGGTAAACTGCCGGTCCTCACCTTACTTTACTGAGCAAATCTGCAATATCTTTAGAGTTAGGGTTGAATTTCATGCCACTGCTGCTCCGAAGCTTCCACCTTCGGGCTTCCAGGAATTAGCGACTTGTGAGATACTGCTGTGTATTGTGACTCAAAAGTTGCATATTGTTTGATGAGATTATCATCTTGATTTATTTGTATTTCCTTTTTTTCCTGCTGAGACCGAAGTTGAGGTTTTCCTGATACTTGACTAAGGGATAAAGAACAGCAAAAGATCTGATAAGGTACATTGGAAGGATCATTCTCTTTGTTCATAGCAAGTTGCTTCATTTCGGTTCATTTCTTTATTCTTGTTACTCTCCATTGAAAATCAGATCCAATAGGCTCACGTTTATGGCGGTTTGAAGATGTCTTCCATCTGGAAAGTCAAGTTTTTAAGCATCAGGATCCGATCTTCGTGGGCCTTCATTTTAAACTGCTCCCCCTTCAAAATCTCAACTCCTCCTCTCGCAAACACAACAGAATCAACTCGATTCAAGAATTCCTGATACCTACCACTTTACACACCGGTCAATGGCGACATTCCTCTACCGGTTATCATGCGTTTCTACCCAGTAATCTCAGGTCCGGTTGCCATGGCAGGGCTGAGCTTGTCAGAGCTCGTCCTGGCTAGCCCACAGCATGGGTGGGTGACAGAGCTCTACAGTTCCACAACTTCCTCCGCCATCAGGCTTTACGGCTCTGCAACGCCCTTTGCCACCTCAAACGTCCCGATCCCAACGACAACAGAGAAAACACAGGCTGTTTTTACCACTGTAAGTGGCTCAACTGAAACGGCTATTCCTTCCACCATTCCTGATTTCATTGGCAACAATACCGATGCTCGTCGGAAGCATCCAAATCGCTGGTGCCCTTGGTGTTCAGTCTTTGAGGATGCTCGTGACAGCACCTGGTGCCATCTACTGGTCCAGGTCCCACAGAAGCAAGACAACGGGAGGTACATCATGATGGTTTTCACTCATGACTTTTCGCAACTTATCTGGACAGCAAGCTCTGAGACCTTCAACGAGCCCAAAGGTGTGGCTTTTTATCGAGGAAAAGGAACCAGCCGCCACAAATGGATTGTTAAGTTTATACCATCAGGACCTTTCCAGCCGTGAGTTCAGCTTTCCTTTGCCCTAGACCGCTGAATTGTATCGCAATCATGGATACGGTCGCTAACCAACCAACTCCTCTTCCAACTATTTAGCCCGTTCATCGCCTATAATAGCGATCCGCCAACAAATGAGCAAAGTTACACGGTCTATCACGGTGTTCCTCAGATAGACGTTGACACCTATGAGACTGCTTTTATTTGCAATCCCAGCCAATATGGTTTTTAGCTGGCACTCCTATGCGAAATCAATCAAAGACATAAATACATAGCTTTTCGCCAACCGGTCAGTGCAGCTGCTTTTCCATTAGTTTAATTTTGATCATACGGGCGCTTGTGGATGGTCTGCGCTAGAAACATCCAGAAAACTAGGCGGGTTGCTCAGTAGACATAAATAAAGTGCTCGTTCTCCAGATCAGCCATGTCTTTTAGTGCATTATCTCCTCGAGTGATCTTGACTGATATGAATAGTCTCTGTCTTTGCCTTCAGAACCTTTGCTTGTCCCTATATCTTTCTTTCTTTATCATGGACTCGTCCACTACGACCGCGGTTTTGCCTAAGTCCTCCCGGCACTTAGCATGATTGTGTTTCAGGTACTGAAATAGAACGGCATCGGTATGTATGGTTGGAGCCA